TTTTGGATGGCATGCTCTTTTGGTAGGTCTCTATTCAACGGGATTCATAGACTTGCCTGGTCTGTGTTTTACCTTTTCAGTTTATGGATGTTAATTGTAACATTTTAGTTCCCTAGAAATGTCTTATTCAGCTTTCAGTTGTATTTGGTTTCCACCCCCCACTCCCCCCCCACTCCCCGTGTCATGTGTGGCAAAGAACGGGTGACCACGGAGTCCACTTCCTACGTACCGTCTCTGGTTCTGTTGACAGCAAACCTGCTGCCATTTCTCCAGTTAATGAATGAACTCCTGTGCTCATTCGTGCACTAGATGGCTAGTCTATCAATTTAATAAACACAAGTAGCATTTGTATTAAGCCAGCAATAAAATATCTAAAAAGTGAAGATTATGCATACTATCATATGTGGGATGACTATTTTAATAATAATAATGAAAACATGGAGTAGGGTTAATGAGACACGGCATTCATTTAGAGTAAAGGTTCATTTCTCTCTCTCTCTCTATGTCACACACACTTTTTTTGAGCTACATCATCACTGCAGCACGTCTTCCGTTGCTATTTGCATCAGAGGCAAATCGGTTCGTCTCTATGTGAGTGACAAAGATTGTGCGTCGCCACATCACAGCTGCAGCTTCTGAGCCCAGAAAATGAGTCACACGATTTGGGGAAGCAGAAAGAAACGAAATTAGACTTTCGTAGCAGTGTATGGTATTTTTACTAACAATTAGAGAATGATTGTTTACCAAAGCCCCATTTATAAAACTTAAAAACGAATAAATAAAGTGAAACTAGTCGTGGAATAGTAGTATGAAACAGGATTGTAAAAGAATACCTACAAACTATTTTCTTCTTCACGGCAAAGTACAGAAAGTGTATCAGTGTACATTTATGTTCAAATTCATTTTAGTAACTGAATCCTCCGATGATATGTGGACCTCCACTCCCAGAAGACTTCACTTTGTATTTTACTATTCAAATAACTTTGCATCCGCTGAGCGGACGCAGTAGCTGCTGCAGGAGACAAGGCTGCTCTGTCGCGCTCAGGTCACTTCCTGACCTCTGTTGTCCAAATCAAACCAAGATGCAAAACTGGCTTCATGACTAAGACAACACTTTGTCACTCCAGCTTCCACGAGGAAAACGACAAGAGGCGACCGATAGCAAAACCGAACGCCTGCGAAATGTATTTTAAACAGTAACAGCATCGGAACCCTGTAAAGCGTTTTATTTTTTTTAAAGGAAAGTGGTGTAAACTAAATGCTCCTTCAAAGGAAATCTTGATGTTGTGTGGCTTTTCCATGTGATTTGTTTAAATCCTTGCACTATATCCGTTGAGAGTTTGGTAATCTCAGAGGCAGCACATGTCGTCTGGATGTCATCGGGCCATAATTAACCTGCTTCCCATCCAGTTTACCCATCTGCTGCAGTTTGGGCGGTACCCTCCTATAGGAAATGTAATGACCACCTTCTTAACAAATCCGCAGTAACAGAGGCACTCTGGGCCGAGTCGACAGCAGGTCGACTACAATGAGGGCAGGGTGGTGCGGGTGGAAGTGTTGGTCCGCAGGGAGTTTAAAGAAAGCTGTGCATTAAACGTGGCCATTCAGGCACCTTGCTGTGAAACTACCGCAATTTTAGAACCTAATTCTGATCTCTTTTCATAACCGGTACAAAACTGATGAGCAAAAACACCTCCAACCCAAATTTAGACCATGCTCGCTGCACCCAGAGAGTTGAGCTGATCTTGGCCGATATTGCATCAGTGGGAATCCCATCATAGCAACCATGGCACGCAGTCACAGGGAGAAAAACAAAGTGCTTACAGTACGTCTCACCTGCTGATCCGAAACCGGCCAAACGCAACCTGCCGCTTTATCCAAATCCACGGTACCTGCAGTTTGTGTAATAGTAGCGGTACTCTGGTTGGTAAACGGCACCGTAGAACAAAGCACCATAAACCTCATTAATCATTAATCATTAACCACCAATGACAAAGAACTGACTGTGACTGAAAAAGCAGGGATACAAAACTAAAACATTTCATATTAACTCAGTCATAAATAGCACCAGCATTTGGCAGGGGGCCTTTTTTGTAGCACATTTTGGGGTTTTCATGCACCTTTTGTGTACAACAGGCTATAGATTCTATATTCTCACAATAATCCGCAAGTTAAGAATGTCATGTGACACTGAAACACTAAAAACAGTAATAAACAACTTAAACAAGTTTAAGGTGAAGGTGTGGTTGTACTTTTGTGATGTAGCGTGTTGGGATAGTTGTAATTCCTCCTGCGCACAACACTAAAGCCCCAGTTGGAACAAATATAAAAGTCATTACATCTATAGTCATACTCACTCATAAAACACATTAAGTATTAAAGCATTAAAAGGGGAATTTGGCTAGTCTTTTACATAGTCTGTAAGCAACAGGTAAAAATGAGTGCCCACAATCAACTTAAATGATATCATCAATTATACAACTGTTCCCTTATTAAGACTGATCCAGGGTCAAATGCTGTTTTAACTCTAAGCGCCCCCAGTAGCACCATCTACTACTCAAGCCGAGCTTCTGGTTGCAGAGGTGCACTCTCCTCATTCTACGCGCGTCATGAGGCCTCGCGTGTGAGAGCTGAATTAATGATCAGTGTCCATTTACACCGAGTGAGATATTTGGATGTTTACCTCTGTTTATTATTATTATTATTATATACTCAATTTAGTTGGCCAGCAGAAAGGCAATTGGTAATAGTCTGTTAAAGGATATGAAGGTAGGTTGAAGTAAATAAATGGATAAAATTCTGAATTCGTACATAGCAGGCCAGGGATTGAGATTAAAGACTTAATGGCTTTCTTATGTGATCAGAAAGGTATTATTACCATAATAGATCTACAGTATGTTACTTAGCGTTTGGGGGTCTAGAGGATTCAGTGCAATCAGAGTATACATTCTGGTTTACTAAGACATTTTCTTACCAATTTCTTTTTAGAAAAGTAGCAAAAAAGACAAATGATTTATATTATTTTGTCACAAATGGGCTTGAGGCTGTCTGTGGGGTGAAAACTATTCCCCATCTCTCTCCCCCCTTTGTCTCTTGTGCTGTCAGGGATTTTTACCCGGATGGTGTGACATCATGTTAAAAAAGAAAAAAAGTCTGTCTTTTATACTCAACATCTGCTCTGTGCTCTCAGATCAGTTGCTGTAAGATGAAACTCGGGCCCCCCAGTGGCGACACGCAGTCGCTGCATTCACCAGATAACAGCAACGCGGCCCTCTGCCTCCACCCAAACCTCCCACCCAACATACACAAACCACATCAGCAACTCCTGAGACATTTTTCAACCGTCTGGGATTTTTCATTCGTATGTGGATTGAAAAGCAACCGATGCAGCGTAGCTTGTTGATGGAACAACAGGTGTTTAGTGACAGTGTAAACAAAGCCACCTCATCTTGAATTGCTGGTTTATTGCTGCTGCAGGAGAGTCAATTCACTGAATCCGGCGCTACGGAAAAGTCCCGGACACAGTTATTTTTCACCAAAACATCCAAACCTGATAACTGTATGTAGATACTATTTTCATAATAAATAATCAACCAATAAACTAAGAGTTCGGAAGAAACTAGGGGCCCTGGTTTTTGGAGTTTTCTGATAATATAAATTCCAAATGTTTTTTTTACAGTTTGTTTTACACTCTCAATAAAACCATTGAAGTAAGAACGGGTAAGAAATGTATGATTCTCACAGGGTGCCAGACATTTAGTATTAAGGAAATGTATAGTATAGACCGATTTGATCACAAATCAGTATTTCATGTAATTATACATTTTTCATTTTTTTGTTGGTTTGTTTGTCTTGCAACAAGAGTTGGACAATTACGTCAGGACCAATAAATAAACCTCGCCAAAAGTGCAAAGTCATCCTCACTTTCTAAAATTTTGATTGAATTCATTTTTGCAAATTTGACTGTGAAAACACAATCACAACAGAGTACAATGAGAATAAATACAGAATATTTAACTTCTCTAACCAAACATGAACCTAATTACAAAGCAAATCCAGTCAAATTAAGTTTTGATTGTCAAGTCAAGTTACTGCAAACCATTCGGTTCAATAAAACCAACCATTACACATCCAACCAATATCCTTTTATCAAGTTAGCAGACTTTATTTTATTTTTCACTGCACTTTAACCTGGTTGTTAAAGTGCTGATGGTGCACCGTCCTTTTTGTGTGGCACGCGCTCACTCACACAGTGCTCCCCAGTGGACTGATTAGGGAAAGTGACTATTTAAAATGTACAATATATCGGCGGGCAGCTGTAATAGTGATTAAATATTATCCTGCAGGCCAAAGATAATTCTCTTTTTTTTGTTTCTCATTTTAGTTTAGTTTCTCATTTCATTTAAGTTTGATTTAGCTGGTTTTGCAACAAAAGCGATCATAATACACGCTTTCCTTAAAATCACTTTTAGTGATTTACAACAACGGGATAAAATAATAAAAATAAAACAGTCATTTGTTTATCATTTAAAAGCATATTTTTAAAACGTTTCAAAATTAAAATCCATTCAAGTGGAATCAAAAGTACATGTCTGTATTGATAGGACACCCGTCATCAGTCAGGACCTCGCTGACCTCAGTGGCGCCTCGTGCACCCCAGTGGAGTTTCATTTCTTAATATCTCATTTCTTGGGTTTCATTTTGTCAGCGTAGGACGTGTTGTTTGTCTCGGACTGCCACTTAGTGTTGCCTTTTTTTCCTATTGCCTAAAGTCAGAGAATCGCAAAACTGCCACAAGACCACCACCAGATGTCAGAGTTCATTAAAAAAATACTATTTGTAAGGCTTTGCTCATTAGATCAGTTTTTGTTCTGTGTTCAATGAAAGGTGCTATTGAAATTTAAATTTTGTTATAGGTGAAAACATAAATATTTGCGTTATCAATAAAGCTAAAGTTGTCATAAGTGGGAACACGAGAAGAATAGAACGAGACGCAGAGATTGTCAGGAAACAGGGTATTTTTATATATGTTAACAATTCTAACCAAAAGAAAACGTAATAACAATAAATAATATAAACTAATTAATCATATAAACGTAACATGAAAATGAATTATTATTTAATTATAATAATTAAATGAAGTAATCACACTCTTTAAATGAACCATTGACCACGTAGCCCTCATCTATGAACTTGGAATTCAAGGACAAAGACACTTCTTGGTGAGTCTTTGTCTTCTTCTTCATCCAGACTGGATTTTTCAAGGTCTTTATTTATGGCAACGTGACTTTTCCCTGAGTTTATGGCACTTGGCTGCCAACAACTTGTGTTCCAGCTTTTGGATTTTGCCAATATTCTGCATTTAAATAAAAAGGAGTATTATAAAAATAAAAAAAACATTCATTTAAAATAGTCACTTTGACTATAAAGTATGAAATAATAACAGTACATTTAATTTCAACAAGACAGAAGATGTATATTGTAATGCTACTTCAGCACAGTAATAATATTTCCAATGTCTACAGTGTTGTGCACATAATGCCTGTGTACGGGAGGTTCTTGAGCGCCGTGTATATTGTGTCAATGACGTGTTCAGATACGCTGTCAGCTAATTACCTGTTGGTCTGTGGGATCTTGGCCTGCAGTGCTGCTGGTGGGGTTTTCTGCTCCACTTTAAATAAAAGAAAGACAATAAATTGTCTTTTGTACTTTCAAGACTTTTCTCTAAAAGTTCAGTCAGCGATAGAAATATTTATTTATTATTAACCTCGGATATGTTTTGTTATTGATAATCACTTTCTGTCTCCATTTTTTAAATTTACAATATCTTCTAATTTAGCCACAATTTGTGGTGTAATTTTGATACTGTGTGAATTCATCCGCTCACCTCCCCATCGACTGGTCACATCTATCCTTTAACAGCCATAACTAAGATGTATATATACATTCTAATTACAGCTAGTTATTCAGATGTATACCCATTACAGACATCTGTTGGCCCCGTTTAGAACCAGAAAGCCCCGCTCCCTCCTCCCCAATCTAACATTTACTTTACAAAAACCAAAGAATAAAGAGGTCTTACTCTCGTGCATCTTCCTGTTTCAAAAGGATACGTTCTGCCTCGTGTCGCCAAAGACCAAAAGTTTTCCTCAGCCACAGAATTGTTACCTTAAAATCAACAAGAATGCAACATGTTGTGACCACAAAATAACATTGCATTTATTATTATGATTGGGATGGTTGATTTTGTGTTGCATGCTATGATCCATACCTCTGGCAGAATGACTTCTTCCAGGTACATCTTCTGCTCTCCTCGTGTTCCTGGTGCGGGCAGGATGTTCTTCAGCCTGCTCATCATCTCTGCAGTCTGATACATTTTACAAACGTTTGTTATTACACATTATCTCCAAAATACAGACGTTTTTAGAGAAGCTTTGGTGACAATTTTTTGCTTTTGGGATATTATTTGAAATACAGTTTATAATTTCGTATCGACATGGAACGTACAAATAGCGCGGTATTATTTATTATATAAAAGTGGGTAAGAAAACGTTTTGAGAAAAATTTGAAAATGTTTTTAAGGCGGTGACATGTCTTATACCTTATTTACCTTAATTTCATCCAACAATGTGTTGTGGGTGGCGTACATCATCTTGAGCCCTGGACAAACAGCCTTATTGTGGTGCAGATAGACTCTGTTGGACAGAAGCTTGCCATCTCTTAGATTTTGCTCCATATCCTGAGAACAGCATGATAACACAGTGTAGTTATTTCAAATCTTTGAAAATAAGTTACTCTATAATTATTTTAATTTTGTCACTGCATCTGAGACGTTTGACAACCATCCATACATTTCAAAATCATTTGTCAACATACAAATTATAATTATTATTATTATTAATTATTCTTCATCTGAATAAAGTAGGAGGGGGTTCTTAAATACATCAATAATACACATTTTAGGTCCCTTTGTACCTTTATTTCTTGGTCAGTCAACATGTTGTCCACTTCTATTGATTCCAAGCTTTTCTCACTGGTGACAAAAAGAGGAAGTCTTTTCTAAGCAACCATCCTGATGTAATCTTTGAATTACCTGTAAAGGTTTTGTTGATTGTACATACAAATTATGTGTGTAAGATATGACAGAATTCTGCAATCTTTAAAATAACTACGCCTTCAGAAATATCCACGAGGATATTAGTGGAAAGAAATGCAAGATTTAGGCAAAAGTTGTTCCAAGGTGTGTCAGATCATTGCACTCACACATTCGGTTGGACAACTTTATTGCAGCCACAATCAAAGAGTTTGTCCGTCCACTCTCCAACAATCCCAGCGCAATGGAGGTGAATCCATTTCCTGCATTGTTTGCACTCGAGCCATTTGTACTCGCTTAGGTTTGGGTGGAGACACCTAAATAACAGATAATTAAAAAGCTTTGGAAATTAACTAACTGTTAAGAGGTGTCTGAAAATGTTAGATATTTTTAAATGTTTTGTCATCTAACTTAAGTATGTAGTATTTTGTGGAATGTATCAGTGAGGTTGGAAAACCAACTGGAGCGTCTACACGGGCAGTATGCCTCGTATTTTTAGGTGACAATACACGTTAGAAAAAAATCCCACACACTTTTATTGTAACATACGATAAATATGTGGTTATTTTTTTTAAAGTAAACACAAACATATAACTTACACGCTCGTCCCCGGGACGCCCTGAACAACGCAGGCACTTATGCACCATGCGACGCAAAGGCAGTTGGATTCCGGGTGATTTTCGTCTGCTCTTGTGAGCCCGGCCTCTTGTTTTTCCATCTCCTCTGACTGACTCTTTGTGAGAGGAAAGGCCTTTTCCAAAACATTGAAAGGGGAAACTGGGCAGGTTAAAGTCCGTACAACACATTCGAATTCTTTATTAAACTATTTATTAAATATACAACACAACACGTTTTCATTACGGTCTCTGGGATATCCTTTATCATCTTGGCTGCGTGGTATCGCCGCAGAGTCCGGCATTGGGTCATTGTCAGTGACTCTCCTTGCACATCTGTTCTGGTCACTTCATTCTCAGCCGCCAGCATGAAAAATGATTAGAGAGCGTTAATCGCACACAATCTGTGAGGAGTTCTTAGAATTATGTACATAGGCCTTTTCCAATATTCACTACAATGCTAATGTTAGACGTCTTTGACGGTAAGTAGGGCCGTTGATAATCCAGGATTTCAGCCATGTAGAACGACTATTACTAACATATACATTAAATAGACATATAATAGCCCTCATTTCACATAACTGGATATTTAAAAAAATAAAATTCTAAGCTGGATGAACTCCAAATTCAGTGTTTTTCAAAATTCAAAATAGTGGCTTTAGCCAAACACATTGTTTGAAAAAGCAGCTTCAAAACTAAACTCCTTTCATATTCTTCAAACACTGCTGTACACAGAAGGACTGGGATTTACTCACTGAGCAGACAAAAATCCCACAGTTGACCGAGTCCTTCTGAAGCCACTGGACAGGGTACGTCACGCTCCAGCCCCGCAGCCCACCCTTCTCCCGGAAGACGTTTCTGGTGGGTGACAAAGTTTTCACAACATGTCAAAGAGATGAAAAGGTCTTGCTGTGTCATATCAGTGTTTTTGTAGCTGACGGAGACTGACTTCAGAAGATCCAGGTCATCCTCGTCCAAACCCGTCCTGGTCTTCAAGGAGTCGTAAATACGGACTTCTTTTTTGGAGAAATCCAGAACCTTATAAACAATAGTGTCAAGATGTAATTCCCCAGAGGTTGAGGTTCATCATGTGTTGTGCTGTTTAACAAGCTTATATTAAAAGCACATTTTTGAAAATAGAAATTTGCACAGTAGGCAGTATTTGCGCCTTAACTAAATAGAGTTTGACACGGCTGCTCTATGACCATTCATTCATCTGGTCTTATAAGTCATACAGTCGTTGGTAAAGACAATAACTGATACATACCCACAGGATGAAGTGGTTGCCAGTTTCTTTGTTGATGTGACCCACAAGTCTTGGCAGAAGGATCAATTCTGCATCCTGTTGTAGAATCGAGAATTCTAATTTTACTCGGTCACTGACAAAAGGCCTATTTAATGAATTCATTTGCAGAGCGTTTTAGTGACTTTTTTTTGTCCACATTGATGTGAAAAACTTACAGGGAGAAGACTAACAAGCCTGTCATTGACATTTTTGTTATTGATCCAGTCTCTGTGCCACAATATAAAGTCAAAATGACTGAGTGCTGCACTCTGTTAACAACAAAATCACAGATCTTTGTAACACACAGTATATATATGACAGTAGTAGATTTCACTTTTGCATTTTGATATTCGTCAAATGTTACAGCGACGCTGTGACAGTCGTACCTTTGAGTTGTCCATGGCGAGCTGCGCCACACGATAGTCGACGGCCTAAAGGAAAATAATCCTAATGATAAACAAAATGACATACGCCAAGCTACGCGAGCATATGTAATCTACTAATGCACATTATTGTAATCATTGCATTTTGATAAACTATTTCATGACTTGCATCATCAGTGAGCCATGGCATAACCCGGGCGGCTCCGCCCAACAGCGCCACCGGGCAGACACTGCACACGTCCCGAATGCACAACGGATGTCTCTGTTTGATGTTGTTCAACACCTGCCGTTCGTCACGCGAGCCTGTCAGGAGTGTCCTTAACTTCTCCTGTTACGTGATATACACGTGTAAAAAAAACAAATAAACGTATAATTGAAAGCTACTGGAGTACAAACACAGGTAGTATCCACACGCTCATCATACAAAAGCAGCCAGGTATTGACATATTTAATCTCACCTTGTCCGTGTCATCGATGCTGTACTTCTGGGCTGAAAAGACCCTCCTCTGGTCCATGGCGGACTTTGGTTCCAAATGTGGTCCAGCGGCTGTTTTCTTCACTACAAAATAGTGTAATTTGGTTATTTAAGTAAAAAAATATATATATCTAACAAACAGTTGTCAATAACAACACCATTTTGAACATGAAAACTATGACAATGTTGACGTATGCTCTTACCTGGAGAATCCAGCACCAACCTCCCGTGCTGACCTACTGCCAGCGGCGTGCTGCTTATTGCCAGCATCTTCTGAAGGAAGCGATTGTTAACGTTTTCGTTGTGTAACTCGATGAGGACCCGAACTGCCTGTTTGAAGTGAGCCTCCTTCATGCGGCAGAGGGAATAACGAAAGGCTCCCAGCTCGTGGTTCAACTGTTCGGCCACTGAGGAGTTCACCTCCGTGCGTAAAGCGGGGCAGATGTTTAGACTCCTCAGTTTCTCTTCCGGCCTGCGTTGGTTCTTCTGGTGGAAGCGGTCATAGAGGGAGTACCTCTCGTTGGTTTTTGTTATTGAATGCAACGCAGTGAACCTGTCCGCTCCCGGGGCCGCTTTCAGCGGGGCCCCCGGAGACCTGAGATTGTTGATCCACTCGAGGTCCACTTCAAGTTTCTTTTCCGCTGCTGCACTGATGTTGGACTGTGACGGCGCGCAGAGCCGACCGTCGTGGGGCTGAAAGAACTTCTGTTGGGTTCTATTGTTCATGTGGCGGGAAACCTGGCCCGCCACATCGGAGATATAAACAGTTGGGAAACTGTTAAAGCTCAGAAGCCCATCCACGTGATCTCTGGCCGACTCGCCCCAAAAAAGGAAGTTCACGTAGTACACGACTCCATGTGTACAGGAAAAGTGTAAAAGACCACCTAGAAAAAAAAGAAACGTTTTAATAGATATGTATCTATGAATTGGCCGTTGCTTTTAAAAAACACTTTTTCCCTTTATTAATCACCTCCTGTTTTTTGTAGTTTTACAAACAGCTTTGGATAAAGCTCCTTGAAATTCAGCAGCTCTTCCAGCCGGTTGATGAGGTCACTGATGGAGCCCTCAGAAGTGACCCCGAGTGCTGCGCAGGCATCTTGTAGTTCTTTCTTTTGTGGCTGAAATAATCCATGCAGCTTTCAGTATACATTGTGATGCAAAATATGCAACAACAACCTCGATAATACATTATTAACTTCATACACACCTTTTTAGACTCAAGAAGTGCATGTATGAGGTCTTCATCCACCTTCTGGTTGGACACCATGGTCTCTCCTGACCTTTTCTTTAACCCCTTTTTCACCTCAGTCTTTGGGAGAATGTTTCCGGCGCGCGTGTCCTTTCCCATCCATGGAGCCAATGTGGAATATGAAAGCAAGGACCTGTAAGGGTTTACTGTGGTGGTTCCTATGGGAAAAGTACAAATGGCATACGCTTATACCACGTAGGTATCTTTGTGTAGTTGTGTTATGTTCTCTTTGGAGAATTAACGACATTCTTAAAACTGGCGGGTTTTTTTTATTTTTTATTACAATAACAGGAGGAATAAATACATAATGTGTGTCAATAGAGCAAAGTACACCAACGTTACTAGAGGTGATACCAGTATTAGCGATGTACCTGACGTGAAGCCCTCAGCAATCATCTCCTTGTCCAGGTCCGCCCATGTCTTCTCAATATCAATATTGAGGTCGGTGTCTGTCACCGTGTTCAGGTCCGGCCTCTTGAATGTCCCAACTGAGATGAACACAGAGCAACAGTAACATCACATACATACACTTTCTTTTCCTTTTGTGGGTGAGGGGGATAATAAAAGCAAGGTTTTGTTTCTAAGACGTGGATTTGATCGACTTACCTGGCACATCAAAAGCCACTTTCCAGTTGGCATCCGCGATAATAACTGGAGGATTATGGCCACATTGGTGACAAGAGAACTTAAATTCAAAGTCCATAAGTGAAAGGAAGTGATGGAACGCCTGGCGTACTGTCTGGTGGTGGTATGTGTTTTTATTAAATAGATTGATGGTGTCCAACATGCGTCCACAGGCCGTCTTGTTCTGGAGAGCGGGAGAAACAGCACATGTGGAGGAGTTATTGCAAATTATGGTTTTAAACCAATCCCCCTTAAAAAAATTATACACTAAAACCACATTTTTTGAATGAGCACATAACCAAATGCCATCATCGTGTGTAATACGTTCATTTATAAAAACTTACAGCCAAAGCAGAGAGCAGGAGTGCACATAGCGGAAGAGTGAGAAACACCCTGTTGTTGAAATTGTGGAACCCGGATGCGTAGTCTTGGAAACGAACATGATTTCCGCAGACTGGGCACTTGCTTACGGCAACAGAGACACCTTCAATTAGAGCAAAAGGACGACATGTTTTCATTTCGTAAGTAAGCCAGTAAGAGAGACAACATCATGAGGGGCCGTTTAGGACTTAACTACTGAGACACTCTTACGTTCGCTATTGAAATGCTTTCACACACACTACTGAGTTTGTGCTTTCACTAACAAATAACAAGGCTTTTCCTCCCAATGTCACTAACTTTTGAGATTCAGTAAACAAACAAAACAAAACGTAGTATCGGATCATTCAATTTTGTGAAATGTAATTTTTGACAGACAATGTTACGGCAGTATTATTACAATATGTACGAAACAGACGGTGTATACTAGGATGCGGTGTGCTGTCGTAGGTCACAATGAAAAACTGTTAATGTAATAGATCATTTAATTACCTTTTTCGATGTAGGTGTATCCGTAAACGGTGGCTTGTGTTGTTATGGTTTCCTCTAGCAGAGCCGGGGCCGTTGGTCCGGGGCAATACGGACAGTTCCGCTCACTTGGAATGAAGCACGTCGGTGGTGGTTTTTCTTTTGTGCGCAGTTCGACGGAGATGTTATGCAACGCAGGTATTCTCTTAGATTTGGCCAAGTACTCTGTCATAACGAGGACTCTCTGGTCATTGACATTGCATGATGCGCATGGCGGTTCGGGGTCAAGGAGCTCACATTCCATGTCTTCAATGTCGTCCGGCTGGGTATCACAGTTACTGAGAACATTTGGACACTCCTGAAAGATCCACCACATGGCCATCATGCGATGGACACAGCGGTGGGATCGTCCCATCTCCCGGCAGGGACAGTGCCACTGGCCCGCCACCGAGTCAAAGCTTACCATGGTACGTTCAAACCGGCACCAGTTGTCCTTTTTGTCGGTGAAGATGGAAAAAAATAGCCATCTTTTTGAAAATCCAGCAAGTCCATAAAAAATGGGGTTGACGCTGTCAGTTCCTCTGCTGGCCGCTGCTGTGTGCAACTCCTCGCACCGCTCACTCCACTCAGTGGAGATGAGTCCCTTGTCCAACATTTCCTGCAGCGAATTCTTTTTCACAGATTCTGGGGGGACGTATGGATCGGCATGTTTGACTCTTTCCAGGTGGACACACTCTTTCCCTGGATTTCCTGAAGCTGTGGCCACGTCCATCAATTTCCGACACAATGAAACTTCACAATCAATATTCGGCGCGCTGGTGGACTTGATGACATGAATCGGGATAAGACGGCTTGCGTCATGTCTCGGTGTGACGTAAATGCCATTGTCAGGGTCAATGCACATTATTGGGATGGTCGGACGGTTGTGAAGGTCACGGATGTGGCGTCTCAGATTGGAATGAGATGAAAGAGACGCGCTGCAAAGCATGCATGGAATATTGTGTGTATTCTTCAGTGAATCCTTTGGATGAGGGACATCATCTGCTTTCTCTGCATCAGCCTTTTTGTCAGGTTTTTCTAAAACAACAAAAATAAAGAATTAACAGGACACATTATGTTTATGTCTTACTATGTATTTTTTACAGTGTGTCAAGTTGTGAGTAATTAAGGAAAAATAGTCAAATACAGTAACCTGAGTAGAAGGGCTGAGCTAATTGTAAGAGTACAAACAGAAGGTTCTACAACCACATGAATAGAAGAAGTCAGTGCTGGAAGTAAAGATTGATGGATGGATGTACGGATGCTTTAAATCAAACATTACCTCTTTTCTTGTATGATTCAATACCTGCAATGGAAAGACATATTGAACAAATTACAATTAAATATTGTATAAACTCCGGTAATTTGAAAAATGTTCTTCATAATAAAAATGTTTTACTTAGTGACATAATGAGACTACAGGTGTTATTCACAACTACATGTGTAGTTTACGTTTTTAGTTTGATACTTTTTTGTATTTTATTTACAGCATATTCACCCTTAAAAAATAATAATAAAGATATGATGTAATTTAATTTAAAAAAAACAGAGAACATTATATAAGAACACTATAATAACATATTGCATGAATGCAATTTATGTATTTAATATCTTAAATGGAAACTTTAGTATTTTATAAGTTGATTTTAACACAATGACTGTCAACCGTGGTGTGATTGTGACATGTGGCCGTTTAATGTCCTGAGAGGCTTTAAATTGATTTACAGTTGATATTTATACATTATTTGGTTTGGGATGAATAAATCAAAAAGGCGGCCAACGTCGTAATTCAGTATTTGAATGTCTTTATGTCAAACATAAATTGTCTAGTTAGTTATTGGCCTTGGAAATACCTCGTCTGAGTGTGACGTATAATTACCATGAAGCTGTTGAAGATGTTTCCTGAAGCTCGCTGTTCGGGAAAACACTCTGTAGTTGCAGAATGGACAATGATTGTGGCATCTATGCCTTTGGTTCGTGTCCTGGCAATAGCACGACACCACACATTTCTCTGTCGAAGAACATCGCATAAAATTAGGAATATTAGTGACATGAGGATTTGCTCAAAGTGTTGCAATAAACTGGAGCATACAGTCTTTTCTCTTCAATCTTGATTAAGTACCTGTATCTCCATCTTGAAAATAAACAGCGTCCCTTAGATGTTTTCGATGTAGATGCTCTACTGAAGCCTCCACTTGCAGAGTGCAAAATATACACCTGGGACCAACCATCTGAAGAACAGACCGCGCATCATGGAAGACCTGATGTGAATCTGTAAGAGAATATATATTTATTTTAAATAAGACATATAAAAACATTTAGTAGATGTAAAATCAAAGAAAGGTTTCAGCATCATTCTAGAAAAAAATGATGAAAAAAACATATGCCTGAACTCAACGTGGGAACTCTTTGTCCTACTATAATTGGCCTGTAAACCAGTGTGTAAGCACCTCTGGGAGAAGGGGGTTCTTAACAAAGATAATGTCTGTGTGTCATCACTATGGAACATATTTGAGTGACTACAGACTTCAATCTTATTCATTTATTGGTATACCCGTCTGCTATTTGAACTCGGGGAAGGTTTAATTGTGCATGTTGTTTTTTCCCCTCATTCGAACAGAGAAGGGAGCCTGCATTTCCCAAGAAAACAAAAGTGAAGAAAATGAAGATGACTACAAATACGCTGTAACCTGTGACCATAACACTTCTTCATTAGCCTGAGCCGTTAATACACACGCGCAAAATGAAGATTAATTGCGTTGTTCCTCGACATGTTGCTCACACTGTCCCCTACAGCGACATCTAGCGGACTCGGTCGTAGCAGCTTCAGCCGGTTGCCACACTGACGTTTAGGAATAAATTAAGTCATTTTAGAAGTCGGCATCGCTCGAGGTAAAGCAGCGTGGGGGCAAAGTGTCGCTTACCGGCCATGGCGGTGTCCTTTTGGACACGTCCAATGTCGATGCCCGGTACAAAGAAAAACTTCTGGCAAAACTTCAGTCAGGAAGCCTTGACAAGCTGCGCGTTCCCCGGCGGCCTCCGGTCTCCCTGCGGGTGCACGGGGCCGCTGATTGGGGGCGTGGTCGGGTAGTACCAGCCACCCGCCCGTGGGTGCGGTCACCGTAAACCAATTGCATCGGTGCTGGCAAACGTTAAAAAACTGTCCTCTGTGGCTGTCAGTTGTCATTTCAGCACGCACCGAAGTTCGACCCGCCACCACCTGTGACACCTCCAATGCACAGCAGAACGTGGCATAGCAGCTGATTGGAGCAACTTATTCTCTGCGTCTGGACTCATCATGGGCATCCCGGCCCCTGGTCCATCCCACGCCACGATGGAGTCCTGCTCGTTACGCACGTGTCGCTGAGTTGTTGCCGCTGCAGCGCGTGACCGCGGTCAACTCTGCAGACGCTCAGATGTCGGTGGTCAACTCTGCAGACGCTCAGATGTCGGTGGTCAAGTCAGCTGACGCTCAGATGTCGGTGGTCAACTCTGCAGACGCTTGAGTTTTAGTGCACGTGTATGCTGACATGTACGGTATTAACCGGAATAAAGGCTATTTAAATAGCAGATTCCGGACAGTGATAGAAGTATGTGTGTACAGGACCTCTCTGACTACTCTATAATAAATTAAATATTCTTAATGTACTAATTTGGAGATTTTGCAAGTAAAAGCATATAATTGTTCAAAAAGGACAATTTCTCCATATTTGGACTGCAAAAAAACATATTTCTCAATAGTTCCACACAAAGGCCAATGCATGGGTGTTAAGGACTTCTCTGACTACCGGCAGGCTGAATATGAGGTATATTTACTGTACAGATTTGGAGATTTCTTCAAAGAAAAAGCCCTATAATTGCAAATTTCTCAATAATTGTTAGGGACCCGGTTTTCTTAACAGTTTTCCCCCCAGTCTGTGATTTTGTTTTGTTTTGTTTTTCCACCTATAGTTTCCACCCGTGTGTTCCGCCTCCGGCCCCACCCCTCTCCCACGTGCCCAGCTGTGGCTCATTCCGGGGATCACTGGTGACGAGCATAAGGGCTCCTGCTTTCAGAGGCTCGTCGTCAGTCCGTCCCAGTACCCAGGCTGGTCTCAGGTGCACGTAACCTGCTTTTGAGTTGGACTGTGAGTATGGTGTCGGGCCTCGGGTTTCCACACCGGACCCTGCTTGAGCCACCCCAGACGTCGGTGGAGTTTCCCTCCCGACTCCAGTTGAGCCAGAGGAGCGCTTTCTGCTTCCCGTATTCCCCTAGTTTGTTTTTTGTGAAAAGTCGAGTCGTTTTGGCTGAAAATCCAAGGCTGCTGTGCGTGTGCTTTTGGGTCCACCAAATACCCCCCCAACAATAATTCCAGACAAAGGCCAATGTACTTGTGTTAAAGACCTCTCTGACTTGTATGAAATCATTTTATTGTGTTTTAGATAAAAATATTTAACTTTTCTTAACAATAGTAGAGAATTGAGATGCCCTTAACACGTTTATGTTAGTCTTCGACTGGAATTATTGAGACATTTTTATTTCAGTTCAAACTGGTGCAAATGGTCCTTTTGAGGATAACCATCTCACTTTGTACAGTCAAAGTATTCCTTTTTTTGTACAACAGTAGTCAGCATGGTCCTGAACACGCATACTTGTCCAGAGTCTTTGATTAAACAACTTCTATTCCGGCTACTTGTTCAATACCATAAATATCCTGTAGCTGTAGGCAGGACCGAATGACTAGTGTGTGCATCCAGTAATACATACCAAATATATCCTGGTGATAAACAGCTCCCTGCTTTAGATGTGTATTTTTCGCTGACTACGTCAAGTGTACATTTACTAGCATTAAGTCCGCTAGCTGAATGCTAATCGCGTGCTAAAAATGTTTTTTCTGGTGGGTAGGTCAAGTGACGAACGAGTGTTGCTGTTGTGACGCCTGACAGACGACTGCCACTAAGTTGCCACTGAGCTGCCACTGAGATGCCACTGAGATGCCACTAAGTTGCCACCTTCAGGTGCCACTGAGGTCAGTGAGGTCCCACAGTCTTGACGTCTGACTGATGACAGGTGTCATATCAAGTCATGTATTTCTGGATTGGACTTTTTTGTGGGTTTTAATTTTAAAATAAATGGGCTTTTAAACGATAATGAAACGGTTGATTTATTTTCATTATTTTATCCTGTTGTAAATGTAAATGAGTGTATTTTGATTGCTTTTGTTGCAAAACCAGCTAAATCAAACTTTAAAAGAATGAATGAGATATCGAAAAGTACATTGTGAAAACTCAAAGACCCATAGGACCCCCCCCTCCCCCCATCCTCCAATAATGGGTGGACCTTCACTCCCAGAAGACTTCAGTTTGTATTTTACTATGCAAATACCTTTGCATCCACTGATGAATGCTGCTGCAGGAGACAAGGCTGCTCTGTCATGCTTAGGTCACTTCCTGACCTCTGTTGTCCAAATCAAACCAAGATGCAAAACTGGCTTCAGCAGCGTGCATGACTAACACTTTGTCACTCCAGCTTTCACGAGGAAAACGACAAGAGGCGACCGATAGCAAAACCAAACGCCTGTGAAATGTATTTTAAAAAGTAACAGCATCGGAACTTCTTAAAACGTTTTATATTTTAAAGGAAAGGGATGTAAACTAAATGCCTAGCCCACCTTGAACCACAATAAAAAAAAGAAATATCCAGTAATATTTGTAACATAATTAATGTTATCAGTAAGGTATTGCCTGCCTCCATGTCTCAGCTGGGCTGGGTGCCAGGGCCAAAAAGGGCAGGTGTAAGAAGAATTCCCGATTAAAGATATATATGAGTGACATACAATTTGGCCAACCTGCGTTCAAAAATAGATTCAACCTTGGGCTGCATTGTTGTTTGGCCCCAAGGCTGCACATTTGTCAGGGCTGGTCTCGCGAGGCGGCCTTCTAACAACATGGCGATGGCAAGTTGTATTCCCAACACAAACTCGGTAAAATCTCTCCTCCAAGACGCGTTTGAGGGAAGACCTGTGGTGGAGAAACTAAAGGTAAAACAGCTGGACTGAACGGGCAGCCGTGCATACGAAGCTTCTGTAGAGGCCACTAAGTTATGTTAAATTATGTTAATCTGTAAGGGAGGTGAACAATAGCGATGAAGGAGGACTCTAATGGGGATGTTATACTAAATTCCCCGTGTCGAAGGGTCTCTTTAATAACAGCAGTGGTATGCATTAATAATCTGATATTTCTTGTGATACATTAATTATGTTATATAATCTAAAACTAATTAACAACAACTAACGTTACTAGAAACTGTCTCATATTGACTGCTCATTCATTATAATTACTTTGGCCAACGCTAGATAAGCTAAGGGACTCATATATTTAATAAAATGCAACAGGAAATGCTGGGCATGGTTCCCCAAAAGGATCACATCTTGGATTTCCTCCAGTTTCTTCAAGGTTTGTCTCATATATCATTCATACATTTGTAAACATAAAAATGTAGTCACTCAAAAAGCTTACATAATCTGTATGATCATTTAATGAAATGTCTTTTTAATTTCTCTAAATATAGACATATTTGATGAGGTGATAGAGTCGGGGGTCCGAAACATCAAGATTGGACATCAGCAGTACCCAGCAACAGGGATGGTTACTTAATAAATATATCAAGATTTTATCTGAACATTCCTTTTCTTAATCGTATATGAAACTGAATGTTTAATTCCTTCGTGCACCAATTTTTGGACTTGTGGATTGTGTCAGATTAACCCCAGACGTCATTGCTGCCCCCCCCCCCCCCCCCCCCCCCACCCAGCATCACCAGCTTCCTCCATTTCACCAGATTCAACTATTATCCTCTCGTCCACAAATAACAGAAAAAGGGGCGTGGCAGAGCTGGATCGCAATATATGTAACCATATAAAAACATTATTTATTTTATCAGAACTTAATTAAACAAAGCCTAATGTCTAAAATACATTTTAATTTACTTAAGAGTGAAGATAATTGGGTGTTTTTTTTCTTTTGCAGAAGGTTGCTACTGTTCTGAGATCCAATCCAAAGGGTGAGGAAGAGAGAGAGCATGACAGAACTAAAACGCTGTCAGACGCAACACATTGACAATTGTCAATGGACCGTATTTCTGCTTAATGTTTTTCATATTTTGGATTCATTTGTATTTTAAATGTGTGTGCGTTTGTTTGTGCTTTTTTGCATATGCATACGTGTTTGCATGCGTGAGCAGGAACAATTCAATCATCCTGTACAAGTATAATGGCTTGACACACTACTTTGATGAACACTTGCCTGCTGTATAGAGGAGCCAAGTAATGAACGTGCTCTCATTTGTATTGACTAGCTGACATATGTTAAACCTTTTTGATCAATATTTAAATGTTACGTACTAAGTAATAGCAAGTCATTTTATTTATTTGGTATAGGATCTAGGATTTTTATTGATTGGCTTCTTTGATATGTTGGTATTCCACATGAAACACAAACATCTGCTGACAGCCAACATGCCAACAGTCTTGGAATCCTTCATCAAACAGCTGCTCTTTTAATGCATATCTGTTTGGACATCTACATCTGCAGTGAAGTGTTTTCTGTGGTGCCAAGTTATTTAAACTCTGTTGTACCCGTCTCTCTCTCTCTCTCTCTCCAGATGCCCAGTTTGTGCGGGTAGCGCCGCTGTCTGAAACTGATAACCCGGAAGATGATAAGGTCTATGTGTTTTTCACCGAGCGCGCTCAGGAGGCAGAAGGGGCTGCTGGGAAGGTGCTCTACTCCAGAGTGGCACGCGTGTGCAAGGTATGAAGCGCGTTTGTCAGAGAGAGATATAAAGGCCGGGTTGGTGTGTGTTTGTTTCACATCAGAGACTGTCTGTATGTAGCTTATGTAAACATGCGTTTGCCTTAACAGATAAAGTATGTACGTGCTGTTCAGTACGCGTGTCTGCGCCTGTTGAGTTGTGTGTTTACGTGAAAAGTGACTGCGTTTCTGAATTCTTTGAATTTGAAGTAGATTGTGTTCGTGAGTACGAGAGAATAGATGATGACCTACCTAAAGTAAACGAAAGTTGAAATTGTTTCTTTAAATTACTCTTTTTGTGTGTGTGTGTGTCTTACGTGAGTGAGCACAACGCACAAACTGTAAAATTAATCAGCCTCAACTACCTTTTTAAATCCATAGTTGAAGCTCTGCCACTGAATACTACAAAAAAGAGGGCTTGAGTTCAGATACTTAACTTCATTGTGTGTTTGTTTGTGTGTGATGGTCAAAAAGTTGGGACTTCTTTCTCAAATATTTTAAAATGTCTAATGACAGTTTGCTGACTTAATAAATTTAGTGTGAAGTGCTGGACTACAGGTCCAGGGGGTCTACGTGGCTCTACCATTACCAAGGTGATCAAGAGCCCTGTGGCTCACCTTGGGTTCGTCTTCGTTCCTTAGACATGGTTACCAAGGAAACTGGCCTCTACATGCACTTGCTGTGGTTTTATTCATTTTGAAGGATTTGCGCCATCGTCCTCTAGTTGGCTCTCGGAACTCGTTCCTGCAGATGATCTACTTTTGAGTGGAGAGACAATACTATTAATTAGGGGTGTCAACATAAACGCATTAATCACGATTAATGTGGCCGGATAAATGCAACAAATTATTTTAACGTAGTTAAGGTATGTTTGTTAAACAAAACAGCCGCTAGCTGCAGTCAGTTACATCAAGATGGACAGAGCTCTTTGCATTGGAAGTAAAACAAACGGAGGCGCAACACACAGCGGTGAGCTGTGCAGAGGAATTACTGCATGTGTCAAACAGAAGGAGGGTGAGGTTTACTTAAAAACTAAAGCCTGTCAGTGTGGATGTGCACGTACTGTGCAGGAGATCTGTGAGCACGTCTGCCCCCTGTAGGGAGACCTGAGGGTGGAGTGCACATGTTATCCAATGACATCCATTACATTTTACATGCGCCACTAGGTGGTGGTCTCATCACATCCTCTCAACACAAACAATTGATACAATTACGTGGATAAAACAACCATTTTATATGAAGTTTACAAAGGTTAGTTTTAGGGAGGAGATGAATAAAAGGACATAAACAAGAACAGAAAAAATGTAAAACTGAGAAACTGTTAAAAACATCAGAAGGACATCTGACAAAAAAATTAAACAAGTATGTGAAATGTAAAGATTAATCTTAAGTCTTCATGATCAGAAAATAAACATTTTAAAAACAAAAAAAGCTAAGAACTAAATGAATAAAAAATATAAGGGCATAAAAAAGTACAAGTTACAAATGTCCTTCCTAATTGATTTCAAAATATCATTTTGGAGAAGTAATTACATTGTAATTTTTTTAAATAAGAATATTTAGGTACAGTTCTAACTAGTATTTTAAAGTTGCTGTTCACTTTTTGAAAATGCTTTTTATGTTTGGGAGTTGAACAAAAACTGTCAAATGATTTCAGAACACTTTTCCTGAGATTACCACATGTTTTGTAATAAAAGTAGAGAGAAAAAACTTTGTTTGAGATCGTTGCTGTATTCTATTCAGTGTTCAGGGCTGTCATGTTGTCTTCGGAGAAGGGGTCACGCCAAGTGAGGAGCCATAATCCAAAGCCATCCGAGCCGTGTTTGCACAGAGAAGTGACCCACAGCAGCATTTAACTGCAGCCGCTGCAGATGCTGTAAACATAACCTGCTCATTGCCGTCTGATCACCTCAGCTGTCAATGTGGAATAGGTTATATGGTTTCCCCCTCACTGAATCTAGAATAGTATGATCTTTTATCAACACTTCAAAGTACAGGGTTGCCAACACCTTTTGGAGGAAGTAAAACACATCTTCCAATCTGTTCACCATCCTCGTGGTGTCTGAGAGTCGGTATTATTTAAGTCAATAAGGGCGAGATAGAAGATACTTAACATCTTCACCATCGGGAGATAAAACATTAATAATTCCGGTCCACGTCCAATTAAATGCAAACATTACGCAGTTGAAAATACTTTAAAATTACTTTGCTTGAGATTCGCAAGATGCATAGAGAACAATATCTGTAAAACAGTGAAAAAGGGCATCAAATGACTAATAAATGTCAAAAGGCTTGACGGCAAAGCTAAATGTAAGCTACGGATTTACAACTTGAAAATATCCTGAAAAGAATGTAGTAGTGAAAGGAGGAAAAAGAAAACGCTACAATTATGCCAAGTCCTTAGAAAACAGTTCCATATTTATTGCAAAATATTTTTGTACAGAATACAACTGAAAAAACATCAACAGAGGAGGAATGGACAATAAGGCCAACATCAGAACTCCGAGAGCTGAACTGTACAAACACCAATAGTAACATTTGCTGCTTTGTGTTTTTATACATAAATGTGTTTCCCGCCCTCACAGAGACCTCCTTCAGGGGAGTAAAAGAACTCAAACATTACCCCCTTTTTTCTAGAACATTATTGCCTTTGCCTCGAGTCCCATCGACTTAGGACACCAATGGACAATCCTTAAAAACGTGTCCCTTAATTAATAATGTCTCACAAAATATAAATATATATATACTTGTAAAAAGCTCTAAACAATATGGGACTGATATTAATTTGGAAGTGATCGTTGCGTCACTTTTCATCGCAAACATGAGTCGGTTCAACAGCTGAAGTCAGGAGGCAAACACCATCAGTTTAACTTCTAACATCAGGAACCGAGTGTGCGGAGATAACGCTTCTTATTTCCAACTAAATGCTCCAACTTCTGGTTCACTTCACACCGCTGGAATAGTTGATCCCTCACTAGAGCTCGGAGGGCTTTAGCATAATGAGTCTAGATAAATTTGGGCGTGCATGCCCATGCACATCCTCATGCGATTTGGCACAGATGTAGAAGTTCTTTCCTCAAATTAAAACTCGTGGTAGACACGTCTCAGTCCCTCCGGCTGCTTCTCTTACGTCTTTTTTCTTTACACATAAAAAAGAAAAAGAAAAAAAAAGAAGAAAGGCAGAGTGAGAACTGATACATTTTTCTTCCCCAACATTCAAATGTACATATTAAACATTGGCTTTCCCAAGATTTGGGATCTAATGAAGACAAAAAGAAAACGCCTGTCTCTGGAAGCTTATTATAGAAAATAAAAATTAAATAACAATTCAAATAGGTAGGATTATTTATTTTTTTTCATACGCAACAGCCCTTCAAGAAATCACACCAGCACGTTAGAAAGGATGAAGATGATCTACAATCCAGAAATCCAGAGGAGAAGGGGGCGTCTTTTGAAATGAAGGTAGACGCGAAAAAACATTTTCATGTTGTGCCTCTTCTGATTCTAGGTCTTAAAACGTATCCAGCGAATAAAGAAGGAAACATGAGTTATCGCTGGGACACGTACGCACGCACGCACGCGCACACGCACGCGCACACACACGCACACGCTTCAAGGACATTGTTTGACATTTTTGGGAGGAAAATGTCAGTTTCGTTGCTTCTTTAAACATTCTTTTTACTCATGACAGGGGAACTTTGAGGATTGATAAAGTGGATTAAGTCACTACTGCATACCTTTGTGAGCATTTCTTTCTGTAACCCTACAAAAAATGACCCGATACACTGAGTCTCTGTAGTAGTGGGTGTGTCGTGCATTGGGGGGGGGACTCTTTAGCCCGCTATGGATATCACAAGTGCTTTCAATGATTCGATACCCTGAGTAAAGGACATATGCTTGGGCTGAAGTTCAGTAGAAACAAAAACATTTTTGCCAAGCAAACATCAACCGAAAACAAAAGGACATTACCAAGTAATACCACCTTTCACACATAAATAAAAACCTGTACTGATCGCTACATTTAAAACCACAAATGTAACCAGAAAGAAATAAAACAACAACAACAAATCACCCATGACGGCACAGTCATTTTCAGCTTTACAATATGCATATACTCATGCATATATAGTGTGTATTTCCCCTTGCATACAGGCGAGTGGTCGGGGACTATATAGAGAGCTTTTAGTTATACCAACTCCCTCCGCAGAGACGAACACTGATTATTAAGAGATTGGTACAAATGAGAGCAAACGTAATTCACAGGACGGGCTGAAGGGCGAGAAGACGGGGGGCTGATTCTGCGCAGCCTTGTAAACAGAGGAGGCCAGACAGCCAGAGAGGATGATGGGTAACAGAAATCCACCTAAAGCAGCGAAAGGTGGGAAAGATTACAAGAGGTGGAGGCTGGGCGGGGGAAAGAAGAGGTGGGGCACCTTCTCCCGGAGTATTCAAAGAGGCAGCATCGCCTCCCAGCGTCGCCCGGCCGGCTTCCCGTCGGGCGCGGCAGTTCGGACGCCAAAAAATAAAAAAAGGAAGTTCTTCGACGCGTTCCCGCCCGCGCTGCACTTGTTTGATGGGGGAGGGAGGGCGTGGGGATTAGCAGGTGTAGGTCGGCCCAATCTTCTTTCCCGACCCCCCCCCCCCCGAACATCCTCTTTGGGTGGTTCAAGCGCCGCGGTGACCGAGGCGCTCAGACAAACAGCTGGATGCGCTCGCGGATGGTCTGCCGGCAGATGGGGCAGGTCTTGAGCGCGGCGCTGCAGTCGATGCAGGAGGCGTGTCCGCACTGGAAGACCAGCTTGATGTGGTTGTCGATGCAGATGGGGCAGGTGATGCGCTCCTCCATCTGCCGGTAGCGAGACTGTAGCTGCTCCAGCAGGTTGTGCTGCTCAGAGTTCTCGGTGCCGGGGCTGCAGTCCACCTCGGTTTGGTCTGTGGAAGAGGTGGTGGGGGGGGCGTCAACATGGATGATGTCAGAGCAGTGAGGAACTGAGTAAACAGACATAGGCAGGTTATTGCTTCCTGATGCGTGTCAAATGTATGAAAGCTGTGCAGGAAGTCCTACTGTGTTAGAAATAATAAAGCTTTATTTTACAGCAACCTCACCAGCACATCACTGTTTCAAGGAGTTATTTTCTCCTGTTTTGTCTGTAAATGTTGCATTATAGAGAACGGTCCTACTGGCATGTCACAGATGACAACAACTAGAGGTTTATTCTTACCTTGTCGGATTTTCTTGGTGATTGTGACTTGGCATTTGATGCATTTCTTCATTCGATGGGCACACTCTGTTTGAACAAGAACCGGGTCAGAGTAGAACACAAAAGACAAAAAATTCCCAGACAGCAGAAAGAATCCGCTACGTCTTTTAACACCCCAAATAGAAAGCCATCGGCTTCCTCATCGACGTTTGCCATCGCAGAGCCCGCCTCCGCCTCCAGTCTCCACCCACCTTCGCAGGCCACGCTGTGCTGGCAGGGGCTGAAGAGAACCAGCAGCGCCAGCTCGGAGCAGATGAGGCATTCGCTGGGCCCCGGCGGCGTGGGAAGAACCAGGTTGGTCATGGTGTTTGGCGTGGTGTGGACACGCCGCAGGCTGGCGCTGCTCAGGCCCTGCCCACATGTGATGGCCTGCAGCCGCTGCAACCTGACGGGCAAAACGCAGATGTTCACAAAACACTTCATAGTTAAATATTTAGTTCATTTCAAGTAAATAGCCATAACAATCTCCTCTTCGGTTTAGCAAGCCAGCATATTGAGCATTATTACCCAAATGTCCGCAGTGCTTTTAAAAAACACGTACCTGTGTTTCTCAGAGAAGCTCTTGATGAGCTGCAGCATGCCGCTGTCCGCCACCAGGTCCAGGGGGCTCTTTCCCTTGTGGTTGGCGTAGCTGACGTCAGCCCCTTCCTGCGCGAGGAAACAAGCGATGGCCGAGCCGACGCTCAGCTCCGTGCTCCCCAGAAGACCCGTAGCGCTCAGCTGTGGACACACGCGATGGCGACGGGAGAAGGGGACGGAAAAGACAAGAGGAAGAGAGAATAAGTTGCAAAAGCGACTTTGAGGCGGACCTCTATATTCCCCCTCAGGCTAGAGGACTGACCTTGTGGTACAGAGGAATACTTTGAAGAACATTTGCGTCAGGGACACAGCTGATAGTGAATAACAATGGAAATGTTTATAAAAACCAGGGCTATCCTGCCAAGACTGATTCAGCAAATCTAATCAGCACTGGAGATCTCCCCCCAATAAGTCTTCTGCTGACGTTGTTCAAAACAGCCCTGAGCACTGAAGCCTGGCCACCTCTATGGGTGGGAGTGGATGCCTGTGTGTGTGTGTTGGCTTGGCAGGGCTCCAGGATGTTGAGTGGAGCTGCAGTGTTTGCGGTCATGTAGACTGAAAAGGACATTCGTCATTGGGGCAATTAACAGAAACTAATAGAACAGTCTCATAAAAAAAAGGGCTGAGCAAGCAAGGTCTCTCAATGAGGAACTAAACTAGACTCAGACTATCAATACACGGTGTACAAAGCCGCTATTAATTAACTACTGAGAATCACCTCCTCACTCTGCAGCAGCCGCCTGCCCTATGGTTTATGACCCACAGCTTTACAATGAAGAATCCTACATATTTAGCCGCTAAACCCAATACAATGCCTCGCATTGTATTGGGTTGAGTATTCATCCCCCTTGGACTGTTCTACTTTTGCTGGGGTAGATATTTGAATCCGTGGTTATACCCTGACAAAAATGTATTTCATTGGTATGTAATGGACCAACACCCTCTTTACTGTAAAACCACTAACAAAGTTCTTGTGCGACCAATTGTCTTTTTTAGTTTAATTTAATTGATTAATTAAATTTAGTAAATAGGGTCCATCTGTCATCCACATTATCTCAGTATGAATACACCAAACAGCTCGGGGATAAAGCTGTAGTATGAAGCAGGGTTAGGTGATTAAAAATATCTGGAACTTTTTGGCCTCAGTGCAAAACGCTGAGTGGAGGAAACCCAACACCGCTGCTCACCCTGAGCACACCGTCCCAACAGGGAGACGCGGTGCAGGAAACATCAGGCTGATGGGGTTCAACCCCCAGCCGGACAACGACCCTGAACATACAGCCAGAGCCACGACTGAATGGTTCAGACCAAAGCATGTTAATGTTTTAAAATGGCCCAGACCTCAATCAAATTGATAATCTACGGCAATATTTGAAAATTACTGTTCAGACGCTACATCCAATGTGACTGGGCTTCAGCTTTTGTTCCAAGAATGGATGAACATTTCCATCTCTAGACGTGCGAAGCTGGTGGAGACATGTACAAAAACTAATTGCAGCGAAAGGGGGTTCTACCAAGCATTGCACAGATTTGTTTGTTCTCATTATTGTTTGTGTCACCATAAAAAAAAAGAAGGTATTTTGCACCTTCAGAGAAAAAAACAAATGGTTTCATTCTGGTTTAATGTGAGGAAACTGGAGGGAATAATCGCACGCGCCGTTCAGTCGAGGCCTCGTTGAGCTTTGTGTCATCTTTGCTATGGAGTGCGGCGGTGATGCACGGGACGCCCCTCCCCCGCAGAGTGATTTAACGGGGGAAAAATTATATTCAAAATGTCAAAGTGTCACATTGGGGTTAGACGTACTAGAGGGGGGCCTCGGGATTCTGTCAGTTATTTAAGGCTGAGCATTAATAATACCGCATCCTTCTAACGTAGCTTTCGACATTCAAGTTGAAGAAACGCTCCAGGGAAAAAAAAAATCATATGGTGTGTTTACGCCTTACACAGTCCTCCTGAATTTATCACAGACATTTTAACTAGAGCTTTGTCTCTTCTTCCCTTCTCAACCCTTCAGCACTTCCTCTTTCCCTTTAGTTACACCATCGCTCTTGGTCTCTTTGCCAGGACTCGCTGTTAAAACCGCGATAAGAGATTTAGAGATTTATCTTTCTTCCTTGCCAAGAAAATAAAGCCGCACAGTGGGGCCTTATAATCTTCAATCAATTTGGTTATTAAGGTGTTCGGATTTTTTCAATTGTCAACAAGTTGTTGCTTTGAGTTGTACGCTTCCTATTGGACGTGTCTCTCCCGCCCGGTTTACACATTAAAGTCCTTTCTCCTCGGTTGCACCACACTCATTTTCCCTCCTCTTACCCATTGATCCCCTCATTTAACTGGCAAAGTCCACTAACCCTTTTATCTTAAATCAACCGCTCAGACTGTAACAAAAAACTTGGCCTTCTTTTCATTTGTTTTTGTTTACCATTCCCTCCCTGCTTCAATGTTGAGAGAGATCTCAGCCCCTAAGCCTTTATTTACCCAGCTCTGAGTCTGTTTGTTACTTCTTAAGACTGCATTAATCCTTTTGTCCCTCCTTTAGTCCTAATCCACCCCCCACGTTGTGTCCGTTTATCCCTCATTCCTTCTATATTTATACCTCTTTGAATGTTTTTTTTGTGTACGTCGTTGGTTCTTTATCGGTTGTTTCACCAGCAACCGTCGCTTCTGTTTGAATTTGCACCCAAGTATTTAGCCCTTGGTGCACTTATCTTCCCTGTGTTTGCATATTCTAAAAATGATGGGATTAGTTCCCTTCAGTTCATTCAATCCCAACAACACCCACAATTTAGTGATCAGCTGCTGAAGTCCCAGTGGAACAACTACCAACAACACGGAGACAACGGGTCACCTCCCCGTCGGTCCTCACCCGGCAGTAGAGCGATGTGGAGGAGCAACCTTCGCTGCTCTCCTCGGGGGTGCTGCTGGTCCCCGTGGCGGGGCCGAGCATGACGTTGGCCAGCTGCGGGCGGAGGAGGGCCACGTGCATGGCCGTGTCCCCGTCCTCGTCCTCCATGTTGACGTCGGCGCCCTCGGACACCAGCAGCTGCACCAGGTCAGTGTGGCCCTGCGTGACCGCCAGCTGCAGCGGCGTCTGGTTCCGGTTGTTGCGGATGTTGATGTCGCAGCGTCCCTGTGGGGGGGAGACAGGTGAATCAGACGTCTAAAGCGGTTTTTGGTTAAAGCCCTTGCGCTCCCGTCTCCAGCTCACCTCCTTGACGAGGATCTCGGCGACGTCCCGGTGGTTGTTCAGGGAGGCCAGGTGCAGCGCAGAGAAGCCGTCCTCCTTCTTCACGTCCGCCAGCTGCCGCGCTCTGGCCAGGATCTTCTCCGTGGCCCTGCGGACACCGACAGACAACACACCAGTCGATTAGGGAGAGTGCACCGGGCTCGACAGGCCGCTGAATGATACAGGTACCAGAAAGAACTACCTGGTGCCCAGTGGGAATACAAAAGATTCTGCTATTGGATGTGGAGCTGAATAAGAGTATCCCCAGATTAAATATACTGCAACGCATCCTATCCAAGAAGTCCCTTCCATACACGTATGTGCTGCATACATCAGACACAGCATGTCCAACAGCAGCCCTGCGTCTGTATAGACCTCTCAGAAGAGGCTTGCGTCATCTTGTGCCACACCTGGATTGACAGCAGCTCGGACGGAGATGCAGCTGTAGAGGTGTTAACAAGCCGATATAACAGGAACGCACAGGCGGCCAATTCTCAATCGACACCCATCCAACTGTCCTGATGTACAGCGAACCCTTTCTTTAATACCCCCTTACGTGAAGGTAGACGTAAGTCGTTCCCACCATCGTCCCATTAAGCATCACACCAGTTTGCTTTAATACGGATGGAATATCGTGAAAGATTTGAGCCGTCCTCCTTTTTGTCATGTGCCTTAGTTTTGGCAGATAACAGCGTGTCATCTTTGACATGAGGAGTTTTCCGGTAAATGACACCACATCCAGTGAAGTGAGACTATTACAACTTTAGCTCTTTCTGCGTGTGCGCAGTGATTCACGCGGCGGGCTGATGCTGCACCGCCGTCTCGTTCCCTTGCTCTGCCGCCGGGTCTGCTTCATGGCGTGTGAAATTGAAGCCTTCAGCCTCAGCGAGTCGCCGGGAAGCTGGCGGGCCACCGTGCCAGCTCTGCTGCCATGTGACCCAACCTTTGCTTTCTGGATGCTGGACTGACAGACGACACTCGGATGAGATGCTCATTGCTTCCAGCGAAACACTCACTTTTTGGACTCTCATCACTCAACAGACTGACTCCCTGTTATCCCTTATTAATAAGAAAAAACTAACTAATCCAACTTGAGCATTGGGTAACCAGTAATGTGTACAATCTTCTTCAAACCATCCAGCAATAAAAAGGACAAAAAAAAAAAAGTTAAAAAACAAACCCGTGTAACACATAGAATAAGTAGTCAAAACGAACTATTGGTTTATTTTTTTTATCTTTTATGTATTTTATTTTAAAAGTGATTCAGGGTCAAATCTCACATCCCCAACAAGGCAACTCAATATCCCCAATTTGCAACTGTGCTTCCATTAGTATGTACTGTGAAACTTTCATTCTACCTGAAATACAACTATTTATCTCTCTCAATAAAAACTGTTTTTGTGACTCAACGACGGATGCACCGATAAGAGCCATTTCTGCTCATCAGCACCCCAATTCTCTTAAACCAAATGCATCCGGGTGGTGTCATCGTCTTTATTATACACTGCATACATGCTCCCAAAACCACACGGGGGAACATGAACATTTTTTCCATCAGTGTAAAAAGGTGCGGTTTTAATGCTTTTTAAAATTATGATAACCAACAAATTATTAAATTCACACGCTCATTAGCAGCAGATGGCTGATTTATTTAAAAAGCACTGCCGGGGGCCCGAACGCCGGGAGAACAGGCTGCTCTGATGCGCGTATGGTCGGCTTCTCCTCTGGCTTTATTACTAAGGTTAAAGGCTGTTAGAGGGGGGGACATTGTGTTGGAGGTTATTTGTACCTGCAATGCAGCTCCGTGGGCGTGTGTTTAAATGTGTCATTGTGTGTGTGTATGTATGTATGTATGTATGTATGTATAGGTATTGATGGAGGGCGATATAATTTCTGCATTGAGTCTTCTCCAGAGCGCCATCGATTGGATACACAGCTCACCCTCGCAGGGCGACACGGACGTGTCAGTTGCGTTCGCTTTGCACCCACCAAGCCTCATTCCCCTGCGTTATTTCCATAATCCTCACCGCTGTGTGTGTGTGTGTGTGTGTTCATGAATATTCAGACTCGGGGCGGTTTTGCACAAAAACACGCTTTCACAAACGACAGCTAGAGGGCATCTCGGGGACGCTGCTAACAACTTTTCTGGAGAGCGGATTCATCATTTGGTTATTTTTGGAGGTTTGCGTAATGCTTGTGTGCAACTTGCTCCTGGATCAAAGCTTGATAAAAGCTGGGGAAATGTACCGTGACGAGAGACGCTTCTTCGACTTGAGAGCATTTTACGGATAACTATAGCAGTGAGAGGAAGTATGCTGGGAAATCCATGTCAGTCTTTGTCAGTTGATTATAAAAAGACACAATGTAACGCTGGATAAGGAGTAACTAGGAACCATTAGGGGAAAACAAGGGGAATCAAAGAAGCCGCAAAGAAATGTGATAAGAGGAAAAGATGGAGAAATCCAGTACGTGAAAACAGACTGACCACCCGATCCCCAGCTATCCATTTAACTCGTCTGTCAAGATGAAAACTCCAGAGGAAGTCTGGCTGCTTGCCTTGTTTCTTTCTTTCCCAAGACTGTGTGAACTTGGCCTCTGGCCTTCTTTTTCCATTTCCTCACAATAAATAAATAGGCCAATAAACACAACTTTCCCATCTTTCCGTCACAAAACGAAACCAAGAGCAACAGCTGCATCACGCAAACAGAAAACTACTTCAAATGGATGATCTTTACTTTCAAAGCGGAGGAAAGAAAGTCTCCACTCGTCTCCTGGCTAACTGGAGGCACATTCTTTTCAATGTACTCCAAAAAGACAAATTCCTCCGCACATTCAAACTGCACACTGCAATTTCAAATTCTAGAGCAAACAGTAAAAACCTGCAGCGAACACACATCACCTGTGCTGTCCAAACGCACCGCAGGCCTGCTGATGATATATGACTGGACCGCTAGACCGAGCCAACCCTGAACACCGTAAATCCTGCGTCTCTGCTCCCGGCGAAGCGGCCGACGTCACGCTGACTGAATGCTGGGGAGCGCATCATAAACTCACAGCACTGCACATATGACACTTGCCTGAACAGATTGGACATTTATTAAATGACGTCTAGTGCAGCGTCCGCTTCCGTTCTTTTTCTTTTCTGGATTTCTGTTGCTGTTTTTTTCTTTATCCCTGCTTTGTTTACATTTGTTTGCATAGTTTCTGAGGTTAGATCTTTAGTAGGACCATTTTCAAGGTGTGCACAATGGCAGCTTGGAGCGGGCTGGTTGTTGGGAGTGATGGACAAATGTGGCTCACATGGAGGTGACGTTTGCCGGGGCAGAATCTAGCACCTCAAAAGCTGTCCTATGGCGGGATAAATAGATTGACTTTTGGTTATTTTGCTGGTTTAGTACTTAAGTAGCATAAGTAGATGGTGGAAAGGCTGCAGGCAAATATCCAGAGAACCATGCTGTGGCGATCTGCTCACAGCCTGAAAGTCTTTACTAATGACATTAACAGGGCTTCCACTCCTTGGAATCAACATTTCAACAATCTAACAACATGCACCAAATGCACAACAAATCTCTAAGTGAAACAATGAAGGATGGACATGTAAGGGGCTACTGGTGTTTGTCATTCCTGCCTTCTTGCTCTCACGGCTCCTCTTCTAAAAAATAAAAAAAAGGTTTAAATGGACAATTTCCCATTGCATGGTTTTGTTATAATTTTGGATGGAAAGTTCATATGAGGCTGTAAAAGCCCCGGAGCAAAGAAGCAGAGACTCATCGTGGCAGCGTGACAAATTCCACCTCTGTGTGGTCACAGGGGCCTGTGAGGAGACCAACTGTCCTATTTACCATTTAACGCAAAGAAAACACCCGGCAAGGGGGTTTTCAAAGCACTTTATTGTAATGAATCGATTGCACTGCTGAAAATAGCAAGAAAAATAATAGTATGAAATGGAACTGAATAATTTGACAGCTTCAATGATCTAAGGTCAGTCGCAGCAATGCATGCATTCCATCTGCACAACGTAGAGAGTCTATAAATACCACATCGAAAGGACAAACTGCACAACTGTTGCGATTGGTTTGAGTCATTGGATGAAATTTTTTTTATAAATCACATAATTTGTATTACGTAATATTTAGATTATCAATGAATCGATGCCGCTGCTGAGAACTTTCAGTTTGTTCTTCTTGGACTGTGTGGGATGCAACGTGGACGGAGGCCAACACGGACACACCAAAGGAGGAGCCAGACAGAATGTTGTTTTGTGAAGAAGGAAACCTTATCGTTGTGGGAACTTTCAGTTATGTGTGACGTCAATGCTAAGCTTGTGATTGAGCAGCTCCAGTGCTAACAAGCCCCAAAAAATAACAGTCAGTAGACAATGGAGCCTTTCTGACAGGTGTCAGAGAGGCCGCTTTGATGTTTGGCCTCAAGCTCCGCATTGTGGAGGAAAATAGCTGAGCTCATCTATCAGCAGCTCGCTGCTGGTGTCATTTTAGGGTGTATTCGGAAAATACAAATGTGTTTCACGTCACGCTCTCAATAAGCTCTGTGTGACACAAGCAGTGACACAAGCAGTGACACAAGCCCTCTCGCCGAGTGAGGAAAGCGTTCACGGCCGCTGTGATGAGCAGCTCTTTCCTGGGGTCTGATCTGGTAAACTGTTCGGATCTGTTTGGGGGGGAAAAAATATTTTAAAAAAGATCCAATCATGAACCCCTGGTTCTGCATTGCTGAAAGATGACTTCCCTGAACGCACTTTGGGACAGATTTGGAGGAAAAGTCGATGTGTGGCGAGCCAGGGCGCAAAAGCAAATGTTGCATTTTTGCCTGATATCGACTAGCAGCCTGCTGACAGCAGCAAAAGCTGCGTGGGAGATGAGCTCTCCATCTGTAACGCATAGCGTTGAGTCGACCCGCGAGTCCTCATCTGAACACACGCTCATAAACCATCATTTCCCAGGCACATACGTGCATTAAAGTGGCCGAGACAGAGCAAACTGAAAGAACAGAACACTCTACAGGGACTTTTGACAAGCAGTTAGATTCATCTGGCGCACATACGCTCGATGGCAAGCTAGATCTTGGGAGTATACGTCCAGTAAACATGGCTGTCATGTCATGGCTGTGACTCAAATGCTGGGAGACGGTTTTGTGTGGATAGAAAACATGTTGGAAATTGTGGTTCTCTCACTGAACCTGCTCAGAAATATTTTAAAATGGGACCAATCCAATACTGATCCGTTCCTCCTTTCACCATTATTAACCATTACCTAGTTATGCAGACGCATATGGCTGGTTAGTGAGCCATTCGTGAAAAATACGGCCCCAAGAAAATCCCAACCGGTTCTCTTGAAATAGTCAAAAAAACGTGTTTCATAGCTAACGTCAATATTATAAGTGTGGCGCTTAAGTCACAACCAAGCTTTGTAAGGAGGCAATTCATGCTCATTTTAAGACTTATAATTGAAAAATTGACATGCGTTGATGTTGAAAAAAGCTCATCATTTGTCTTAAATTGTCTGTGTAAATGTCTTTTCTCTCAAACCTTTAATCTTAGCGCCGTTTTTTTTTAAGCCCCAAAAAAACACGAGTTGTTCCTCTGCGGCGATTGGGGTTCACTAAACATGCCAAGACCGACACATTAATGTGTCAACACCGCATATTCATAATTTGTCTCTCGCTCTCTACTCACAGTTTGTTCCCTTTGAGGGCAGCGTGGTGCAGCAGGTTGAAGCCTCTGTGGTTCTGCTGTGTGAAGTCGATGTTCGGCACCAAGACCAAGATCTCGATGATATTTCGGAAATCTTTAGCAATGGCGTCATGGAGCGGCGTGTCCCCATATGAATCCTGATTGGGGGAGAACATTTTAGTTTTTGTTTTGCAAGTAAAGCAGTTGCATTATTACAATTATTGTTGTAACCAATATTATTATCACTAAATACTGAAAACTAGACTGTATACTCATTTTGCATCTTCATTAATGTGAAGGATGCTTGAGTACATTCCGTTTCTCTAAAAGGCACAAACTCAAACACTCTGGACTGCTGCTGCACCACGTTTTGTACGGCGTATGACACCACTCAAGCAGAAAAACAATGTTGTTACTGGATTCGGGGCCTGGTTACAGGCTTGTTAGACAGTCCGGAAAATGCCTTAAAAAAGGCACACAAAACTGCTTTATTGAGTATGAGGGCTGAAAGGAAGCAGAGTGACATGCTAACATCATGCATGGTCGCATTTGTTTGAGTTTGCCATTCAAATAGAAATATTAAGTTAAAAACACATATTTGGGATAAAACAAATATAACTGGATATTTAAAACACAGACGTTTATTTCATTTACAATGTTTTTATTTTCTGAACAAAAAGTATTTAGGTATAACTGTAGGAAAAATCAACGCTTCTGACGCTACTTAGCGTGTATATCATTAAAGTGTGACGGGTTATCACTTCATACAAGAGAAAGATGTGAGTGAACATGAAAGCATAACTGGCTCATCCTTTCACGTTAACGCAGTAACGCCACTTGAACTACACCGGAATTAAACTGCGTTTTGTGGGGCGCTAAATGCCAATATGCTGGTATTAGATATTCAAGGCCTCCTCACCTGGAGATTGACGTCAGCCGAATGTTCGGTCAGCACTCGCACCACGTCGGTGAACCCCTTGTTGACGGCGATGTGGAGCGCCGTGCACATGGAGTTGTTCAGGAGGTTGACATTTGCACCCTTGCTCAGCAGCAGCCTTGTGATCTCTGCCTGATTACTAAACCCGGAAGACACAATTGAGAGAAAAAAATATGCGTATGCAGATTAATCCCCACTGTCATCCATTGGAGTTCAGTGATTCTACGTGTCTGAACAGTGCTTTCTATTTATTTAATTCAAACCTGCTTAGAGCTACTCGGAGCTTAAGGGTTTGAACGCTAAATCCCACAAATAACATTTCCAAATGCTGCCATTTTGTTTACATGCTGTACCACTGCTGCAAGACAACTTGACAACACGTGTAAAATCCCCAAGAGACGTCCTGAGCATGTGTGAATGTGGTGAGAGGAGGAGAAATAGCTGAGTGATTAGGGCAGCACTTAATGCTGTTCCTTCTGTGAATGGATTATCACATTACAAGGAAGGACAGGGAGGAGCTCTACTGTACATCTGTCAGTCTCCTTTCTAAATCCTCAAGGAGCAGAGCTGCAACTTGTGTGTGTGTGTGTGTGTGTGGGACCGTAGTTGATCGTGTGAAGGAAAAGAATGTGTGTGTATCCTCACCCAAAAGCAGTGTAGTGCAATGCGGTGTCTCCATCTTCGTCCTTGACCTCGATGGAGCTGTTGGCCTGCAGCAGGGCCTTCACCACCTCCATGTGGCCTTGGTGGGCAGCAACCTGCAGAGCCGTTTTGCCCTGGTTTTTAATATCAACCTGTCCGGGACACAGCCGGGGTTTGAAGATTCATTAGAGGCGACGGCAGCGCAGACACGGACAGAGCTGAGCATAAGACTGGCTGGAAATAATCTGGGCAAGAGTGACAACCACGTTTGTCATACACTCGACACATAATCCCGATAAGCCTGGTAGAAATGGAGCCGTGTAGAAACGTAACAAAACAACGACTTCAAATGTGCTTTTATTTGATTGGGCAACACATTACGTCTCTCAATCATTTTAAGAATCAAACACCTCTACATTTAAACTTATACGTCATAAGTTATATAGAAAGGCATTTATTTACATTTACATTAGGTCAATGTAATTAGGTAATAAGTACATTGTGTGTAAGGACGTTTGAAATGTGATAGATTAATATATATACACACACACACACACACACACACACATATATAAATACACGCTCATTCTCTTGCTCCCCCAACTTTGTTTTTTTAATAAATCAGTCTTGAGCGTCTAAACACTCTAACGCAATTATAAGAATCAGTTTGATCAATTATTAACTATTATATCTGATATTTGGCTATGCATTTCATTTTTGACATTTCTCTCTATTATATTATATACTACTACTGTATTATATAGAATAGAATACACAATCTATATCTAGATATATATGAAACTTTTTTGTGAGTGAAAATATTTTAATACGAGAGTCTGACATTCCCAACAGCAAGAAGAGCAGCTTAGCGTCTCAGCCATGTGTGTTACACATACAGTACTATAATAACAGATTAAAAAGTGCGGTGGGAAGATCTGGATTCTAGAGAAGTCTAGAGTCGCTTCATCAAACAGACAAGTGGCAAATGTCGATGTACAGCGAGCCCTTGCCCTATGTGGTTCATCTATTCAACTTGGCCCTACATTCCCCAGCCCTGGTGTCCTGATGGAAAAGGTCTCTCTGAACGGGCCGTGGCCCGCAGCAAAGAGAAGGAGTGCAGCACCAACCTTGTCGGGATACTTCAGCACCAACTCTCGCACTTTGCTGGCACTGCCGTGTGCGGCCTCGATGACCAGCCGGCTGGGATTGTCCTGCTCTGTGGACTGAGACAGCAGCTTCTCCAACACCGAGATGACGGTACCTGAACAGAAACACAGGCGGATGGAGAGCAAGGTGAAGGGAGAAGGAGAAGGTTGTGAAAAGGGGACAGACAAGAGAGATAAAAAAAAAGGTGTAATTCATCTACATTGGTCCACTGTGAACAACATTAGGTACCCTTTCAGAGGGCTAAAATAGCACCAGCACCGACTGCAAACTGCACCTCCCTGCAGTGCACAAACATTTGCACACACGCACATCGCTCTGTTGTCAAGCTCCACTGAGGTGAACACATGCAGGGAACAGATTAAGACATGATTAGAAGACGGCTGGGAACTTCGGACATGATGAGAAAAGGCGGCTGTGCTGCCGAAGCCTCTCGCTGTCAACATGCAGGATCACGACATGAAATGGAGAAGAACATTTGGACAAGCGACATCCCCCGTAAACACAGACTGCTGGGGAAAAAAAAAAGGACAAACAGGAAAGGAACGGGACTGTGGACGCGTTTTCCACCGATGCAACCTGCATGCTCAGGCAGAGCTGCAATGAGGGTGAATGAATGCACGCAGAAGGTAAAGCTGGAGCTGGAGTGTCAAGAGATGGGCCCCGTCGTCTCGGCTTACTTCCAGATTCGTTGGGGTTCTCGGCTGTCATGAGGTTGGCGTCCACCTCCACGGTCTGAGCCGAGAGGCACGCTGGGTTGAACGTCCACGTCTGTCCTCCGAACGCCACCCGCAGGTCGCCGTCCGCATATACTTTCAACACCTTCCCGGCCTGGCCAAGCACCTAGGAGAGCAACGGTAAGTCAGGTGGATGTGGCTCGCTTCGGGGGCAGAAGGGGGGCGGCCTTTCAGCTCGTTTAGAAACAAGGGACAAGGTCGACGTGGATAAAAAGGAACAAAGAGTGGGGAAACTAATCCAGCTGGAACTATTCATGGCTCCGGTAAATCACCAGACCGCCCTTGAGGAAGCGCCGCTGAACTTGATTACATCCTGATGTACACCCAGTTATCGGGAAGTACGTCACTCGTAATTCAGAGGGTTGTCTGCCAAATGAGGCTTTACTTGTGACACGGTTAACATCGAGCACACAGAGGGGAGAGGGGGGGGGGGGGGGTCTGAATACACAGGTGAGACAAAATAACTGATTTGAAAGTCTCATTCACGAAAGTCTTTTCTGATTTTGTCATCATGACCTCAGGTCAAAGTCATGTGCCCCGAGTCCGCACCTCTGCCACCATCTCGCATGAACCAAGCCTCCATAACCAACATTGACACATCATGAAGCGTTAAGTGCTATCAGGCTACAATCTATTATGAGGCTGAATGAGCATACAGGAGCCATGCTGTCTGTCCACTCTCCATGGCCAGCCTGCAGTCTCTTCACACTCTCGATGTCCTCCAATACTCTGACTAGTTCGCCAACTCCAAAAGTGTTCACCTAGTGGAAAGAGAGATGGACAAACTTAATGAAATGTTCAAATTGGCTGGAAAAAAAAAAAAAAAAAAAAAAAGGAAAAACTGATGATCCCGGCACAGTCCTCTGAAGCACATCAGATCCCGCTGTAAGACCCTCTGGCTCTCAGTACCTTGGTGAGGGCCCCAGGATGGAAAGTCCAGCGGATGTTGTTGCTGTACTGGACTCTGACATCTCCCCGGTCAGTGATTCTATGTACAGTCCCGATCCGGCAAATGTACTGCGAACACAAACAGGCCGTTTCACCCAGGGTCTCCCGCTGCACGGCTGTGACCTTAATGTTCCCTTCAGCAGCTGTGATTTGAGAATTGGACGCTCTGTTTCCTTTCACTCTGTCGCGCGCCGGCATCCATCTGAGCCACTTATATAAATAATATGAAAGCAGAGGTCATGGGGCACACGTGTTGTGACTATGAGGACATGCGTGTCTCAAACATAAGAGAGTTCATTATAACCTCACTCTGTACTTCTGCATTACAGACAAACCCAGCAGGAAGTTATGTAAAGCAGTCTATGGTTAATACGTTTGGAATTGTGTGCAATACCTCGGCCATTTTGGGGTTCCACCCTCCGTGGCCCTCCTGCATCTGTCGCAGGATCTCCACCTCCAGGAGACATTTGACCTTGTCGCCCTGCTGGAACGAGTGGCCGTCAGCACTCTCCTGGCGCTGCAGCTCGGCATGCTCTCCTGGACGGGTGATAGGTTGGAGACTCGGGTGAGTTTTTTTAGTTTTATTTTTTTTTAAGTTGTCATGTCTAGGTTTTCTAATTATATTTATATTTACATTTACAGAGTTGTAATGTTCTAAAAATGTCTCGCAAAAATAAAACAAAACATACTTATATGTCACACAAACTGGCATCAAAATATGTTTTGGATTAACAAAGTACTAAGCGGAGGGCTGACCTCCGCTTATCAGTAAGATGTGACATGATAGACTCGTTTTAAGTTATTCGTCAAAGTCAATATTTGTAGAATATACTGTTGACTCCAAAAGTTAGTTTAATACAACAGAGAGAGAAGTGCCTTAGAATGAGGAGCAGCTCTGCCTTACCGAGCTTCGGCAGGTGGTCTTTGTAGTAGAAGCCTCCTTGGCCGTCGGACACGTATTTGAGGTCGACCTTGCCCTTGTGGCCCATTCGGTAGACGTTGGTGGTGCCGTTGGACCAGGTGACGCTGGCCACGCTGCGACCGGACTCCGTGTCCCAGCCCCGTATGTCCACTACCTTCCCAACCTTACCCTCCCCGCCTACACAGAAGAACGCACACATACAAACAAGAATATTCGAGAAGAAATAAGGCATCACTGTGTGAGAAATGAAGGCAGTCAAATCAAATGAATCTCACTAAAAAGAGAAAAGTTGTTAGATAAAGATTGGGAGGAAAACATGCGAACAACAGAGGGCACAAGTGATCAAGTTTGACAAGCACAACAAGAACACATGAGAGAAATGAGATGACCGACACAAAGGTGTGGAAGGAACATTTCGCCCTGCAGAGACATAAACCGAGTATCAGTCACCATTAAACAATCAAACATGTCACCATCAAGTCACCAGGCCGGCTCACTGCCAATCAGCACCAGCTGAAGCAGAGACTCTGCGGACTGGCGGGCCGGGGGTGTCTGAGCTTCCTGCCTGTGCTTATCCCATCCAGCACTTAAGCCTGATGAGTAACTTAACTGAACCTCAGGGCTTTGATTCCAAAGACACCAAAAAGGACATTTTGACTCATTCGCTTTAGTCCAGTAAAAGGGAGCCTTGCTATTCTCTGAGACGCCGATTACAATTGCGTTCTCTCTTTCCCTAAAAGGGACATTCAAGAGCCCAAATTTAGCCTGCTCAGAGAGAGTACAGTTTTGTTCTAAACAGCGACAAGGTTGCTCACATAATGTAAAACTGCAGATTATTAGTGGAAGCCACGAAAACGCAACACTTGCAACATGCAAATTATTTAAGTGGAGGGGCGTCTCAGTATATGAAACTACACGAGGCCGGAGAAAGAAAAACGTCAGTAAACACAGGCACATGTGTGGAACAGACTCAGATGAGTCAGTGGCAACATAAATGCACACAGACACACACCGACACGACACTTTGTGGGTTAAACAGATGTGGGGTTAGAATGTTATCACAGACGGGTGGTTGGTGAAGGAGGCACACTTTGAAGGAGGCGCAGCTCAAGAAGGTAAAAGGGCATTAGCGGTTAAGAACACCACTCACCGTCTTGGTTGCCCCAATCCCAATCGGGTCCACGGACCACTTTGACCCCCTGGAAGATTCCTTTGAGGATGATCCGCGGGAGGTTCTGCCTCGGTGCCAAGCACACCCTGTGATGGGAGCACGGAGACACGGCTCAACAAAGTGCTCCAAAGACCTGACACAACCTTCATTCATTACATTATGTTTACAATGTACAGAGCTACCTGTGGTGAACTGGTGGTTAAGAGTTGAGCAGAATAAACAATCCTTAAATTGAAAGGATTTCAGCAAGAACACTTTACGGCATTAAAAACAGACATACCTTATTGTAAAGATTTGATCAGATCTGGGTGCAAACGAGCTCCCTATTCCCATACTTTCTCCACGAGCTCAAACCCCAGCGTCAATCTAAACCCAACAGCTTCCTGGATGAACTCAGTCATATAAAATCCAACGTGCTCAAAAGGAAGATGAGAGTCCAGTGGGAGCTGTAGTCCTCTGGGTGCCTCATCGAGTCCTCGGCTGCACCTACGTTGCTATCGTGCCAGGCTTTTGCTTAAGGTTAGCCTTGGCTGACTCCTCCCGCCCCCCCCGCGTCACTGGCTGGATTTTCTAGGTTCCTGGGTGCGATGGCAGGATACAGCGTCATAAGAGAGAACGTCTCCATGGCCCAAAGCCGATTTAGAACAGACCGAAAGGACTGATTAAAAAGATACCAAAGCTGGGTTAGTGACAGACTTTTCCAGAAACCGCCCCAAGAATAATTTTAGTCCTTAAAAGGACGGATGTCTCTGCCCGTGACACGTTGTTCCTCAGTGGAGCTCGTCCGAGAAATACAGACAGCTCTTCCAGGGGATCAAGCTTTCTAATCCTGCTTGGCCAAAAGGTCAACCGCGCTCGTAGACAGGATCAGAGACCCACACCTACTCACAAGACGGCCGAAAGCAAGCGCCACCGCTCCGGGATCGGCGTGAGAAAGTCACAAGAAAGAATCTAATCTGCGTAACAAAGAAACATGGCGACGGTATGAGTTGGTACAGCAGCACCAGTTGTGGGTGGCTCAGAGCTTTCTCCTTAAAAGAAGATGGCTCTGGCTTAAAATCACAGCCGTGTGCACATTCACTGTCACGAGTGCTTTACTCTTGTGAATACACAAATCAGGGCTGGAGCCGACCAGTCTTGATTAGACACACGTCGATACGCTGGCCACACTTTGCCGATGAAAGTACAAAAAGCCCTCTGTAAGTGCTTTGAAAATGACGGACAGCTGCGACTCGGGCTCGACGGCTGAGACGGCATGGGTGAAGCGAGGCCAGCGAGTGTTTGGGTGGGGCTGGATGCCGCGCCTTAAAAGCGTGGCGGCTTGTTACGACGCTGCTTGGTGTGCGAGGGGAGGATCAGGCACTGCGTTGACCGGGTGTGTTCCCTGGGACTGCATGTGTGTTGTCTGTGTCCTGAAGAGCCGATTAACCAGCTGCACAGCAGCCACCTCCTCGTAAACATATGGTTCACGCACGTGCTGCCCTGAGCGCTGTCAGCATGTGTGCACACACACACACACACACACACACACGTGTGTGGCAGCAGCGTGAGTGTATTCACTTTGAGCTGATGGAAGACGCTGTGACCCGTCGACGGCACTGAGCACAGCGTTGGGATCAGAAACGTAATTTAAAAATGGGTTATTGTGTTCTCATATCCTGAGGATTCGCATTGACAAAAGAAAGAGACCACATTAGAGTCTAACGCACCACCGGTCCGCCTCGGTTTGCTCCCCGTCCAACAGCTGTCATCTCAGTTTGAAAATGTTTTACACGCTGAACCGCACAGCTGAGAATGTGAGCATGCTAATCCGGCTAAATCGGTTGCGATTGCCATGGAACACGGAGCACATCCGGCTCAGGTCTCACACCAGGCTACGGCGTGGGTGGGGTGCAGCTCGTTTTGGGTTTTTTTTTTGCTTCGACAACTTGCCATTGACCCCTCGGGACACCGACAAGTTCCCCCTCCCGCAGTGTCAATGAACTGCAAACAGATCTAACCTTCTTAAACAGCCATTAAACCGTCCCACATGTTTGGGCCACATGTTCCTCTTAACTATGTTAAGCCCGGACTGCAGCCCCCCTTTACATAAACCACTGCCGGCACAAACAAGGAGCCCCCTCATCTTGAAACCAAGCTAAATTTGTCTTCCCAGGCAACTATCGAGCGCGTCCCGTGACAACTAGATTATAAACGTGTCTTTTGAATGGCTGTCGGTGAAATGTGGGTCACTGTGGTCCAGAAATAAGAAGTGAGACGCAGTGTGGTTGCAGAGGCGCTCTTCTTATTTCACTCATCCGACTAGAAGACGGGACTTCGATCCCTTCCGTGGGATCTTTTCCCACATATGCGCCGGGTTTTGTCTGGTCTCCGTTGCCCTGCACAACCCCAGCGTACATTAGGAGCCACTTGGTGAACATTATACACGCGGGTCAGCAAAGCAGCAGGCAATGCTTGTTCTGATCTTCCACAATTGCGTTTGAAAACCTGAAGTCAGAACCAAATCCAATGTAATCTTTAATATTAAAAAAAAGTCTCTGCAGATATGTCAATCCAATCGAACACCAAAACGTTGAATTAAATTTGTTCACTAATATGCAAGACAAAAAGCTGAAGTGTTATTTGAGGTCACCTCCAGGAGTTGTAATATTGCAGACAGAAGCCAGATTGTGAAGTAAGGGTTGGAATACTGAGTGGAGAGTTTCTCCTCAGGACAGCGGCGTCATTGTGTTGCACTGTTAAAGCGGTCGATGACGCACACCAAGGCAACATCCTCGGCGCCGTCTCAAGATATAGAAATAGACATTACCATAGAGAAGCTGGGACCAGTGATGTTCTGGTTGACTGAGTCACATTCTTTCCTGCCATTTATGGACATCAATATCCAATTCAGATTTCAGATTGCATAAGAATAATCTTCCTGTGAGCAATAACTCAGACGGGCCCAGTGTATAGTGGGTGACGGACAAACAACTATCAATAGATAGCGATAGCGATGAGTGGAAGCGTATGAATTCATCCATTTAAGAACGGATTCGTTATTACTCAACGTTCATACTACAGGCTTTTCACTTCATTTGTGAGATGATGTGCTGTGTAACTGCTCGTTTTACTTCCTCTATTGTGGACTCAAACAATATTGTTCACTTCAACAATATAAAGAGGTTACCACACTAACACTAACAGAAACCAACTGTGATTGTGACACTTCTGTCCGTGGTTTTTAACCACATGTCGGTGGTATTGCTGGATTGGAATCATTTTTGACACACTTTTTAAGTATCTTACATTTAGTTTTGTTTCACTCAAAATGTTTCGAATGATGCAATCAATTACTGTACAAGCATACCTCGAAGATCCAGAGTAGCACAATTCTCTTTTTTTTTTTTTTTAACGCAGGCTGCTATTCACATTGTCTTTTCTAACCAACGTCAACACCGATCAGACGCATCCGATCCTCACCCGTCCTTGTATTGGCAACTTAAATAAAGGTTTCCTTTTAACTGATATTGTGAACTCTTCTGGAAAGTGTTACTCTCACTAACATGTCTTTAAATCATAAAAAATAAAAAAAAGGAAAAAGTCCTTCTCAGAATTGGAGTCCACAGACAGGTCAGAACAAGTCCACGGACCTGTTCTGACCTGTGCGGTTACATAAAGGTTTGACAAAAAAAAAAAAAAAACTCCATAATGAAGGACACTGCTGAGCCAAACATTTGGGCCTCGGTGACAAATCAATACTGTCGAAGAGAAACTGAGGTGGGAGACGAAATGAGATTCCAGCTACGGTTAGAGTGCTAAATAATCACTGCAGGCCGGGTTTCACTTAAAAACAAAATCTGTACTAGTGTGCAGCTCAATTTCCACCCCAACCATCAGACTCAAAACGGAGGTCTGTGGACCCAACTTCAAGCTAGATAAACCTGAATGAAGATATTTCTATCTTGTGAGGAAGTGATCCAAAAAAAAAAAAAAAGAAGTGAAACAGAGCAGAGAGATTGTGAGAATATTGGAGTCATGAGCAGGTGGAGATCTGAAGCGAGGGTGTAACGAGTCATTCGTATGCTGCACTGATGTTCAAATTAGTAGTAGATCCGTATTCACACTGTACATTTCTGAACTAGATGTAAATCAAATTGAAGCTTAAGGGTAACAGGCCTTGATTATTTGCACCTTTCATTGGACAGCAGGCACAGAGAAAAACGCTGAGCTGGGTTGGCGCTGAACCGGGCTAAACGATGGAAGAAATCTGGGTCGTACATATCACCTCCATAAAATGGGAACAGGCCATCCAGCTGACATTCAGACTGCGCCTGAGGCCGTTTGATGCTTTACTGTGAACTGATGCAGAAGAGTGGATTCTGAAGACTGTTAAAGTGGATATGCAATCAGCTCGCTAAACATTTATGCCGAACAAGGCATACGTTTTTTTAGTTTTTTTTATCTCTAAATAAGTCTTTTGGATATAAACCTTGGTATAATCTGGAAACTGATAAAAAAAGATCCGTACCACAAGCAGGCAGTAGATCAGTTTACTGTCGGTAAAAACTAGCAGGTCCAAAAGTGGAAAACCTGTTGATGTTGCCTTGACCTGCTGGCCTGAGTAGACTAACAATAATGAATTGGAGGAAACATCACTAATAAGATCAAACCGGACGGACCAAGCTTGTCAAACCAGAGGCGCGGGTTTAAATGAGGATCCATTGTAGTGGCGGCGGCGGCGCAGTACTCACGGCTGGGAGTGCGCCGTCTCGTAGCGCTCGAAAGCGTGACCAAGGTCGTGCTTGTTGTTCATGTAACACTGCGTGCACAGGTCATAGTCAAAGCACACCTTGCACTTCCATCGCATTCCCATGATGCCGTGCTTCTTGCAGCTGTCACAGATTATGTTGGAGTGACGCACGCCTGCAAGGGGAGGGAGGGAAGGTGGAAGACAGGTGAGTGCAGTTATAGCTTCGATGCATTCCTCCATATGCAAATCACCCAGGCACACGCCGTGTCCTTCCTTCCCCGCGTTACTTATCACAGCGGCTCGGAACGTGTCATGTGGAAGAACTGAGGCACAAACATTGGGACAAACCCCCCCCATCCCCCTATTAGCTCATCATCTCTCCTCCTCCTCTTCTGCTCTATTAAAGGTCAAGCTTCTGAGCCAGAAAAATGTTGCTTTAAATGGAGCAAAATGCTAATGGGTCCTGCATTATTGTTTGTGTCATTCAAGTCTAGGACAGAGCCGGATGGCTGATAATGAGAGATGGTCTTCAGAGCTTAAACTGAACCCCTGAATTGAATCACAGGGCTGTGAAACTGTGAAACAGAGGCAGGCTTGTCCATGTTGTCCAGCACGCAGGCAAGCGTGTATTCTGATACTGATTGATTTAGTTCTATGATCGTGCAGACAGCTGCAACTTAACTAACGGGTTTATTTAAAGGTTGAACCTTTCTTTGAACCTAGCCGCTGACAGCAGCGTCGCGTCACTAGCAGCCGTTCTCTGCACTGCATCAAGGTTTAAATCCCAAACTGCGTCTCTTGTTTTACAGCTTTAATGTGGCCACAATGTTTCGACTCTTTTTTTTATGCCTATGTGGCAAAGTATAAACGTGCTTGCGGCCGATGCGTCGGTTGTGAGGTGAGAGTGAGCCTGAGGCGGGGGGCTTGTCAGAGCGCCACTTCCACCCAAACCGCCTGGAGGCGAAGAGAGGGAGAAGGAAAAAAGTACATTCCCACGATTTGGAAAAGGAGATTGGGATGGAATCATTCGTCCGATTAATAAACGTTTTCCAATCTTATCTTTTCTGTTTATTTATTTTTTTAGAAGTGACGCATGTGGGGGCTTTATTACTTTATTTTCCATGCAACTGCAATCCCAAAGTGAGTGACTAAGACCACCAACTCGATAAAAACGCTAACCACTGCACTGTACCTCCGTGTGGCCATCAGCGCTAGTCGCTGTCAATCGGACAGTTTAATGCTCATTTGCATGGAAAGGGGAACGTTTAGTTCGACCTGAACATCATCTCATCTAAGTATGTGCCAGTAGAAGCGATGAGATGCAATTTTCTTGGAAGCAAAGTTAGGGATACATTTCACAGTCAGAGGGGGGGCTTTGATATGAGTTACAAATAAAGCAATAATAGAAGATCGTGATCACGTCATCATTTGGGAATCTCAAAAGGTACATTTCAAACTAGAATTAGCTGGCGTCAGTGCCTACCGATTTGGGCGTTATCATAAAGCAGCAGGTCAAAGGACCCCTGGTAGCCGGTGCGGTAGTTCGTCCGCGTCCCGCTGTCCCACTGCACCACCACCGTCTTGTCCGGCGTTGTGGTGCTGCCCTGCCGCCCGATCTCCACCACAGTGCCCCCGTGGCCCTCGCCGTCGTCCTGGTTGCCCCATTTCCAGTCCAGGCCGCGCACCACGCGCATTCCCACCTCCATGCCGCCTCTGCTGGGGCCCGGCGGCCGGGGCCTGGCGGCGCTCTCACTCCCGCCGCCGCCGCAGCCGCCGCCGCTGCTGCTGCTGCGCCGCCTCCGGGCCTTCTGAAGATGGAGGGCTCGTGCCGACGATATCGCGGGGAGGGACGGCACCAGCGGGTTTTCAGGTAACAGTTCGGGGGGGACTGGAGGAGGGAGAGAGAGAGCGCAGATAGGACACAGCCGGTATGAGAGACATAGATGACATGGTGTAATAAACAATACTGACATGTGATATAACCGCTGACCCTTGACCACCCGTCTAGAATCCATTTTAAAGCTTTACTCAGGAACAAAACACTTGGGGTTTTGTCTCCGATGCTTTTGACGGAGGAAATCGCACAACCTGTGAGTCGAACTACAAGTCAGTCAGTGGCAGCTGAGGGACTCCTGAAGCAACACACCATATGTCTCCTTCATCTCACAGCAATTGTTTCTCTCCCTGCCGGTGGATCATTCACTGAAGGCCTCGCTGTGAGTCATGGCCCATTTCTGGAGAGAGCAGCTGGACACAACTGCTACGCCCCGCTGCGCTAATCAGGCGCTGACCTGACCCTTTACACAAATAGCCCAGACAAACACACACAAACAAATATGCGCAAAACACACATATCCTGAGCAAGGCAGTCCATTGGCTTCATTCATGGCAACCATAACACGCAACTACTTGAAACCGATCACGGGGCTTCATCCTGCAGCTAACAAAACAAACCTAATGTTAACGGTCGTGCACAAAAAGGTTTGAGCGATGCATTGAGAAGCAATAGCCATTAACAAAAACAATGTTGGAAAGGTAAAAAGTGATCCTGTGACCATATCGGACGCGGTGAATTCTCGTTATCCTGATATCAAGAACGTCATCACAAGGGTGACTCGAAAAAGCTGCCTAGCAAGGCAGAGAAGTGGAACATAGAGGCTGATTTACAAAACACAATAACAATCACAATAAGCCTACGTTGCTTTTATTCATTTATTAATCTGACGTAATGATTTATGATGATCACAATAATATGGTAATAAGAAAAGAATACTTTCCATATAAAATGTCAAGCAAAGTATGTTGTTTTTATAAGGATTTTAACTTAAGCATATTACTCAAATCCCAGACTATCCCTAAAGGTGTGTTCTTTTTATTTGATGTATTTTCATCATGATTTGCTATTTGCTGGTGCTGTTTTTATCAAAAGCCTGAATCTCTGTAAAGTTGATGTGAAATTCCAATCACTAATTTAAAGTATTTGTTAGATCATAGAACAGACATTTGAAAAAAAAATCTATTCTATGATTATTATGACTATAAGTAATTTATACATCTTTATTTAACTTTTCCCAGAAGCGGCTGAAGCTTCACTTCCTGCGGACAACAAAACGAACACAGAGCACCTAGTGGTAGCAGTCCAAACAAACAAAAACTAACAAACAAGTCACAAAGAGAATGGAAACCCTTACATAAGAAAACGCTTCCAAAGTATTTGCAGAAGAACTCGTTCACACGCGCAGCCCTGTTTGATGACTTCAGTGTTGCCATGACTGCCGCTGGGCGCTAGAAACGAGTCCTAACGCAGGAAGGAAGCAGCCATCACGTGGCAGCTTGAGTCAGCAACACGCAGGAGCAGCTTTTGCTGAGCAGCGCGACCATCAGCAGCATCCAACGCCGTCCGCTGATCCCATATGGTTAAACGATACGCTGGTGTACGCTGGCGCAGTGTTCCATCTCCGGCGCTTTAAGTATTAATAAGACAAACATGAAGCATTCCTTCACGACGCTGCGGATTTCTGTGTGCGATAATGAGTAAGGGAAACTGCAGGCTAGAAAAAGGAGAGTGCTTAACATTTGTCCATATGTACGAGCGACCACTACAGCTTTTACATCACAGCCTCCATGAGGCACTTCATGCCTCTTTCTTCAGACACATTTCGAGCAGAAGATCAAATGTCTGCTGAGGAGACTTAACACACCCTCGAGGAAGAGAAGCACATTTCCTGTCATTGTTGTCACTTTTCGCTGGGAAGGCGGGCTCACATCTGACCATTAACACCCCATTGGGAAGCTCTGCCGAGGAGGCCTCACGCGCTGGCTGGTGGCGTAGAGGAGGAGCGAGCGGTACGACTTTCACAATGATCCACGCCGCTGTTGTTACAGCCACTTCCAGCGCAGGTGGTGGTAAAAGGAAGTATTGGTTTAAAGTATATCCACATTTGTGTGGAAAAGGCCTTTTTACTTAAACACCTCAATTTATCTGGTCATTTTCACATGTTTTTCGTTTTACAGCAGTAAAAACATAAAAATAATTCAATAATAGGGCTGACCGATGTCTGTAATGCGGCTGAGATTACACGTGCTTATCAAGATTACAATGTCATTTTGGTATTGAAGGCCTCTGCTTAAGCGTGAAAACATACGGTATGTAGCGGATCAAAAGGAGGGAGAGCAGGCCGCTTATACTCCATTATCTGTCCCAAAAACGACAGCTTAGCCTCCAATATGCCAACCAATCATCAAACGTGTCAACACAGGAATCACCGGACCTTTTACCCCGTTCCCGGCATCCCGGATGTGCATGAATGTCAAGAAATGCCTGGTGGATTGAAGCAGCGACTGAGAAGGCGATCTCATCAGATCTCTGAGCTAAAAACACGTACGAGAATCTTTGGTTACAACATTGGCGCCTGAAGCGGCTCCGCTATCTGCCATTGTGGAGTGAAGATAGAAAGCGTAACCTACCACCTACATTCCTAAACCACCCCCCCTTCCCGCATGCCGCCTCCCACGTCACTGACTCGGCGGCCCCCACACTGCGTGCCCTCCGGAGAGAGTTCAGGCGCAGCGCGCGGATATCTCATCATTATTATTTCAGACCAGCACCGGCAGCGACGTGTAGATGCGGCACGGGGGGATTCAGGTGGATGACTCGATCTGGGCAACAGGCTCCTATCCCACGTCGCCACGGAGACCACGGTGTCTTACCGCGTGAGCGTTTATCTTCTGCCGCTCTCCGATAACACCGTCCAACAAGGTGCACGCTGGAATAAGATTGAATGCACGCGTCGTGCTGCACAGGGAGGCAGATTTAGTCAAATCGCCCTCATCTCCCCGAATCCCAACGCACGTTATTGTTTGGTGTTGACAGATGGAAATATGCATCCTGGACAGCAGTAAAGGATTACAACATACCGGCCAAGATATTACCTTGTTGAAATGCAGGAAGCGAAGCAGCCTCAGCAGCTGTTTGCACAGTGCGGACTCCGGCTCCCACACGTGTGCATTACAGTGTTTACTCAAGCGTTTCTATACCTCGAGTGACGTGCAACGTTATCTGCAGCACCAGCGGGAGTCTGGCAGCTTCATAGAGATGATGATTAAATCTAACGGTGGTTTGGCAAGAGATTTTGTGATGAGTCAACTCCAAAAAAAAAAAAGAAAGAAAAGTCAAAGTTTGCCCGTGTTAACGACAACACAAAGTCAAGAAGAAAATGTTGAGGACGGTGAAGATCGGACATGTCGTCATTTACAGACGGAGGGCCAAAACGGGCGGGATTACAGCTCTGTGCCTGCAACAAACAGATGGACCGGCTTCTGTCACGCACACTGCTGAGGGCCAATCTGGGAGTCAACCTCCATCACGCAAACAACCAGCCAGGCGTGGAGCCACAACACGAATCAACACGCGCCGCAAACAAATGCTTAGAAATTGCTGGTTTCACAAAGAAGGTGTTTAACGCAAAAAAAAAGGGCCCAACTTTGAATTTTAGTTTCAGCTGCTGCACATTGACAAATTCATTTTTTTATATTATAGGATATCAACACAGAAAAAAAGAGGAATTTACTAAAGAATTGTGTGTTTGGAATATTTGTCAGCAGACAACCTTGTTCTCTGTAAAGAGGAACTCGTCACTGTATTATAAACACGTATTGCCCCGCTTGGACATGAACACGTATCGGGACTTTGAATGCTACAAATACAATCTGGGAAATCAGCAGACGGTAACGTGATGGTTACAATACGTAGATCTACATCACACTCAACAGTCTTAACCATTGTGCAGGTCAGATCTACTGATAAAAGCCAGCGAGCACGTGATCGCCGGTGGACTCGTTTGCCATCAGACACGTGCTACAGTTTGTGTGTCCTTGCCTGGTTTATCTGCTCGCTCGGTCTACAAGAGGCCGAGTGTTTGGGCTTTTTCTTTTTTTTTTACATTTTTCTCAGCCACTGGAACCAAAAGCTCAGCAAAGAGCAATCTACAAACAAGCTCTACAGCTTTAACCTCACTAACCCGAACATCAGAAATGATTGAAAGCCAGCTGGAACTGGTTTGTGTCAGAAACATCTGGTGGCCGGAGGGCTTCTCGAGAAAATCGATGAGGGCAGCGAGTAAATAACACATTCAAAGATTTCCTCGGAGTGGGCGAAAGGCCTAAAAATAGACTCTCCATTTTCCCGATTCAGGCTTCTGCTTGGCCTTCAGTCCTTCTCACAGAGCTCACTCAAACAGGTTTGTGCAGTAAATAAATATAATTACATATAATCAACTATTTAAAGTAATCCAAAACGCACTACATGGGCGTCTCCACATCTTGTTCTCTAAACGCATATATTAAAAAAATGTAAATAAAAGAAGAGAAAAGGCCCAATGGCTGCAACAATAGATTTAGTTTGATCCTGGTAGACTTATTTCACACAAGCACACTTCATCCCTGGAGCCGCTCACAAAAATAACACAGCCAAACGCCACATAGAAGAAGAACCTAATGTGCGTCCGATGACGCGACGCGCAGATCAGCATCATACTCACAGCCCATGTTCTTCAGCCCACTTTTGAACATGTCGCAGGCTGCGGGATTTCTCTGACACGATCCCGGTTCAACCAGCTGGACCGCCTGAAATGCAGAGCGCGCTCGCGCTATGAAGCCGTCATCCTACTGAAGGGGGAGGGAACCTTTGGTAGTATTTGGTTTGCTGTGAACTTTGCCCTTTGTTTTGGAACATGCAGTTCTGTTCTCCCGGGTTCTTGACAATTCTGAGGACTTATCTGAAGAAAAACAACATGCTGGCCGGGTAAAGAAAGGACGTCCCAAACCGTCAGACAGTCCAGGCCTAGACCTAAAAGTAAAACGTCATTTCAAAAGTCAATATTCCGTCACACGTCGCTCTATGTGCATCGCAAGCTCTCGGCCCTAATTTGTATCCATCTAACCCAGAAGAAAAGCACTCAATCTCATCCAGCAACGCAATCATCCTGTAATGATCCAATCAGCCACTGTCTACATGATATAATCAAGTACCTCATGTGGTAATAGCTACTCAAGTAACCATGCTGTAATTAGGCTGCCTGCAATCAATGATTTACAGGCTAAAAACCAAAAAACTCCACTGCCACGTTCACGCTGTGCCTGTTGGATGCCCGACTGTCTGCTCCACCAACAGGGACAGAATCCAGCCACATGTCTGTCTGTCTGCCCGTCACGCCGACTAGCTGAACTACGGACTGCGATGACATGAGGCACAGTTGTAGTAGCCTCAGGCGCACGACTGTGACCGTCTGTGGCACCGGGAAAACAGCAGCAGCCGTGCAGCATTCAGGACGCATTAGACTGGCTTGTCTGATTTCCAGAACGACAATTTTTTTTAAAAAGGACAAAGGGAAGACATATCTTAAAAGAACAGCAGCATCGCCTGGATCTCTCGTCTAAAAATAAAAAATAAAAAAATAGTTGAGACGGAAATCTCTCCTGATTAATAAAGCATGTCCAGTTTTGCTGGTTTGCCTGTTGGTATAGTGACCAGTATTTAAGGTGAAAAGGAGAGACAGACATAGATGGGGACAGAGAGGAATCAGGTCCTACCTCCTGCCACATAAACGCATCAGATGAGGGGGCCGGGGGAGGGGGGGGTACCGGTGGTCCTACCGGTTTCCAGAGAGATGAAAAAAGGAAGAAAAAAAAAAAAAAAAAGAGCCCCTCCTTAGGGCTGTCCTGTTCGGATGCACTCCCTGAATGAGGAGGGGAGGATAGAGGGGGTGGAGGACGAGGGCAACCAGGCCGGTGTGATGCGCGGTCCAGACCCGTCTTACAGGTGTAATGCCCGACTCCGAAGGATCACAGCTGGTGGAGGAGGAAGCCCTGCTGCTGGAAGCGTTTAGTCCTTTGTGCGTTGTGTCAGCAAGGATTACACAGCGGGAGGAGGAGGAGGAGGAGTGGGCAGCCGATCGCCAAGGGACAGCTGCCATGTTTTCCGAGACGGCCTCTGTTTAAGTGGAGGAGTCCCGTCTGGCTGCTCCGGTGAAAAGGACAGGTGGAGAGGACATGAGAAAGGGAGGAGAGAGCGAGAGAGCGAGGGATGAAAGAGGAGGGCGCGAAGGAGGGGAGGGAGACGGACAGACTGCAAAAGGATGTCACCAAATGCAACAAGCATCTGAGAGGTGGAAGTTGCGGCTCGAAGATGTTTTGATGGAAGTTTGTCAGCCGGAGGGGGGGGGGGGGGGTTGCATTAGCTCAGAGGAGCGGCGGACAGACGGGAGGGGGGAGGGGCAATATGTTTCTGGGGGAGGGTCCTTGCGTTGATATTTGTGTGTGTGCGTGCACTCAGTGAAAACAAAAGGGGGCGGGGCCAGAGGAGATTCTGATGAATGGGCACCTGCCATTATACTCATTTATGGTCCCAAACTGGCTGCTGGAAGAACCAGCTCAGAGTCTCCTGCAAGCTCACACAGGAAAAAGTGTGTGTGTGTGTGTGTGTGTGTGTGTGTGGGTGTGTGTGTGAGAGAGAGATTGTGCATGTTCCCCCACGCTCTCCTAGCCTTGAACGACACTCTTTAATGTGTCCACAGCTGTGGGAGACCTCGACAATATGGCGCCAACAACCAGGCAAAAACAGCATTGTGTTGATTCTGGCAGATACACGCACGCACGCACGCACACACACGCACAAATGTACAGCTGCTTTTGCCACGACAGGAGAAGCCAAAGAATGAGCAGGGGGGGGCCTTCGGAAGCGGTCGAGACACGGGCTCGTAACGAAGTTTATTACGCCGCTCTCTTGTCTTGTAAACAAAGCTGCTGCTGTCTGCAACGGGCTCGCCGTCCACATCACACAAAAGGGGCCGTTCATTCATTCACATCGTTTCTCTTAAAATAGACTGACACACACATGATGGCCATCGGGGAACTGTGTTGATTGCGGGTTGCTGGTGGCAATCTGGGGGGGTAAAAAAACAACGCTTAGATAGATAGACACGCCAGATATGGCTGCGAGGTGCATCCGATCAATCCGCCATTCATTGTTTAGAACCACTGGTGAATCACAAAAGAGTCCAGGAGACAGGAAACGTGTTTGGGCGAGTTACAGCCAAGTCAAACACTCCTGTTCATGTGCTGCGCAGGACCGCTTGAGCAAGCCTTCATTGTTCACGGGACCAACTCAGCCAAGAGGTTTCTCCTCTACCCGGCCCGCTTGAGATTAATGACACAGAAAACCCAAGCGGGTTCTGGCTACTTGACCAGGCCTTAAACAGCAGATACGTTTTCCCAATATGAAGAGAATCCAGAATCAAATACAACAACAAAACCCCATCAGCAAGTTATGCGTTTGGTGAGCCAGGGCACAGAACCAACAGAATCCTGTAAGCAGCAGGCGGTGTGGTTGAGACACATCGAGAGGCGACTGTATGCTAAAAAAAATAATAAAAAAAAGAACATAGGCTGCTCCTGGGAGGGGGGGAACTCAGTTACATCATTAAAAAGGGGAGGTTTCAATTTGTCTCCCAACTCGCTTCGGCGAGAGGTTCATCAAACCACGTTCCATGTATATTTGTTTGGGGAAGGCGCCTTCCCCTTTTCAAACGGTTCCCAGTGACAATACTGTACTGTTATTTGGGGCCTTAGATGGAAATCAAGGCCATATGCCCAGTGTCATCCAGCAAAGATAGAATGGACATGGCATTTACCCATTATTATTCTCAAATTGAATAAATATGACGAGTAACAGGTTTTTACAAAAGCATGCGCGTTTTGACAACAAATACTATACAGAGGAACATTTAAAAGACAATAAATAGAGTGTGCAAGTAGATAATGCTCTCATAAAAAAGCACTTATTTAATTAGCAAACATATTTTCATGGGACATTGTCTAATGCACGCACGCACGCACACACACACGCACACTCTTTGAATAGGCATTTAAAGAATTTAATCTGAAAACACTTTTTTTTCCCATACAAGGTCGTCATGACGAATCCACTGCAAATACTACTTTTTCAGTGAAACAGTAGCATTCGAGTGTAGTGTTTGCTGTGAAAACAGTCACTCTGTTGAAATACCTCGCCTTTTTCCTTTTACGTTGTGTTAATTCTTAAATATACTGTATTTGATTTAGCCTCAACACCAGTCAATGTGTATATTCAACAAAAAGATATAAAAGATGCCTTTTACACAGCGTTTGGAAGGATTTAGTAAAAAAAAAATAAAAAAAAAAGGTATGAGTCTTTCAGTCTTAAATTGCTCAAACAAAACAAAGACAAACGCAAACCAGGAAAAGATATATTCAGAGACAAAACACCAAATGGCATAGAGACATAAACCGGCACCACAAGAAAGCAGGTGGGGCCCAGGTCACGCTAACCTGCGTGTTGCTGTGTCCTTTAGTGAGACACTTAACCCCAACATGGCTCCTGTGGCCGTACAGTTACTGATGGTGGCGCCGTGTATGACAGCGCCTGTCATCAATGTGTGTGTGGCTAAATGAGGACATGGAAGTTCATAGAGAGGTCGGAAGACTAGAAAAGCAGGTACAGATCATTTACCGTAGCGATGAACGCTTGTTTGGCACAACGCACCTTTAACACCACAAACAGTGTTAACAAACATTACTCCCACACAACATCTCTCTCAACATCATGCGCTCCACCCTTTTTGATTGTTGTGATTCGGTTTAGTTTGTCCAAGCAGGGACAACGGGACAGAGGACCAGCAGAGGACTGAAAGGTGGGTGTGGCTGACGGAGATCCTGACCAAGTAGCAGATGAAGATGAGCTCTGCTTCATCTCCGCCGACATGACCGGAAAGATGACCTGTAGAGGGTCAGGGCCTGTGCAACATGTGCAACAGGTAACGATGTTTACACAACGCCACAGTTTGTACCTCATCCGATCAGAGGGTCGTCAATGCACCCAGGAAACAATTTACTGCTCACAGGGTTGATTACATGTATTTGCAAAGTGTGCTGGGTTCTTTGTTGTTGTTTTATTTAGCTTAAATCAGAAAACGGGTCCTTGCAATCTGACACAGAATAAAGTAGATGGCAGGTAGTGAAAAGGTAACCATGAGCACTAGTCAGCTAGCAGGTTAGCTAACGTGCTAGTCACATCAGCCCAGACGGGTTCTCTAACGAGGACGCGACACGGGCCGTTTATGTCACCGTGCTTCCTCTGAGGGGTTTAATGCGATACGCGTGTATAAACCCACGTCACCACCAGTATTTGTTTTCACGGCTCAGGTGTCAAGTTTGTAAAAATGAACAGCCAGCGTTGAGACAGCTCACCAAGCTTTCGCCCTTTACACTGTAGCGCTGTTACGTTATTTTGATTTAACGGTGGATGGGTGTTTGACAGGCAAACTACCTGGAAGCGTTTCGTGTATTTCAAAAGAGTTGAAGAGAGAATCGCGTGAAGCCGTTTGATTGTGTAGCGGCTTGTTGTCACATAACGTGTCCCGGTAACGACACGGCCACGCAAGGTGAATCCCGCCGGGGAGCCCGGTGGCATCATGCGGACCAACGTTACTAAGCTAGCTAACGTTCGCTCGTGTCTGGCCATCACGTATTGCTATAAAAACCACTTGTTTCGTGGTGTAGCTACTTACCGCCCCTTTGTCAACGGCGTTTACTTGGAGGTCAGCGATAATTCCATTTCGCTGTCCACCGCCAACGCTGAGAAGGCCGGTTTTTAGGACAAATAAGTATTAAATTGGAGGGGTTTTGCGGCACGCAGCCATGACAACACGCCCATGCATTACGTCACTACTTGAAGCCAAGTGTTGCCTTCACGTGCTGTTCGTAATAAACAAAACAACTCCTGGATTCAAGGTCTGCTTTGATTGCATGTATAACCAGCTCAGAAATAAACAACACCGGTAAATGTGTTTAACGCCTTAGTTCATTTCTTCACGTTGGTTGAATAAACGTACTTGTGGAGTTAGTCTGTTGTTTCAGCATCGCCATTGCACTACAAACCCGAAATGGGAGCATTTCCTTCCTGAAAATGTGTCCACGAGATGACTTTTATTACTTCTACTGTGGCCTTGCTGCTCTCTGCTGATGACTTTAGCGAATCGGAGTCTGCAGCACACTCACACTCACAGGCCCACAGACAGGCAGCAACACTCACGAGGAATTGCTACAGCACCAAAAGATTTTTTTTAATTCACCCACTGTTTATTACCCCCAAACAGTTGCTTAACACACTGGACTTGTGAGAATAGGATGCAATTTTGTGTGACAATCGGAATATATTAGGGTATATGTTTTACCCTGGAAATGTGCAAATGTGCAAGTCAATAATCTTCACAGGTCATTTGAAATGAAGTGAAATCGACCAAGGAGCACAAACACATGCCTCACGACTGCCAAATCATCACCCATAATTAGATCTTTGTCGGCCCCTAGTTGCCACGGTGACATATTATTGACTGACGCCTCAGGCCTGATATATCTCTCATGTAGTCTTGTTAAAAGAAAAGTAAGTTATCTTCTGAGATCTCCTGGTTTAAGGAAGATTAAGATCATAAGAGTCATAAATCATAATGACTTATCGCCATATCATACTAGAGAATTATATTAATTATCTGCTGTGTATTACTGGGGAGTAGGAGAAAATACACCTTAACAGATGAAATGGTATGATGGAAAGTTGCGCTCCAGCCAGATACAATTAATACCATTCTATAAAGTAGATGCATTGGTTTATTAATACTACAAACTCGGATTGTTGAAGACACAGATTGGACAAACAATTAGACCCATCAGCAGAATATTTCTGACCCACAAATCTGAGGTCATTTAACAGAATTTACACGCAGGCTGTGGAAGTTTGTGTGTTTGCCAACGGTGGTGCAGCAGCGCCCCCTGCTGACAAACAGCCTTTTTGTAAACATCACATACGTATCGCTTCATGGATGCAGATTGGGACTTTATTTATGAGTAACATCCTCTTGATATTATGCGTTACTCCATCTGTACTCTATTCAAAGTAGTTGAGCAGCGTTTTAGGCAAATAAAACAGGTGTACATGATACGGTGCCTCTTGGATTGAAGAGAGACAACAGAAGTCACAAATAAATCGAATCATATTGTGGATAATATTTGTCTCTTTATAGATTAAATATTGTGTGGTAGTGGTAGAACTCAACTCTATGGAAAAAACACAAGGAAATGTGTGTGGGTCCTTAAGTGTGGTTTGTCATTGTTGGTTCAACAATTCAACAATTATTTCAGAATCTAATAGCAATTTAATTCCCACATTCTGAAGGGAGGGGTACTACTTTACTACTTAACATCGCATACGAAATGTCAGCAAATTATTTTTCCATATTTTTAAATAGTTTCACTTTTTTCGGTCTCATTACCTTGTTAATAAAATATATTTCAGTAATATGTCATTAAATCATCAAATTGTACTCAAAGGGGAACTTTGATCCAAAATGAACACATGAAACAGTGAGTTTTATTACAATCAAATTAAATACTATTTGGCTCTTCAAAGGGAAAAAAAACAATAAGCAATTTATCAGCATTCACTGTGCAGATTACAATGTTCAGAAAATATCAGAATGTCAGTTTATTCATTTATCAATCTTGTGTCTTGAACAACAAATATAGCAACTGTTGGTTGATCATCCTTCCTCAGATTACGAAAATATTGCCTACCTCTACAAAATGACGCCAACATGGCAAAATAACGACAGCAGACTTAATACTGAAAAGATACACAGGATTGTGCCTTCAGTGTCAGAGGGGGACACAAACTAAATCTCTGTAAAACATAAATATGACAATAATTTAAAGCCAGTCAAAGCCCTCAAAGAGCTTTGCACGAAAACAAAGAAGCACACAAACTAGTCTGTAGTAAAACAATAAAACCTGAAATGAAATCACAGTGACGGCAAGCTCCCGGGGGGTGCCAGGATGATTCCGAACACGTAGAAAAGTCCCATGAGGAGGTTGAGCTTGGCCGTCTTCTGGGGGATCTTGGCGTAGCAGCGGCTGCGGAACAGCTTCTCCAAAGGGAAGGCCATGGGCAGCGTGAGCAGGGGCAGCGCCATGCTGATGGTGTACCGGGTGGCGAGGATGCAGAAGAGCACGTAGGGCACGAAGAGCAGCAGGTTGTAGAGGACGTAGGACAGCGTGGGGCCTATCAGGATGGCCAGGGTGACGATGCCCGCCTGCTTGTCGGAGTCCATGTCCCTGGTGTTGTTGCTGTGGAGGATGGCTTCTGTGTTGAGGGCCAGCGGCACGGCGTACACCAGCGGCAACACCGACAGGTAGCCCACCTGCACCGCGTGGGAGAACATGACCGCCAGCGGGCCGAAGGTGATGAGGATCACCACGTCTCCCAGGGCCACGTACTTGAGGCCGATGCCTGGGGGGGGAGGGGTGAACACAGTCTTTAACAGGAGGCCACATTTCACTTTCCGATTAGTGCCATTACATCCTCAAAGTAGCTTTGCATCGGTTTTCACCATTTCATTCATGCTCTCTGCTTCCACGAATCAATGGCATCCGCCACGTCCCATGATGCATCAAATATCAGGGTTTCTGTTACATTTCGCGGCCGCAAAAACCAAACTGAGATTACGGCGATGACATCATCTGGGTTATACTATGCAGCGGTTTTCCCAGGATGAGCGGCACCAACCTCCAGATGTGAGTCGGCTACAGGAGAGTACTGTAATATTTGTAGGTAAATCGCACCAAAATGGCAAAACAACAAAATGTGAGACACTTTGCTAAATGACAAAATTCTAGTGTGACTGTTCTAGAGAAATAGAGAAAGAGAAACATTCATATAGTGATGCAGTCGACTTCATGAAGAAATGTAACACATTGGCGTCATGTTAGAAACCAAATGCCTTAAAGGGAAAGTCTGCAAAATGTACAGTTACAAAAACAAATTCAACTATAGTTTACAGTTCAATGTAATAATATGTCGTCTTCCAAACAATGGAATCCTATCCAGGAGAAATCACATGAAGATATTGTGATGAATATTTATGTTTTTTAAATGAAACTAACTCAAACTTCTCAGAAAACTGGAATAGATACGAATTTTATAGAAATACTCCACTGTAGCTAAATCACACTGTTGTTAGTGTAGAACTGGAAATACTGATATTTACTTGAACTGTTATGATCTTGTTTTATTCATAGAAAATGCTCAGTACTTTTCCTCTTTTGATTATTTAATTCACTCAGGTGTAAAACAAAGACAGGTTTTACCATGAGGTCATTTCATATCAACTATTCTTATATTGAATAACTGCAGTGAGTAAATGCCTCAACATGCCGATACCGTTTATAACACACAACAGTGACTACTTCCCCAAATCGTACGCAAGTTCCTGTATTACAATCGCACACATTTTTCTGCAATGTTAAACAAAGTGTGTGTGTGTAAGATTGTAGTTAATAATAGACTCACCTCCGGTGTATAAAAAAGAGCTGGACAGTCCCCCGAAGTAAATGAGGGCCAGGTGCTCCAGTCGGAGCGTAGACAGGAAAAAGAGCAGCGTGGCACACAAGCAGCCCAACGAATACAACAACGCCCCGAACATGACCACATCCTGCGGCGCCAAGATTTCATCCACCAGAGTCCGGTCGTCGCTCTTCTTGTGGTCGATCCCTTTGGAGAAGTCGTAGTAGGTGTTGACGAGGTTCCCCGCCCCGTGGACCACCAGGACGGTCACCGCGCACACCATTAGGATGACCAAGTCCACCGAGCCCCCCAACTTGTACGCCAAGGCGCTGCCGAGGGCCACCGGCGTGAGCGAGGCGCTGAAGCTCCACGGCCGCAGCGCGATCACGTAGGACGCGCACTTGTGCCTCACGTCCGAAGCCACGCGGGCCATCCTGGACGCGGCGCCCGGGGGATGGTGGGCCGGGCTACTCAGACCCGTCTGCCATTCTCGGCCGTTGTGACCGTTTGATCCGGCCAGTACAAACGTTTCCGCCCGGCCTGGTTTCAGCTCCTTGGCCATTCTCCTGCGAGGTGGGGGGGGCCGGGTGGGGGGTCCGCTGTGCCGGCGATGCTTCCAAATGTCAAGGCTTTGAAGTTCCTGTAGCAGAAAAAACGTCAAATAAGTTACACGGTAGCAGTTTTCTAAAATAAAATAAAAAATTGGGTTGAGTAATACATTTCACATGTATATATAGTGATATGAATAGAGAGATTTCTTGAAACGATATTTATTTTTTTGTGTCACTCCAGAGCATTCTTGAGAAATGCCTTGATTACAAGTTTATTCAAGTATGAAAGTGATAATTAATAAAGACTTTTTCCAACTGATAAACAGACATATGTTAAAATTGGACGGAGTCCATGTATTTATGAGCATGCGCACGCTACTACTATACTACTGCAGGTCAAAGCATGCCCGTTGCATAAAGGGGGTCGGGCGGGTGTCTGTTAGCTATGGTTAGTAATAGTGAGTCACGTGACAGTAACGTTAACAGTCGTGCCGCTTCCACGTCAAAGTAAAGTGTGTATTTTGGAAGCTGGATAATCAGTCGGTGACGTGAATCATCCGTCTCCACAGCGCACGTGGCCCTCGGTTTGATAAGAGCCGCTCTGCCGGGTTCGATGCTCGGCGACGCGCACGCCGGGCCCGGGAGGGGTGGACAGCCTCCGGTGAACTACTGGGATTATCAGATTAAAGCTAACCGGCTAGCCACCGAGCTAATGGATCTACTCAGGGGACAGAGAGGAGGAAATGTCTGACAGCGGCTCTCACCTGTTATGTCTTCAACATCCGAGACAAAGTGCCTTTACCTCCGCTTACAAACATATTTCTGTGTCCACTGAGCCTGACAAGGGGAGGGGGAGACAGACAGTTACATGTCTGACGCGTCAATATCGAGCGTACTTGACTGGTTGGCAGCAGCAGACCGTTCTACAACTGATGGCCGCCATTTCCTCCGCAACGGGTGCAACTTCTCACGGGGCCCGAAGGAACGGTGTGTCCGTACAATGGTTCCGACTGGCATTTTATTCCCACAAACAATTTGCTACAGCACAAATAAAACATCTGTAAATACTTGCTGTAATGTGTACAGAGTAAAATAAAATGAATAAAATACGTTTCATAGTCTACGTCATGATGAAAACACCACACTAATTAGCAAAGGGTTGTCACGTAGGTCTATTCATTCTGCTGGAAAATAAATCATTTGATAGGAAATGTGCATTCAATCTAACGGCGAGTTAAAACGGTGTGTTCACAGAGTTTAAACAAATGTAGGTCGTCATTTGAAGTTGTACAGGACTTTTAGAAGACAGGCTGCTTTAAAACATGTTAATTGACATATTTTCCATTCGTTGAGCGCAATCGTTTTGGCTTGTTGTCAACGGAAGGAAAAGCAACAGTGGAACTAATGTCCAAGTCGCATCCATCGCCCGTACCTGTCCCATTAACCCCGGAGTCAACATGCAGAATATGATTACCAACATGAGTACCAGTTGTGTTGGACCCTAGAATCCCCATTAGATATTGTATTCTTAAACATCAAGTTGCTCTGCTCTCGAATGAATGAGTCTGTGTGCGCTATAACGCATAAACTAAACCACTTTTTTTGTTTCTCCCAACCAGGAGCAGAAGGACACAATACTCCAAAACTCTTTTTTAAAGTATAACCCATCTGCTTCTGCTTCACGCCGCTCCAGCGGCCGCAACCAGCGGTCTGATGGGAAGAGCGCGTTTGGTTTTCATTAGACCGTCTCGGCACTGACCCGATGCCCCATCCGCAGTAATATGAAACCAGAGCGGCTGGCGGGCGCACTGCGCGCAAAGAGAGCGCCGAACAGATGCAGTCTGCGCCGCTTCCACTCACCCGCTCGGCAGGTTTCTGACCGCGCTGCCGCACACTGCGCCAGGAGCTGCCCACGTATAGTGACGCGCCACCCGGACGGCGCGATGGCCAAGGCGTGATTACCCACGGGCCTAGATGATAAACCCGCGCGGTCTTCTCCGAGGGATTTACTTTGTTTGTTTGTGTGATTTGTGCAGCCATGGCGTGCTGTCAGGCTCCCCGCGGTCTACGGAGAGCGGATCGGGGCTTCGCTCCTCTGTCGGCTGCAGCGCTCCTCAGCTTTCTGGTCGCAGGAATGCATCAAACCACAGCGTTTCCCTCCTGGAGGTTAGAGGTATGCTGTGACCACTTCGTGATATGCAACAGATGAGACTGATGCGTTGTTTGCTTTGTCCTTTTAAGTAAGTCGTGCAGTTAATCATGAAATTGTTTTATTTAAACGCTATATTTAAAAGTCGGTGATTTGCAATAAGTTTATGTCAAGATACATCGAAGAATGGCTTGACCTCTTTTTACATTTTAAATTTGGCGTGAATAGTAGTGTTATATACGATGCAAACTTCACTGCACCAAGTAGCTGGTTGTGAACCAATTACACTGAAATTAAGTGATACTCGGTGCATGACCTGAATTCTCCAAACGTGCATAAAGATTGTGTAAAGTATAATAAAATTTGACAGAGAACACGGGTATCAGGATAAGGTCTGAAACAGATTTAATTATTTTTCTTTCACTGTCGATAAGCAGACATACTGTCCATGTCATTTCAATCATTTCTCTAGTATTTTCAAACGTAGTGACATCATCACTTGAAATTCCTCAGTCACAGCTCGTGGCAATGCATCAGGCCCCATTCGATTAGGCAATGGGATGGATACAGTAATGGTACAGTAAAATCTTCAGTCAGTTGGATAAGTGTGTCTGCGATCACGTTATGTCATTTCCTTCGCCACACACTCTCCTTTTGTGTCAAGACGACTGCTGAGGATTACACAACTGCCTGGCTTCTACCAGAAGGAATTACAGCTTAAATTAAACACATATTAGGGTCTAAATTGATTTCTTCCTCAATAAAGTGAAGTCAAAACGCAATCAGAGTATTTAAATGTGTTTTATTTTGTGCACACTTAAATACAATACACTATTTATGTTACTTAAAATCTACAAACTCAGAACTTATTTCATGAGAAATTATGAACAGAAAACAGCTTTTGCTTCTCTGGAACTCTTCTTAGATTTGTGCCAAAGTCGGACATTGGATTTGCAGTAAAAATAACAAGATGTGAGACTGAAAGAGTTGCGCTGGCTTCCCTACGTTAAACACGTCATAAATCACAGGACACAGTTGTGTAAGGTATGAGGCCAGGAAGGCAACGGTTGGATAAAACAATGACGATACGTATAATGCAACACAGGAACAATATATTTAAGGTCAAAGCAGGAGAGGCCGGCACGTCCAACAGCAGTGGGACAGCAGACTGCCTGCCCCCGTTTCACTATTTTGATAAGGAAATGAAGGAAGTACGGCTTCCATTTGCCTTGACTGGGCGAAGCAGGAACAGGAACCAGAGTTTAGGGGCCAGAATACAAAGTGGGTGTCTTTTGCTCTCCATCTTCAGTGCTTTTACCAAGTAAGACAACATGGACTGCGGCATTTGTTGCATCCGTCTACCTGTTGTTACCCGATAAGACTGATTCTCCTTGTTTTAATTATGACAGCGTTCTTAAGAAGTCCAACTGTGTGCTTATGCATGAGTGCCACTGCAATGTTGTAATCCTCCTGGTGTTATTAGAGGCCTTGGTACGTGTTAAACGAAGCAGAACTTATTGGGTGTCACGTTAAAAAATAACATCATGGAGATGAGTGAGACGTGACAATTGGTGCATTCATCCCCCGCACATCTTTCCAGTCAGTGTTGCACCCGGTTGTTCATTCAAAGCAATGGCAGTGCTGGTGGACTGGGCATCGCTCCCATTAAAAGGCCTCTGCGTCTTATTTCAGTCGTGGGACGTCCCTAGTGGCAGTAGTTGTATGAAACAGACTACTTTCACACCTCCACACACACACACACACACACACACACCTGGCCAAACACCTTACAAAGAGAGATCGGTTGTTTGAGTGTCTGCTCAGATGCTCAGATGTTCAGATTCCAAAGGTGGTCAAACAATCAAACAAATGATTTTGAATAATATTGAGGCCCTTGCACTTCTCATTGGGATGCTCTGTTTTTTTGCCTCAAATCTTACACTAGATTTGCAGTGGTTGCTCTGGTCAGTCTGCAAAGCACATAGTTAAGATTAAAACGCTGTTGTTTAAGTACAAAGTGGCGAATAAGCGCCGGTATGTATCACCGCTTATACGTCACATGATCAGTTTTAACGCACGTCTCCGTAAAATTCCTTAAATGCATCAGGTAGGACAGGAGGTGTTGCTCCTCTCCCGCACAGAATGGGCTCCTCGGGTCAGAGTCACGTCCCGACTTCATCATTTATGCCCGTCTCCATAAAAAGCGATAGATTTGATCAACTGCGTGATCACTGTTATGGTCTATTGCACCCAAGGAAAACCACAGCCTCAACCACAGAATATTAACGAAAGCAATGAAATAAAATAAGAAAACACACAGGCGGCCTTTAAAATGCAGCAGAGTTCAGGTGTGTTGATTTGGAGAATACATTGCCCACCCCCAAAGGGACATCAGACACGGCTTATCTGTTAGAAGGCTCGTTCTTTATGTGTGGAAAGACCCTTAACTTTCTGACCACTTCCCTGTTTCTGTGGGATTAGAACGCGTGACATTCAGACGCGAGGCACCGAAACGCGAGCAACCGAGCGCAGGCGTAACCGTCAAGATTACAAATGAGGTTCCCGTCAGTGGGAGGTGATTAACGAAAGGTTTTTCTTTGTCCAAGGAAGAAGCTTACACCACTGTGTTGATCATCGGGATCCGGAAAGAGGCCCAGTCACAAGTGCTCCACCTCTCCAGGAACAAGCGCTACACCCTCACCCCCGAGCAGCTCAAGTGGGACAACTTCAAGCTGACATACAAGTATTCCTTTGCAATTCTCCCTCTAGTTAACAGCAAACAACACCAAAATAAAGTGTAATAGTAAACTTGCAAAGGCTTGTTTGCATTCATCAAAACCTTTACCATTCTAAACCAAAACTCAACCTGCATGAGTAAAATAATAACTTCATCTGCTTCATGTTGACAGACCACCTGATCCCTATCTGATTTGAATCCAAAGTATCCATATCAGTCCAAGCCTGGCCGAGATATGAGAGAATAAGTAATGGAGCTGTACTCGCAGAGCTCGTGGGAGTTCTTGTCTGAACAGTAGCCATTGTGCTTTGGCACATCCCCCTTGCTGTAGAGGAATGTGTGTAGAGACGCGTAATAATCACGCGACGCTGTCGTTTCTGAGCAGGTTGCTCTCCTTCCCCACCAACTTGATCAATGCCAGCGACACGCGGCGAGGCATCGCCAAGGCTTTTGGCTTGTGGAGCGACGTCTCGCCGTTCAGCTTCAGAGAGGTGCCAGCTGACCAAGAGGCAGACATGAAGATCGGTGGGTACTCTGCACGTGGCCGCGTCCATCCCCAACAGATGTCCCCCCCCCCCCCCGGCGGCTCCAGACTCCCGCTCCGTCGTGACTTAAGCCTCCAAACACCATTAAAGCAAACCGCAACTGTGTAACCGGGCTTGTTTTCAACGTGATTCATAAGTTGAAAAAGAAGCCCTAATGGTGCTTTATCTGTCCCTTTGGGTGCAAACTCAAGGGTCCTGCATAAATTCTCAGGGACAGCGAGAGGAATGCTCGTCATCCCGCGAGGTGAAGGCTGATGAAAACGCTCTGTTTTTTTGTAATTCATCATTCCCCTGCCGTTGTCTACACGGAGCAGGAGTAATGGATTGAGGGCTTCCCTCCTCGGCTCTGAGGTATGTCTCTCTCTGTGTCTTGGCAGGCTTCTACCCCATCAACCACACCGACTGTCTGCAGTCCTACTTGCACCATTGTTTCGACGGCATCACAGGAGAATTGGCTCACGCGTTCTTCCCGCCAACTGGCGAGATCCACTTCGACGACCACGAATACTGGATTCTGGGAAACATGCGCTTTAGCTGGAAGAAAGGCATGTGTCTTTAGCGTGTTTGTTGAAACTGCTTAAATGCAACCCATGCTCAGCTTGGGGGGGGGGTGCAGTGCAACCGTAAGAGAAAATAATCATATGGTATCTATGTTGCAGGGGTTTGGCTAACGGATCTCGTACATGTGGCAACTCACGAAATTGGCCATGTCCTCGGACTCATGCATTCCTTGAACCCAAAAGCTATAATGCACCTGAATGCAACCCTGACAGGGCGCAAGCAAATCACACAGGACGAGGTGTGGGGCTTGCACCGCCTCTACGGTACGTTGACGACCCTTCTTTCCAATCGCCAGGACACAAAGGAAAGCTCTTCTTTGGGGATTTTGCCAATTGTGAATACATCTGACGACTGTCCCAGTCATCCGGACACAGGGTGTCTGGAAGTAGGAAGTGGTAGTTCCTCCAAAAACGTAAACCACTGAAGCCTCTTGAATGAATGAAAAATGGTCTGGTGCTGTGACCAGACTACATAATAGGCCTGGCGGTCTGATCATCATCGCCGATCGTCTCTCAGCCAAATGAGGGCAGGAATTTAAGCAATGGCTTCATCTGCTACATAAAAATATCGTGCAGTCTGATCCCAGTATTACGTCTTGGGAAGAACCAGCTGTGCAAAACCTCTAAAAGCCCCGATCCAAATGTTGGACCCCGGCCAGCGCGAATGCCGACCACAGTCTGTCTTCGACGACTGACTAATGAATGTTGTATAAACTACGGGGTGTATTAAGATGAGTCGTCCTCATTGGAACCAAAAGTAGATCTGAGATTCCAAAACTTGTCTCTGACTCGCTCCGTCTGTCCCTCTCCTCCAGGATGTTTGGACCGGTTGTTTATCTGTCCGGCCTGGGCTCGGAAAGGCTACTGCAGCAGCAAGCGTAAGCTGATGCAGAAGCACTGCCCCTCCAGCTGTGATTTCTGTTACGGTAAGATACAGGGGTGGTGTGGGGGTGGTAGTTGAGCCACGGAGGCCAACAGGCCCGTGCAGAGCCGATCTGGGGTTTCTGAAGAATCCGATTTAAAGGGAGGTGAGGGTGTGGGCGGGAGAGAACATTACACTTGCCGCTGGAGGAGTTTGTCTTTAGCTGCTCAGGACTCCCGCGTCTGAAGAGCAAATGGCTCCACTTCCCCGTCGCAGCCTCGTACATACGCTGTTGTGGCTTTTGAGGGGCTGAGTTGGCAACGGGGTTCATCGTGGAGAGAAGCGAAGAGGACGCGATTCCTGGCTCGCTGTAATCTGCTCCTCCTTGTTGATTGGGAGACGTTGTACGGCTGTGGAAAATTCCTGAGCGACTTCGAAACCGCTGGAATTTCAGAGTGTGGCTTCGGGGGTTAGAGACACGCGAGGTCCATTTGGAGTTTTGCGGCATTCGCGAGAGCAAAATCGGGCAGGCGGACTGCGGTTTGATCACCAGGCGGCCTGCTGTGTTTCTGCGTGCGTGTCAGAATCCAGATGGGAGAGATTACACCGATAAGACAACGAGACTCTGGGTGAGGAGTCTGTGTCAAATATGTTGACAATAATCAGAGTTATTGTGAACATATATCGAATACACAAGCAAAGGATCTGTTGTGTTCAAAATGAAGAAACGGCGGACGGACAAAGGACAGCGCGGATCGAAAGGTTAAAATCAATAAAAGTATTTAACAAAAGAAAAGGGTGTTGTGGTAAAAAGAACATCCCAGCTGAGCTAACAGGCCACAGGGCCCGTTGACCCCCCACAGTGTCCGTCTGTTGCCTCCACCAGCGAACGGGAGAACAATGGTTGCCTACAGGTATTTATACCGATCCGCAAAGGTGTGAAAGTCAGTGTCCACACCTCTGGGAGTGGTCTGCTGGTGAGTTCAATGTAACTCTGATTTCAATGTCTCTCAGTCAATACCAGTTGTGGTGCAAGTATTACATGCATGCATTCCAGTTGATCACATTACATACAATTATAACTGTACATTGATGTTATTCTATTACAGTTTCAAAATTACAGTGGTTTTACAATATTGTCATTACATTATTGGTTACAGTTTCAGAATCATGGCTGTATTCTGGTGTACACTCAATGTATTTTATTCATTTATAAACCGGGTCGTCAGTTTATTTCCAATATCCTACAGATCCTCTTTAGTCATAATTGGAGTTTTTAAGATCACAAAGCGGTCTGATCGTCTCACACTGAGGTGTTTCCCTTCCGTTTGCTCTCCAGAATTCCCGTTCCCCACGGTGGCTCCCACCCAGACCCCCCCGAGGACCAAGCACAAGCTCGTGGTCGAGGGCAAGAAGCTCACTTTCCGCTGCGGGAAGAAAATTGCGTCAAAGAAAGGCAAAGTGTAGTGAGTATCTCTGCGATGTGTTGCCGGCCCCCGTTAAGCGCAGCGATGGTGGGGGGGTGTGGGGGGGCCCGTCTAACGCGTGACTCCCGTTTCGTTGCAGCTGGTACAAGGACGGCGAGCTGCTGGAGTTCTCTCACCCCAACTACATCTCCCTGAAAGACGACCACATCACCATAGTGGCCAACGCCATCAACGAGGGCACATACACCTGCGTCGTGAAGAAAAGAGAGAAAGTCCTCACAAACTACTCGTGGAGAGTGCGCGTGCGTTTCTGAGGGCCTCGCCGCACATGTTTGTTTGAATAAAAGAAATACAAGCTCTTTCTTCCCCCGTGTCTTCCACGTCTAGAGGCGATTGTCGTCGTGTAAATGAGTGCGTACGTGTGAAAGATGTGATTTCATCTGCTGATTCTTAAGGCCTGGGTTTCTAAGCGCTCGCTGCTGAGGCAGCAGTGGTCCAAGGCAACGCAGGGATCATTGAGGCGTCCTCAGTAAACGATGAACTTATTATAGATCACTTTTCATATGCAGTGAACACACGTGACACCAAAAGGCCTCCAAGTCTCTGAACGTATGTGTGTTCAGGGGTTTCGAAGCCATTGCTTTGCACACTGAACCAAGTTAAACGACTTCAGCCGGAGGAAACACTGCCGTCCACGTCCTTTGGAACCATTTGGACCGTCGGCCACATGCAGACACCTCAGACGTCTAGCAGACTTTACAAGCCTCACACGGGAGCCAGGAGCAGCGCCCTGCCAAGCTTCTCCAACACATCAGGTGCAATCATCTGCGTCAGGGCTCCAGGAGGGGAGAAACTGGTAAATGAACACTTCCTTTTAGCTCAAGGCATCCCAGGACATTACTTCTTTGTGCGCTGGTTCTTGCGAAAGCGGCGTGCGGTCTGCATGGGACTGAAAGTGAAGCGTGCGGTTTGTCTGTTTTCTGCTCGGAATCAGATAAGTTGGTTTAATTCTAACGTTGCAGAGCCACTTCAAAATAACAGCAGAGCAAAGTCTGGGCCTCTGGCCCCTGAAAGAACAAAGTACTGAGACAGAGTGTGCAGCGCAAAGAATGACATCACTTTTGGACAGCGACTCTCAAGTTGGGTTCAAGGCTGGATTTTTTTTTTTCTCTCGTTTTTTTTTTTTTCTCTCCTCTCGCGGCGCACGGTTGTGTTTGCATAACTTGGACGGGGTTTATAAATATAGGCAAGGCGGCAGACAAAACAAAGTTTCAGATTTTATTTCTTGTAAAAACATCGTCCCCCTGGCATCGAGTGACATTGACAGAGAAAGTAAATTTCTAGCATGATGCTGGATGGATCATTATACAGTAGCTCAGGCAGCCAGGAAATACCAACCACTTAGAAAAAATCTGCTCCTCTCTCGTAAAATAAAACAAAAGGTCAAACATGAGCGCTGAACGTCTAACGAATGTACGGTCTAGTCTCCTCTTTAAAGAGCAACAATGGCCACATTTAAAAATGGTTTGAGAAGATTCATTTCGGAAGATTCAACACGTTGGAGCCACCGGTCTTGCTGTGAGACAGTCCCGACCACTTTTGGTAACAGTTGTTTAAATGTTCAGAGAGTCATCCGGTCCATAGCTGTGTACCAGGGACGCTGTCCTACTTCCAAACGAGCAACAGGTCCCAGATGTCTTTGCTCCCGCTGCCTGGGATAGACAGCCAGGTATCGTGCAGCTCTGGCCTCAGAACTTGAGGCTGAATCCCGGGCCGACTGCCGACACTCCCTGGTTGCTGGTCGTCAGGTGGAAGCCGGTGTCTTTGAGGTCGTCGTCGCCGCCCTGAACACATGGAAACAGCGTTAACGCGCGCTTTCATCGCTCCTCTGCGGTTTCATTTATGGACACAGTGCTGGCTAGCTTTTGAAAAGAAAAACCTGCATGAACACCTTTATTATTCACATTCCTATAGTTATTTTTCCCGGTTTCAGTGGAGTTTCATTCAAACTCAATTCTTTCCTTCCACAAGCTTTTCCAGAGGAATAAAGCAGCGATGAAAACACAAAACCTTTTGGCGTTTAACGGTGTGACTTATTTTGAAGACAAAATGCAGAAATTCCACTTATATTTAAATACATCAGTATCAGCAGTGAGCTTCTGGGTGGGTCGGACCGCTGCTGAAGAAATTATGGACTAAAGGGCGAGCATCATAAAAGACACGAGGAGGAAATAGCCGGACACAAAGCAGGAGCCGGTAGCTCGGTAATCTATTCAGCATGGCCGGCGTTCGGAAAGCCTGGTAGCCGCGTGTAATGGAGAAAGTGGAGCCTAATGTCCTTACCAGTTGACTGTAGCCCAGTCCTCCCTCGGGGGGACGGGGACTGGTGCCTCTCTTCACCCTCTGCTGCTCGCTCTTGGCCGGCCAGGTGGGGAACATGGACGGCTCGATGGGCAGCGGCTTCTCCCGGAAGTACTCGTGTTTGAGCCCCTCGTCCGATAGGATCCGCTTACTGGGGCAGTAGGTGAGGAATCTGGAAGAAACAGTCGATTCATACGGAGAGGCCAACGCACTTCACACATGTTTTCAGTACAGACCCACAGGTAACGTTCAGCTTTAATTGGAGTGTGGAATGCTGGTCTTTGCCTATGAACGGTCTGTGTGAAGAATGAAGAATAAAAAAAACCTTTTTCAACGTGTCATGTGTAGAGATCCACGCTATGAAATAGCATTTATAAAATATGCTGGCCAAACTAAATCCAGACAGACAATCTGGGACACGGAGAGCCGCTGGGTTTGTGCAAAAAGTCCTGATTGCTTGAGACGGGATCAACGCAGCACAATGGGGAGCTCCTCGGTTGTGATAAAAGCGTGAAAGAGAGGGAACACCACCGCGTTGTATCAAATGTGGAAGGAATCTTCTGGATTAGACTCATTACCACTGTTCTACACGGGGCCAACGCTAGTGTAGACTGACAATCCAATTTGAGGACAGCAGGCGCTTCCTGTTCCTCCTCCGCACCCTCGGGACCCAGGAGCCTTTTGACCACACAGACTTATTCAGACCTGTGATTGTGATCTGGCTGACAACATCCCAACAACGCCTACAATTTGAAATAAGAGCAGATTCAGGGCACCATAAGCCCCGTTCCTCAAACACTGTCCCACGCAAGGGGGGGGTGTGTGATATTTCAAACCGCTCAACAAAACAGCACTTCTCTACGTGCTGAACCCCCAGAGGCATAAATCTGTCCCCGTGTAAACGCCTCGGCGAGTCCTCCAACAGCTGGAAGGCTGCAGCTGCGCTGGACTGGCGCCAAACTTCCACTGAACCGCGATTCCCTCCCTGGACATGCTGCTGCTGCTGCCATCCTCTGCAGCTGTGGGGGTAACCGAGCGGCGCGGCTCTCATTTACAGGTGTAGGCAAAAGGGAGCCACTGAAACAACGCTGATTTATGGAATTGTGAAGCCGTTACTTGCACTGACTGGCTAAGAAGTGCTGGAAAGAGTCAACAGTACTCAACGGGGCAACTTCAACTGTAGGACTCCTGATGGTTTGAGATGGTAGCTGTTGGTGTTTCATTGACATTGGTCTCGTCTATAACCCAGTTATCCCCACAGCTACGTGGTCACATGCACTGACAGAAGCCACCTGGTAACCTGCAGACCCGGTGCAGTGAGGACGCGGCGGGAGGTGCAATGTGGTGTCTTGTGTGTGTGGAACGAGGCGGTCCGATAGAATCCTACTTGTTCATGAGGTCAAAGCCCTGATCCGAGAGCAGCGCTCCGAAGCGTTTTCGCAGGTGGTTGTAGGGGTACTCTGTAAAAGTCATCTTCTTCACAGCGGGCAGCTCGCCATAGCCGGGCCAAATCTTCTCGCTGGGCGACCCCAGATCCTGCAGACGGCACACGCGCACACAAGTCGTCAGACAGCTTATTGTTAGTGCAAGCAGAGATGGATATGAGATATTTCCACTTTGGCAAATGGTATTTGTCCACCACAGGCAATATACATGGCTATAAACCAGCCCTAAGTACATTTCAAGAACTGGTTAAGACTGTAGGATGACTTAGGAGGCCTGGATGACATCAGTCTTCATGGCTGCCATGCTTTAAACAGACCATAAGGAGGGCCGATCCGTGAGCGACTAGACTTGTGTGTCCGTGCTGGAGATGGAAAGCTGGGATCTTTGTTTAAGTGTCTTTGGTTTCTGATCTCAGTTCCTGTGTTGCCCTGTGAAGTTTACCTTCCCTTGTACTTTCACATATCAGCCCTATTTTACTGTCGCATGATGCAGATTCATCTCAGGTATCAGAGATGCAGTGGGGGGTTGATTTTGTGGTTATATAAATCAGCACTGATCTTTATGACATGGACACATTCCGCTCTTTTTTGGAAAGAAAAGCACTAATGAGCCACAGAGCAGAAAATGGCAGCATTCCTGCACCGTGACACCTCGGATACGACACCAAGGTAAATGGCTTCACCTTGCTGCGCTGTGGAAAAGGCTGCTCACGGCCGTACAGGACTACGTCCCCTACTATGAAAAAAACCCTCCTTATAATGGTCTTCATGATGGTTTGATAATAACTCCATGCGCTGGTTTAGCGGCTACCGACAGCTCCCCCCAGTGGTGACCTCCTCTGACAGACGGCACGCTCAAGAGAGTTACAGCCTCTAAACCAAAGGGCTGTGCTCTTCTTCGTGATTTAGTCTGGTTTATGAGGGAAAATGAGGGAATTTACCTTGAAGATCTTGTTAATTTGGTCGATTTCAGATTTTCCAGGGAAAAGAGGTTTCTGGGTGAGCAGCTCGCCAAATATGCAGCCCACTGACCACATGTCCACAGCTGTGGAGTACTCCTGTGGAGAGACAAACAAACACAGTGGCAGTCCGCAGGAACACATAGTAGACAGTTTGTCTGGCAAGGTTCTACGTTGGACGGGTTACTGTATGCGTGTGAGTGTGTGTGTGTGTGATTTGCTCTGATGGGCTGCTGGATCTCTATCGTCTAGTTGCGTAAATCATAAAACTGTAAAATTTGAATAGTGTTTCAGCGGTATTTGGCATCTTAAAGAATAGTCTTGTTTTAGGAATAACTATTTGGGTAAACCAAATAAATCCAGATGGGGAAACCAAAGTGCAAAGTAGTTTATATTTGGACGTTCAGTAATTACGTGGCTTTCTCCCTGTGGTTCCTGGGAAGTGTGGAAGTGGGCTGAGGGGTAATTCTCACCTTGGCTCCGAGCAGCAGCTCTGGTGATCGGTACCACAGGGTCACCACGACGGGGGTGTAGGGCTTCAGGGGGGAGCCGTACTCCCGGGCCAAACCAAAGTCGCCAATCTACGGGACGGGACGGAAAGCCAAACAAACAGCGGTCAGACAAAACAATGCCTCGCTATTGATAGCGTGTTTCATCATGAGCTTTCTGGAGGAAGTAAATGACCATAAACTCGGGTTCTGGATTATCTCATTGGATTTGAAAAACAACACAATGCACTGTAATTCATTATTTATATTGTCAGCTTGCAGAGAACCCAAACAGACAAATGTCTGTAAAAACATTAAATATTTAGACGTGGACTCTTATTTCTGCCTTTTGTATTGCCAAATATTCTTGCTCGGATAGACTTTCAACAATCACATGCAGTTTGTGTAACTGTGATGTATTGTGTCTGAGAAAGATGGATTTAAATAATCCTTCGCAGGAGTTTCGAGAGATGGATCTTTAAATGGAAATGTAATTAACGTAAGGGATAGGCTTTTCTTTCTTCCATACATTTTGTTTGATAACGTCTTCTTACGTCCCACTGTTTAAAAATTCAACCTTTCTCAATAGCAATGATCCCTGAAAGGAAATGCAGAGTCGACTGTAATTCGACTCCCACAGCAATAAAAATCAACCAAAAGCAGGAGTATTTGGGCAGATGGTTGTAACTAGCAGACCTCCTAGACCCTGACAGACATGTATGCATGTAAATGAAAAAAGGAGTGATTCTATTAAACAACGGTTGCAGAGCTTCCTCCACAGACAGTAGCAGTTGGCAAGGGAGCAACTAGCTAGCGAGCCTGTTGGGTTTGCGGGGGCCGGTTTAGAGAAGGCGTCTCTCCGGGCTGACTGTACCTTCAGGATGCCCTTGTGGCTCAGCAGCAGATTGGACGTCTTCAGATCCCGATGGAGGATCCAGTTGTCGTGGAGATGTCGGACACCTCGCAGCAGCTGAATCATCAGAGTCTTCACTTCACCTGAAAGAGAGGCGGCATCCTTTAACAGAGCTTTGGTCCTACGTACATAAAAGGAAAACAAAGCAAAGGCAGAAGAACATTTTTATTCCATTGAACTTTTTATTTTTACAATAGAGCCACTCTACCTGGCAGGAAGGGCTGCTTCATGGTTTCCATCAGACTCTTCAGGTCATGTTCCACGTAGTTCATCACAATGTAGATCTTGTCCATATTGCTTCCAACAACGATTTCCTAAGGCAGAGTCAACGCAAAGGTTAGATTTCCCTACAACACATAGCGATGTACCGCTAGCAGCCACGTTCTCTCACCCTCACTGTGACGATGTTTGGGTGCTGAGCCTTTAAGATTGTATTGATTTCTCTTAAAGAGGTGATGGGGAAGCCCTCCTTCTCCTTTTCCATCTTCAACCTTTTCAAGGCCACAATCTCATCTGCAAACAGGAGGTTGCGTTCATTGTTTCCCCAATAAACAACGCGTGGGACCACACAGGGAGCACATGGAGCAACACGTACCCGTTTTTTTGTCTTTGGCTCTGTACACCACGCCGTAGGTACCCTCCTCTATTCGGTTCAGGCATTGGAATTCCTCAACGCTGCGACAACCCTGAAGAAAAAAACGCAACGTGTTGACTGAAAAAACCCGCACTCCATGATTACATATCGCATGAAACAGCGAGCGGCCGGAGGAACGTTTTGCGGCACGCTGGCACCGACCTGTAAAGCAGGCAGATACTTGGGCAGCTCCTTCTTCAGCTCCACGGGGGACATTGGAGGGGAATCTGGGATGTAGTTCTCTTCGGGGGTCGGGGAGCGAGAATGAGTCTGAGACTGAGGAGTGGGGTCAGCTTCTCCTGCATCCTCCTCTTCCTCCTCCTCCTCCTCCTCCTCTTCGTCTTCTTCTTCTACTTCTTCCCCCTCCTCTTCCTCCTCCTCCTCCTCTGCATCCATGTCTTCACCGCTCTCCTCAGAGTCGTGATCGAAGCGGGACTCTGGCACTGTGAGGCCAAGTGGGAAAAAACAGCTCGATCTTAAAGAGTTTTTGAGTTTAGTCGTGCAGCAGTCAAAACACTTTTAACATTAAAAATGATATTTTAGAGGATCTATTCTTTCGGTCTAACAAATACTAATACTTAAAAGGGTATATATTATGAAAGTCCCCTTTGATAGGACTTCTACACGTTAAACAGCTTTGGGGGGATTGCTTACGGGGCCGGACCGCGTACCGGCTTTTCATTGTGGTAAAAAGGTCATAATAAATTCACCTTTAAAAGTTCGATGACATCTTTGAATTGGGAGCACAGAAATCACAGGTCCACCCACCTGCAGGTACGTGATTTCCGTTTTCTCTCTCGTCTTCAAATTCTTCGGCTGACTGCTCGTCCTCGCTCACGTCCTCTGAAAGTGTGGAAGCCGCCACGTTAGTGAAGGCGACTCACTGACAGACGTCACGACACATTTTTTTTTCTTCTTACAGCTTTACCTGCACTCTGCTCGGACCGTCCAGAGCCTGAAACAGACTCCTCTTCCTCTCCTTCACCCTCACTCTGGCTGCTGGACTCCTCTTCATCATCATCACCCTCCTCTTCAGAGCCTGATCCCGATGCTAGACAAGGCGGCAAGATACAAGAGCGATTTTTAAGAAAAGATAAAAAATGGGAGCGATTTCACTGAAATGCTGAATGTTATCTGAGGGTTTTGGTTGTGTTGGGAATGTGTGTGAAGCACAACTGCTGATCTACTTATTCTGTATCGTTCATTTCAAAGCTTTAATGACGAACATAATTGATTATTTTTAATTATCTAAATTGTATAGCGGTTTAAGGTGTACGCTTTGCTCAAAGAGCAGGTTTTATAAGCCCTTACCGACGGAGGAACCTCCTGAGCTGGTCTTCCTCTCGCTGCCACTGATGTCCTGGAGATCTGCGAGCAGGTCTTTGCCCTCTGGCTTCTCCTCCTTTGGCGCTGCGGACAAAATGTTCTGCTGAAACTACGAGTTTGTGCAAATACGGATATCAACAATAACTGATATTTTGAAATATAATGTTATTACCCAAAGAACAATGTGCTTTTACGTCTATAGACTCACACCCTGCATCCTTATACCCGTAAGACGTTGCCCAAGTGCACAGCTAAGCATGTATAGGACATAATAATAAGACGACAAGACATTTTTTCAGAAGTGAATTTCCAATGAATGAAATGTATAAACTCACGTGCACTTTTCCGAGGTTCGCTGAGCTCAGATCTGTCTCGGGGAATGCGGTTGGGACTTCGGCTGTTGTGGCTTTGTTTGGGTTTGTCCCCATACTCGTCCGGTAGCATCCGATGGTGAGACGGCACTGAGGACAGAAAAGTCTCTTATTACTGCACGTGTGTATGCATACACACATATATGGTGTCCTATTTCACAGGGTTTAAAACACAATGCTGACAATTGGGCTGCTTTGGATCTTGAGCCTTAAGGAATCATTGAACCTCTTACATTTAGTACGTTTAGTCTAGCTTAGCACAAAGAGTGAAGGCAGGTGGGAAAATGATAGCCTGGCTTCACCTCAGGGGAAAAGATGTGATTCTTGTCCAGCAGGCGTTTGTGTTCACTCACTGACCTTCTCGGCGACCGCCTCGCTCTTTGCGCCGCTCCTCGGCTCTCCTCTCCCGCTCCTTCAGCTCACGTTGCTCCTTCTGTTGTTCGCGGAGCTTTCTGTCTCGCTCGCGCTGGCGCTCCTGTTGTTCCAGGCGGTCCCTGTGGTCCAAAAAAAACCCAGGAGAGTCCAATCGGGGTCTGTCCAGACAACCAAAAGCCCCATCTTGTCAATGTTTGTTTGTTTGGAGTCTGGGTGGTCAAGGTACGTCTTGCTCAAAACATACAGTTAGTTTGTGGCCGCAACATTACTTTGTATTCGTCACAGTTGTACTCAATGATTAATATACTGAAATAAAACAACCCAAATGCATCTGGTGTTGAGATCCACTTGAGGCTGCTCGGTTTACATACATTTAAATGACTTATAAAATAAAACACACCAACAATCTTACCACTATAATAGTACATCACATTTACAACCAGAAGCTACAGATTTGAAAGGAAAAGAAATTTAAGAAGATTGAGTTCATGTTGCTCAAAGGCTTTAACTTACTGGAGGAGTAGAATTCTTACTCCAACAAGGCATTTAAAATCATGTTAACTGATACAAGAGGTATGAGTTATCAACTTGTACATATAGGCATGAGTAGATAATATGTGGTCATAAACCAGGACTGTGCTCACCTTTCTCTGCGTGAATGAGCTCTGGCCTGTTCTCTCCTTTTCTGCCTCTCCCAGTCTCGCCGGGCTTTGTCTTCCTCCCACTGACGCTTCCTGCGTTCGTTCTCTCGCTCTTTTTCTTTGTCTTTGGGTCGTACTTGTTTCCCTGCTGTAGAAGCAAAGAGCCATAAGTGGAAGCAAAAAAATGTTGTATTCTGCTATAAGTTATTGATTAAGAAGCACTTCCACACCTCCTTCTGCAGAGCTACTTCGATGACGTCTCTTATCTTTTCTCTTCTCCTCCTTTCGGTGGTGAGACTTGTCTTTTCTGGCTATTTGCTGTGGAGGCTTGATAGCCAACGATTCATCTTCCTCTGCCCTGTTACAAGTGTAAAGAAAACGTCGTGAGGGTCTAAAGAGTTGCCAACATTGTGCTGCACATCATTTTTAAACAATAATATACATACTTTGATGTTTTTTGTTTTGCTTTCATATTTTTCTTGTTTTGCAAATGGGCTACAACTGCATTTCTTTGTACATCCCTGCGTTGTATAATGACAATAAATGATCCTTGAATCTTTAAGTATGATGTGTTCTTCCACCAAGAAAATGCATCCATGTTAGTTTCTTACAGTTCCAAATACCTGTCCTCTGTGGAGTCCTCCCGTGTGTACGGGGAATTACGAATTGTTATTTCCATCTTTTGATCCCGTAGTTCTCCTTCCTCCGGAGTATCTCGTTTGGCTTCCCGATCATCCGACTGTGGAACAAGGACCTTTGTGGACTGTGGAAGACAAGAGCAGCAGAGAATGTGGGTAAAGCTTGAAACACTGTTCAAATGTCCTCAGCTCGTACTACAGGTTTCACTTGAGTTTTGGGATAAAAGACCTAAAGAAGGTGGATGATGACACCGTTTTTTACTTTTCAAAACTGAAACAAAAATAAATTCATGGCGCACCTCCAACTACCTAATAAACACACCTATTTCAATTCACATTCAATTATCAACAAATTTGGAATGTAGCCCAGAATATTTAAGTTTAAAAATATATATTAATACGTAAATAATATGCATAATTCCCACAAGAACCATTTTAATGTGATTCTAAAACAACATTTGGAGACTGGATAGTTAAACTCGTTTTCAGAAACACCAAACAATATTTAAGAAAAACACATCACAAATATGTTAAAGATATTAATAGTTGTGAGATTACAGAGGATACAATCTGTACGTAGTCAAGCTCACATTTATTACACAATCACCATTTCAAATCACGTATTTATAAACTTACCATGGTGAGTTTTAATGGAAAATTCTAAAACAAATAAAAATGAGGCTAGGATTAGAGTGACTTGCAACACTTTATCAACAAGTGGGTTTTCATTAAATGTGGGATAGTTTACATTTTTCTGGCGCTTGGGATCCGTTTTCTCTTCTAATTCTCTTCTTCGTTTTTTCTCCTGTAGAATTTCGTCAAGAGTTTTTACTTTCCAGGTCTCCTTTTCGTCCCCCATCAGCGTCCACTCTCCACCGCCTGCTCACGTCACACACAGAAACACACCATCGGTCATTGTCATTTAAAACGGACCAACACAATTACAACAGAGCCATGCCAGAGAAGCTACTGCCCATTTTACCTGGTCGTCTTTTATAATGATTCATTTAACAACCGTTGTCAAAATAGAACCACTTGCACGTTTCATGATTGGAATTGTGCGGCTTGTCAATGCAGGAAAAAGTAAGACGTCGCAGATTGGGGGTAAATTGCCATTCAAGATGTGAGATATTGAGAAATCGTTGGTAGTTCCGCAGAATGATTTTTGGACTTTCAAAATAAAAGTCGACTCATGTTATGATGGTCAACTCTCTCACCCGTTATTCGCCTGTTATTACCGATGCTGTCCCTCCAAAATGTAACGCGCGGACCATTTGCAAACACTTCTATTGGAAAAGTGACGCCAGTCGTGCGTCAGATTTGTAAATAGTTATTATAGGGTGAATTTAGACAAGTTTATCACGAGGAATCCCGTTATGTCGAGCTCATGTTTACGAAATTAAATGCACACCAGTTAGCTAGCAGGCAGCCAACGTCAACAGGCCCGTCGCCAGTAGCGCATAACCTTAACTAGCCAGCTACTTCGGCGTTGCTGTTGAATGGAGCAAATCTTGGTTTGAAAGATACCCGAACAACCGCACATTCAGAGAAATGGACGATGATTTAATTACTTCTATACTTAAACCCGCTGAGCGAGTGCAGGAGTCGGTGCTAACACATTAGCTAGTGGACGTTAGCTAGGTAAAACTAGCATGGTCGACTGTTGCTAAACAACTTCTGTAGCTAATTACGCGATTTTGAAGGGAATGGTTTGCAGAGCTGGCAGAGATATTCACTAAATAACACGTGTATGCGTATGTAGCTGTACTTAAAAGCCCGAGGACTGAAAACGATGATATTAGCCGGCGAGCAGGTGAAATGGTTATACAAACCTGATGTTTGCGCAGCGGTATTATGGCACACCGGAAGTCTGAAGGCCTGTGTAACGACTGCAAACCGTCCGACGTGAAACAACGACTTCCTTCGATTTAATATCATAAATTATAATAATATATAGCATAACATAACAATATGTTTTGTTATTAAAAATATTATGTATTTTATCAATTCTCTGATAGAAGCAAATGTATCCTTGAAAGATACTGTGTACTTTTCACTTGGTTTAAAAAATAATTTGTTGTGGGTTAAAAAAGAATCTCTTCATTATGACTACATTATTGAGGGTTTTAAAATTACTCGTTAGATATTGTTGCTCCTTGTCAGCTACATGTATATAATCAAAGCCACAGAAGGGACCTCGGAACTTCCTTTACAGACTCAAAATGATCAACGAAATATTCTGAACCATCTACTACCCCCTGCCGCGTAGGTAAATCATTGTGTAGAAATGCATGTGAATTTGCCAAATAGCAGCATTGCTTTTTTAAATTTATCACAGCCGATTCAGAAGCCTCATACAAAGTTATATTACATTCAACGCAATCACATCTTTGAGAGTATTGTAAAAATCTATACAACACAATGGTATTTTTGCTTTGGAATATTATCGGCACAGGATATGATAAAACCTAAGATAAACAAATCACGCGGAGCATAAAATGCCCTTTATCATTGAGAAAGAGTCATGTGAGAGAAGTTGAAGTGCAACCGTGAATTTATGAGAGGCTGACCTGTGAACACATTAACCCACGACCAAGGTTGTCATTCCAAGCAGCAGCCTCCTTCAGTAACAGTTTGGCTTTTAAAGGGAACAGCAGAGCTTCTCGGCAAGTCAAGTGTTTGCGACACATACAGGTGAGCACCATTTACATTTATTTGAAACTGGGGATTTCTTCTTTCAGTGACAACCATCAAATCACTGGTTTTGAGTCTTGTGGTCTGATTTAGCTGTCTACCAATTAAACGCTGTGAATACTTGTCTGACATGATTCATTTACACCTAAACTAATTTGATTTTCATACTATATCAAACTTTTGTACATTTTATTTAATCAAATTATCGACGTGTGCTTATTTTTTATGGCCTTTTTACAACGGTTACCAACATTAAATTCTCTTTAATCTGAATAATTTCGAGACATAATGATACCACATTCTACTCAACATCTCCTTTGTCCCCGTAGACGAGGGGACGTTACAGTGCTTAGTGGACGGCGATTCCAGGCAGCAGAGAAACCTCAGAGGAGGGGAAAGGTTACTTCCCTCATGGAGTCAAACAGTGTCGCTAGCGTGCAATATGATCGGTGGAACGAGGACAACATCAACATGAACGTAGAGCCAACCCAGTCTCCTGCGATGAGGTGAGACAAAGAGGCAGCAACGATCCAACTTTTTCTGATGCTGCAGGAGGACATACGCAGAGACAGTGGGACTAAACTCATGTTTAAGTTTGAAAGAGTAAAAAAAGATTTATTTCAAGTCACAAAATATCACATTTGCTTTTATAGCTGGTAAACTGTTTAACATTTACAGTCGCAATAAAGGGACTATATGGTCATGAAATAATAATAAGAATTACCTCAGTTGACCTAACGCTGTCTGATTAGAGTCTCTCTCTCTCTCTCCCTCTGTTGCACTTACAGGATCTACAACAGAGTGTGTAACGGCCGCATGGGAGTTGTGGTGAAGACTGCAGGAGCTTTGGCTGCACTGGTCTTTGTTTACATCCTGGGATACCTCACAGGATACTACGTCCACACGTGCTCAGGCTGAAGACCTGTCTGGAGAGAATAGCGCTGAAACTGTTTTGATAAACCAAAAATGTTAAACATGATGAACAAAATCACCAAAAAGGGGCCGTGTAGAACTCATCATCATCAGCATCATCATCTCTGTCTTCTTAGCCTCTTTGTCATCAGAGCACTCAGTTTGTCAGTATCTGGGTCTCCAGAGCAGAGGTCATTTCTTCACAGAGCCTTGCATCATGTCGAACCCTGACTGCCACCACCAGCATTGGCTTAATATTTTCTCTATGGCTGGCTCACTGCTGCAGGTGTTCCAGCGGGTTGAGCGGTTGAAGTCATTTGATTATGTTGACCTCTAATGGAACATCTTTAATTTTCAGTATCATGGAACGTATTCAAATAAAGTATTTGGTTTCTTTAAGCATTACCAATTTCCGTGATGTCAATTATTCAGCTATACCCCTGTTTGGTTACCAAATTATACAACTGACCAAATCCTAACACTGACCTTTAAAAACAAATCTTGGGTCTTCTGTCTGATCCGTTCTGTGCAAATGGCAGATCATGTAAACAGTCACAGAATGGCATATTACTAACCAAATAATTAGCTCATAGCATCAAGTAAAAACATCTCAGCCTACAGTATGAGAATATGAGGCTCAGCTGGGTGATTAAGTTCATTGCCATTTTTGTAATATCAACTCAACAGTATCAACTCCAATTCACTTTTACAGTCTTTGATTACCCTGTTATTATGAAGGACACCTTTTATAATGAGGAAGCAAATAGAACTGCAGTAGCAATAAAAAAAGGTCTAGAGAGCCAAAGAACAGAGTCCAGTAAATACAAATGTTGTCTGTCTATTTTTTTTATCTAAGTCTCACAATACCAATTTAAACCAAAGAGGTGTTTGAAATGTGAGTGTGATGCTGAAGGCTTGCCCTACTTCATTAGGTAATTTGGGAACAGATTTATTAATTGAACTTGCATTGGCACTGTCTTTTTCCCCAAATTATTTAAAATAAAATAATAATAAATTTGTTTTGATTAAACATAAGCGGTTATGGGTAGCAGGACTCAATATCAAAATGAAATAAATAAATAAATTTGATATTATATTCAATAAAACTTTTATTTCAGACTGAAGGTCCAGATAGTAAAAAACAATACAAAAATAAAGATAAAGAAGAAGAAGATATCGATTTTCATGCAATAAATTACCAATAAAAACGTTAAAATGGCAACTGGTGTACGGGAGAACGGGCCATGACATTCATTTACATAGTTATCATTACAGAACCTAAGCAGACTTTGTATTATTTACTCTTTTATACTCAGTGCTGTAGTGGTAAAATTAGAGGTGGGTAAACTCTGAATTTTGTGATCATACAGACCTCGACGCGATGCGATGCAACGCAACACAAAGCGCCGCGACTCTGTAAGGCTGTCCTGGCTATATTGCATTATGTTATCAGTAAAAGTCATATACAATCAATGACAATGAATAAATGTGTTAGTAGTTTGTAGTTTATTAAATTTAAGAAAACAGTAAAGAAAAGTATGTCAACACAACACAATTGCAGATTAAGAACTATCTACATATGGAGTCTCCTTTTTACAGTAGTGCCCAGAGGGCCTCCTTGTCCTCCACGTCAGGTCCTGCCTTGCACAGAGGAGCCATGAACCCCAGAACGCGTGTTCTGGGGTTCATGGCTCCTCTGTGCTTCTCCTCTCTCCATTGGACCTGGTGTTTCTCCTCTCCCTGTGCTCTCTGCATCATTGCCTGTCCTCTCACTGCCTGAAAAAACATCTTGAATTTAAGAGTTAACCAGTTAAGCAGCCTGTCAATCACACTGACAACATGAGTTAAAGAAACACTCATGTACTTGGAACATGAGTGTGTATGTCATCATAAAAAGCCTATACAGCATGTTTTTTCACATTGACAACTGACTTGTTTTCTAATCTACGCGTCACCAGGCGTTTTTCTTGTCCTTTTACCGTGCACGACCGTGCGTTTACCCTCCACTACAGCCCTGTTTATACTACTGTGCACAATTTATTTTGATGTTAACGTTGGTGTTTTCGACATAGGGGCCTAATCGCTGGGTTGATCATTTTTCATTTCATTTGTTCGGAATAAATAATAATAATAAGTAAAATGCGTCCTTGACTTTCTCTTACGAAACATCGCCGGGTCGTTGATTACTGTTACTTCGGTAGTTCGGTGACGGCGTTCGGCCCACTCGTGACCCGCAGCGTAGAAAGGCCACCGGGCGGCGGGGAAGCCCGTCGCTGTGATGTCAAAGGCCGGGCGGCGGGGAGGCGGATCTGAAGTGGCCCAGGACGTCCGACTCCAGCGTGCCTGAGCAAAATGAAACATGGATGAGGGGATCGCCGAAAGTTGGGAGGAAGCCGCTGACAGTGGGGTAAATATTAAAAGCCACAATTTAACACCAGCGAAAGTTGAATCTCGTCACGGTCGCGCCTTTATCTATACAGAGCTCGTATTACTAGCGTCGATCTACATCGACGGATCCCACGGGCCAACAATGTGGCTAAAGCTAGCGATAGCTTCAAGAAACTTGGCAAGCTAACGTCAGGTAGCACTTGGTTATAGCACTTTGGAGTTTGGCTTTCTTGAAGAAATTGCACTTTTCTTGATTCTTGTTGTTCTGGGCCTGTACCATCTTGGTTGGATGCCCTTATTGTAAGTCGCTTTGGATAAAAGCGTCAGCTAAATTGAAAAATATAAATAACGTTAAGTTGAGTTGGCGTTAGCTTGCGAGCCCGACAGGCTTAACGGCGGTTAGCTAACGCTAACTAGCCTAAATGACGTTTCCAACTCGTTTCGAATGAAATGACACCAATGTGTCCGACTATTGGCCAACTGCAACAAACTAACGAATCAGTTATAGCAACACGATGCAAGATAAAGCCACGAAATCAAGAGTTCCATGTTGAAATGCTTAGGTTGACTTAGCTGATGCTAAGCTAGCGATGTCTTTGATGGCTAACATGAACAGTCTATCAATTTAATGTTGGTTTATTGAAAGTCAAGATGGGTAACTTTGGTTAAATGTGTCCGGCGACGATGAACGTAAGAACGACGTTCATTCAACACGTTTGCGTTGAGGCTGGTTTAAATTACACCGTCTGCTTAATACTTCCAGCTCGCCTGACGTTAATTAACTCGGTGATTTCCTGTATCTAACGTTGGTTGACGTCGGCTAATCGTTGCTGCCATGTTGCCAACTTGCTGCCGCGGACGAACGGGGGCTGGCGTTGGTTACGACGCCAGCTTGTACCTGCTAACGTTTAGCTAAAATTAGCCGTCGTCAATGTAGTTTGGCAGAGTATCGGTAGCTCGTGACACCGATAGCGCGGCCCTGCCAAGAAGTTCGTGCGGACCTCCGGTCCGGGCCTCTTTAAAAGTTACTTTACTTTGTTTCAAACATCTCCACGCATACAATGCTTCTCGAAATCAGCCACTTTCTCTGCTAATGTTGGCTAAATAAATACATATTTTCCGTGGCAGCAGCTGTGCTACGCGTGTATAAATAGCTGGTAACTGAATCCTGCTTTCCCTCTGAAGTTGCTCTCCGACTCGCTCACAACTTGACGCACTTTTCTTTCTCCCCAAAATCAGACGGACCATGTTTGTTTTCACTAATGCGTGTTTACACCATTTCTCACTCAACAGGAAATGGAAAGACGGTTAGAAGAGAAGCTACGGATCAGCCAGAAAGAAAAGTAAGGCCTTTACAGGGGAAATAAACATGACACATTTCATTTAAAACTACTATTTTGCTGTTACTTGCTTGGACAAAATACACACTCATATATATTAGATTTAAAAGCCACACTCCAGCTTTTCTACCTATAAATTGGCTTAGAGAAGCTCACGTTTCATCCAGTTATATTATAATAAATAAATAAAATAATTCATTTTTCAAATGATCTCTTACGTCTTTGTCCATCCCAGCGGTTATTGATGAGGCTTCCCTCCGTTCACGGCCTCCTTCTGTCTGTCACATCACTCATTTTTGCTTTCAGGGAATCCAGTAATATTTCTCTACAATCTACATTGAAGACCGCCATGGTGATACAAGACGACTCCCTACCAGCAGCCCCCCCTCCTCAGATCCGCATTTTGAAGCGGCCTTCGAGCAACGGGTCGTTGGGATCACCTTTGAACCGGAACAGGCCCACGCCACAGGTCAAGTCTTTGGCCCAGCGCGAGGCCGAGTATGCCGAAGCCAGGAAAAGAATACTAGGCAGCGCCGCCCCCGATGAGCCGCCTCAGGACAAACCCAACACTGACCGGTAATAATCCCAAATATTCACGTTTTTAGCGGTTTTGCTCACCAGCTGTGAGCGTCTATGTCCAGCAGCTGAAGGCCTGCTGCTGCTAATGTATTCCCCTTTCGTCCATATTTTCTGATTTTTGTCTCGTCTTTTCTGCCAGGACAGGGCGCAATAATTCTACCCCGCCCTCAGAGGACCCCCGATCAAACGGTCACACTGTCCGGCAGCCAGCCGGCCCGGACGGCACCCAAGGGTTCCGACAGCACAGATAAGGGGGACCTGGGGCGGCCCAGCCACTGTGGGGAACGACACCAGTGGCCACCCGAGAGCAACGACCGCACTGTATTCTCAAAAACAAAGCCTCCCTCCTTCAGTTCCGCAATATCGGATGGGGTGCGAGTAGCCGCACCACTTCCCAGCTCTTCCCACCGGTCGCATGGAGCGAGGAACTCAAGGAGGAAGGCGACCGGATACATGCTCTCTTCTCTCCTCTCCTCGGTCTGTTAGACACTGTGATAATGAACATCTTCTGGACTCACTGTGATGATCCCTTTAAGAGACGGCCCTCTCCTCCATCGGCCTCCACCTCCCAGTGCCTGGCGTGCGGCGCCACAGGGCGGCCGCAAGGCAGAAGCAAAGACTTAGATAAAAGGCGGCAGAGCGAGGAGGTGAGGCGCCATAGCAAAAAGAGATGAGCTGGTAATCGGGCAGCAGCCTCTCCCCAGTAGTAACACCCCTCGCACCTTTTTTACACACGCTTTTAATTTTCAGATGCTGTTTTCTTTTGTATTTGCTTGTCTTTAGTCATCTAAACTAAGGATGCTCAGATATCCAGATAAACATGCTTTACATTATACGCACGCCGCCAAGAACCCGTTTGTCTAAGCGGCATTCATTTGAGATTTTAAACCAACAGCATCTGCAGTGTTAATGAAATAGGAATCCTATTATTTTTCTATGTTTGGTGGTCAACTAGTCTTAAGACTTTGTTTTGGTTGGACAGCCTGGGCTTCAGCTTGTGGGTCGCATCTTTCTCTGTAAACTTCCCACCAAAGCAGAGTACTCAACAGGTACCTGCTCGGTATCGGAGAACCTATTATGTAAATTACCTTTTGTTTTTTAAACTGAGGCTGAAGGGTCCTTGTGCGTCAAGTTGTATATCTGTTTACGGTTTGTTGCTTTGCTTTTTTTTTTTAAATGCGCTTTTCAGCTGTCTTTCTTTTGACCCTCACATTTATATTTAATACTAAAAGCAAAAAGTCAAATGGATATTACGGAAGTCTAAGTAGCTTTTCTGCCTTTCTTTTTTGTAAAATATAGTAGCAATGTCGGAGCAGTGTTTTTAACCGAAATGAACCAAAATCCCATTTTAAAATCAACCTGTGTATATAATTTGGATGTCATCATGGAAGGGGTGTTGGTAGAAACATGAGGGTCAGCTGGGTGGACGACTAGACTGCGTTTCCTCGTGTCTCTCACTGACGTAGAGTGCGTAGGAGAACTCGGGTGAAAGTGCACTTGACAAAGATTGTATTTTTCCAGAGGGTTTGATTGCTCAAAAAGCAAATGTCCGCATTTAGCACGACGTTCGCAAGAGCGCCAACACATGAGTTGTAACAGACACGACGTCCACGCCCCGAGACGAATGAGTGCCGTTTGTATTTTTGGTCTGACTGTTGGCAGCGCGGTGTGGAACGGTTACATCACCCCGTATGATTTGTTTAACTGATGGTGCTCTGCTGACATGGGACATGGAGCTGTATGTGAACCAGTATGAGCAGGACCATTGTGCCCAGCAGATCTCAATCAAGCCATATTCAGTGGTGCACATCAATAGAAATTTGTACGAGTATTGGATTCAGATCGTGCCTCCTGTATCACTTCTTTACTTCCGGGATGTGGATTTTGTTACTGTATCAGAATTCACAACACCGTTAACAGATTTCAGTTCAGTAAATAGAGCAGATGACTGATGGATCCAGCTGAGCTGTGAGGGAGAACAAACTGCCTGTAAATACCAATTTAATAAAAGGATTTTCAAAAATGAAATTTATTGATTCATGACTTTAGATTGAAGGGCGATTTCCTTTTGAATCTGCGCGTCTGAGGAAAATTAACACTATCAAAAGATTTGTGGATTAGGGGAAAAGAACATCTGGAATTCTTGCACTATAAATGAACACTGACATGAATATAAGCTCAGTGTGCTGCCTTTCTAGGAACCCGACTTTCATATGAAACTCAGCCCCGTGCGGAAGGGACACGAACATCTTTCAAACAAAAAAACAAAAACTTAAATAACAATATTTTATTAATTACGGTAAACTTTGGATGTTGCTCAGACATCCACAGCACTCTTTTGGCTTTAATGAGCGTGTCCAGCGAGGCCCAGCAGCTGCTAGCTGCAGTGGATGACCGTGTGTTCTGTGGGAGACATCGTCTCATTCAGCGGCGGCCACAACGGGGATTCACACAGAAGCACGTTCAGACGTTTGTACTGTTTCTTGGACTGACGCCTCCCACGCAGCGACCGAAGACAGTTCAGGATGCCTTTGTCTACCAGCACCTGGGGAGGACAAAAACGTGAGGATTATTAGCAACATACCACTGCAAGAGATTATCAACCAATCGAAAAGGGAGAAACTAAACACCAAGGAGGCTACGGAGCAGCTGAATACTTTACATACTGGGTATTTTCAGACTTTTTCCACCATTAAAACATGTCAACAATTGTCCTACGAGGGTGCATCAAAGTATGAAATCCTCACTCACCTCCACGAGAAAACAAACGAGGAAGTTGAGAGCAGCCACGGCGACAAGCAGCATTTTAAAATCCATATCCAAGAAGTTGTGCAGCTGTAGTTGGTGACCAGCGAAGGGGCCGGGATACAAAACCAGCCAAGTCGTCAGGGCAAAGAGGACGATCAGCAGGCAGAGGAAGATCCCTGCAAGCATGAGAAACAAAACATCACCTCTTCCATTCTGTTTAATAAAGCCGATCAACAAGCTTAGTGAGGATCCCCGGACACCTGTGATGACTCACAGTTGTAGAAGAGAGGTTTCTTGTGAGGGTACCCCTTGGTGACCACCACGGCCATGATGATGTACTGGAAAGCTGACAGGGAAAACACGCTGGTGTTCTCCATGTTGGGCAGATTGGCCACGCCGAACACCGTTGAATTGAGTGGAACGTACCTGGAGGACAGAAACAGTTGTGCATCGAAGCGCGGTGCCTGGTTTCGGCATCGCAGATATAGTCGCAAAAAGCAGAGCTCTCTGTGGCTGCGCGTCTTTCTACTGACCAGTCCTGTGAGGTGGTGATGAAAAGCGCGGCCAACTGGCCCAGAACAACCATGCCGGTGTGGAGGAGGAGGCTGCCCAGGACGGGCAGGGCCAGCAGGCTGGCTGAGGGTCTGTGGGGGTGCAGCTCCCCACTGGGGCCTCCTCTCCCCATCACGATGGCCAGCAAGGTCACCACGAACAAGTCACAGAACAGGAACTGGAGGTCAGCCAGGGTCGTCCTCACCTGGAGACACACATACACATCTCTAATATCAGTTTATGCACTTTTGCACTGCCCGTCCTGCCCGTGCAGCGGACCACGTGTAGCGCGTTAGCGTTATGACGGCTGTATCCGCGGTTTCTCTCTGGAACGTGTGTCATATTAGTGGATTAGATTGCGGTCTTACGAGCCCCTCGCAAAAAAAATCAGTTAATCTTAACAATTTTCTAGACCAGCGGCTCCCAAACTCAAGAATGCCGCGGCCCAATTTGAAAGGGCCGCGGACAAGAGCAGCCATTTCGAGCGAGAGCCTTATTGTTTTATTAATCTGTTCGTTTAAAATTGTTTGCGCTTCATCAATTAATGTTTCACATAACTAATGTGCCGCTAGAATTGTTTTATTAATACTTAAACTGAGAAAAATGTGTGTTTTGTATCTTATCAATTATCAATCGTAATTTAAATCCTAAATATTTTTATATTAATTTCAAACTTTTCAAAATTGAAAATTAATTTTAATTTTATTTATTTATTTCGCGGCCCAACTGCAGTACCTTCACAGCCCACCAGTGGGCCGCGGCCCACACTTTGGGAATCGCTGATCTACATCTACAAGCCAGACGTTGAAACGCATTTTCTAAAACAGCACGCTCATCTCTAAATACCATGATTTATTTAAATAGAAATTGACAGGACAGGAACAAAAATGGCCCCATCGTGTTTGAGCTCTGGTGCTACTCACGGTGTAGAGGACGAGGACGGAGCAGAACTGGATGAGGCTGTACAGGGACATGTACCTAAAGAGACTGAAGGAGGTGACCAGAGAACACCGGCCCTCTCTGCGCAGGAGGAGGAAAAAATGGGTTATTTATTTATTTTTTGTTTTAAAAAAATGGGCTTAAAGCCTCCTGCTTCCTCACCGGATGAGCAGCGGCACGCAGCTGATGTCTTCGGTCTTGGAAGTAAAAGGCGACGCGACGGAAGCTTCGGCCTCGGACAGGGAAACCCCGACGTCAGCGGCTCTCAGGGCCCCGCAGTCATTGGCCCCGTCCCCGCACATGCCCACCCGGTAGCTACAGGAATAGAAGGCAGGGAGAAGCAAATGTTGAATTTTAGAAATTATACAATGACTACACGTGATTATAAACGTGGATCCCACATATAGAAACACAGTGTTGTTATGAGCTTCTTGATTTAACAAAGCACGGCATCCAGCACAGCTAGGCGTGTTGAAGCCAACATGGATGTGCTATTCTATTAAAAATAACTATACACTTCTGTATTTAGGTTGTAGTAGTGAATACGCCAGTGTTCTGAACCATGATAGGACAAGAAGTAGCACCATTTTTTATTTAACAGTATATACACAATTTAAATCTATATTTCACCCACAGTTCAGTGTTGTGGACTGCAAGTAAATGAGGGTTCGATTTCCCACACTTTCCCTTCCCCTTTTGTGTCTGAACTCACTTCAGTTTCTGCAGCTCCTTTACCAGCTGGGTCTTCTGATCTGGAGCCATGCGTGCAAATACAGTGGCACGCAACAAAACCTGCAAGGACAGCATGTCCAGGACAGAAAATACATCAATCCCATCTTGATCTTAAATATAAAGCCTCAATATAATCACCGCTCCCTTAATCTGTTGTATGCTACCATCATTCTGTTGTTGGAATATCAGACTATCCCAGCTGGGGGGTAACATAGCATCCATTACCTTTGGCAAACACTCAGGGAAGTGGTTACAGAGGGCAGCAAAGGACTTGCCATTAATAGCCAGGTGATAGTCAAAACCATTTTGGTAAAGTCTCTGAAAGGAGAAAAATAAAGGATTACCCAGAGCAGCCAAAGCGCATCCTGCAACCTTCAAGTTGCAGGCCACAAATGCCTATTATGTGTCCTACACTGCCCCCCCCTCACGGGTAAAAAAAGAGCTAGCAGGACGGACCTGAGGGACGATAGCGGTTTGGCCCGCCGTGGCCCGGTCTCCCTCCAGGCTGAACTCCAGAGTGGGCATGGACTGGGCGGTGGGGGGGGTCGCATTGACGAATATCACCTTCTCGTCGACTCCCACCATGCCACAGGTTTTTGCTACGTTGACTGCTGTTAAAATGTTGTCCCCTATGTGACGGAAAAATAAAAGAAAAAAGGAAAAAAAGATTTGACGCTGGGTTGATGGAATTCAACTTGACACCTGCAGCTTAATGCTTTAATGATGAAAAAAATATCGCTGACCAGTGACCATGGCGCTGCGGAGGTTGGCCAGTCTCAGAACGTTAATGACCCCGGCGCTTTCTGGCTTCACCAGATTCTTCAGCATCAGGAAGCCCAGGAACTGCAGTTCTTTCTCCACTTCCTCTCTGCGGGGGAGACAGCAGCTGCATTTCAGCGTGACCCGAGTTACCACGCGCTGCAGCTGCAGCAAAGCGAGACACAGACAGGGTCCCCACCGTTCAATGGTCCCCAGGTCAGTGCGCTCGTCCACTGGTTTACAGGCCAGGGCGAGGACTCGGAGGCCTTCACTGGAGAAGCTGCGCAGTTTACTGGAGAACTGCTGCGGCACTGAAAACAAAAAGCAGCCCGATTGGTACGAATGGAACGCTTAGACTTAGAAATTATGAAAAATGTTCTATCTGTCCGCATAGAATCTTCTCATTATTTGACCGACATCCAGATACTGACCGGTTTCTGCCCGGCAGAGGCCGGCCACCATCTCGGGGGATCCTTTGAGGAAAGCGAGTGCTGAGTGTCCCCCGTGGGCCACCGTCACCACGCTCATCCTCTGCAGCGCCGAGGAGAAGGGAAACCTCCGAACAATGGCCACCGCCTGCCCCGTGGACTGGCGGCACGGGGAAAGGACATCAGTTGTGGATAAGCGAAAACTCCAGTAAGGAGGGTTGTGTACCACAATGTCAACACCCAGGTTAGGAATCGCTAAGCGGTTTTTAACTGTAGTTGAGGGGATTTGACATTCGCAAACAAGCCGTACTCGTCAGTCTACTCACAGTACTTTGAGAAAGAGGTTTTACAACAGCCAGAACTCTGTGGCCTCCGAACTCTGAATCCAACGCGTCTCCATTTCCTTCCGGCTCCTGGAGGGTCTGGTAAAGAAAAAAAAAAAAAAAAAAGTAAAATACAATGATTAACACGCTATAGCAAAAGTAAGATGATCAATGCTAATGTTGAAAAATCTGCTGCAATAGTGTCGTACCCAACCGGTGGACTCGACCATCTTGAGCTCCAGAGGGTCTCCGAGGGGCTGCCCTTGCAGCAGCGTCACGGTGTGACAGCAGGCCAGGCCTGAGAGCATGGGCCCAGGGGCCAGGAGGCTGGGATCTGGGACCAGCTCTGAGAATCCAGCTGCTCCCCCCTCCATCACGCCCCACACGTCCAGACCTTCCTCCGTAAGAGTCCCCGTCTGGAGACACGGCGGGGTTACGATTTAAAAGGAAACGTCAACGGGGCAAGTGGCCGCGACGCGTTCTCCACCCGCCAACTCGGGGACTCGTGCGTACCCCTTACCCCTTACCTTGTCGAAGCAGAAGAGCGAGATCTTGCCGCAGATATTGATGCGTGGCGGACTGACGCAGAAGATGCCCTGCTTCTTCAGCCTGCGCTGGGCGTGGATGGTGCCCGTGGTGATGGCGGCAGGCAGGGCGGGAGGCACTGCGATGGTCACCAGATCCAGGCTCCGGATCACCAACTCCCACCAAGTCACCTGGACACACGTCAGCACCTCGCTTTAGAGGTCGGCATGCCATATGAAGACAGGATAAATGTCAGGTCCTTGCACTTACATTGCTTTTGAAGAGGACCACGATGCTGTAAATGGTGCCCATAAAAGCTGGAGCCAGAAGGACCGATATAGGAAAGAGTTTATTCAAGTTTAACTGTTCAATTACAGGTCAGAAAAGCTGGACTATTTAGTCTGAGTGGATCTGCAATAAATACAGATATACACGGCCATTAAGTTGTTTTTTTTTATACAGTCTGGAAACAAAATGATGATGATCTTACCAACGAAACCCAGGAGGAGCAGGAACTTGGCCGAGTCTTTGTAGAAGCGGAAGTCGGTCGGCTGGGGATGCATAATGGAGCTAACCAGGCTGCCTTTGGCTGTGAAGAACCCTGGGGAGATAAAAGCAGACCAACTGGCATGACTTGTAAAGCCAAAGCGAGCTCTTAAAAGCAGCAGAGTGTTTTAGGAGGTGCACGCGTCCGGCAAGGGAACCGGCAACAGCCGCCGTTTTCTTCAATATTACCATAGATTTATTTGATTAAAACTGACGATTTTTCAAGGCTGAGCGCAGCCACCCTACAAAGCTCATGACGGCTAAGATCTTTTTTTTTTTTCTTAAGGGGTCATGCGAGGTCCGGTGGCCCCGTATTCTACTCACCGGTGCTCGTGACCACAGCAACGGCACTGGCGCCGCCCCCTTTGGCCAGAATGAGGTGCGTGCCACAGAAGAGGGTGTGTCTGCGCTCCGTCTCCGAGCTGTACCCCCCATCACCAGTCGGCAGTGGCGTTTTCAGCACCGGGACACTTTCACCTGCACACGGGGCAGCGCATAGCGAGCCGTCAGCAAGGTGGAATCATGCAACTGGAAAATGGGTATAGCAGAGTATTTTCGTTTTCTTTGGAGGGGAATTAAACTCAACGGCAATTTCGGTTTCAATCAAAACAGTTGGTTGAGATTTAGGATGCAAGAATGATGTCGGTGTCTGAAGGGGCAATAAAGCATAAGCTTGAAGCATCACGCGTGTGCAGTCATTTTGAACATCACTCGTGACGGCCAACTTGTGACTCAGATCAGCCTCCAGGTTTATCGCGGCTTTAAAGGAACAGCGTGTAACCGAGTGGCATCCAGTGGCTTGTGGGGGTTAACGAGTAAATACCCCTCCTTTCCATGGACTATGCAGAACCACGGGTTCCTACAGGTGGGACAAGTGTTTTTTTTAGAATTTTGAACTATGAGCTACTTGCATCAATTCTCCTTTCTAAGTGACTAAATCATTGGCTTTAAAAAAAAAGTGTGTGTGGTTAAATAGATATTATACACAGATACGTTTCAAAAAGGGATTAATGTTATTTTTAATTAGGTACATGAGATATCGGTAATATAAAAAAAAAAAGGACTTTTTTACGCCCAGGAAAACTTGACAATTTGTAGTTTCGGGTGATCCTACGCAGACTAAAACGTTTATCAATGTAACATTCAATTTCTGCAAATAGATCCCAACAGATGTTAGCCACCATTCCTTTAAAACAGCTTTTTAAAAATATATATAAGCCTAAATAAAAAAAAGGTGAAGATCGGTTGCGCTGTGCCTGGTGGTGGTGGATCACCTGTGAGCATGCTCTCGTTCACCAGACACTCCCCGGCCAGCAGGGCAGCATCGCAGGGCAGCAGCAGACCTTCCGGAGGGATGATCACACAGTCGCCGGGGACCAGCTCCTCCGAGCTCACACACTCCTCCACTGAGAACATTGTCATCCTTGCTGTTAGGTTTTACTAGTTCCCAAAAAAAACTAGTCAAATTACGATGATGTATCATTATATCAGACCATGGCTTGACATGACATCACTGCAGGACCCAACAAATCAATCACTTAATGTTTTCTTAAGCTGCAAAAAACAAAAATAATGACACTAGAAGAACGTTAGCAAACGCTCACCTCCCGAGTTTCTCCTTATTGTGACGTTAGTGACAAACTGGGCCATGTTCCGCAGAGTGATGCTTTGCTGTGGAGTAAGATTCATGTGATATTATTTCATCTGAATCCAAAAGATGAACTCACAACAGACTAGAATCATATGAATTCCACTACAAGCTCACCTTGCGGATCTCATGAAGGGAGATGCCGATGGAGAAAATGGAGATAATAAATATACATATGGCGTAAAAATAATATTTATCGACCAGCCACAGGGTGATGCTGAACGCTTGAAACACATAAAATGGGTTGAGGACCTACAAGAAGCAGATGAGAGACAGAAGGAAATTTGATTCTTCAACTGGTCACTGAATAAAATATCACTTCCAAACCCCCTCATAAAAAATTATTTAAAAAAGTCAGCCAGTATGAATACAGATGTTCCATCTCACCTCCTCAAACAGCATTTGCACATAAGGCTTCACAGGCACATCGATCAGGTTGGGCCCATACATGCGTTTCCTGGAATGATGAATTGCGCAGTGAATAAAATAACCCAGCAGTGCCTTCTGAGATTAAAGAATCAGACTAATTCTCCATCCATGCAACCCTTTCCTACCTCAAGCTCTGCTCCAGGGGACTCAGGCCCTTTTGGAAACTGTGCAGGTCCTTGCGGGTCCAGTTCTCATTGAGGACACTACCAACAAATCATGGAAGGATTGACCATCATGGGCAGTAAAAAAAACTGGCAGAACTGCCTAAAATCATTTCCAATCCATGTGTACAGTATATGCAGAGGTCTCCAACTCAATTCAGGTGCCGGCCAGATGTGGGGTGGCGCAGAGCCCGCGGGCCAGAGTTTGAGACCCCTGGTATGTATATATATATATATATATATATATATATATATATATATATATATGATGAAGCAAGCGTGCCCCCCCCCCCCCGCCCCCATTTCAGTACCTGGCACGGCAGAAGGATCCTTTCCTGGCCAGCCAGATGTAACGCAGTCCCTCAAACAGGTAGTAGCGCAACAGTGTTTTCTGCAACACAATAACAGTCACTTTCAGCCCGGGCAGAAAAGATCCCTCCCTCCCTCCCTCTCTCCCTCCCTCCCTCCCGCCAAGCGTCCACTCCTTCCTCACCTCCTCCTTGTGCAGCTGAACCGTGTCCCTGCAGTCATTGTCCTCCAGCTCACCCAACAAGTCCACGCTGAAGAAAGGGACAAACCGAGCGAGTAGAGCTTACACACAGACAGCTTTCAGGTGGGAAGGGGAAACTAGTGTATACTAAAAAAAAGAAAATCGGTGAGGCTGATAGAGGATCGGGACTTGAATCTGACCTGCCGTGTTCCATCTCCTCTGTGAGGACCTTCATCACATGACGCCGGCCGAAGCTGTCCTGAAGGGAAAAAATGACACATGATACATTGGTGATCCAGCCAAGAGCCCATTTCTTGATGGCTGATCCGAATGTCAGGAGGAAAAACAAACTAAAGTGTAGAATCCAGGTTAATGTTAATATTAACATTAAGTTACATCCCACAGCATATGTGAATCCAAAAGATTGGTAATGAATACTGGTCAGAAACTGAGGAAGTCAGATGCAACCTCACAAATGCATTTTTTGAAGGGCAGCATTTTAAAAAGGGGAGCTGGCGAGCTTATTGTGCACAATTGATTCTGGCAAAGACCAACAGCATGGCCACAAATTAACCCTGTCAGACCATTTCTACTAACCAACCGCAAAACTTGTGACAAAGTAACGACGAATTGTCTCACAGTTATCAGAAGAATATCTGCCAGAGCCAGAGGGCAGGAGCGGCAGCGGGCGAGGACGGCGAGGCGGGGCTGCCAGTGAAACACGATCAACAGGAGACCCAAGGACAGCGCAGCCGCCAGGCGACAACACCACACCCGCCAGCGCACCCACTTGTAGCCCTGGACGTACTGTAGGGGAGGGGGGGGGGGGGAAGAAGAGACAAGAAGGTGGATTCAAAAACCAGTCGATTTCCACACTGTTGGTTATAGCTTATCAGAGGCAACACTTGATCAAAAAAAAAGGGTAAAGCAAACCTCTGCATGCATTGTAAAGTATCAATATTGTTTTAACATCTTAAATGTAACCTCATTTTCGGTTTATTTTTGTAACACCTGCCACTTGGGACTACATATGACGCAAAGCCATTTGGCACGTTTACAGCAATTTTTTTAATTAAATGTGCATTATCAAACAACAATATAAAACAAAAACGAGCAGTCAAAGCCACCTCGACGACGTTAAAGTGCCCCACGCACATCTGCTCGATGCGATCATCATGTGGCACACATGTGGACGCGCTTACCATGTGTGAGTCAGGACCGAGCACGTGGTCGCGTGGACCGGGCGAGGCGCGTGCGCTCTGCGACTCGGCTGCGTTACCTGCAGAACGGGTACACGCGCGCACACACGCACACACACAAAGTCAATACAAACCAAGCTCTAGTCAAATACAATGTTGCAAACCGCTTAACTTTTTTTTAAATGTGTAATGAACTTTTCTGTCTGAACGGGATGTTCCAAGTTCCGCTTCATGCGCCGATCTATTACAGCAAACAGCCACTGCGGTCAATGCGGCGAGACGTCTGTTGTTGTTGTTTTTATGTCAATTCATTCTGGGAAAAGCCTCGGAGTAACTCTAACTAGAGGTTACAAATCAAACCGGCGTTTGATTGGTGGTGTGTTACCTTAAACTGTAATGAATGTACCACAGTGAGACGGACACACTTTTAATGGCTTCTGGGGGGTAAAACATCCCATAAAGTACCCCACGTTTACTACATCGTAATGTCGAGACATGTTAACAGCATACAATAAACCGAGGACATTTCTAAAAAAAATAAACACCTCGTAAACGGTGAGTGGAGTAAGTTGTTTGTTTAACCCGCGGATCCATTAGTTCCAACCGGATCCCACTTCCGCAGAGGTGGAAGGATCGAAACGACAAAAGCGACGCGTTAAGAGGAGGAAACGCAGTGAGCTTACCGACCACCCGGCTGGAGATGACCCACAAAACACCGGATCGGTTTACCTTTACCTGCGCTACGTGTCGCGCGCGGACGACACCTGAACAAGAGCCCCGCCAGCAGTCACCCCCAGCCTGCCGTCACCGACTGCTGCCCCGCCCCCCCCCGCCCCCCCCGGGGCCACAGGCATCGTCTGTGGTTCCCAAACGCGTAAGAACTCAAGTGCAGACCGTGTTGATGGTTCAATGGATCAGACAGTGACGGCACAGGGATTCTTTTTACGTCGCCTTCTTTTTTTAAACTAACAATGACGCGTTGTAGCTGAAAACTTGTTCTCACAACGGGATCATATTGAAAATATACTTATGCATATTATATTCCAGACAGGCCGCTTTTTTAAGTCAAGTTAACAGAAGAAGAATCATCAAACACCTTTTTTTCAAGGTCTTGTCTTAAGGTTTCTATACATTCTTTTGTACCGGTTACTGATGTTCTGATGGGTCGCCAACTTCATTTTGTTTTTTGTATGTTTTTACAAATGACAATAAACATCCTTATCTGCATAGAGCTTATCACCCAAAAGCTGTCATCAGATTCCTGGTCTGTTTCCACCAATCGCCAAGTACCAGATCAGTGGTGATGTCAAAAAGTTGAATGCAATACGCAGAAAGACACCAAAACAGAGGTTTATATTATTTCTGTCCGATTGTTGTGCTTGAGTTTGGCGTTCAGACCCACACACACACTGCTTATAATGTGAACGTTAGTCACGGCCTAAAGAAATGCAAGATATTTTGCCAGATCACATGCTTGCATACTTGATCACAAGTAGGCCAATCTCCACCCAGAAGGCCATTCATCGTGGCTTGCTGTGCAACTGGAATGTTCTCATATAAGAAATATCTTTTACACCCAAGGCTGCACCGCAGCAGCTGCTTATTTCATAATCGCTCAAATGGTATTTTATTCCGGCTGGTTTCAAGCGACGAAGTCACTGAAGCACGCAACCTAGACTGCCGCAGCACACAAGGGAATTCCTCTAAAGTCACAATTATGCCCCTTTTAAAATTACTGTACAGCATCAATAACTCACTGTTCTGAGGGAGTTATTTGGTGAAAGAGGCCACGTCAGATTGTATATTGTTACAAATGTGACTTTAGAAATCCTACTGTGGCAAATAAGCTGTGGATCACCCAAAATAAAAGTCCACTCTTGCAGTTCCAAATTTCAACAGAACCGTTATAAGGAACCCAACTTCTGAGATGTCAAAAGAGGGAAATGACTAGCAGAAACACAGGACCGTCATCTGTGCAAAGTAGACACAAAACAAGCGTTAACCTCAAAGACCACGCGCTTCGTCTGGCTTACAGCTTGCACTTTCAATTTTCTATTCATGGGGCGAGTTATTGATTCCCATAGACGGGTCTGTATTAGGCATGTTAAAAGTTAATAAGTAAGGTAGTTAGTAAGACACCGAACCCCCAATTGCTCCCTGGGCAAAATGTGAAAAGCCATGGGTTTAAAGTGTAATGTAAGTCGCTTTGGATAAAAGCGTCTGCTAAATGACCTGTAATGTAATGTAAATAGACACTTGAGACCTCATAGTTAACTATGCAGTGATTGTCAAAGGGCAGGAAGGTAGAAGATACCACATAGAGGAAGACATCTCCCGTTATATCCGTTCAGAGACACCTCGTCCCCCACCTGCGTGGTAATAGAGGAAGCGTCTCACCGTCAGCTGGGCAATTAAAATATGGTGCTAAAAAGCGCGAGAACTTATTGTTATGCCTTATTTTTGTAATTTAGCTGAAATGACCCTTTAAGCTCAATCAGAAAAGAAAAAAAAGTTTGCGTTTGAAGCAAATTCCGCGGATTGATTACAGAATGGTAGGACAGTTAAACGGTGTGTGTAATGTAATTATATATATATAATCTCAAAAATCAAAACAACTGATTTCCGTTATTGGTTTCCCAATAGTAAAGGTGACAATACGTGAAAGTGTTATCAGTAAGCCACGAGCTATCTATTGATTGGTATAAATTCGTTGGACCGCACAATGCTCTTAATTATCTCTCCTGGAAACCTGAAGCTAATCAACATCCACGCAACAAACACGTGCTTCACCGGCTGCGGCAAAGCCGATTCGTTGACAGCATTCAAAAACATACTTACCACGGACGTCCATCGTCGGGTCACGAAGACTGCCACCCCGCCACCATCGTAGATGACACAGTGTGCGTGTGTTTACCCTCAACAACACTGAGCTACATGTAGCCAGCCAGCGAACGGCAGCCCGCTACGGCGAGCGAGAGGTCCAAAACACTGCGCTGCGAGCCGGAGAAACACTGCTGGACCGGCTGCTGCAATGCAACCGCTTCGTGTCACTTTGCTTACAATATACTATGGAAGATTATTTTCCTCTATATATATATATCAAGATAATTGACAAATTGTGAATAACCCATTTTTTGGTTTGATTCACGTAGTTTTGTTTGAATGCGTAAGATGTGTTGTAAGACAACTGATATATAAACTCCAGGGGTTCCAAAAGTAGAGTAAGCCCTTCGGTGGATGAATTTCCTCTGTCTGCAGTGCACCGGCTTCTTATTAATGCGAGCAGTAATTTACATTATATGTGTTATTAACCTTGTTATTTTAGTCCCCCCAGCTTCTCAACAAATCGAGATAAATACTAAACAGTGACCACGTTCCACTGACCCCCCGCCCTCCGTGGAGACATTTTAAACTCCTGTTACAATAACACCATGAGCCCTTGCTTTGTTTCGCCTCCCAGTGGTCTATAAGCATTCATGGATGGGAATGATACAACACAAGGGCCCTGGATCTTTCATTTCACAAATTTCACCTGCGTTGATGAAACCAAATGTCGGCTGTGAAAATCATTGTGTTGGCGATTAAAAATGTCCACATAGAAGCTTCAATATTGTTTATTGCGATGCAAGTCTCAAAAGTGTAATTTGTTCTTTTCTAAATCAAACATTCCGTTTCCACAATGAGCCCAGCACATCTTTAATTAACACATATTTCAATATTTACAGTCTTCAAGCTTCATGAGCTTTTTTCCAGAGTGAATAAAACAGAGACTATTATTTCTGTTTTGCAAATAGCATAAATTGGGCCCAACCGGTTACATCACTCATAATATTTTAATTTAAACATTCTTTTGAGAAGCCTTATCTCATCAGGTCCACCTCATCAAATCCTGCTCGGCACACATCAACACACCCGCACCACAGAAACTAAATAAAAACTATGAAAGGTGCTAATGTCGGCAAAAGTTTCATGGTTTGCCTTATCTTCTCCTTTATTATTCTGTTCAAGGTTTTATCAGCTGGATGTTCACATGTTTATGAAGCTGCTGCCTGCTTCTCCTTGTAAGTTGCCATCATTTTCTTGATCTCTGCGATGGCTTTCCCCGGGTTGAGTCCCTGAGGAGCAGTGTGACGAAAAAACAAACCGTGAGAAACAAAAATTCCATTCATTCTGTGAGAAAATGTGTGCGAAAAAGCGCTTTTCAAATACCTTGGGACACGTCTTGGTGCAGTTCATGATAGTGTGGCAGCGGTAGAGAGAGAAGGGGTCTTGAAGTTTAGACAGACGTTCCTCTGTGAACTCATCACGGGAGTCAATCATCCACCGGTAGGCCTGAAGGGATAAAAACACAGTTGCCGTTTGCGCGTCATTGATCCTTTTTGGTACCATTTTTTTCAACTTTAAACGAAATGTCTAAACTGCTACGCCACGATTCACAAGACATGTCCTCCTTAAACCGTGGGTGAACTTGGATTGTGTAAAAAAGTACAAAGTACGTACAGCCTCAGCTGGAAAAAGGGTGAATGTAACAAACACCAGCATGCCAACATCCACTAGTTGACAGCATTTGGCTGGAAAGCAGGAATCAGGAATCAGGAAACATTTATTAGCCAAAATATGTCAAACATACAAGGAATTTGTCTTGGCGGTTAGTGCGCGACAGTAGACAGACAAGACAGAGTACCTAATCAGGTGAGGCTGATTAGGTACTCTATGTTTATGTGAGATTGAACTTCATTAGACTTTACTTTGGCGGGGCCCTACGTCTGAACGTCACATTATTCACCTCGTCCTGGCTCGTAATCAGCATTGTAACCACACAAATCCTCCAGTGTGGCTACGAACGTAAACTTCAGCCACCACAGCAAGTTTGTGAATTGTTGGGAGACGTAGCTCATAACAAAGCATGAAAACCCACCTGCATGAGGACGGCAGGTCCCAAGTATTTGTCTCCGTTCCACCAGTAGCTGGGACAGCTGGTGCTGCAGCAAGCACACAGGATGCACTCATACAGCCCGTCCTGTTGGGTTAAGAAGATATATATATATATTACCATGTGGGCAGAGATGTGTAGTATTTCTATTACTTATATTTGAAATACGTTTTTATATTACTTCTGAGTATTTTGTCATTTGCATTTGTTAGGGCCGATAAAAAATCTAACGTAATTTGTAACAAAATACTTTACTGGGTCTGCTTACATACATGATGATGGTCATAATATCAAGCTAGTGCTGGATGCTAACATGCTAATGCCATTAGCATGCTGTCTGGGCCAGTGCATAGCCAGCGTTCAGCAAGTTAACGTATCAGTCAAGGAGCTAGATATGGAGATTGGGAGCCTGTATGTTCATGATAACCTTATGAATAAGAGACTGACCATCTAATCTTGTAAATTACATTCTGTGACTGTTTTTCCTTTTTGTGGCGTTCCACAGAGCTTTGTGTACATTATGAAGCTCAAACCTGAATGCTTGGCGATATCAAACTGTGAGAAAAACAGACAAAAGGTATTTCCTATATTTTATATAAAAATACTATTTTGTTACATGTTCTGTCAAAGTATTTTATATTTTATTTTAATACAGTTATTTGAGGGGTATTTTGTATCAAAATACATTTTGATGTATTTTTGCCCATCCCCGCACTTGATCATTAAAAGTGTGATGCTGTTAAATATTTTCATAAGTAACACATTGTGAAAATAGACATGTTGCTTTGTCAATTCTGCGGTTGGCTGGCTAAAATCCTTGTGATGAAAAGACGACTGCGACCATGATATGAAGGTATTCAACATGGCGGCTCCAGCGTGTCATGTATAATTTGCACGAGAAATGTAGACCTCAGAGTCAGACGTTTAATTACCAGTTTTTGCCGGTCTTCCACCGACTGGAAGTACTGCTCCTTCCCTTCTTGAGTTCCATCCTTCTTTTTCAAGTAGGGCTCGATGGATTTGTACTGCGCATAAAAGTTGCTCATATCCTGGTGGTGAACAAATAAGGAGAGGGAAGAGACACTCAAACAACCTGAAAAATCCATTATATATGATTTTATATGCTCATGCTTACACTGCTCATGACCATATACTTGCAGTACTTACAGGCACCAGATCTTTGACCACATACATGTGTGGGAGCGGGTAGATTTTTGTTGGTTTGCTTGTGTTGGTGTCAATTTTGTTAAGGCATGCAAGTGTGTTGCCTCCATTTATGTTCATGGCACATGAGCCACAGATACCTGAAGGAAGACAGAAACAATCAAAAGTCAAATCAAAAACAGGCCTGTTAATGTATTTCATTTGTTTGGATTATTATTATTTTTTTTAACTGTATAAATATGTGCGCGCTGAACCAAGATTCCTTTCTTACCTTCACGGCAGGAGCGTCTGAATGTGAGTGTTGGGTCAATCTCATTCTTGATCTTGATGAGGGCATCCAGAGTCATTGGACCACAACTATATCCACAGGAACATGTCAATACATTAATTAAGACATAACTACACTGTTGTGGGAAAAAAAAGAATACAGCTCAACACTGTTCACAAGCTCGTTTATGACTCACCTGTTGAGATCAATTTCATATGTCTGCATCCGCGGTTTGTCTCCGGCCGTGTCCGGGTCCCAGCGGTAGATCTGGAACTTCTTGATCCTGGGTTCAGGTGCCGGGGCAGCAGCCGTCTGAGCATTGCGTACCAGCTGTTACACAGATAATAATAAAAAAAATAAGCAAGACAATATATATACACATTAGCTAAGAGTAAAAGAAAGCGAGGGGCTTTACAAAGGAACACTCCATATTTTGACCTGGCTGCTATTTCCATGAACTGAGTTCAAAATAGGAAGTGCTTGGTCATTCGATCCTGCAGCACCAGAGGATACTACTTGCACCTATACATTAGCTCATGCAAACAACTTACAAAAAGAATATATTTTTAATTTCACAAATCTCAAACAATGAACAATATGTGCTTGCAGTTAAATGAAGGGACACACTAACCAAATAAAAGAAAGGCACTGTAAGATTACAGCAACTACAAATAATTATCAATCAATAATCTCAATGAAAGCATTTGAAAATCAGTCAGAAGATACAGCCATTCAGATACACGTTCGAACTACAGATATAAGCTACTGAACAGTATTTCGGAGCAGGTAAATATCCAGTTATTATCGTGTATTATCGAGGCCCCCTGGTGGTGGGACGGCTGAACTACTATGAACGTGTTACATCACTTCGCAGGCTTCAATTACCTAACTGACTTTCAGGACAATGAAAGATGGATTTCAGTACAATAACTTAAACTATTTCATATGTTTGTGACAAGCAAAGAGATATTTGTTTGTCTTCACTTCTAAAAAACTAACAAAATGTTTTGGTTTGATATGTAACCTTTGATCGGAGAGTGGGGTTGTATCACAGGCTCAGTCCATTAACATTGGGATTTGCTAAACCTGTATCATGAAAGCCTGTATGCATAATGATGTTTGAACGGTTTGATAAACGTGAATACTACCGGAGTTCATTTAATTCACAGTGAAGCAAATATTCTGTCATATTAGGACAAATCCTTGGAGCAGGATGTGTTGTTACAGGTCGTTTGACAACCAAACTAGTATTACACACTTTTGGGATTATTCACAACAGCTTCAGAATAAACGTTAGTCCATAAATCAGCTAAAACATACACATTTATTAAAAGTACCCCATTAAGGCCATGTCTGTTTTAAACTGAGAGGAAACATGTTGTACTCACCACCATCATGCCAGAATTTCTTACAGCCAAAACATTGCGACACAAGGTGCCACCGACCACCGACATCTTCCCGAGTCACCGAGTTGGAGACTAGAAACAAAACACTACAGCACAGACACGACAGCTCACTTTGTCTTCTCCAGCCGCAACTAGATGTACGTAAGACCGAAAGCCACGCCCTCCACGTGCGTCGGGAGGCACGCCGAGGAGCGACGCGCCGGTGTTGCCTTCACGAGCTCCCGCCCAGCTATTTCCTCCCGTTCTCAGACCACAAACGCGCTCTCAGATGTTTTCGTGCAGCAGCTGGAGAATAAAACGAGCATGATTATGGAACTGGCTGTGTTTAAAGCCAACGCGCTTTACCTAATCGCGTCTAAATGTACACTCGTTATATGAATGCAATTTGTATATCAGACAATACGTGAAGTACGTGAAGGCACCATATGTAGGAGCCTCTTTCGCAACCATCATTGCTGTTAACGAGGGTCAGTTATATATCCATAGTTTAAAATACAAACATGCATTGATAGCAGCTTGTAAAAAACCCGTTATCATTGATAATGACGTTTTTCTAACTTATCTTTCCTCGTATTTCATTTCATTGTTTGTGAATTTATCAGTATTTATTCCTAATCTGAGCTTTAATTTTTATGTGTATTCTAATACCAACCTTTTAAAATCAACTTTTCATATATATTATAGAAAACATAAACAAGCAGTATGCCGTCTGGTGCAACAGTAAAGTCTGGTCTTAAATAATATCAACTGTCACTTTTTCTGCTGCCTGAATAGGGGCTCATAAAAGAGACAGGGGCCACTATGTCTACTCTATAGTGATTGAATGGCTGCCACCCTGTCTTCATATCACTGTGACAGGAATGTACACAAGTAAGCAATTCTACTCAAATTGAAGATTCACCTGTTGTTGTCTTGGCTGTAGTCTTGATATGAACAAACAAGAAACTCCAGATTGCAAATAATCAGAACAAGACTGAGCGAAGGGTGTACGAGGTTAAATAAAAGACTGCAATTTACGTGGAAACATCCTTCACGTCCGTGGTAAAGTGGTTTGGATGATGAACTGGATGAACACGTTTAAGAACTTATTTAGGTATGAACCCTTGTTCAGTGAAGGTAATAAAAGATGATGCACTGTCTGTAGGTCTCTGCAGGGGGCGGTAACGGGCCAGCAGCCTTCGAGCTGAACAAAGAAGGTGAAGAAGAAGAAGAGGAAGCAGCATGATGGGCCAGTGAGACCACCACCGCGGAGGCTTTGGAACAGAGTGCAGCCCCCCGCAGCCCGCACGCTATTCGGGCGGCATGTCGTGGCTCTTCGGCTGGGGAAGGAGCTCCGGCGCTCCGCCGGCGGACGAGCTGACGGCGGCGGCTGCTCCCGCTGAAGGGTCCGGGGGCGCAAAACCCGGAGACAAGTGGAGCAACTTCGACCCGACCGGGCTGGAGAGAGCCGCTAAAGCTGCAAAGGACCTCGACCAGTCACGTGCGTACTCAATTTTTATAATTAATAAAACTTAAAATATACTCGTTTATGCGGTTTGTTTTTTCACTGGACCAGACACACTTTCCAATGTCGGAACGTTCTGTTCTTTTCTCCCCCGCGTGCAGAATTCTGCATCTATTAAATCTACAGGACAATTTAAAATCATATGCGTATATATATATATATATATATATATATATATATATATATTTCAATATCTTAAGCAGACAATACTTGACGTGTTGTGTAAAGACTGAGTCAGAAACTACAAAATAATTCTGAGGTTCGCGCTTTATTGAAATAAAGTTTGACGCACACCGTTTTCTCTCAGTCGAGGGGGAGAAAGCAACAAATGAGTTTGCTTAGTCTCTGTCAGTGTCCCTTCAGAGCCATTTGACCTCCACGCTGTTACACAAAGTTACACAAAATTTTGGTGGGCGTGTCCGAGACCTCTGCCTCCTACGCCACGCCCTCCATGTCGGTATGTGCGTATGAACATGCTTACTGCTGGTCTCTTTATGGCCGGTGTCAGCCAAGCAAAGTTTAAAGCAAGTTATACTAAAAAATAAGTACATTGTATCTGGTTAAGTTTGCCACTTAATGGTTATTTATTTTGTATTTTAACAGGAAATGCCAAGGAAGCGTTGGCACTTGCTCGCATGCAGGAGCAGACTGTTCAGCTGGAGCATCAGAGTAAAGTGAAAGTAGGTTTTTGGAAGATGGGCTGTTGGGATTGTGTGATAAGTGTGTATGTGTGTGTATGTGTAACTGCTAAACTATGTAAACCTAAAAAATCTCTCCACCAACAGGAATATGAAGCCGCTGTCGAACAGCTGAAAGGCGAGCAGATCCGCCTGCAGGGCGAGGAGAGACGCAAAACTCTGGCAGAAGAGACAAAGCAAAACCAGGCAGTATGGACGCTGTACACTAACACCATGCTTTTCTGATGGTAAAACACAACACCGACAAGAGTTTACATGCAAAAGTAATGATTCTTTTCTATATCCCCTCCAGAGGGCACAATATCAAGACAAACTTGCCAGACAAAGGTACGATGACCAGCTCAGGCAACAGGTAAGACTTTTTCTTTTTAAAGGAGAACTTAAAAATGGACACCCGTGATGGAGCGTTTATCATACATGTTTGTTTGTTTGCGTCTAAAGCAATTCCTCAACGAGGAGAACCTCCGCAAACAAGAGGAATCGGTCGTGAAGCAAGAGGCCATGAGAAAATGTAAAGGAGAAAACCAAATGCACGCTTTCATCCACACACTATTCATCCGCTCGTAATGTCATGTGAAGAAAAAAAAAGTCCTTTTTAACACCCTACTCACAGATGCAATAAGCGGGATTTGTTACTGCTCCACAGCAAAGAATGAGCATGGCATGTCTGCAGGGGTCAATGAGGTTGTTGATCAGCACTAATGAGTCAGGATTACGCAGCTAAATTGTGTTGGAAGAAAGGTATAAAAAACAACAGACGAAGAGTAAATATCGCGTATTGTCTGCAGGATAAATCTGCTTACACATTCTCTAAATAACAAGAATAATGATGTCGTTGTTTACTGCTGATTCCGCTGCCTACGTGTGACTGATAATGCATTGAGGCGGATCCTATCTTTATTTATACATACATGGTGGAGTTGACGTGACCAAAATGCTCTTGCACAGACACTCGAAATAAAACCACAGGAGCAGACGGACACCTCAATAGAACAGAACAAGAGACGATGACTAATATGAAATACTAACAAACATGATGTATTAACAAAACAATCATTTGCAATAAGTTAGTCGATTTGTTTGCATTTTTACAGAAACATTTGTCTCAACCGAAAAATATGACTACTTTTTAGTCAGATATCGGCCGATAGTAGAGTGATGGGAATCTTATAATAGCAAATGGTGCAAGAAACGGTTACCGTATTAGAAGTAAAAGGAGCTTCCGTCTTTAAAATCAGTTCAATCTAGTTCGGGCTCAGTGTTGAGTTGAACCACCTGTCAGAAGTGGTCATAACAAACTTATGCAGTTCTTAAAATCTGCCGGTCTCCCTCCCTCCCAGCCACCATTGAACATGAGATGGAGCTGAGACACAAGAACGACCTGCTTCGCGTCGAAGCGGAGGCCAAAGCCCGCGCCCAGGTGGAGAGGGAGAACGCCGACCTGATCCGGGAACAGATCCGCCTGAAGGCTGCCGAGCACAGACAAACTGTCCTGGAGTCCATCAAGTGAGGGCCGGAGGACTTTCCGCTTAATCCTCAGAGCAACTGGCATCTTATCTCCCAGTGTCTCTCTCAGCCGCCAGCGAGACCCCCAGAGGGCGGCGGGCGAGTGCGGCTGCCAAAGCGGAGGCGGGCGTTGTGATAATTGCGTTTTGTCCCCGGCAGGACGGCGGGAGCGGTGTTCGGGGAGGGATTCAGGGCCTTCGTCTCTGACTGGGACAAACTCACAGCCACGGTGAATCCCTGTCACACCTGTGCCGCTTTGTCCCAATTGCACTGCAGAGTGTTCTATTAAAATGCTCTACGGTACATTTGTGTGTGTGTGTGTGTGTGTGTGTTCTCGTCCCTCACACAGGTCGCTGGGTTGACCCTGTTGGCAGCAGGCGTGTATTCGGCCAGGAACGCCACGGCAGTGGCCGGGCGATACATCGAGGCTCGTCTGGGCAAACCCTCGCTGGTCCGGGAGACCTCCAGGATAACCGTCGCGGAGGCCATCAAGCACCCAGTCAAGGTGAAACTACGTCCCGATTTTGTGTGTGTTTGTGTCTTTTGCAAACTGATTATTTCATTACTTTGCTGTTACTGAGATTTTGTAACCGCCAGCGCATCAAATCCCTTTTCTGAAAAGTTACTCCGATGGATCATCTTCATGTGTTCTCCGTCGTGCATCCAGCAGTAGGACCCCCGCCGCCCCAAGAAAGAGTTTAGCGTAGCGATCCCCAACCACCGGGTCGCGGCCCCATTTGGGACCGGGCAGCACCACAGATGACATATTCTGAAAAATGTGTTATTTTTCAAAATTGACTGGATTCTCTCCTAATTATGTGCGCTCGTCACTCTTGACATATTTCTCAAGCGTCACCAAGCGTTATTCTCCACGTCCTCTTACCGTGCACGGCAGTTTTTTTTATTCACACAAACACTCAGGTGATACCTGACCAGCAGACAGGGGGCACTGGTCAGAAGGCTGTAAACCAAGAGGAAACGCAGCACAGATAATCAAATGAGTTGAACCGGGGACGATGTGAAAAATGGCGTGTGTGTGTGTGTGTGTGTGTGTGTGTGTGTGTGTGTGTGTGTGTGTGTGTGTGTGTGTGTGTGTGTGTGTGTGTGTGTGTGTGTGTGTGTGTGTGTGTGTGTGTGTGTGTGATGAATGAGAGCATTAGCCAGGATAACGAGGGAGCGGTCAGGTGTGTTCTGAATCGACTGGAATTTTGTGGATTTTAGTCATTTGTCACACAGTCTGTATAACAGACCAGATACGGAACATTTGAATCCGTCTGTAGCCGAGCAGAAGACTCACTCTCAGGTAATGAAGCGTCAAATGGCAATTAGAGAATCTATTTATAAGCACAAAAGCTTTCAGCCATAATTCGTGTGACTGTTAAATGATTCAGGCTCAGGCAACTCACCATGCAGGCCCTTCTGTTCCCATTTACAGACCACCAAGCGTCTGAGAAGCAGGCCGCAGGACGCCTTGGAGGGCGTGGTGCTCAGCGTGAGTCACTCTTCTTGGTTTTTTTTTTTTTTTTTCTTTTGCGGCTGTCTTCAGAGTGTTGTTTGTGTACTCGTTTCACTACTCTGTGCTTTCGTTGTGTTTCGGGGTCCCAAAGGCGGCTTTGGAGGGACGCGTGAGGGACGTCGCCATCGCCACTCGTAACACCCGGCAGAACAAAGGCTTGTACAGAAACATCCTGATGTACGGACCCCCTGGAACTGGGAAAACGCTCTTCGCCAAGGTGCCGCCGGGTCAAACCCCCCCCCTTTGACCTTCCGTAGTTACTTTTGTGGTCGTCGTAATAAATGAATACAATTCAAAATACTGATCTGGCTTTTACTTTTTTTTAAGACGTAAATCTTTTGCCTCTCTGCTCCGTTTTTGAACAAAGCTCTTTCCATTGACTTCCAGAAACTGGCTCTCCATTCGGGGATGGACTTTGCCATCATGACAGGTGGCGATGTGGCCCCTATGGGGCGCGATGGCGTCACTGCCATGCACAAGGTGTTTGACTGGGCCAGCACCAGCCGGCGAGGGTAGGGCACTTTCACTTGCTCCATTAACACAATGAATCGGTACTATAATGTGCATCAGCTGTTGGAGGATGGATGTGGGCCGTGAAAGTTAACCTGTGTGCCGCGTTAAGGCGCAGCTGCTGTTATTCTACCGGTTCATTTCTTTACAAGAGGCTATAAAGAAGTTTTTTTTTTTAGCCACATTCTCTTTGACGTCCTCTGCTTCTCTGCAGCCTGCTGCTGTTCGTGGATGAAGCAGATGCGTTCCTGCGTAAGCGATCCACGGTGAGTTCAGCTGCATTGCCAGATGCACGGGGGGGGGGGTTTGATGCCCTGCTCTCGCATTGCATATTCATGAGTCATGATTTTTGCATTGCAGGAGAAAATCAGCGAGGACCTCAGAGCCACCCTGAATGCATTCCTCTACCGCACCGGGGAGCAGAGCAACAAGTCTGTCTTTAATGTTATTTACTGTGCATGACTGGCCATAAAAAGGTCATCGGCCGGGACTGAAAAGGTCACCGCCTCGGTCTAAGTGGCCTTATCTCCTCTCCTCAGGTTCATGCTGGTGCTCGCCAGTAACCAGCCAGAACAGTTCGACTGGGCCATCAATGACCGCATCGACGAGATAGTGAACTTTGCGTTACCTGGTCTGGACGAGAGGGAGAGACTCGTGCGCATGTATTTCGACAAATTTGTGCTCGTTCCTGCCACTACAGGGAGACAGTGAGTCCGATTATTGTTTTTCAATTATTAAACGCCCGCTGCAGAGGAAAGCTCCGTTCCCCAGAGGTTGCCTTTCCAGCTATAGTTGCGTGACGGTGTATATAATGTATTCGGTCCTGAAAACAAAGTGGCGTCTAGGTCTTATTGCCTTCCTGAAAAGCTGTTTTAAGTCCTCAGGAAACGGGTCTGGGCTCGAGCTTCACTCACCCTGCAAACTACTTTAAATCCACAGGAGATTAAAACTGGCCCAGTTCGACTATGGACAAAAGTGTTCAGATATTGCACAGCGAGCAGAAGGCATGTCTGGTCGGGAAATCTCCAAGCTTGGTGTTGCCTGGCAGGTGAGTGGAAAAGCCTTTTTGGCACAAAAAATACAACCGCTTAAAAATGAATATATATTCAAAGACAACCTTTTTATTTCCTCCTCTTTCCCGAAAGGCCGCCGCTTACTCTTCCGAGGATGGCGTTTTGACTGAGGCGATGATCGACTCGAGAGTCGATGATGCCATCAAGCAGCACGCACAGAAAATGGACTGGCTGCTGATGGAAGCGGGGGAGGGGGTCGGGAAGGTCGGCGTACGCCTCCCGAAGGAGACGGCCGCAGCGCTCGCAGCCCAGGGAGCTGCGTCACTTGCACGTACCGAAGGCGAAGCCCCGACGGTGCAAGGCCTTCCCCTTCTGGAGGCTTTGGGCAGCGCGGCGCGGGCGGAGGCAGCCGCCCTACCGTCAGCGGCGGAGGCGGACGCTGTCCTTCAGGAGGCGGCCGCCTTGGTTAAAGAAAAGGAAGCGGTTGTTGTTGAGACAACTGCCGCTGTCCCGTCGGTGCGGGAGGCCGAGGCCATCAAGGACCCAACCGAAGAGGTTCTTGGCCCGGCCTTAGCTGCCGACGCCGTTGTTCCCGAGTTGAAAGATCTAGCCGCCGAGGTTAACGAGGCGGAGGCCGCACCAGCCTCCGCGGAGACGGCGGCGGTTGTCGCGAAGGAGGCGATGGGAAGTGACGCTGCCAAGGACCAAGTTGAGGTCGTAGCGGAGACGGCACAGGAAACGTCGGAGGTCGCTGAAGAGGTGGACGGGGTGGCCACCGATGTGGTCAAGGAGTCCCCGAGTACAGCCGCAGAGGTGGTTACGGAGGTTGAACCTGCGATGACTGAGACTGCTGCCAAGGACGCTGAAGTCATCGTAACGGAGTTTGCCTTCGAAACGGAACAGGAGCTTCTGACTGCTGCCCGTGAGTTTGTTGCAGAGGGTCAGCCTTTGGCTTCCGAGGTTTCCACGGAAGCCAAAGTACAAACCACCACGGAGGCGGACGCTGTGGCTGAAGGAGACACTGAAAAACTGTCCGGGACCACGGAGGTTGGTGCCAAGGAAGCTGAGGTTAAACCACCACCGGCGGCTGCAGAGGAGCCGGAGGCCGTAGGAAATGAAGTCGGCCACGAGACGGACTCGGCAGCTGCTCCCAACGTGGAAACCAAGGCTGATGCAGAAGCTGCCTCTCCGGCTCCCGGCGCTGAAGCAGCTGAGCCCAGTCAGACCGAGAAGCCTCCTTCCCACAAACCAAGCGGAGGCGACAGCGACAAAGCTCAAGGCGAGCCTCGGCCAACGAAATGATCGCTCCAATACTTTGATGAAAGTGTAGCGAAAGAAGGGCTAGTTGTAATTGTTAAACACTCGAGCCTTAAGTGTGCAACGTTCACCTTAAATTGTTTAGACTTTTCTAGCAATATGTTTTTAACCAAAGTACTGCGACTGCTAACACAAGGTAATAATTTGATTGTTGTCTGTAGTTTTGTAAGAGTGAGTAAAAGCACTTTGTCTGACTAGAGCGTTCCGCTTTCTTTTTTTTTACCTTTTTTCGTCCGGTCGTCGGTGCCAGGTCTGAAACCCGGTGGCTGGGTGACATTTCGAAGCGGTGACCTTCCTAACAGGATGTTCTTGCATGTTTGCTGACCGCGGCTGGCAGGAGTTCAATAAGTCTGCAAAATGTTCTTTGGAGACATTTCTTCCCTGGCACTTCTTAGCATGAGCGCCGGTGCGGTTGAGGCCTGTCCTTGACATATATTCTACCTTTCACAGAAGGGTTTTGCCGGACTCAAATTTAAATGTAGATTTGCACACCTGCAGAAAACAGACTCTCCAATGTCACACGCGGGCGCCGCGGCTCGAGCTTGCAGGCGGGTTTTCGTCTTCAGCTGCACACAGGTGTTCTGAGAACATGGTGCTTTAGATCCAGGGGGCTACGTGACCTTTCTGGCACATGTGAAGAATAAAAATGTTAGAAGGCTCGTCAATTACGGCACCGCATTAAGAAGTTTTAATTTGAGGAAGTAATTTATTACACATCCACTGCTTCTCAGAGGTGATGATTTATTTTGTTGCCTTTTCTCAGTTGCCGATCACTCTACTGTAATTTGAACTTTTCCAATCTGACAATACGCGTTACACGCGTTTTATAGATTCAAGTGAAGCCTTTACGATGCATCCAAGAAAATCAATCGTGAAAATGACTAGTAGCTTCAGCAGCGGTTTATGCTTTCTAATAGACTAATGTGATAAGGCTAAAGAATGCCCAGCGGAGGTGAAAACACCCTTGTAAAAAGCCCCCTGAGTCACTGGAACGTGTGATTGTGACAATGGAGGACTGTCCTCGGTCGCAGCGGCTTGTCATTGTCATTGTTAGTCATTTAACAACTCTTGTTAGAATCCCAACAAACCCCACTGAAGTTGCGACCGGGGCCTCGGCGTGTAATCAGTCTGTTGTCCCCGCTCTGAAATAACCTCTCGCCCGCGAGAATGCGTTCTCCACTCCGCTCACATGACTGGAGTGACACAATCAAACATCAGAGGTCACTGTTGTGCTTCGATGGCACTTTTAATAAAACAGACATTTCATCCTCACAACAGCAATGTCTGGACAGAGAGGACGAGGAGGGGCGGGGAGCCGGGCGAGGGTTCCCTCTGCTGATAGGCTGCTGGCTCCTGATAAGTGAAAAGGAATTGGATAAAGAAAATTGAACTGTGCTGTTGAGCTCGGTGTGGGGAAGATGGAGGGCTGTGTGTGTGTGTGTGTGTGTGTGTGTGTGTGTGTGTGTGTGTGTGTGTGTGTGTGTGTGTGTGTGTGTGTGTGTGTGTGTGGTGGGGGGGGGACTCATCTTGGCTGGCATTTAATTCTCCCGTGTCTACTATGATAACAATGACAATATAGCAAAGAGAACCCACAACCGTACACGCTCCCCTCCCCCTCACATATTTACAGGGGGAAAAAATGAATACATTCAATTAATTCACTAAGTAACAAAGCTAATTAATCTGTGTTTTTAGCAGAAATCACATGGTTTCACATCCAGTTTTCCAACAGACTCGTCTTTTTTCGTTGCATTCCTCTAATCTCTGACCACAGAGTCCGTCGTCTGCTTTTCCGTGGACAAACAACTTGCACAAAAATCCCCCTACGCACCCCCCTTTTAAAGACTTAAATCCATTTGGCCTGTATTTATAACTATTTACAGAAGCAGCGATCTAACCGTCACAAAAACCCACCCACCCAGCAGTCTCATTCGCCCCTCCCCACCACAACAAAGTCCCACTCCCACCCGATAGTGAAAAAAAATATATATCATGACACCCGTCTTGCTGCTCCGTTCCATACGCTGCCCACATCTTACCCTGTTCTAAAAGAGCATGCCAAGTTTAACAATGAACACAGAAAATGTCTCTATACAGAAAAAACACCCTTAAAAATGTTCTTTTTTTTTTTTTTCTTCCTCCTCCCACCGACGGACATGGACATAAAACAAGATTTCAGTGGCAGCAAATAATCGTTATCTTGCTCCATTTTGGGATTCATCTTTTAATTTTTGTATCTTTTAGTGCTGACGGGGGGCCGGGTTGAGTCATACGAAAGTCCCGTCACGGGGGATTCAAGGGGGGCCACGAACAGTGGGAGGGCAGTTTTCCAGGGTCTCTGAGGCAACAGTTGGCCAAGGGGCAGTTTGGGGAAAGGGGTGAGGGCTTTTGGAGAGGAGAGGAGGAGGGACACCGGGGTACCAAGGGGTCTAGGTTATTTTTTGAATAATTTTTGCCTTTTAGAGTCAGAGGTGGCGGGGACTAGGGTGGCCGTTGTGGTAGAGCTTCTGCTTGATGTGGACCATGTTGCCGCTGGAGTCCTCCAGCTGTCTGAGCTGCGCTCGGCGACGGAGGTCTCGGAGGTTGCAGAACTGGGGCAGCCATGACCAGGACGGGGTATCTGCAGGGAAGAGATGGGAGGCGACAGGACGGTCAGAGGAGACGGGCGGTGAGCCCGTGTGAGCGACGGGTGGAACCGTAGAAAGGCTCGTCTGTGATGGATGCAGCCTGATTGATATGCTCCTTCAGTTTGTCGACTATGGGAATCCGTTACCTTCTAATTATTCATAACGAAGCATGGAATCACAGGGTAATTGACAAAAAGAAGGAATGGAACCTCTAGAAGTAGAACGCAAAAGAAGTTATTGACGCCTGGAACGCAGGTGGCTTTTAAGCAAGTTTGTTAATGATGGATTTTTTTTTTTTTTTTCATCCATCAATTATCGCAGGTGGTGCTTTAACAACATCACACACACAAAAAGATGATACCGTATGAGGCACACGGCCTTGAACAATGTGTACCGAAGTGAGTCCAAGCGCTTTTCAAGCTGATTTGTTGTCACTTTGCCTTCAATCAACAGGTGACCAGGAGACCGAGGGGAAACACGAAGAGGAAAGAAAGGTTGCACAAACGGTCCTGTGCAGAAGTGGACTGAGGGAGTTACGATTACATTGTACTTAATATCCCATAATATAACAATGGGTCATGGTTGCACCATTTAAAACACACAACAGCACGAACATGAAATGCCAGAGAGTGAAACACCAGAGTTCAAATACTAAAGAGGAACCGCCTCTGCATCAGCAATGCGACGGAAAGTGAGTATCGATATCGTCATAATCACAACATGTCACAGTCACAACATTGATTTACTTCCACCTTGGCTCCCCTTCTTTACTTTGTAAGTGCGACACCAGTGCGTGTGGTTATTGTCAGGCAACATTGCTTGTGTTGCTGTTTTTTCAGGCTCCAAATCCAGTTAGAGGACAACAGCCAGCATCACAGAGGGCTGATCTTCTGGTCTTTTTTGGATGTCGATGATGTTCTTTCATACCAATTGTCTCCAGCAATACTGGCCTGGGATGATAAGGGCTTTCTACTTCAAAACAATACACTGGCTCGTCAACTTGTCCATCTCTGCTGCCTTTTGGATTTCTGATTAGCCGAAAATACAATTCAGAACATTTCAAACTAAACCCAAATACACCTCCCATGCAAATTGCAAATCCGATGTATTGAGGTTTACAGGTGAATGGTTGGAAAAACAGATCATAATGAGTCTATTGTGTCGTGTGGTTCATCACAACCTTTAAGGGTGAGCTATTTGCAGCGAGGTAAAAATGACAGAGACGGGAAAGTATTGGATGACAGGGGTCTCTTCAAGTGCACCACAGTCTTGGCTTCTTTTTTCCCGATCCGGCTTTGGGCTGCTGCATATGTGACGGCATCCACGGCGTCACTTCGCTACAGTCAGAGGAGCCCTTACAAGGGAGCCTTCGGCTGAGAGGTTGAATGCACCTACCTATCTTTGACCAATTAGAAGCCGACAAAGCGGCCGAGGCTCATAACGGTTTCATGCCCACAGAGACAGTAAAGAGAGAGAGAGGATGAGGGGAGAGCCCCACACAGCAAACCCAGTAGCAAACGGCCCTGCTGGAGGATGAGCGGGCAGCGGGGGAGGAGGAGGAGGAGGAGGAGGAGGAGGAGGAGGAGGAGGAGGAGGGGTGGAGCTGGGGAAGCGGGGTGAGGCGTTGGGTGGAGGGGAGCGAGTGAGTTATTTATAGCTGTGAATGGGTATGCTGTCCACAAGGACTGTTCTGAAGGGTATCCCAAGGAAAAGGGGCAACAAAGACAGGTTTATCTCATTTGAATAAAAGGACGGGGATGGAGGTGGCAGAAATGGTAATGCTAGGCAGAAAGGGGGGGGGGGCGTAGTTGTTATGCTCCTTTAGAGGTGAGGGAGGGAGGTTGGAGAGGGAGGGGGGGCTCATGCTGAATGTCATCTTTCTCTAAATCTTTCAGACCGTTCGTGTGTTTGTCTCTCGCCAGTGTCCCTGGAGTCAGATACTCGGGCCGCTTCAATGATAAGATGAAAACGAGGTAGTTGCGGCGGGCAGCACTGTAAAGGAAATGGCCAGGAGTAGATTTAATAAGTGAAGAGGGAGGGGGAGAGGGAGGAGCGAGAGATGGAATTAAGAGGGAGGTGGAAAGCAACGAAAATCAATGCACACTGTGTGTGTGTGTGTGTGTTTCTCACTTGCCATTCCAGCTGCTCTCTCGCTCGTTCTATTTATAGCACAGGAGGAGTGTGTGTGTCAGTGGGGGTGGGGACCTGACAGCATCTCCATCCTGCACCCCAACACACACACACACACACACACACGCTGCTCTGTCAGCCTCACCTTCACTCCTCATCTCGGGGAGGCTAAACAAGCCTGCCCTAGCATCAACGTCACAGTCGACACACAAAACACACACACACACACACACACACACACGCACACACAGGGAAGAAAGGGGCATTCCCTCCCAGCATGAAAGTAGAACAAACCCCCACTCATCCCCCGCTTCTACTAAAGGCTGTTGAAATGCATGAATCCTTGTTTCTTTCAAGATTCTCTTTTTCACGACGGTGATTTTTGAGACTTTTAATGATGCATTGGAGAGAACAACATTGGCCGACTCGCTTGCTTGCAAAACCTTTCACACCTAGTAACAAATAACTTTATCCTGCCTTTTTGTCCGCGGCAGCTCCGAGTATCCAGGCCACATGTCACCTACTTTAGCGCCACCCTTTATTCTAAGGATCCAGGGCAGCTCCACAACACAGAGCTGCACTGAGCTGACAAAGAATAACCAACCTCCAAATCCTGTTTTAAAAAAGCCACGCTGCGATATTCAGTATCTTTACATCTAGCTTACTTGTGGCAAAAGAATGCATAACCTAGTTAGCGGTTGGGATCCTGGCCGGGTGGAAAAGCCCGTGAAACCGCCATGACCATGACAAACTGAAACCCTGTAATCCAGGATGCTGATACTCTGCTCATCAGCGAACATCTTGCCAGTGCACACACCTCTGCGTTGTCTCTCCAGCAGAGTGCCAGACTGTGGGGGATTTCGTGCCGCCGTGTCACGATCTCACGCGTATGTCACATACAATGTCTGCTCATCTGACAGCCTCGGATGTGTTCGCTCATGTCTGCACAACCGCACAGGCCAAACGGTGGTGAACTGAACACAGCGTGTTTGGTCTCATTAAGTCTCTGGCGCATTCCTATTCTCCTACTTAAATATCACGCATCTGTCAACTGTCAGAGGAGGATGGTAAGAGGAATGAAACGGATATTTTTGGAGAGATCGCTGACGGGACACAGGAAATGAAGGAGCAAGTACCCCACTTTCAGGTGGATTTAAACACATGGTATGTGGGAATGTAGTTTGCACCGTTCAGAGGCATTTATCAAACACTCGTTTTTTGATCCTGGTTCAAACTGGTTTCAGTAACTGCTGTATGTGTATTCATATATTTATTGTATTGGTTATAACACCAAAGCAATGCAAAATAACAGCTTGGGCAGTTGTGCACTTATTGCCACCAATTTGATAAATCTATATGTGGCTTTCTGCAAACTTGGAAGTTTAAACCATTGTTTACACACCATGCATAGTGGCTATAAAGCAATGCAATCTTCCCAATCACACAGAGAAGCATGCAAACTTGCAGAGAGCAAACATTTAACTGTAACTCCATACAGAGAGTTACAGAGCGCAAGTTCAAGCGAGGACCCTCTTGCTGGGATGTGACGGTGCTAACTGCTGAACCACTGCACAGACCCACTGATCTCAACGACTGAACTTGACACGCGGACATTTCTGGGACACACAGTTACCCTCGAGGCAGAGTAATAATGTTAGTTCAGTTAAAGACCCTGCATGCCCATGTTTTTGGTCGGTGCTGGTAGGGTGTGGTGTGGGTCGATTACCGCCGCCTTGAGTTACAGAAAACAAAACCCCAATGCGTAATAAACTGTTGTGAACAGCACATACATGATAATGAAATCAACGATGGCTCAGTTCCATGTAGCTGCTTCAACTCCAGCGTGTGTATGCTTGCTCACAGTCACAGAGTCATGACTAACTGTGACACTTGGATAGAACACGGCCATGGGTAGTTTTTGTGTTATTCGTGACTCGTTTGTACTGCCATGAATGTTTGCTGTGAAGAATACATACAGTATACAACGCACACGCACACATTACCGACCAAAAGCCTCAGTTTAAAAAGATCTGTGGGATTATTGAAAGAGGTTGACATTTTGGAGAGTTAATTGTGGTTTTAGATAAATGCTGCACATTATATTTCACGCCTGAAATAATCATATTTCTCCTTACAGCTCAGACGGAGTGAACGAGTTATCTGTTTGCCTGTGCACTTTATTTTGTTTTTATTTTATTTTCTCCTATTTTATATCCATATTTTAAATTGAATATGTTATATTTCCTGGGCTGTGTTTATCTGTCTTATTGTCCAATGCTATGCATTGCCGCCATGTCAAATTCCTTGTATGTCCAACACACATTGGCCATAAATGTTATAAATTCTTCTATTCAGGTTGACGGCCTTGACTCTTTTTTTGCGTCCCCCAATGAGCGATCTTAGGTCCCTTGTTATTTTTTTTTTTTCGTAATTATTATTGTTCGTAACTTATATGCTCTCTTTGGCGCATATCAAGCTGGCAGGCTGTTATAAAGCCATCTATTATAAGTGTCCTTCATAAGAAGCGCTGATGTCAAAACCTTTTTTAAAAGCTCATCAAAAGAGATCCTAATAATCACCACTACTTATCCCTGCTATTCTTATTAATCATGTTATGAATAATCTGCTCAGAGAGAGAGTAAACATACATGACATCAGTGTGTCTTTAGATGCTTAAGTGGTGTGTATTTTTAACTAGGATACATCATTAAGAATATATTTTTTTATGTGTTCCCTTGAAGCTTAATTGTTGTGACGTACTTTGGATAATTCTGGGAGAAATATCAACACTACAGTTAATTCAGAATGCTGCTCCTGGGTTAATCCCGTTCCCTAAACCCTTGTCTACCTGTCAGCTTTTACAGTTGGAAGTCAGACTTGTGACACTTTTTGTGTGATTTGTTAACCTGCAAGTGAGACTGATTGAAATCCTCTTTTGAGCACCTGGTGATTGCTTCCTCATCACCATGGCGACGCTTTCTGGGCTGGCGTAGTCCATGTCGAAAGTTGATGGCCCCTTTTAAATCCTTACAAATTATTCAACCTTTTATTTTCATAAGCCCAGTATTTCAACAAAATTGCCATATATAATCCGTTTTTGTTGACATGAATGTTTAGCCAAACTTCCCATTTGCGGTTTTCCAGCCATCAATGCAATGATCATGAATATGAATTTATGCAATTTCCCGTTTGCCCGTTAGCTAACTGGTACCCTGTAAAGCTGTTCTTTTAGTCTTCTCATGGAGGTTCGAGTTAAAAAAAAAAGTTAAACAAGGGTTGCATCATTTTTACTATTTCAACCTCTGTTGATATTATATTTCGCTTGTCTGCATTGCTTTGGTGTTTTCGTCTTGCAGCGTGCCGAATGAGACCCTTAAAGGTTTAATACATTGGTGCACGGAAGCTTCGGTAAGCAAAGGTCTGTGAATCCGAATCAATGCTGAAAAGGGATTTAACCAAACATGCTGAGAAGGACATCAACTCTTCTGTTTGATTCAATACTAACACAACATTTTAGCTAAGGGTCTGAAATCAATAGACTTGCTTGAGCAGCAGTATACTGGAGTGCAGGGACGGCATTACTTAGTCCCTTAAATTAATTTAACAGTGGTGTATTAAAATTAACACCTGCAGGGAATTTAATGTGAATCAGAATTTCAATATTAGTTTTTTCCGCTAAGTGTTGCTTTTAACATCATATTCTCTATTCTGTGTTTGTATAAAATTGTTTGTTTTTTTTAGAAACTGCGTTATAGCAACAGCTCTTATTAAGATATGATTGTGTATGTCTCGTTTGAGAATTATCTCATAAAGAATGAGTTTAACATATTTGGAACATAATTGCTCCTAATGATGGCGCACTCACGTTTGCTTTTGAGTGCCGCTCTTCCTGTAAACAAATCAAGGGGATTTTAAGGATGAATTTCCCTTTAGTTTTACCTCAGTCGTTCGTGTGACTCATCACACAGTTGGAAGGTTTAGCTGTGATTCTCCAAGAGGTCGTTGTGCACTGAGACAGAAATCCAGTACGGAGAGCCAAAAATGGACCAGGCAATGCGGGGAGGCCACTTACCAGAATAAAACCATCTGCAGTGTTAGCCTGGCCAACGCAGGCATGCAGAAGATACGCGGCGGACTGATACACACACACACACAATACTGTATATTCCTACATGCCAGCATTTGGCAACCGCAAATCCTGCATTTGGATCCTAGATACCTTGTTATTTCATCTGTCAAATTAAGATGATTCAAGTTTCCGTTGCTGGGAACCTGCTGTGAAATTCCATTTCCTGTCATTTAGCATAATATTCACACTTCAACACATACATCCGAAATGAGAATGATTTTATGATAATTTAGGGGTTGGCTTGGCTCTCGACAGAGTCGCCTTCATGCGCTTCTGCCTCCGCCAGCGTCCGTCTTACCGTAGTAGCGGCTCGCCCTCCAGGCCCTGACGGCGCAGTGTAGGACTCCGTCGAGCCACAGCAGCAGCCAGCTGATGCAGAAGCCCAGCAGCAGCCCCAGCATCAAGTCCATCTCCTGCTTGGTCACACTGTCACTCACAAAGTAGTTCTCTGACGAGTCCACCAAGGAATGGTCCCCATCGTATGGGATTACATAGTGGACGTGATGCCTGAGGGGGGTGGGGGGGGGTCAGACGGATGGAGGTGAGAGTAAGTTAGATATAAACCAAAATATAATTTCATCAATCAAAGATACAAACAAATATATTTAATCCGTCCCATGGACACACAGGTGTGTGTTAAATTAGTGGAAAAACCTGTTGGGCTACCAATATACAAACTGGGTCGTCCAATTGGGGGTTTGATGAAGGTGAAGAGAGCTGTGTCACATGTCACTCCAAATACTCTCATAGGTGTTCAGTACGGTTGGTATCTGGTAACTGTGAGGCCTGTTTAGTACGTTATGATGGGAAAACCCATCCTAACGTGAATCATGTTCAGAGATTTCTTTTCTGAATTTGAAACAACCTACATTAATCCGCCCTTTGTTTAAAAAGCCCTTGAAGCCCTCTCAAGGACCCTTGGGTGTCTCCGGGCTGCACTTCAGGGCAGCTGCGGCTAGAAAAGTTTAAGAAGATTTTTGCTCACAGCCTGAAAAAAACTAAACCAACACTCCATTATCTCCCTCAAAGACTACTGTTAAGGGGCCTTTAAGGAAAGAAAAGGCATTTATTCCGATATCCTAACAGAAAAAAATACCTTCTGGATTGAGCCAATTGTCCCAGGACAAATTTATCATCCAAAATACTTCAAGTGTGCAAGTATGGTTCTTGAGATACTTTAACTAGCAATTATTTTGTCCACGTGGGCTTCTTCTTCATTTTGTAAAATTGTTCAAAGGGGTTCGAACTAGACAGTCTCGTTAAATCTGTTCCAAATTGGAGACATTAAAGGACTCAGAATGAAATCAGTTTTGATCGGGTTTTCTGCACGTCCACGGGTTGCGTGATTGCTTTTAACCAGGTGTTCACAACTCACAGGAGAAGAAAGAGGCGAAGGCATGGAAACGTTACGCTGATAGAATGGAAATTAAAAGACAAGTGATGTTTGTAGGCATCATTCTGTGTCAATGCAGGTTAGGCTAACCCTAACCCACATGGCCATATTGTCCAGCACTCTGTTCCACGTAAAACAAAAACATCCACTTGATATTAAATTCTTTCTATAATTTTACTATAATTGTACAACCATACAGGCCATTGTCTGACAAGGTCAGTAGGTTGAAATGATGGGGGCTGGGAGATAGAAGACAAGCCATTACGCACACATTTTGGGACAATGCATTGATAACAGGTTGGAATGTCTGCTTTGCTCATCTCTGACTGACCTATCACATATTTCACTTACATGTGCAACGCTTAACAACAAGTGTCTAATGCGTCTCGGCTGGCTAAGTCCTTAGATGCACTGGAAGTTGGACTGCTTATTGACGTTTCTGACTTTCCTGCAAGTGCGGGAGAAGTGAAAAATCTCCACCTACAGGAATGCAACTTCTTTAACTGAAAACCCTCCATTCAGAGTGATTGGCAGATTATCTCTGGGAAGTGCAGTGCAGGTGCACCCTCAGCACTCGGCACAAAGGGGATCGAATCCCTCAAAAGCGTCCTCCAAGATTGTGTCTTTGCCCTGAAGAATTAAGTATTCTTTTGTGTTGCATAAACTGATTTTAGTGCTGCTGCTCTTCACCCGGCAACCACCAATTTGTTTGCGTCAAACAAATTCAGTGTTTCAGTTTTGCGGAATGGAAATGCCAAAAATAGAGACAATTTAGATCAACTTAGGAGAACTACCTTACAGCCGCTCACAAAAGCACGGCACCGATCAGCGGGGCAGAAAGCCACACACAGTAGATCTGCCCCCTGCCACAGAGCTATACGGCTACATCCGAATCAGAGCACACGAGGCTGCCAAATACAATGACACTGGCCGTGTCCTCGAGCCCGATAAGGTGAGCGCCGTGGGCGTCACGACACCTCCACGTCTAACGGGTGGGAGTCAGGCAGGCAAGTGCAAAACACAAGCTCAGGTCTGCTCTGTTCTTCCACGCGTCTCGTTTGAACGCAGATGGCCGACTGTCCAAGTAACAGACTCACGTGAAAACTGTGAGGAGGGGCAAAGATTTGACTGTACACACCACCCAGAGCATTGGCCCTTAGTTCAATTTGGGGGTAAAATAGCCATTTTGGTTTCATAAATATTGAAAGCTGTGCTCAATACTGTTGATAATTGCCTACTTTACACTGTCTACAAATCCTAATTGACAGTAAGTATGTCTGACTGTCAAAATATTACAAACAAGACGTTTACTGATACATCATCTTGTCCCACAAATACCGTCTCTAAACATATTTGTCTGTATATATATATCAGTCTTCATCACACACGGTGTGTGCAGGAGGCCTTTCCAAACTTGAATATCCCCCTCCTACAGGCACAAACCACCTGATGATGACCAACTTCTGAATTTACCGGCAGCAAAAAACACAACAGAGTGGAAGTGGCCTCTTAATGCTGCTGATGAACTGCTAGCACGTCAACCCCCTCACTGCAGTAAATGCATAGAATACACTGCTGTTTGGTTTTAATGTGCATCTGTTCAGCTTGCACCAAAAACACTGGTGACGTTCCCCTTCCACAAAACACCGGTTGGTCCTCGTGGCTGAATAGACATGGGTCAACAAGGATCTGATAGCTGATGTAATAATGTAGGTGTGAATCTATTGGATGAAAGGATTCTTACTTCAAACCCTGATAGCTACTGTTGCCATACCCTCTGGCACTGACTTGAGATCAGGAAAAAAAAAACACATGCAGGCCCAGTTGTGTTTCTCTGCTTATAGAGAGCCACAGTAATACAGTGATATATTACCCTGCATGCTGATTGTTGAATGGGAATGAAAAACAACTGCTGAGTGAATCCGTATTCATTTATTAATGGAGGTTTTTCCACCTCTTTTTTTCCCATCACTTCCAAAACTGCTCTCACCAGAAAGCAAAACAGCAGGATCAATTCCTCCGCCACAACCCTTCCACTCCGACCCTCACATGTTCGCCATAAACCCAGCGGCTGTGCGTGGTCTCCGACACCGTGCGGGGCCTGTGCAAGACGCGCAGCGCACTTGATGCTCGGATTGTTTTCGAACGGCCGTATATTGCTCATACTTCATTACCTATTTATGGCTCCGACACACACCTTCGTATATGCAGCAAAGCCGAGATCCTCGCAGACCTTCTGTATATAAATATATATATATATATATTAATGCTATTTCCTTGGAAGAAAAAAAAGGGGAAAAAAAAGAAAACATCGCGACCAAGCGTGTCTGTTAGAACAAATAATAAAACGTCACTGAAAAATATCAGCCGCTGCAGGCGCACTGACGGGCTTAATTCCAGCTCCGCTTTGCGGGGATCCGCCGCCAGAAATCTTCGAGGCCTCTTCGACAATTAAGAATTGGCGGTTGAAAAAAAAAATCGAATAAAGGAAAGCGCACAGAACATCAAGTATCGTAGGAGAAAGACGGCATTTACCTCCCACAGTTGCAGTGACAGACGCGATCCTCCCCTCGTAGATGCGGTAAGATGTAGTTGTGAAAGCGATCCAGTAGTGCGTTCATGTCCATTAAACAGGCTATCGCCTGCAAAGAAGCATGCAAGTCAGCTGGGACATGTCAAGCAATGGGCTACGGGCTACATGGAGGCAGCGAATGGTTCTCTCCATCGGCATCGAGACACATAACAACAAGAGGGATCGTAGAGAGAACATAGCCTTGGCAGATCCCCCCGATTCTAAAGGGGGGGGGGGACTCGTGCCTTAAAGCGGACTTAGATTATTTATTTATGACAGCAGGTAATTATAGGTAGGGCAACCTACTTCCACATGTCACTGGTAGGCCGGCTTGTCAGGGGGGGGGGGGGTTCTCGCAAAATCGCATTCATTTATGGCACATTTGAAAATGATCGAATGAATTATTCACCTAAGAACAAAACCCGTATCGTGGCTGAGGGAGGTGGCGATCTCTTACCATTACAACTGAAGCACCGAGAATCATAAAAATCATGGTGGTTGTGATCATATGCATCAAAACTTCCGAACTGGCCGCCGTTCCCGTGGCGCGCGGGGTTCTACCCGCGGCGGTGGAGCCGCTCCGGCTGGGCTCTGCGCGCTCTGCCCCGACAGGAGCCGCTCATGGAGCCGCCGCGCCTCTCCTGGCTCCCCGTGCCTTCAAACCGCCCGGTCTCTTCCCCCAACCAACCCCCCTCTCTCTCCCTCCACCCCCCCCACCACCACCACCACCACGGTGTCGTCCTACACCCGACAAGTCGCTCCCGCAGCCCTCACTGCGCCCTCTCCATCCAAGGACCCCCCACCCCTCCACCCACCCCAACCACCACCACCACCGCGGTCGGTCGTTCGGTCGGACGCGGCTTCGAGGAGGCAGTCCTCTTCTAATTACCGATGCAAAAGTGAGCTGCTCTTCCAGGTGCGTGTCTATCTCTATCCCAGTTGAAGAAGAACATAAAGAAAAAAACAGGTGACGGGCTCCCGCAATCCCTTAAGGGACGCCTCGGTATCCTCTCTTCGCTTTCTCCAAGTTATTCCAAAAACCCAGGGGCTGCGTTTTAATGCCGGCCAATCCTGCCCTCCATCCGCCACAAACGGTCGATTTCTCTCGCCTGGACGTCTCAAAGAGATGCGCCGACTCCTATCACGGCCATCGCCCTCGTCGTTCTCGGAATGCTTGATACCGTCGACATGAGGTCCAGATCGCTCCAGTCGGGGACTAGACCCACCCTGCGCCCCGAGTCCAGTCCGGATCCAGCAGCTGCATCAACGCCCGGAGCCAGACACGCATGATTATCCCATCCCGGCTTCCAGCAGCTACACCAGCATCCACTCCCACCTCCACAGTGCACGTGCGTGTGCGCGATGGTGCTTGTTCACGTGCGCGTGTTAGAGAGAGAGAGAGAGAGAGAGAGAGAGAGAGAGAGAGAGAGAGAGGGAGAGGGAGAGAGAGTGTAGTGGAAGGTGTAGGGGGAAGCTACAAGCTGCCTTTGTGGCATCGGCCTGTAAAGGCTCGTCATATAGTGGAGGATATAGTGGATATCTGCAGATGTGCACAGGAGGGCTTCAAGAACGTACATGATGGTTAAACCTCCTTTTGCTCCAGGGAGTCAATATGATCACGCAGGCAAACGCCCCTGCTTAGTTTTTCCCTTGCAGATATGCGGCTCTTCAGTTTCTACTATCCTGCATGTTTAGTGAACCTTTGCTTTAAAAAGCAAAAAACAATTCCATACCCCTGTTTACAGAATTGATTCTTTCTTTGGAAATATCTCAGAAATCCCAATTGTATAACATATCTGAAACTCAAACGCCAAATAATTTGACCAGTTGTCCAACCAACATATTTTTGAACTGCATGTAAAATATCAGGGTAAATGTTTTCCAGCAGTGTCCAAATGCGCCAATCAACAGCCGATCAGCATCGGTAAACATTTAAACAATGTGTTGACGCAGAGAAATGTTTTTGTTCATCTGTGTAACCTTTGACCTGTGTTGAACACTGTTTCAGCACCATGGTCAGCGGTCACACAGCCGCCTGCATTAACAAGCTTCTGCAGTGCTTTTTTATTGTTTTATTATTGTCTTTTATCGTATTGTACTATTCAAAAAACACACTTTGCTGATGTAGTATATACAAACACTTAATAATAATAATAATAATAAATATAATAATAATAAAAAGTTAGAATGTTGCTTTATAGCACTTTTCAAAAGTTGTTGCTGAAACAACACGAAACAGCAGATAAAGCTTTTCATGAATGTATACAAATACATTGAAAATAGCAAAATTCTGAATCAGTCAAGAACCTGAGGAATCAAATGACTGTTGGTCTGGAAAAATACATCGCTGTTCACCATCTGCTTGCAGATGCCACCATATCCGAAAATGTTGAGATTAATTCTGTCTAGGTTCATTGGAACATCTCCTGCATTAAAATCCCAACATTTCTCCCAAAATTGCAGTGCTGCAGAGATCAGTTAGGAGTAACAGTCTTACATAATGCTGTAATATATCAAATGAGCAAGTTGGGGAAGCTGTCGAAAATTGTAAGTGTCTATAGAAATGCATATCAGTCAATATAACTTGAAATTGGTTGATCTACAGTAAAATTGAAATGGTGTCCACGCTTGGCTGACCGCTCCTCCATTCTACAGATGAAGACGCCGATTGCTGCAAATGCACAAATGCACAAATGCACGGCCTTCAGGCCATTACATCTGTTAACACACAATGTCATCACTGACTACGCTCTGTAACACACCACACACAAACTGATGTCTGCATATGGGTCCTGTTTCTGCTACTACAGGCTGGTTTGATGTACATTTTTTATTGTTTATTCCTTTTTTCAGTTTTCAGAAGTAAAATAGGTGTACCGCCTCATTTTGTTCTCTGATGCGTAATGACTTTTGGCTATATTGTTTTTGTCTCAGCATGTCTGCTGGTCTTTTTACACAGCAAATATCCTGTTTATTGCTTCTCAGCCCACTCCTCCCCCACATGATTTTTTACCAACTGCGTGGAGCCATCAGAAGGAGTTGGTGGTGAGCAGGATTTCTAATAGTTGAAGAGATCCAAGTGAGAAGAGAAGCAACATCTCTTTCAATATCGTAACTGAGCCTCCTACTTTGTCCTGAGTCACAGTCTGCAAGATATGATGACTCAGAGCTTTCGACTTATGACAACTATTCTAGATGTATCAAAAGAAGTATAAATGATAGATGCATAGATGAGCATATGTATAGATAGATAGATGAATATATAGATATTTAGATATATAACATTAGAAAGATGGATATACAGATGGATGGATAGATGCATAGATATATAGATAATGTTAGATAGATGAAAAGACATATAGATGGATGGATGGGTGGTACATACTAGTGCTAATCAACGTTTCATTACTTCAACGAGTTCTGTATTTATCAATACACGCATAAATTATAGATATATAGTTGAATATATGTATGGAAGTATAGATAGATAAGGTTAGATATAGATGTATACATATATAGATGGATGGGTGGTACATACTGGTGCTAATCCACGTTTTATAACTACAACGAATTATTTAAAACGTGTCATGTCGTTTTATTTAACGTTACGTTTCTTTAGTGTTGTGAGTGGCGGTTTGACCCACTCCCCCTTCCGTACGTTTTGACGTACATGACCTGACGTATGCGGAATCGAACTTGTAAACAAAAGCGGACACCACTCTGACGATATTTGTTTCCTGAGGCAAAAAAACTCAAAACAAAACATTCTGAGTCATATTTTTTTAGAGCACAGACTGTTGAAGGTAAGCATGGGGCTTATTCATTGTCAAGTCTCCCTGTTGTGCACTAACTTATACAACGTTAATAGTGCTACAAGGGGTGTTTGTTTTCTAATATCCAGCCGTTGTATGCTAGCTAACGTTTGCTACCAACAGCTAACGTTAGCTGTCGAACTTCATGTTAGCTAGAAGCTAACCTGACATCGATGCTACCCAGCTTGCTAACATCTAACGTTCCTCAGTACTTGTTGTTACTATTTAACGTTAGAGCACCGATACTAGTTATCGAATAGACTAGTACCTCGTTAACGTTTGCTAGTCGGAAACACGTCTTATTTTATTTAAACTAGCCTCAGAAATAATGTTACAATACAGTCCACATGACAGTTAACGCTAATTTCATTTAATCACATTTGATCAGCAATCCCTTGAGTGTGTTCGATATTCTGATTACAACACATTTTAATGAATTTGTCAGTATACCAGAAAGTCAGGCAAAATATATAGTACAAGCTGTCCCTATGAATTAAAGGGCCACAGTTCTTGATGGAGTTTGTCATAATGTCTCCTAAATCAGGGACAAATTATGATCTTCATATCTTTCAAATTACAGCTTCACAGACAACTAAGTGCTGAAATGAAGAAAACAATAAATCTATTTAAATATTTGGTAAACCTCACCTCTACTCCTGTCTTTGTGTCTTTTGAAATGGACTCCAGATGTTTGGCAGTGGTTGATGCGGGCGCCAGCTCGTTCCTATAAGAAGACATATTTTGGTGTTGTAGGCCCGCAGAAACGACTGCAGCCAACATGTCTAGGAAGCAAACGGCGAAACCTGTGCGGGGCAACAAGAGGAGTGAAGCGGAACGCAAGAGGGATGAACGGGCGGCACGCAGGGCCATCGCCAAGGACCGCAAGAACCGGCCTCAGGACGCCGACGAAGGGGCCGAGTTTGTCAGTTTCTCCAATCAGCTCCAGGCCCTGGGGCTCAAGCTAAGGGAAGTCCCCGGGGACGGGTAAGAGGCCACACAAACAGGATTGTGGGGTCTATATGTGCCTGGTTTTCCCCACTATCACTGATGCTGCATCACGTGTCTCCTTAATTTGACTATATACAGAATGCTTCAAGCTGGAGACAGCAGTCTCACCATGAGGAACATATTGTCTTCAACCTTCTGTGCCTACAACTATCCAGCCCACAATCAATAACAATGTACAGTATTTGTATTTGCATGGTGGCTGCATAGTAGAGGCACATTTCCCTTTTTGTTGAAACATGATTTGTTTTCCCTCGACTCACAATAACCGCAGCATTGCGTCATTTACAGGGAAAGCTGGTTGAAAATATGGGAATTTAACTGATTATGAAATACAGTCTTGCATTTATCAGTCATGAATACTATTGGGCAGAAAGTCTTGGATGCTTGTGATCTTCAGGAAATGATTGTTTCCTCCAACACCTAGAATCTTGCCAGCTAATACCAACTCTAGTGAATACACTAGTAGAATACAAGCGTTTTACCTAAACACAGCATAACATTCATGCTGAGTCATTTCACTGTGGGCAGACGTGTGTGTGGACATTCCAGTCACTGTCTCCGTTTCTTGCAGGAACTGCCTGTTCAGAGCTCTTGGTGACCAGTTAGAGGGTCACTCCCGGGGACACCTGCGGCTTCGCCAGGAGACTGTCCAGTATATGATGTCCCATCGGCAAGACTTTGAACCCTTTGTTGAGGACGACGTTCCTTTTTCACAGCACTGTAAGAAAATGACCCAGACGGAGACACTGAGTGAATCAACAACGTAAACGAAACATAGTTGTGGTGATCAGATCGAACCCTTTTAATAATGCCTCATTCACTATGAACTGTCCTGTCGCATTACTGTACATGTGAAGTCTGTTGATTTCTGTGGGAGACAATGTTTACCAGCAGCTATGCAGTGACCCCTGGTGGCTCTGTTCTGTCTGCAAGGGAGTGCAGAATCATTTTAAATGTTCAAGCCTCTCAAAAATTGAAATATTTGAAAGAAAAAGGAGAAAACTTGGTTGATCTGGTCACAATGAATAGACCTGTGTGACTGTTGATGAAGGATGCACATATACATTGCTTTGCTTAAACACAAGTCAACAAGGTTGTTAACCACTGCTATATGCATCAGTCTTTGGAATCAGAAATGTAATTCTTGACTGATCTAGTTCAAATGTTTTATTTTATTACAATTAAATGTATTTACAATTGTAAATATTAGGAGATGTGACAGAACTGTAGTAAGTTCAAGACTGTAGTAAGTTCAAGAAAAAGGAATAATGACAGGCTAAGAATATCACGTGAGTAATTGTTTTTGTTTCTTCCCACCCAGTATCCAACCTCTCTCAGCCCGGTACATTTGCTGGAAACGATGCAATCGTGGCTTTTGCTCGCAGTCAACAGGTGAAAGTGGTCATCCATCAGCTAAACACAGCACTGTGGGAGGTACGGGCGGAGGGAGAGACAAAGTCTTTCAAACAATGTCACATCATCGAATGGTGACTTCTAACTGACCGTTGGGTCACCGCCTAGTTTACATGTGCTGTTGTTATTGCAGATAAATGGCGCGGAGAAGGAGGTATGCAGAGAGCTGCACATCGCTTACCGCTATGGAGATCATTACGACAGTGTGAGGCGGACTGGAGATAACTCTGAGAGTCCTGCTCAGCTCCGCATAGAGGTATAGTTAAACGGAGTACGATATGTATAGGAAGACTGCATCCTGCCATGTTGACTCCTTCCTGAAGCAACATTTCTTATGTGTTGGCCCCTATTGCTGCTTCCCAGAATCTTCAGAATTCACAATCAGGCCATCAGCGTGAGTTTGGGGATGGCCAGAGGGACAGACGGAAAAACCCGTCTTCCGTAGCCTCCGAGGAGGACAACGTGATCCTGAGCTCCATCAGGAATCGAGGAATCCACGGTCAGAAACTACACTTTATTCATTAACTTCCGGAAGAATTCCTAACCATCGTACATTCAAGTTTGCTATTTATTCCATAGAAATGTCTGCTTTACGTTACCAAGAGTGATTGGTAACCGATCACACTGACCGGTTGCGTTGATGTGTGTGTTTTCCACCCCAGGCGACGAGGAGAACCTGCTCCAGCTGAGTGCGGCGACCATCAACGCCGAATGGCTCATCGGCTCCGTGCGGTGCCAGTCCTGCCCGGGCCAGTCCTGCCCGGGCCAGTCCTGCCCGGGCAGGACTGTCCCGGGACAGTGTGCCACAGGATCCTGCGGAGCTTCAGCCACAAACTGCAGCGAGCACAAACAGCCAGCAGAGGGCAGCAACGTACAAAAGCCAAAGGTAGACCTGCTTGTTACACGGCCTGTCCAGCTGAATTAACTGTGATCTTTAATGTAAATTTCACTTGAATGTTTTTCTCATCCACAAACGGACCAGTTTTCAGACTGCATCACCTTTTTCATTGACTATTCCTGGAAATAAGTTTTTGACTTCACCCAAAAAGGTTACAATTAACTTTCATTGAATACACAGTGTAAATGGGTTAAAGTTGTAAGACAAAAACACAGAAGTATTCGAGTCGTACCAAACCGACTTCCCTCAGCCTGTAAGAAATGTATCCTCCACATATGATATAGTTTTGCTTGTTTTCTATGTTTTTTCATATGTAGTAAAATGTGTCTACAAACTGCATTTCCGTGCGCAGCCCTGTTCTACATTTACAGTATTTAACCTCGTAACATGTAAAATTGGAAGGAGCATTTCAATCACGAGGTAACAGGTTACACTATAATGCATTCCCTTCTTTAGGGTCTATTTGATGCTAATGCTTGCAACCATAAACTCATGTTTACCTTGTGTTAATGAGGTTATAAATCAAAAAAGGAGTGGTCACATTGCCGTATACTTCTACACAAGGAGACTTCTTTTTTGCAGGCAGTCTCTTCCCCTGCTGGCTATTAGAAATGACAACACGTTTAACTCCTGAACTGGTTCCACTTTACACCTCCCTCCCAGGTATCTAACAAGCAGAGGAAAGAACAGCAGCGGCAGGAGAAGAAGAAGCGGCAGGAGGAGAGGCATCGGCAGAAGTTTCTCCAGGGCAAAGAGAGCCAAGACCAGAACCAGAACCAGCCAGAGGCTGTTACTTTAGTGCCAGCTCTCAACACTCTCAGTATATAGACCGGAGCACGGCCAACATCACCTGCTGCTACTCTAGCTGCCGCCGGCTGGCGCTGTTTTGCACAATCAACTTTTATTTTGGTCACGGGATGACTTTTCCTAAAGATAACCCTATTTTTTTTGCCAACGGTGTCTCGGTGCCTGCAGACGTGTGTATGTGTGTGTGAGAGCTGTAAAACAGTGTGAAAGGGAATGACCTTCAGTGTTTTTCTCTTTTTTCTTCAATCCCTGGTTGGGTATGCAGAAGCTCAGATCTGGTCTACCTACCGCGTTACCCTTTTTCCTTTTTACGGTGGACATCTTGCTTCAGCTGGGCTCAGTAGGATGACGTGAGATTAATGATTGTTGTGCACACTGTGTAAGGAATGTGGCAATAAATGATAATCAATGATTTACCGTTTTTTTCCCATCTGATTTTTCAAATATAATCTGGGGCTTTTTTTTTTATAGGTCAAACAATTTCTGACATCTTGTGACATGATCCTCTAATGTTGTAAATGTTCTATTCATTTTCTTAGGCGTTTGACATTAACAGACATCACGCACTTTTTAAAGAGGCCTTGAAAAGAAACGGCTTCCTTTGTCTAAATTACTTGTAGGGAATTTACTTTGCGGCGATGTTTTACATAGTACACATTGAATGTTTCCCCAGTGCGATAAGTTAATGTGTAATCCGGTATTTGACTGGCTGTTATTCTAATTAGAGATGTCTGCAGGGACCGAACAGTTTGTCATGTTTAAACCGAAGGTAGATGAATGTTAAAGCCTCCATCCATCTTTACTGCCATGGAGCGTGAAGACAGCGATATATTTGAATAATCATATCTTCATGCAAGAGAGACAGACGTTCAGGGACACGGCACATTGCAGATAACTAATTTTAAAAATGAATTTGATCACTCTTACTAGAGTACCTGACGAGAAATAGTCCAATCCAGTCAAATACAAGAAATGTTCATTTTATTAAAAGATCATACAAAAGAATGACAGGAAGTGAAGATGAAACTGACAGACTGGACAAACTATTTACACTCAATTCTTGAAGACTGTTGGTTTGAATTGCACATTAAATCCAGATTGTGTACATTTTCAGATTAATGCCAGAATATCTGTAGCACAAGAAAATAATCAAAGCCAATGAACCAACTTTGCAATGTTGGGGACACAATATTCATTGTGTGTTTTGCCAACATTGATCACCAAGAATCAATTGATGTGCATTGTTGTATTTTTCACAAGATGTAAATGATTGCATATAAATTCAACTCATCTGTAAACTGACTTATCCGGTTGAAAACAATATCTGGTCTTGCTTAAGTTTGGAAAAAAAGGGTTGAGTTCAAAAGCTGCATTATCCCACAATTCATCCGTTTCACTGTGTGTACAAGTGGCGTAAAAGGTTTCTTCACTGCTACTTCTGAATGGCGAAAGTTATTTCACGATGCAGTTAAACATGAGCGGTTTCACGTTCCATCTCCATACAGGTAGCCCTCCCCATGTTGCCGCTTAGTCAGTTGCTGGAACAAGAAGTCATCGTTCCGATTGAGGGATCAGCAGTTTGTGGATCAGTGCTGCGAGCGTGACATCAGCTGCTCTAGAAGTCCTGCCGTATATTCTCCTTGTTCTCGTCGCCCTGCTGTTGTCTCAGCTGAGTTACTTCGTTCTCCAGCTGGACGATGGCCCGCTCAATCTCAAAGTTTTTACTGACCAGGGACACCCAGCTGTTGAGGGACGGACACAGATGTTACTACAGAGGAGAATCTTCCCTTCGTGTTACCGTGCACGGCGATTAAAAGCTAAAACTACATACTTTGACTCCAGCTCTCGCAGCTTGGCTCCTCCTGCCAACTGGTCGTTCTTGCGCTGCCAGTTTAAATCCTGAATTTGCTTCCTGCGTGACAAACATGAGAAATGTAACTGGTAGAACGTGCGCAAACTTGTTTTTCAGTGACCCTTTCCTTCCCCAAAGATGTCCCAGCGATCCCGTCACCTGAATTTCTGGAGTTCCTTTTGGGCCATTTCAATCATGAAGGCCAAGTTACTGAAGCATAAAGAAACGGAAACACGTTAGCAGCCTTCACACTAACTCTGCACGGAATTGATGTCTGTGACAAACGCCCGCCGTCACTTACTCGTTGTAGACTTTCCACGCGTTGGTTCCGTACTGCGACATGAGCTCCAGGTTCTCAATGCGGACCGCCTGGTGCTCCAGCTGGGCCATTGAGTTGTTCACACACTCCTGCCAGGCCGTAATGTCGTTCTTCTGTCCCGACGAGGGTGCCGGCAGCTCATACCTCCGCGGGTGATGGAGGGTTAAGCGGAGTTAAAACAGCAGCGGCAACTTGCAATTGTTTGCATCATCTAGAACAGTGGTCCCCAACCTTTTTTACGTCATGGACCGGTTTCATGTCAGACAATATTTCGCGGAACGATCGGTAGTAGTCGCGCGCGCTGTGTTCGCTGGTCGGCGAAAGGACAAGAAAAGCGCCGCGTGGGGAATATGATCTAGAACACTTTGGATTTCAGAAATGAGGACTGAAATGAAAGCGCACAGGATTTAACTTCTAACATTTACAGCAGCAGTTTGTTCAGAGCTTACATTTAAATCCCGTCCACCCAAAAATAGTTCCTCAATCAAAAGGCATGGTCACCTTTTGTATTACTTGCTGATGACAAATTTAACTTTTTTTGTATTCTACTATGATTAGTACACTGAATATTATTACATTACTATGGCCACTTGTCTTGCCTTTTTCGGGAATTTTGTCAAATGATCGCTTGAGGAAATATTAAATCAATTAATAAAAATAGGTTGCAGCTTTAATTGGGTTTATTATTGTGATTTTATGAGATTGTTGAGTTTCTCAATATTTATAACTCACCCTGCTGCTTACACTAATGTCTTGTGGCACATCTTTCCAATTAATACATTTGCTGATTTGTTTGTTACAGGAGTACGAATTACTTTTCACAGAGCAGTTTGCTTTCAAGGCATTCCTAAAGAGAATGAACTGGAAAAGATTTAAATATATCACTGCAGAAAATGTTAGTACATCTCCAGTAATGTATTTTTATTAAATTTTATAGTATATGCGTCTTAATACCCGTTCTTCAGGTAAACGAAAAGAACATTATCATTGTTGGACGCAGCAGTATTTTCTAATGAGTCTTTGTCTATGCATTAGTTTCATAGAGATATGCAAGCCTTTGATTCAGGTTTTTAGCAGCTTTAAATCCAAACACATACTCCAGCAGTATCTCATTGTTTACCTCTTCATGCTCAGGAGATCCATGGGCTGCCGAGCCGCCAGCCGATCAAATTCATTCCTCATGATTTCTGTCTAATGGGTGAGAGGAAATGTGATGTTATTTCTGTCATACCGGTTGGGATGTGAAAAGGGGTTCCAGAGGTCTGAGGATTTGCTCACCTCAAACGCAGAGAAGTCCGGCGTTTGCAAGTAGCTCAGGTAGTTCTTGGTTGGTCGGTATCTTCTGGTTTCCTCCTCCACCAATGCTGCGGCCTGGACGACAAAAGATTACCCAAGGTTTCAAAAACACTGCATCCAACCAAGTGGTAATAAAATCAATTAGTACATGTGTTATAGTACCAGTTGCTTTCAGGATGTATGTACCCAATACAGTATATTAGGTAGACACAGTGACTTCAATGAAGCACATTCAAACCATGTGAAGGCAAGATGCAGATCTCACCATTACATAATAATTGAGAGGTCAGATGACCTCTCAATTATTAGAACCCTCAAAGTTGTTAGTAATTATCCCAATGCTTTATCTTTGTTGAGCATTAAAATATAAACATGCACTCTTACGCTAGAATAAAATTACACTTGAACTATAAATGCATAGTAATAATGGGTGAAGGCCGCTTAAAGGCCGGATTGTACGAACAACCTGTATTTCAAGTCACAACACCAGCACACGAACATGTTGCAAAAAGATGCAGCACTATCTGGGTAAAATGCAGTTCAGCAGGAACCACCTGCTCCCCATTTTAAGAATAACATGTCCATACCTAGAACTGCGCCAAGCAGTCGTATGCAAATCATCTTGTACACATCCTGATATGAAAAACCCATGAACAACGGGAAGCGTGATGAGCCAGAGCCTAGAGGGATGGACATCCCTGTGCTCCAATGGGGGCTCTCGGAGGGTTCCAAGCCTCCATCTTAAGAACCAATAAAAATGCTCTTAGAGACTATATAATACGAGCGCACTTTTAAGCGCCTTTTTACATGTTGTTGTTAAACTGCCTGAAATAGGTCCGTGCCGTTAAACTGCAGGACAGAATACGCGATGCAAATAAACTGTCATATTACTTTGGTTTAAAGTTAACTAACATAACACATTAGGAGTGAAGTAGGAACAGCTCAACACCACGATTTTGCTCGCACATAATATTTTTGCCAATGAAGAACCCGAACTACTAACTTTACGTTAGAGTCTAACGTTAATTTACTATTGTGGCTTCTTTCGATGAATGATACGCAGGCGACTCTCACGCGCTTCACCCAAGAAGCACAGCTAACGCTAACGTTAGCATTGAAAACAGTACCGTCGACGTTGTCTCCCATCAGAAAGATGTTCAATGTAACCAGTAGGTATGCTACACACTAACACGTGGACAACCGGGATGGTGTGACGTTGGTTTGGAAATGCCCAGGGTCCTGTTAAAAAATGTTTCTAAAAAAGTAACATCACAGCGAGCCTCGTCCATCTCGGTTCAGTAAGCTAACATTAGCACACACGCTGCGGTTAGCATGCTGCATGTTTACTCACCGCTTCTCGGACACCTGCTGCATCGTAACCTTGGTCGAAATATGGCAAAGCGTCGACGAACACTTCGCCAGCGACTGAAGCCGTTCCAGCCATTTTAATCTGTATATATTGTTGAGTTTGTTATGCCTCGCGTAGCTACAAGAAAAAGTAAGAACTTCACAGGCAACGAGAAGTCAGTCGTTCCGGTCTCAACCTTCAAAATAAAAGCCTCCACTAGTACGCATGAGATATTGTTTGCGACATCTAGTGGCGCGGAATGCAACTGCTGCTTGAGAAAAACAAGCTGGAAGAAGCTTTATTTTGCTGTATGCTGGTAAATTATTATATTGTATATAATGTGTATCTTTTTATTCTATTTTCTTCCCTGTACATGCTGCTGTGATACCAAAATTTCCCTCTTGAGGGATCAATAAAGAATCTATCTATCTATCTATATCTATCTATCAAAAGATCCCGTTGCCAGTTTGTGACAGCTGCTCATTCGGAGTATGACTCTTTGCTGTAATTGGTTTGGTTAAAAATGCCCCATTGTAACATTATGTCTGATTGTTTTGATCAAACTATGCCAATATAGGGTAACCTCAACCTGACCAGTTTTTTTTCTGTGTGCAATAATGAATTCCCCACGCAAAGTATCGCTATACGGATATCGTTTTATTACAGATATTTACATCCTGTCATATATCTGCTTCATATGATAAACAGTTCATAAATAGTGAAAACGCGCTAATTTTTTCTGATATAGGGTATTTGTTGCCGAGTAGATTATTTAAATCGTGTAGTGTTAACTGGCCACAAACAAGTTAATACGGTATTGGGCGACGTAATGACGTCATCTCACGTACTCATCGGCCGAGAAGTTACGCAGGGCGTGCAGCGGTTCAAAGAGGAAAGAAGATGGCGGACAACAAAGGCGAGGAGGATATGGAGCCGTCTGCTAATTCGGACTGTGTGCCCTCAGCACAAGATAACGATAAGCCAGAAAAGAAAGATGAAAATGCGGTCATAGTCATAGACTCGAATACAAAGGGCGAGGACGAAACAGAGTCCAACAATAAAGGCAACGAGACCCCGACACCCACCAGCGACGGCGGGGACGTTAGCAGCAGCGGGGCTGCTGCTGCAGCAGCAGTTGTGGAAGTCAATGTTAGCGTTAGCAACGCCGTCAGCCCGACTGGCACCAGCAGCACCAATGCGGAGCCGATGGCAGCGGAAGCCGTGCCCGCCGCGAATGCCCCCGTCGGCGGTGTCACCACTGAAATGTCCCCCCCGCCGACGGCTCCGGCGGCCACGCCGGTACCGACTCCCATTAATTTTCTGGATACGTGCGCAGTGTGTAAACAAAGTCTCCAGAGCCGCGACTGTGAACCCAAACTTCTGCCCTGTTTGCACTCCTTCTGCCTGAAATGTATCCCGCAACCAGATCGACAGATCAGCGTGCAGGTACCCGGACCACACGGGCAAACGGACACACACATAGGTGAGTTATTTCACCGAGATAATTAACAGTACTTGACGTCAGATTGAGCGAGGTCTTTGAACGCACTTGTGCTCTGTTGAGATCAATTGCTGTCTGTCCAAAGTGTGGCTGCAATAGTTGGAGATTAATTTATTTTAGTAAAGAGAAAGTGACACCCGGTACAAAACCCCGATACCTTTAGTTATACTGTATTTATTTGGAGAAAGTGGTCAGCTTGATACACGCATTGGTCCATCGGCTTTTCTACAACAATATAACGTTCGTGTTATTGTGTTTTGTGTTATAAGCATGAACCGAGAGATGGTTGTGAAATCTGCAGCGGACAGATGCTCATTCTTGTCACAGTTGTCACTTTCAATAGCCAGGTTATGATTTGTCAAATGTTTTGTGACATGACCGGGGCAAAGCTAACGCTATTTATAATCCCTCTGGAAATTGAGCAATTCATATGTTGTTAATGATTTACAACGATATTGACTTGTCATTACATTAACCATTAGACTGTATTAACATGAATGGATGGTGATCAGATGCTATTCATTAACTAGAAGCACCAGTGAGCTCTGTTCAAGAGACTGACTGGGGTTAAAAATACTATTAAACTATATTAATAGCTGCCTAATATAGAAATGTATTTGTACTCGGTTCCGAGGAACCCAAATGATTTATTCAACAGCGTGTTGTTTATATTTAAATGTTCTTAATATGAGCAGGACGTCTCTACTATTTTGGATTTATGTCAGAATAAGGACTTGGGTCATAACCAGCTATGGGACATAAAGGCATAATTACGAGGTCTCCCAAAGGATTAACCCCGGCAAATAAAATGCAATATAATTAACAGTTCCATGTCGGCGCATATACAAATTTGTCTCGTCAACATGTTACCTCACAGCTTTTAAATGATGGATGTGTCACAGGTCTCCCCAGAAGACTCTATGACGTCCGTACATGTTTTTTTAAAGCTTGATTGTCAGATACCTCAGAAAAGCCCCAGTACTCAGTCACCAACAGTTTAGCCGGAGTAACAAAAGCTTTGTGACATGGGAAAATAAAGAAAAACAGGTTTTGTATGCTTTTCGTTTCCCCTCTGGGATCACAGATCAGGTTGAAAAGGTGTGTTTACTGCCCAAAAGTTGTTTTTTTTTAGTTTTGTCTCTTTCATTTTGCACTGTTCAATCCATCATTTCCTCAGGTCGCCTCTCTGTAATGCAGACCAGCAAATTCATTGGGTCTCTTATTTGCCGGATGATATTTAGTAGAGCAACTAAAACGTTTTTATGTGTAATATGAATCTTGATACAAAAATAATTTTATGTGCAGTGCTGAACTTCAAAATCCAATGAAAACAGATCTGAGCCCGTCATTATACAGAAATCACCCGGTGACATCTCAAATGGGTCCTTTTAATCAGCAGGGCCGAGATCCTCCTTGTGGCACTGGCACTCAGTCAGTGACACTCAATGGCACAACTCGCGGCAAGTAAGGGGCGGGCGACGCAACGCCACGCCGAGTGGACGGAGCCAGGCTTTCCCGGTTAGCTGCCGTAAAGATGTTTTTTGTAGTTCTTTTTATTTTATTTCATGTTTTTTGTATTTATTTTATTTGATACACTACATATTCCCCACCTCTATCTCAAGTCCGACGTATTCCGCTGGGGGGGGTTGGGGTAATTTGTCATGGCCATTGTGTAATTAATGAATGATCTTCATATTTTCTGTTTGTATATGTAGTAAATATATGGTTTGAAAAATAACACTTTTGATGTTAATGAATCCTTTGTACACATCACATGAAGCTTGATCATGGGTATGAAGCTATTTCCCCATTTGTATTTAACATTTGTTGAAATTACAGTTACAGGCAACACTTCAACTCAAATAAATGTAAGTGTGTTTTAAGACATTTATTCTACATGTATCTACTATTTAATTATATAATCCAATCCTGCCTTTGATCCGGATAAAACACTGCTGTTGAGTATTTCAAAACTTTAGTGGGAAATCTGGATCAGTTTGATCCTAAAAATCAGGATTACCCTGATCCCACCTCAGAGGTGGATTTGAGGGAGATTACATGTTATGGTTCGAACAGTTTAAGTGTAACTGCTCCCAAAGTTCTTGTTTGATACAGTAGCTACGCTTCACTGCTGTTTGATCATTGTTCATTTTCTTTGCACGTTACTTTCTTTTTCAGCAAACACCGTGAAAAAGTGAAGTAAAAAAAACATACAATGTATTCGTCGCCAAAACAATTAATACACATCAACATAAATCCGGCAGTACATGAGCCATTTTTACCAATTAAGCACGTGATCAACATGCACGTTGTTCACTGCAATGCTTTGACCAATCGGCGTCAGAAGTGCAACACAGAATTTACATTAGGCTATTACTAAGTGACATCACAAACTCAAAATGACACGAAATTATGAAGGAGAAACTTTGCGATTTATTTAACATTCAGTGTTAAACATAAAGTACATTTCATTAATCTTTTAACTGTTTTTCCAGCAACTGAATTCTTAACTTAACTTCTTCTTGTTTAAGCAGTGTCAGTTTAATTTGTTCATTTGTGAGAATGATTTGTTGCTGGGCCCGTTCTGTTTCCACCTTTAATAAATTATTGTAGCCATCCCCGTTCTCTGCTTGCCTTTTGCGCTTACATGGTGGTGGTGCTGGTGGATTCCCCATCTCTTCCAAGACAGGGCTCCGACTTGTGCAGGGCTCTTCAAATGCAAACTCCACATGGGCGAGGGTGATCACTTCAGGCGACAGGTTCAATGGTTCAGTGGGGTCAATTGATTCCCCTGTACCAGCTGGCAGTATTCCACACAAGGCTTGAGAACTCTCACCTCCAATTATGTCCAAAACTGTTTCTGTGAATTCCCCACGTTTTACGGCTTTGTTTCCTGTTTGGGGGTTTTTTGCCTCTGAATGGTCCTTGGTAGCCTCCTGCTTTAGGTTTTTCCACCTAAGCCGAACCTGTTCAACATTCCGCCGTTGGCCACTACCAGTGGCATTAACTTGCTTTGTTATATCAGCCCATATTTTATTTTTAAGTTTTTTTTTTTTAAAGGTTTTTTTAAGCCCATATTTTATTTTTAAGTTTGGCTGACAGAGAACTCTGTCCAGGGCCACTAAAACCTCCAAAAAGGGCCTGATCATTTGTATGAACACCCTCCAGAAGTGCTGTTGTCTCTGCTGTGGTGAAATTGCTTCCTTAGGGCTTTCTCAGACAACATGGAGAAGAACAATCACTAAGTAAGGCCTTAAATACCATGAAGCTAAATTGAAAGCAGGTGTAAAAGCACAGGTCACAGACTTTAAAACTGGGCTCGTTAAGGTCAATGACCTTTGCTTCTGCAACATGACATCCATTGTACATGTCCTCCGGCACCATCAGAGACGATACAAGCCTCGTCAGTACGTCCAACGCGCTAATCTCATTGAGCAGTACTCAAACAATGCGCTTTATGCAGATTTAGAAGAGAAGACATTTTGTACATATGTGATATTCTACGCCCACATCTACAACGTCCTAGTAGAAGGAGTCATGCCTTAACTGTGGAGGAGCAGGTGCTTATTGCCCTACGTTGTTTTGCTTGTGGATCTTTTTATGAAGTAATTGCAGATGGCCTGGCTGTGACAAAGTCTACAGTGGGACAAGTAATGCATTCAGTGGCATCAGCCCTGGCTGGTCTAATTCATCAGTTTGTGAGATTTCTGGATAATGAGTAAGAAATAACTGAAACTAAGAGAAAATTCTTCTCAATTGCCAGGATGCCTTATACTATTGGTGCCATTGACTGCACATACACATACACATACACATTCAGGCACCCCATGAAAGAGAATGGGAATTTGTGAACAGAAAGGGACGCCATAGTGTTAATGTGCAGCTCATAGGAAATGCTGACCGTAAAATAACTAACTGTGTTGTGAGATGGCCTGGTTCTGTACATGATGCATGGATTTTAAGAGAAAGTCATCTCTACAGAAGACTTCACCAAACTGCTCCAGATGGTATCCTCCTTGGTGACAGTGGCTACCCACTTCTACGTTGGCTTATGACCCCCTTTGCTACTGTCACATGTGAACTCACAGCAGAGGTACAACAATTCGCACAGTGCAACAAGGGGAACAATTGAGAGAATCAATGGTGTTCTAAAACGAAGATTTGCCTGCCTGAATTATCTTCGTGTGGAGCCGAAGCAGGCCTGCAATATAATATCTGCCTGCATTGTTCTTCACAACATTGCACAAATGAGAAGAGTTCCACTTAAAGAAGAAATCCTGGACAGGCCGCCACTTGAGGCAGAAGTACCACAGCCGCAGCCACCACCACCACATCGAGCCGATGAACCAGCAGGAAGGGCAGTTAGAAATGCCATGGTGAATTTGTATTTTTCATGATGGGTTATAGCTCATAACATTTAACAGTTCAGTAATACTGTTTCTGCATCATCATTGGTGATTAATGATACGGCCTGGTGCTTTTGTTTGACAAAACTGCTATTTCTATGTTTAAGTTTGAATATAAATGCCTTATTTAAGTAACAGTTTTTTGTTAAGTTATACCCACTGATAAAGGCCTCCACTCAAACCAGTCAAATGTATTTATTAACATGCATGAAGCACACACACTTAATTTTCATAGCCAAAGCTCAAAAGGTTATGCCATTTGGAGCAGGTCTGCGTTAACTGGCTGTCTTCTCTTTCCACAGACCTCTGTAAAGAAAAACAAATATTACGGTTTTAGGGCTGTCCCCTTAGTTGACAACTGTTTCCTAAAAAGATATGCACAACACATTTTAAAATCTACACACAATGCCTTGCGAGTAAATGCATTCAAATGTGGACTGTGGACCGCGACATACAATTTACCAACTTGTTAGCTCCTTAACACCGAAGTCAATGGAGCAGCGTTAGCTCGCATTAGCGGGAACTCTGCTTTATTTGAGATCGCCGAGCTCTTCTTTCAACTTTGTGGTGATATACGTAGCTGGTTAACTCAATATAATGATTGCCTTTCATCTAGTCTTAGGACGCATCAACACTGACCAAGACTATACTTGCATTTAGAGACAATAGTTGTGCCAGCTTCTCCTTTTTTCTGTAACATATTCGCTCCATTTCCTGTTTCCTGCCTGTGATCCAGGGGCCGGGACGGATTTGGACATCCCAATCTGCCGGTATCAGGATCACTCTGATCCAATCCGGCAAAGTTTTGAAATACCGGGATAGATTGATTGAAGTTGATCCGTGGCTGAGGACAGGGGGATTTGGTTATCCGGATCATTCTGATCTGGATTAAAAGTTTTGAAATACCGGCCCCAGGTTTTAGCTTTGTGTACCGACTTTACTTCCCCACAGTACCGGACACCAAGTCTCAGTCTCATTGGAGCGGTTTAATATCACGTAAGACTGGGCGGTAGGGCCACAAATTCACACCACGGTATTTTGTATTATGGTGGTATCCCTGTATATCACAGTACTTTTTTATTGGAGTAAACACATTCATTCATTGACGTTGGCCAACTCGCTCGCAACTGCCCAGCGTGTTGGCACCACATTGTTTTCTGATCTAACTTCCCTCAGATTTTTCACAACCAAAAAGCTTCAAACTGCACAGAGCTCCTCTCTTGGGCGCAAGTAGTGTTGCCACATTTCTGGCCTCTCGTTGTTCCTCCTGCATCGCTCTTTTGTTTCAATTATGTATAATAATAATTGATTTGTCACTAACTGTTGTTGTGGTGTTTTCCTTGTTAAAGAGCGTTGGTTGCGTGCTTTTTAATTGTTGTAAGCGAGACTCCATCTCAACACACGCAATACTCGTAGGTCCAAGCGCTCGTATGACTCTTTGTAGGGTTTTCTATTTCCTCGTAGTTAATGATGTGGTACAAAGGACCTCAGTCACCCGTAGAATTTTAATTTGACAGTTTAATTGTTCCTTTGGCCTCAGTTGAGTCTGACTGGAGTTTTCAATGGGCAAGGGCAGGGGGGGTCACATAATAACAATAAAAACTACGCAGCACAACTTACTTGAGTTTGTGAAAGCTCAAACATATCAGACAATTGGCATTTTGCCTCTTCCACTGTAGCAGTTAAGTCCCACAAAAAGTTTGTTAGCAAATAGATTCCTAGTATTAGATTGACACAAATGATGTTACAAATGATGTGACCCTTTGCCGGTAACAACACCGGCCCAGGCCACTGATACTGTATACAACCCTGCGCCTTTAACTGATCAGATAAGGTGGTAAAATGATACACGATCAGGGAACCCGTTTCATTGTGATGTGTTATGTTGGGTACCTAAAATGAGGAAATGTCACAGCTGGTTGACAATGCTGCATGTTGAAAAACAACTGCTCATGAATTCACCCGTACTCTCTACTTCTCCTCTGGGATGTCTGTTGTAATACAAGGCAGCAGCTTGTAGTGTGGTTTGCTGTCTAGCTTCTTACTGATGTCACGATTCAAATATATCCAGAACCCGTCAGGTGGGCCTGAAGAAGTCTGTCTGATGCCCGCGCTAAATGTGTGTCAACCTGTGTTTGTTTTCTTCTCATCTACTCGTCTCGTTGATCTTGGGGGGGGGAAAACGTTACTGGAGATGATTAAAACGGACTAAAATACCCATTCTTTGAGTAAGTGAAAGGGAACGCTGACGCCGAGCTGAAATGTGTGGATATCGATCGCTTCGAGATGAATGAGGTCCCCTGAGATTTGTGTTTCAAGATATTTGTTGTCATACCTTGATCCCAGTGTTGTCTTTGGTTGCGTCTCGCTGTGATAAATCTCTGGTTCTAATGCTCCCAGCGCACGCAAATCACCTCGGTTGATGTATATTTGGCAAAGCTGATCAAATCTCACCGCTTATTGGGTTGGAATCGGCTGTTATGATCTGGCTTTATGTTATTTAGCAGGACTTTTGATGAATATAGGGAGGGGCGAAGTAACAGCTGTGCGTGTGTATGTGTGTATCTAGGGATTGTGTGGGTTCCTCAACACCACCCCAGTCCATCTGCTTTCATGATCAATCACCCAGAGACCCATGCAGTTGGAGCTTACGCAAACCGGCTGTGTGCTGCTCAAGCCAGTGTAGGCCGGTTCAAACTGGCTTCAACCCGTTTTAACCTCAGCCGGCTGGGGGGGTTTATGAGGTAGAGGAGGAGGGGTGACGTATACCATGCTGACTCAATTTAAATTGGTTGTGTGTTTATGTGCAGTTTAATACTTTGCACATTAACAGACTTGAGAAAATAAATGTCAAAGTTTACATTACATTTAGCTGACGCTTTTATCCAAAGCAATTTACATTGCATTTTTAACCCATGGCTTTTTTTTTTTTACATTTTGCCTGGGGAGCAATTAGGTGTCTTGCTCAGGGACACCTCAACATGGGTCAGCTGGGGCTCGAACCACCAACCTTGCGGTTCCCAGCACACCCTCTGCGCCATGACGACCCCCCGCATTGAACTCATTATTTTTTGAGGCGTACCAGTGTAGCAGTGACTGAACTAATTCCATCAACAAAACCAACTCATGCGATTAAGCTAAACAGTCTTTGTTGTTTGGCTTTGTCATTTAATATTCTAATAAACAGGCCAAAGATGACACAATTGAATCCTCCGGAGACATGCGCTTAATCAATTAGCTATCCCAGTGTCAAGCTGGAATTTCCCTAAAGAAAATTATTGAAATAAGCAGAAGATTAGCAGAGGGGCTCCTTATTTATCCTAATTCTTTCATAGCAGGATTTCAGAAAGAGTCTAGTAATAGATTTAAAGTAGGCTTATCCTTTTCCTCAAAGATCGGTATTCAAATATTACAAAAGACTGAATTTGTGTCCTGGTGTTTGACATTTTTGATCTCATTTGAACTATGTTCCCCCTTTTTTGTCTCTTTGGTCCGCAGTAAATGTTATGCGCTGTTCGGTGTGCCACCAGGACTACAAACAGAGCGACATCATTGATAACTACTTTGTCAAAGATACCACAGAGGCCAGCGGAGCGTCTGATGAAAAGGCTGCACAGGTACGTCTAATCGGTTGAGCCATGCGTACGTAATGTTGTGTCTGCATTGTTAAATCTTCGCCATGTGTATGTTTTCAGGGATATCTGAATGAATTTGTGATTTTGATATTTTACTTTCTACTGAGGTCAAAACAAAGTCTTCTGTCCACAATTCAGGGAAATTAATGCAAATAATGCAAGATACTTATTTTTCTTGTTTCGATAACTCTGGCTCTCCTTTTGCACCACTGCTAAAAACACACTCTGCAGCGTTCGACTCATTGCTCAGCCACAGATTCTGCACTGTAACAAATCCAGTTAAACCAACTGATTCCACGAACCAATGACCATTTTTGTGGTTTCACCATCAGTCAACTTTGGGGAGCGTAATGACACTAAAACGGGTAGTTTAGGCTTTGGGTTCTCTATACCAGCGATTTCCAAAGTGTGGGCCGCGAAGGTACTGCAGGTGGGCCGCGAGAGGTCATTTACAATAAATAAATTAAATGTTTTTAATTTTCAATTTTGAAAAGTTTGAAATTAATATAAAAATATTTATGATGCGGCACATTAGTTATGTGAAACAATAATTGATGAAGCACAAACAATTTAAACGGACAGATTAATAAAACAATAAGGCTCTCGCTCGAAACGGCTGCTCTTGTCCGCCTGTCGTTGTTCAACAAACGGGGCGCCCTCTAATAGTATTAAAGTAAATATACCGTATTTTCCGCACTCCAAGGCGCACTTAAAAGGCTTTAATTTTCTCAAAAAACGACAGTACGCCTTATAATCCGGAGCGCCGTGTATATATATAGATCAATTGGTTAATCGGTTGATCCATACTGGTTGTACACGGCGCGCAAGGCGCTCTGCCAAACATGCCAAAGCTCGTCTACCACGGCGAGATGCTGAGCGGCGCTCAAGCGCGTGAGATATGGAGCATGTTTCAGGGCGCGTCGGAGAAACAAAGCTGTCGTTCTTTCCGAGCACTTCATGAGATTAAAGAGCGAGATACGGTGCCCTTTTTTCTACAGTAGCTGAACATTACATTACATTAAAGGTCATTTAGCAGACGCTTTTATCCAAAGCGACTTACATTACACTTTAAACCCATGGCTTTTTCACATTTTTGCCCGGGGAGCAATTAGGGGTTAGGTGTCTTGCTCAGGGACACTTCGACATGGAACATGGGGCAGCCATCTGAACCATCTTAACGGGGAAAAAAGTTTTTCTAAAAGGGGCCCTTGGCAGGCGGCGTGGCTGGAGAGCAGCCGAAGGAGACGAGAATCTCCACCGTGCGGCCATGTCGCGGCCCAACGGCCCCCGCCAAGGTGAGGCGGGCCGAGCTCGATCCGAAGCGGAGACGGACGGGGAGTATCGGTCACGCATTCTCTCCTCGCTGCCGAGATAACAGAAGATTTAAGGCGTGGGTGGCGAGGGGGGCGGCGGGAGCGGACACACCTCGCAGCATCGATCGGACCCTGAAAGCACCGTCTCCACCCGCCCCGACGTCAAACGTTTGACTGCAGTATCTTGTGCGCATTATAATCCGATGCGGGCTATATATGAAAAATGTTCTAAAATAGGTCATTCATTGAAGGTGCGCCTTATTGTGCGGAAAACACGGCACATGAGCTCTGAAGAAAATGGTATACAAAACATACATTGTCGGTTAATACATTTTTTGTCGGTTAAATTCTTAAGGTCATTTGATCACCCCTACTTTATGTTTTGATCAGAGTTGTGATTAAAGGTTTGGGTGGGCCGCAAAAGATTTTCAGATTTCAAAGTGGGCCGCGGCATTCTTGAGTTTGGGAACCGCTGCTCTATACCATTGTACTAGTGGTAAAGCAAGGGTAGTACTTTGACATCAGACATTTATTTCAGCTTTGAAACCATGTACAACGTCTAAAAGCCCGTGTCTATATCAAGGCAACACCATTCCATGATCTGAGCCCACATTTCTAAGCGCTGCATTGGTCAGCATCCAAACTGATTATTGAGTCCAGTTCCTGCTTTATGATTTATGGTGTGATCTATTCCAGGTATGCACGAGCTGCGAGGACAATGCAGGAACCATAGGGTTTTGTGTGGAGTGCGGAGAATGGCTGTGTAAGACCTGCGTGGAGGCCCACCAGCGGGTGAAAATAACCAAGGACCACAAGATCCACACGAAGGAGGATGCTGACGCTGCCTCCGGTAAGATGGCCTTACCGTGAAGGGCTCACAGTGAAGGGCTCCACCAATGTTCTTTTGATGCTAAGACCGCAAAATAAGACCAACCCTAGTTGAAGCACTGTGAATGTGGTGCAGCTGATGGGCTGTTGCCATGGTAACAGGTCTGCAGAGTCTTGTTGCTGAGACGGTAACTCTAGCCATACACCCCGAAGCTCTGACTACAGCTTTCTGAAGTCTTTTACCATCTGTTTGCAAGTCCAAACTGGCTTTGACATGACTTTCGTATTGTCATCGATTTTTGACTTTTTGTTCAGTCTTTCACCGTCTTTCTGTGATTCAATTACCTTTACTGATTTCTGTTCCTTTTCTGTCTACAGAGTCAGTCGGTACGTCAGGACAGAGGCCTGTTTTCTGTCCGATCCACAAGCAGGAGCCTCTGAAGCTCTTCTGTGAGACCTGTGACACCTTGACCTGTAGGGACTGCCAGCTGCTGGAGCACAAGGAGCACAGGTAGCTCAACGTCTAGCACATCCTTCTAGGGTTGCTAAACTAAAACCAAAAAAAGCAATGACCGAAGCTTATTTAGCGATCTTTAAGCGTTCCCTGACTAATGCTCACGTTCTGTGGTTGAAATGCCTGAAGTTAACACTTGTGCTTGGCACCAGAGCGTCAGCCTCGCAGATGGTGCAAAAGCTCCGAGCCTTGAGAAAGGGGGGCGTTACACTCTATTCCGCTCCTCGTTTTATTATTCTCTAAGAGGCCAGAGAGCGTACAAGCACAATGAGCTGTAAACAATCAAAAAGATATAAGCCATTGACTGTAGGTGAAAAGCAATTAACTGAAATTCCCAATGCTTAGGAGGTATTTCAATTATATGTTAATTAATATCTCAATTCATGCACTACTTTGTTGCCTTTGTACAAGCCCTGTAACGAAACAAGTCAGGTAGTGATGCATTATTAAGACCTGGGGCAAGTTCCTCACTCTGGCTTCACTACACTTCACAACTAGTCAAAGACTGATTTACTCCAACATGGTAGAGACAAAGAATACGGCTCTAATCAACACAAAGAAAAGCAAAGTAAATAATTCCCTGCTAAAATTCTCCTAAATCCTCTGTTAGTCATTAATACGATCAGTCAATCCGATGAAAGTTGTCGTGACATACAGAATGTTACCCCTCCCCCCATCTGCTCTCAGGTATCAGTTCCTAGAGGAGGCTTTCCAGAACCAGAAAGGCATCATTGAGATCAGCGTGGCCAAACTACAGGAAAAGAAGAACTATGTCCATTACTCTGTGTCTCAGGTGCAAAGCAGGTGTGAGGTTATTTATCTCTAGTCCTGCCCATTGGCATAACTACTGCACGTTATTATCCATGGCTACTGGCTGGCACATGCAGTGAGCATTTCTATTTGTGGCTGGGGACTCTACATTGAGTTTGTTTTTTGCATTCAGGTTAAAAGAGCTGAACGACACACACAAGAAGGTGGAGCACGAGATCAAAATTGCAGTATTTACTCTTATTAATGAGATCAACAAGAAGGGCAAGTCCCTTCTGCAGCAGTTGGAGGTAAGATAATATTAATTAAGTCAGTTCGGCAAAGATCTGCACAATCCAAACAGTAGTTGTGCCTATATGTCTAAATGCTAATTCCGTTGCTGTTGATTCACTCTAATTGCACTCAAACCCACTAATTTCAGAGAAACTACACCATATATTGACCACATGGTTTGCACGAAGCTTCTCTTATTGGCCCATACAAATATGAAGAGAAATCCATTTATTACATTGTGTACTTGCACCTTTCTAATATGATTTTTGATATGTTGACCCTTTCCTGTTTACTGCATATGCTTTCACAAGATAAAAAATGTCCATGTTTCCATCTATAAAATCCTGGCTTTGACTGAATCTATTTACTCAGTTTAGTCATTGAATCTTGTTTGTTATATACTCCACCTCCTCCATTTGTTGTTTGCTTATTTACTTAATTATTTTGCTGCATTCCTTTTATCGACTGCTGTAATAACCTCAAGCTCCCCACAAGGATCATTCAATTTTGATCTAATGATCTAATCCATCTCTCTGCGCATGCCAACAAATTGTTGTGCCTTTGTTTATCTGGGATGTCCAAGCTCTCCGAAGCAGCCCCATAACCAGAATAATCTCACTCTCTGTCCAGAGTGTGACCAAAGAGCGCAGTATGAGGCTTGTGTCTCAGCATAAGGACACCACCCAGCTGGCCCAACAGATCCACCACGTCCTCGGCTTCTGCCAGTGGGCCATCACTACTGGCAGCAGCACGGCGCTGCTCTACAGCAAGAGACTGGTATGTTTCTGCTGTTCCCCGGATGTTCAGCGTTTTTTTATAACGATGAAGCATTGCTGTACATGGGAAGCACGGCTCTACGGGTTCACGTTTTGAGAAACATCTGGGTTGTTTTGGCCTCTAATGTAACTTTCTCATTATCAACAGCAATGAAGTCTCAGATGTCCGGTTGTAGCTAGTGTTCAGCCTTCTTCTAGATAAGTCTATCAGCGAATCAGCACCTCTTTTGGCTGGGTTATTTATTTACTAGCTCAGAGGCTTCTGCTGGGTGTCTTTGACTTCATTTTATCGTTTCGTGTTTTGGTAGCAGTAATTCTCCCCATGGGCATTTTGACAAACGAAGCAGTTGTTCCTCCACTACAGCCAGGCTTGTTAACCGTAACAACCTTCAAAATTCTGTTTTTTCTATGCGTGTGTAGATTCTGTTCCAGCTCCGCCAGCTCTTCAAGGCCAGACTAGAGCCGGCGCCCCAGGCGAACGGAGTTGTGCGCTTCTTTTGTGACCCCACCTTCTGGGCCAAAAACGTAGTCAATCTAGGTGAGAGAGCGCTATTACCTCATTATTATATTAAGGCAAGATCACGTCATCCAACTCGCCAGATTAAGTCGTGCATTATTTATTGTACAAGGGCTTTAAACAGCAGTATGACATTCATCTAAGTGTCCTATTGCATAAGTACAATTAAATAATATTTTACACCTGTCTAGAGCATGTGCACTTAAGCTTACTGTTATCCCTCTTCTCTTTGTAGGTAATTTGGTTATCGAGAAGCCCCCTATTCCTGTGCAACAGCCTGGCGTGATGGTGGGAGGACCACCCATTTCTCCAGGCCAGGTTCATCACAGTAAACAAGCAGGACAGATCAACCTAGCCCAGCTCCGACTGCAGCACATGCAGCAGGCGGCCTATGCACAGCAGAAGCACCACAACAACCAACAACAACAGCAACAGCAGCAGCAGCAGCAACAACAACAACAACAACAACAACAACAGCAGCAGCAGCAGCAACAACAACAACAGCACCAGCAGCAGCAGATCCAGCAACAGATGCGCATCGCCTCCCAAATATCCCAGCAGCATGCAAGACAGACTGCACAACCGATGGGTCAGCAGCAGGTATGGAAACGTTCACCCGTCAAGAGAGCACAACTGCGGAGTGCAACAAAAGAGTCTGTCCCATATCCCTCCAGACTTCAGAAGTTTAGAGATCTGGCTCTACAAGATTAGGAATTTTTAGAGATAACTGGACCAGTCTGGAAGGGCTTTGGTGACAAACTTCCAAAAGAAGGAATTTTAAGTTGAACACAGTTGTTGTAATAAAAGAATGAACAAATTTCTGTCTGAAGAGACGAGGAACCCAAAGTGATCCAAGATCACTCAGTTTGTCTAGTCATCTGTCAAAATAGAATATCCGATTTAATGTTGTCAAACAAGTAAATCACACCAACCTTTGCATTCCAGGGTTTTGTTTTGTTTTTGTTTCCTGTCAATGCGTCACCTTTAAATTCTCTTTGCTGTTAGCACAGGTAGCCTTGGTTTTGTTTACGTAATGGTCCGGTTTTCTGTCCCTGTGGTTTTCGACAGCCGCCAAGGCTCATCAGTATGCAACAGCTAACGAGAGGGCCTGTGGGTATGAATGGGGGGCCAGGTCCCCCCATGTACTCTTCCTCCCACCATATGCGTCTCCCGGGTCCACCACAGGGCCGAATGCCCACAGCTCAGCCCAGACTTAATGGACCGCAGTATCCGGCCATGATGCAACCTCAGCTGCAGAGACAGGTCAGTGCAAACACTCCGGTTCAAATGGATAAACGGAGGAAATGTGGACTGTAGTCAACGTCCTTTGACTGTTTGGATTTTCTATGTGTTTTTAGTTTTCTGTTTAACTCATCTGTTATCTGTAAACGATGTGTAGTACAAATGTGGTAGATGTTCTTGTAGTTGCCAAATAGCCTGCTTGAGGAAGAAATGTACAGTATTTGCAGTGAATTTGTTTGTGCATGCTTTTCTATCCAATGCTAACAAATGAGTTGGGAATACTAACACATTTAAGTGAGGTATCCTTTTGCTTTTTTGCAAGTCTGTAGAGTTTTAGGGGCAAGTTTATCTAGATTTTTCTTTTTTTGTGTTGCATTGTGGTTTCTGTTCTAGAGTAGTGTCAAGAATAAGGTAGTAATTGGTGAGCCCCGTACACAGGTCGTCCACCATAGAGCTCAAACAGGTCTATTGTAACTGTAAAATGTCCCAATCCTGTATACATATTCCTATCACGATTTCAGTTGTTATCGGGGTATTTACAAAAGTCTTGCATTGTTGTATTTGTGTCAGTATCCATCACTCTTGGTGCAAAGTCGGAAGTCCGGCTACGCAACTGATCAAAATATAGCAAAAACTCCATTAAGAAAGAACATCTTACTGACAATTATAACCATAGCCAATGGTGCTTTGAATTTTCATTCCCACCATAAAATTCACTTTGGGTATTTTGCCTCCAAAGCAGATTGTTAACGGTGAAAACCAAACCTCGGCCTGCTGAAATGGCTACACGATAGATAATGTTTTGTGACAGTTCAGCAGTATGAAGGGCCGCTACTTTTGTTTGGTAACCACACATTGTTCTCAAAACAAGCCGCAAGAATTCTGCCTTTATTTTAAAAAAAATGCAAACGGATGTGTTTGTGCTGGATTCTCAAATAATTCAGACAAACTAGTTAAAAGTCCAGTTTATTTCTTTGTGTTTAGAAAAGGGCCCTGTGAAGGTTTCTTGTAATCAAACAAGAATCACGTTTACATTCAGTGTTAGTCCCCAAACGTGATGTGTGTGTCCTTGAGGTCTGACAAACGTGAAGTGAATTTCCCTCCCTTCTTTACATCCATGTTAATAGCCCGCAGTCGCCTTCTTCCATGTCTTCATTGGTGTTATCGCCACCTGCTGATGATCAGTGCCCTCCAGGCGTGACATCGTAGGTGTGACTGTTTCCTTGTTTGTGTGCAAGAAACCAAAGGGGGACCCGGTCCCAGAAATGCAGCTCCATGGTGCTACTCAAGGTCAATAAATCCACAAGGAACCTCAATGCTTTTTCATTTTCACATTGGCAGACCGTTTGCTACTTGTGTATTTCACTCGCAGTAATGGCAGTGTTGACTGATTTAAACTTTGTCAGTAATATCACCTCTTCAAACACGGAAAGCCTTTTGCGCCCAACTGAACTTTGATATTGAACATCCATATCAAAGAAGCAGAACAAGAGCCGATTAAAACCTGAGTTTTTAATTATATTTAAAGGTAAATGTACTGCGTCCTCATTCAATCCTTCTTTACAATACCTTAACAAAGATCAATACGCATATCCCTGATTATTTTCACCTGTCAAATAATGTGCACAGAATGGGAAATGTACATTTACTGCCTGCATGTAAGAATAGTTAATACCCACCTATAGCCCCCTCTTCTTTGTGTCCAGATGTCTATAGAATCTGAGATGAGCCACCAAAGGTTTCGTTTCTTACTACAATCAGGGGTTTGGCACCTTTTTTCCTACTTTGTCATTTGTGTTTTGTGCAGCATGTGTCACCCAAATGCATGATTGTGCAACCATGTTGTTTCTACCACAATGTTTTTTTTGGCGAAAGTGAGCGAATGACTCATTGATCCTTCATCCCTCCGTCTCTCTTTCTATGCAGCATTCCAACCCCGGCCATGCAGGCCCTTTCCCGGTGGCATCCCTTCATAACGCCAATCCCACGAGTCCTACCAGTGCAAGTGTGGCCGGTGCCCATGCTCACCGCGGCCCCGCAAGCCCCATCATAGGCCCCATCGAGCTCATCCCCTCCGTCACCAACCCTGAGAACCTGCCCTGCCTGCCGGAGATCCCGCCCATTCAGGTGCCATCATCGTCTTTGGTGTTCGGGTCTTGTAACCCGAACACCAAATTATTTTTCCTATTATAAAGATCTTCCACTTTATTATATATTTATTTTGTATATATTTTATTTAAATATGTTATTTGAGGAAAGTCTAATGTAACCCATAATTAGCATTATGATAAACATTTGAATATTTATTTAAAGGAATAATGAGTATAATTTGTACTAACTATGATTCCCTGCTTGTTGTTTTTGGCCACTGTACATCCTCAGCTGGAGGATGCCGGTTCCAGCAACCTTGGACACCTCCTGTCTCGCTACATCACAGCCAGCACGCAGCACCACCTCGGCTCAGTGGACATGAACCCGTCGCCTGGACTCTCCACACACTCTCCTGGATCATCAGGTACCCTCACAAATTAGAGCTGACAGCCTGTTTAGTGTTTACCTTTTTATTAACATCCTTCTTTCTAAATGGATCCAAACACATTGATGAGGACATTGAATGACTTAAAATCATGAAACGTATAAGTAATTTAACTTGAGTCATTACCATTTGTAAAGTGTTACACATTGTAAATTGCCCAGTGTCTCCTTCCAAGATACTGTGGGCACTTGTATGTCCTTAGAGAAATTAAATTACATTTTCTTGTACTTGTACAATAGGTAGTGACCACGGCTGTATAATAATCACCTGTGTATTTATTTCCTGACTGATTTCTGTCTGCAGGTTTGTCGAATGCCCACACGCCAGCACGACCTTCTAGCAATTCCAGCACAGGTAGCAGGGGCAGGTAAGAAGATACGCAGGTACCATAGTAGAAAAACACCCTGTTAAGATTTCCAGACAATATAAACACGGCAGTTTCCATGATACCATAAATTAATTAATCAAACCATCGATACAATCGAGACTCGAGCTACGTTGCAGGATGAGGTCTGGGTTGCAGCTGTTTTAACACTATATCCCAAACTCCGATAGAGAGAGCATTCAAAAAATCTTTAATTAATTAATTGGTTTTGAAGTGTTTCAGACTGTTGCGTTAATCTTTTTTTATGGTTGTTTTTTTAGCTGTAGCTCTGCGGGGAAGGCAGGGCCGGCAGGCGGAGCTCCTGTGGAGCAGATGAGGGTGAAGCAAGAGCCTGGTACAGAGGACAGCTACAACTGTCCAGCATCTTCTCTGAAGATGGAGCTTGGAAAAGATTCTGGGAGGAGTGCCTGCATGGTATGTAAACAGTGTTGTTTTATATATATATATATATACACTGATGGCAGCTAGCTGCGGTTTCGTTTTCTGGGATCAACTTTGTTTACTTCCATTACAGCGGAAGACCGGAAGTAAACAAAGTTGTGTTAACTGCGTTAAAATATTTTTTTGCATTAATTTCGGCCACAATAATTGATTAGATTAACGCGTTCATTTTGACAGCCCTAATAAATATATATATATATATATATATATCATGGCCTAAAACCATCATCATGTATTTATTTATTTTTTTTAACCCCCAGATGAGCAGTCCGGACAACACCACCCATCCTGTATTGGGAGTTGCAACTACTGGCCAAGATGCTCTCAAGGTTTTAGTGGAGCGCGTCAAAACAGAACCCCAATCTGACACTCCTTGTTCTGGACTAAATGGCTCCAGCGCCGCAGCCTCTTCTTCTGCAAATTCAACCATGACCTCCACTACCTCATTATCCACCGAGAACAACAACAACAACAGCAGCAGCAGCAGTACAGTTGGCGCTCCCCTCACTAATGGAAACTCCAGCAAGGGGACAAACGACAAAGGGGAGTTGGCTGGAACAGGCAACTCTGGTGGGAAAGAGGAAGATCCCAATGAGGACTGGTGTGCTGTTTGTATCAACGGTGGTGACCTGCTATGCTGTGACCGCTGCCCGAAAGTCTTCCACATGAAATGCCATGTGCCCACCATCAAAATATTCCCGACGTAAGTGATCCGTCATTTCTCTTGATTAGCTGATAAAATCCAGTGACTGTTAATAATCCTAGCAAACTAGGCCAGGATTAGTAGGGGAAACACTGGGCCCAGTCTGTCAGACCAGGTACTTAATCACCTAAAGTGGGGAAAGTCCTGGAAAATTTACAACAACAGTAAAGGAGATTGTCAAAAAATGGTCCCCGATGAGAAGCAACAGGCTCGTTCTAGTGGACCGATCCGTCAGGCTAACTGTAATATCGTTGGACATCATTCATTAACGCGTCATTTGGCCTTCAGCTGCACCTGGTTCTCCAACGTGAAGGTAAACGACATCATAATGTCCTCTGGGATTTTCTCTTTCTCAGGGGCGACTTTCTTTGTACGTTTTGCCGGAGCCTGACCACCCCCGAGATAGAGTACTGTGACGACAGCAAGAAAATCAAAGGAGAGCAGGAGCTGAGTCCAGAGGACCAAAGGGTCAGTACAGCCGCCACATGTTCAGAGGCCTCCTTGTGACGTGTGCAAGGCAACTAATGCGCTCTCTTCCCCTCGCTGCAGAAATGTGAACGCCTCCTGTTGCACATCTTCTGTCATGAGCTCAGCGTGGGCTTCAGAGAACCGGTTCCTAGCTCTGTAAGTAGACACACACACACACACACACACACACACTTCAGCCAGTTCCGCTAGCTGATGGCCCATGTCCTGTGTTTTCAGTCCTGTCCCTTTCCTTTTGTTCCTTATGCGATGGCAAAGGTTGATCTTGTGGTCCTTGTACATTGTTGTTCTGCCCAAACAGGTTACACACAGTCACAGAGGTGTTGGGAATAGATGCGTTTTCTTCTTGAAAATTGTATAAGACATAACCAGAACTGTTTTGAAATGCACTGGACAAGCCCTGCAGCACCGTCTTAGTGTCCTGTGTTCTGATACGTTTTAATTAATTCATTACTTTGCATACTGTATTCTATCCTCTACGTTCTGCGGTTTGTAGTATTTAGTTTAGTTAGCTCTTGTTGAGGCACGCTTGTGTTGAAGAGCTGTAAATCAACAATCATTTCAAACAGTGGCTGTGTCTGCAAAGCGTACCACATACAATCATTTTCACATCTCCGTTTTCAAGTCTTTCAAATGTGAAACATGTAGAAAAGTGTCTTTTTACATTTCCAGTATTTATCACAAGTTTGGGGCAAGTTGTTCTAGGTCTCTGAGAAATGTGCCTGTTAAGCGGTCACCTTGCACTGCAACAGTGTACCACTGAGACGACTCCAAAAGGGACCTTTGTGATACGCGGCTTGTGTGAGTTACACACTCGTTGCGTTGGTCAACAACATTTAATGCAGGGCTATGATATTAATAGGCTTCTACTGTTTTTGTCTAGTGTGTGACTAATTCTGAGTAAGTTATTAATAACTTTTCTCCCTTCATCTGTCAAACACGGACAGAGCGCACAGTGCGCACCTACAATTATTTTTGTTGACAAAACTGAATGTAAAAAGTAGTGCATTTGGTACAGCCGTATTTTTACGGGACAACATCTCTGCATAGCATCGAATCTATCAATGAAAGGAGGAAAAAACGTCTTTCCAACACTGAATTCTCTTTTAATTCTCTCTTCGATAAGGAAGAACTACTTGGTTGAAACCGGGCCTGTCTTAAAAAGCAAGCCACATGGTCCTCCGCTTCACACATTCCTGCCAAATACAAAGAGATATATAAAGATTTGGTCTGACCCAGTTCTGTTCAACCAGGTGCCCAACTACTTCAAGATTATCAAGCAGCCCATGGACCTGAAGAAGGTGAAGAGGAGGCTGCAGTTGCGGAGCTCCCAGTACTACCGCTCCATCCAGGAGTTTGTGTCCGACATGCGTCTGATCTTCAAAAACTGTGCGGATTACAACGAGGTGAGCGGCATGAATCTTGAGCCTGCTTGGGAGGAATGGCATCCGGTGGTGTGTGTGTGCATGCAGAGGGTTAGACTGATAGGAGTTTGGAGTTTATACACCCACTGGCTAATTTGAACAGCTTAAATTGAGTCCCGTGTCAGACATTTGAATTAGGGCGAATAGCTCACCTGAATACATTAGTGTAACCTCATGTGAACCAAAGGGGGGATGGGTGCTTACGGCCTGCGATGTGCGCCCAGTGCTGTACACCTACTAACATTGGCTGTTGGCGGGGGGGATAAATTCATCGCGCCAGCCGGCGAAACCTTGTCTGAGAGCTGTTAACACTGTCTGCATCACACACAGATATTCCTGTAATGTGTCACCGCGGCTACGTGATTTCAGTTATTGGGGAAATGACTTACTTGAACTTATACCGTGTGCATTTATTTATCTGCTTTATTTAACTGCTGATGATCTCACAAACCCTCTGTGTGCGATGAAGTCTTGCTTGATGTGTCAATTAGAGGAATGCGCTGTTGCTCTGTGTTACACCTTTCAACCACACGGGGGAGCTTCTCTTTGTTCCTGAAGTTACCCATGTGTGGAATGACCATGTAGACTACCGAGACGCATCATTCCATTTGGACAGTGTTGATCTTAATCGACTTCCCCATGCATGCATATCATGTAACAAACAGGAACAGGAAGCTAACTGAAGAGGGACGTTGGTGATGCCGCTACGTCTTGTGTCATTTCATTTAGCGTGACGTATCAATATAGAGACTTTTTAGCAGAAGGAAGTCTTCATTGTAATGTAATTAGTAAAGTTAATGAATTAGCTACTATTCAGGTACATAAGGGGGCCACCTCTGTAAACGTATAAATAAGTAAATTTTCCAGATTGAAATTTTAAAAAGAAATTCTGTTTAGTTTGTACTATTGAAGAATTGTTCTTCCCTTTTGTAACAAAAAGAGGCTTCCAAATATTTCCTCCGACATCTGGAACAGTTATGGATCTGTTGGTTATTTTCCAACGAGCGCATGTGTTCACTTGGCAGATAAATACAACAACAAAAATCAGGCGTGAACCAGGCATAGATTCTCAGTTGAGGACAGCTTTCCGTTTAAATGCTATCTGTCCCTTTTGAGGAGAAAATTCTCATTTGACCTTCGGTGGTGTAACATTCTCAGAGAAAATACTTGTATCCTCCTTTCATTTTCCGTTGGCCATAGTTCTGTGACAGATTCATTTCTATGATTCTATTAGTTATTAACATTGCTGACATACATTTACACAGGCGTGGTGTAGAAAAAGACACCACTGCGCTGTAAGAACACAAATGAAACGTTCCCAGTAGTTTCCTGTTCAGGAGGGAAGAGAGAATTGACGTTACGCTGAAACAACTCTGTGTTGCACATCTGTAGGCCTGAGCGCAGTGAAAGGAAAACAGAGTTCTGATCAGTTTGTATTTAACCTGCCTGTGCTGTGAACTTTTTTCTTCCTCCCCCTTGCTGCTTCACTGTGTTTGTTGTAATGTTATTGCCCCTTTTTAGATGTCTCGAATAATCCAGGTTTATGATGAGGAGAAACAGATTAATACGCAGGTAAGCCGTTTCAAATAGAGAACAGATGTCTGGTCTCCTCCCACTGAGGCTCCAAGAAATGTTTTTGCCCTTCATCTTAGCTCCATGAGCAGCAGGCTTGGCCATCATTCAGTCTCAAATTACAGAAGATCGTGCATGAATGGAAGAAAGCGTGAAACGGCTTGTTAAATTTGGGGGTGGGAGGGGATCTGCGTCAGCACATCTGTTTCTTTCCAAAACAGACACGCCGTACGAAGCACACAAACACTCGCCTACCTCGTCTTAACGCAGCAAAACGTCATGTGCAATAGAAAGTGAAGTAAAGTGCACCGCAGTGGCCATTAACCAGCCAGTGAGGCCCAACAAGGACCCTTGTGTGCACTAAAATGCCTGCGTGGACCATCTCGCTACTTAAACAAAGCAGGGAGAAAGTGATTACCGCACAAACACAGATCAGTACGAATTCTCTCCGAAATAACTCTTTACTTTGCTTCACTTGGCAAATAGCTGTTTGCCATTTATTGTTCTCTTACAAGCACACATTCTGTATTTTACAGGTTCTACTTTCACACTCCGTCTAATGCTATGGTTGTATGGATATAATATATTCATGTACACGTTCACAATAGATGAGAGGACTGAAGAGCTTTGCTGCCCTCTAGTTTTTACGCCTGTTTCTCAGTGGAAGTGATTGTGTGGATATGAGACGAGGTGCAAGCGTGTGCCTGTGAGAGGCCCAAAAGGAGTCGTGGCCGTCTCACTCAGCTCATTTAAAATCATCATGGTTTTAAACAGTTCCATATAAACATTAGGGCTCGTGTCCTCAAGCTGTTCAGATTATATTTTGTTCAAACAAACTATCTATCTGGGTTCTCGCGTACAGATGAGACGCGGGCCATTCTCTCATGGAGGGGGGGGGACTCGTAGTTTGAAACCCAGTAGGAAAATGTCAGTGAGTTGAACTCTACAGTGTGAAAACTCTCTCATATTAATATTTATGTGGTGTTGTGTTTTTTTGGGTGCGCTGTCAGGGACGCTCGTGCAGCTTTATGGCTTTTGTTTTCTTTCCATATAACATCAACGTTATTCAATGTATCAGTAGTGGTATGAACTATTTCTAATGTTCATGTTGTTGTAGCTGGTAGATCCCGACCAGGTTTCAACAACCTTTCTAGAGATGCAAATATCTAAATGTCTCCCCGGCTGGAATCATTGACCCTTTTTTAGCGTACAGAAGTATTTGAAACCAGCCTAAGCCCCACTCAGCCTTCTCTATCTGTGATTGTGTGAATGCTTCATGGAGCCACAGTGGGACGGGGCGGTAGGGTGTCTGCGCTCTGTTCAGCAACGTTCTGCCACGGCACTCCTACCTCCTCTAATTTGTCTCCCTATTCTCGTCTTCCTCCTCCTCCTCCCCGCTTCAACCCATTTACTTTTCTTGCTCGATCGTACTCTCACCACCGGCCGCTTCCATATCGCTCTTCTTCAACCCCCCCCCCCCCCCTTTCTCTCTCCTCCTCCTCCTCTTCCTCTGGCAGGTGGGATCAGAGATGGCGATATCCGGCAAGGCGGTAAGCCTGTACTTCGAGGAGAAGCTGCTGGCGACGTTCCCAGGGCAGAGCTTCCCTGAACGACAGAAACGCCGGAAACCGAGTGCCCCGAGTCCAAGGAGAAGATGGACGACGGCGACACGGACGACTCCGAGGACCACTTCATACAGCCCAGACGCAAGCGGTTAAAAACGGACGACAAAGTGCTCCACATTAAGTGAGAACCCATTCACAGACGAAACAAAACTGTCTTCCTCCAATCCCACGTTTCTCCTTTTTGTTTGAGGCCGCAGCCAAAACGGACAAGCATCACTGTACAAACTGCTTCGGGGAAAATCGCATCCTCGCCTTGGAAATAATTACTGTCAACTACATTAGACTTCTGCCCAGAACTGTTGAGGACAGAAGCAAAGAAGAGCTGCGTTTCCTCCTCGTTTCACAGACACGGAGCAACTCGCTTGTACATATTCTGAAGTAAGACTTGTTTTGAGGTAGTTAAGTTACTGATTGCTACTTTCTTTTCTATCACCCATATTCATTTGTCGATTTGTTGTTGCGGTTGCTTTATAAAACGTTGGATCTGTTCCTCTGTTCCAGTTCTTAATGTATTATATCTATACTTTGACGTGAAACCAAGTATTCGTATTACTTTGTGGAAGCATTGTGTAAATAAGAGAATCTAGCCCACTGAAGGTATTCCCACGGTATAGATGTTTGGTTGCGTCATCAATAAAACCTCTTGAAATATATCCAAGGAAATGTGTGCTGTTGAGTAGCTTTGGGATTGCCAGCGAGCTCTTTCCAGGAGCAGTTCACCAGAATGACGAAAACAACAAACGCGTGTCCAGCCACGCACATCGTTTTGATCAAATTTGTCCTGGTGGTCCTTTTATTGTGCGTACACATTTCACAGCGACATATCTTTACATTAAGGCCCCACCTCTGATAAGCAACATACTAGCACAGTGGCAAAAGTGCATCCAAATGAATGTGTATACTACATGTGCTACGCCACGGCTAGTGGAAGTGATTTAAACGGTGAACTTTACAGTGTGTTATGGTTGATGGCTCTATGCCAAGAAAAAGTCCCCCATTCACATAAAAAAAAAAAATGATCGCAACCTCGGCTAATAAATTACAAGATCCTCTTTCTGTCGTTGCGAGCACATTGACGCCTTAAACCGAACCACAGGTCACTTCACGAGGAGCACGCGATCAGTCAAAACTTCCTTTTCAGCCGCCGTCTTGGAAATATGAAACGCACATGCCGACGTCAGCGGCTGTGACCGATGAGTCTGGCGACCCGTCGCTTCCCCATTTGAAGTGGATCGGCAGTAGCTCTAGAAATCCTCTTTCTTCTTCCAATCACTGGTAGGATGTTTTCTCTTGACAACTGTTTGTCCTTGTTATCTGGTTCAATAGGTACAAATATTTTTTAAAGTAGCCTTTGTTTTATTTTGATGAGTATTAGCCATCTGATCAGCTTAGTATTTAACAGGAAGAGATGACTCACCGATGAAGCCAAAGTTCACTGAGTGGGCCGTTTGCATACAAGCCTGCTTTACTCCGCTTTAACTCAAACCTGGTCATATTATATAATCACCTTTGTGTATTGTTTTTCGCAGCAACTCACTAAAATGCAAAGTGAGTTAAAGAATGTAAGAGGCCTTCGGGGCTAATGACTGAATTACCGTGTGGACAGAAATGATGGGATTTGACGAGACTCGTAGATATGTGATGAGAGGGTGTGAAATGTGTAATCTCTGGGACGTTGAATGATTCGTCTCAGATAAGTATTGATAATAGAAGTGTTCCGCTGGCTTGTTCAACTGCTTTGTCTATGATATATATATCGACCAGAGAGTGTTCTATACTGATGAACTTTAATCAGAATACAGTTCATTAACCTTCTAATCATAACTCAAAGGGGAAAGTAAATTATTACAGACGATCGTTGTGTCAGAATATTCTGATGCAAAAACGGAAAAACCCCATATACTACTTTTATGTATATTAAAATCAGATTGTGTTAGAATGTACGTTAGCAAATGATGCGGTCTCACATGTCCAAACCTCGTCTAGGGATATTTATCCTAAATTTACGCAACCTGTATTCCTGGAGCCCGATCCCAATTTAACTTTTGTTATAAAGGACGTACTTGTTTGGAGCCGAGAGCCGGTCACGTGCCACTTTCGATGCGCGTGCTGGTGACGTATCGACCCGGCGACCAATCAGCTCGCGGACGCGGCCGTGTTTGTCAGCCAGCTTCCGTGTTGTTGCCACAGTGTCCGGGAGGCTTTCGTTCAGCTAAGGACTCTGTCGACATGGCAGCGGCCCAACAGGCAAGATTCATTTGCTTTACTTATTTACCGTCTAGTTCTTTTCAGCCAATTTAGACGGGACGCCTTCAGGCAAAATCTCACCGTCTCTCAGTCGGTTGTTAATGTTACTAATTTAGCTAACGTTAGCTGAATGGCTAACTTAACCAATTAACAATTGTGTTTAACGTGACTCTGTTTATAGTCCATTTTAGTAACGTTATTTACCCGTTTAGAAACGAAGACACCAACACGTCGTTCAGGTGTGTTGTTGTAACCCGCTTGGGACGCGGTGTTGCGTCGCGGCTGGTCGCGTTCTCTCTTGTTCTCTCTTGTGTTGTTGTGGCGGATTCAAACCAAAACGCTCGTCACACCTGTGCCAAACGGTCAGAGACGGACTGCGAGTCTCCTGCCGTGTTTGTTTGGCGCTGGCCAGGAAAACACCGCGGCAGCTTTGTCTGTAGGCTGGCGTAGGTTTTCATTTTTATTATACGGATAATTAAATACCCCTTTTTTCAACTCTCCAGCAGTCCATGATGACAGACGGAGTCCTCACGCGTGCGGCCTTTGGCTGGAGCACTCAAGGAAACTTGACGTCCCTTTGCCCGAACGGGTCCGCGTGGGTTTGGGAAGGGCTCGGGGAATGCGCGCAGGACGGGAGGGACATGGCCAGCATCTACCTGGGCCTCCTGTCCATCCTCTGCTTCATGGTGTCTTCACTCCCGTAAGTGGCCCCGCAGTCTCCAGAGCCGGCGCTCCTCCGTCTGCACGTGATGTGTGACCTTGGCGGTCGGTTGTGATTGCAGGCAGTACCACAGGTCGTGCAGGACGGGGAACATGGACCAGGCCATCTCCATCTGGTTTCTGCTGCTGTGGTTGGGAGGCGACACCTGTAATCTGGTGGGATCCTTCTTGGCAAACCAGCTCCCGCTTCAGGTGACTTGTGGTGGTCTTAAGGCCTTCTCGGTGTATCGGGTGTTTCTATGAAGGATTCCTATTTATTGGTTAATTTGGGTTTGTAAAATGTCAAAAGAAATGATCAATTGAAATCACGAAAACAACAACTGCTCGCAACAAATAATTGTTGTTTGTGCTATGTGCATTTGATTATTCAAGTTCTCATTGATTATTTTTCTGTTAATTGACCTGTTTACTTACTTGCTTACTAGTTGTGTTAAGTAACAACACCAATAGATGTTTTTTAATATAATTCAATTATAATGTTGATGATATAATGATGGAAAAAAATGTCTACATGTGTCTTTCTTCTTGTCATCCAGACATATACAGCCATTTATTATGTTTTTGCTGACCTTTTGATGCTGGGCATGTACTTGTACTACAAGATGTGGAACAGGATGTTAGAAAGTGAGTGTTTTTTTTTTCTTTTACTAAATATAACACATGCACGCTATAAGATTCGCGTTTTATTGTTGTCCTGCTGATGTCTAAGACCAGTTTTATCTGTTTATAGGTTAACACTAGTCCAGACAGAGGAAGCTGCTTATTGCTGTACCCTGTTATATCATCACATGCCTCATGTTGCTGCGTCTGTTCCACTACTTTTGAACTCTGACTCAATGTCCTTTTGTCTTGGAATGTGCTGAGATGTCTTTCCTGGTATTGATGCTGAACCCAGGTGTTGTCTCTTCCGCAGACAGAAGGGTTCTGCACGTGGTGGGTGTTGTCTGTGTCCTCGGCTTCACCACGAGCCTCGTCCACCTCCCCGGATTAGGGCCCCTGCCTGAAGTCGTTCCCTCTGAGTTCAGAGGTCGCGCCTTGCTTTCGGTGTCCGATGCTAGTTCCATCAAGGTGAGTCAAATTCCCATGTTTATTGTGAGGGTGGGAACTAATGTAATGCTTTTTGCCGGTCTAATCGTGTTGTGTGTGCCGCTCTGTTTCCTCAGGCTTTTAGCTCCAGGGAAATTATCGGCTTCTCCATCGGCTCAGTGTCGTCAGTTCTCTACCTCTTTTCCAGACTTCCCCAGATGTACACTAATGTGAGTGTGACAAAGTACTATCGGCTGCATGCTGTAGATGGTAGACGTTAGTGGATACAAATACTTATGCTAACACTAATAACAAATGACTAATAATATTTAAATATTACTATCAAATAATAATTTTATTCTTTATATTTTTTGTTTGCACATATTTTCTTATAACGGTAATGGTGATTGAACATTACACAGTACAAGTTCTAAACATAATGTTTCAATATTGGGTTCGGAATCAACAGGTACTCAATACGTAACATTAAAAACATGCACAAGCAAAATATTTCCACATTTAAAATGACCGGTATAGTTAAACATTTAGAAATGTATGTCAAATGATAATTATGGTTGAATCGGCAACAAATAAAAAGTGAAAGAGGCAGAGTCGTTGGAAACACCAGTGAATATGAAGCAGGGGGAGTTTTGGATATCTGCAATCTGCACATATCTCTCTTCTGGACAATACGGTGTGGCTGCGTCTTTGACATCCTCTATTCTTCTGCCCACAGTTCAAGAGGAAGTCGACAGAGGGCGTCTCTTTCTTCCTGTTCGCGTTGGTCATCCTGGGAAACACCACATATGGCCTCAGTGTCCTGCTGAAGAACCCTGATGATGGCCAGGGCGAAAAAAGCTACATAATCCACCACTTGCCCTGGCTCATCGGCAGCCTCGGCACCCTCTCCTTAGACCTCTTTGTATCCTTTGCAAAACAAAGCCGTGGCTGCGCGGCCGCCGGGCTCCATTTATACCACACGCATGCTATATTTTAGGCGGGGCTTAGCTGCAAGACGTGACACTTCATCAGATTGATTTAGGTCTCATGACTGTGAGCGTGTTGTAACACAATATAAAGCATCAAAGGCTCAAGCACAAGCGTTTACTAGCAAAGAAACAGGAGTGTGGAAGCCATTATTGGTACCTCCTGGAGGCCGTGTGCCTCGTTGCGCCACACAAAAGTGTAGGACGTAGTATGAGAACATCTGCGATAAAAAATTTGACCTGATGATCAGTGATTTTAGTTTGTACCAAGATCAAATTAAACATCTGGATCACAGCAATATCTTTCTGACGGATATAATACTTCAGTTAAAGGGTCGCTCGCTCATGCTTAGTTTAGGCAAAGAGCAGAGAGGAAGACTCCAGGAAGTCACTCAGCAAATGTATTATTTTAGATACTGGCCAATTGCAGAGTATAAGGACGCAGCCTCGACACGTACTCCGAGACAAACACGTATGCTGCACAAATAAATATCTGGGATCTTAATGACGGCAAACCTGAGACTTTATTCATTATATTATTATTATAATATACATTCTATTTATATAGGTTATATGTAGCCCTGAAGCACAGTTGGGAATACATCCGATGTAAAAGAGTGTGGTATTCAGTAAATACGGATGACCCCATGTTTTAATTGCATCTCTTAATGGTTAAAAAATATCTTGCCATGTTTGTTTCTAGCTGCATGGAAAAAATATATATATATTTTTTAAAGATACTTTCCCAGGATTTCTTTGGATTTCCTTAACGTTATGGTTCAGATCTCCTTCCAGTTCTTCATTTACCGCGAAGCCAAGTTGGGGGTGGCTGCCGGCCACGGTGAGACGACGCCTCTGATTGGGAGCTAAAGCGAGTGTTTACCGGTGGGACGAGAACAGACGCTCGCCTGCAGTCAAATCCACACTTCCAACAGAATCCAGATGAAAACAGTTTGGTGCGATTTTATAGTGTAATTTCTTATGCTTTTTTTTGGTTTATCGACAAAAGTACCGTGGAGGATCAAGTCCTCCACTTAGGTACAGCGGCAGTGATTTATGGTTCACAATTCTCTTAATGTTGGAGATTTAAAAGGCCGGTTGAAGGTTTCAGGTGTTTGAAATGGATAAAAAAAACTCCTGTCAAACCAAAATCCTCCTTCATTTTAGGTCACAAACTCAAAATGATTTCAGACCTAATAAAGACGCAGAATTCCTCTAGCCGGGCAGAGCGCACAGGGGCTTCTCTCAAAACATTGTGGGGTTTTTAAGTTGCCAAACGCACCTTGTGACCCCCAGTTTCCTCCCTTTGCCATGTAGATTCCCACCGCAAAGCGAGAAAATCTTTTGCGGTTGATTTCAAGTGTAAATTGTATTGAGTCTGTTTCAAATAGATGCTTACACCAAGTGCTTTAATCACATTTTTGGGAATTTAATATTTATTTGTTCATTTGATTTAGCTTTTTATAAATACAGAAGCTTGACCAGTTTGGTTTGCACAGGTAATAAATTACACCACACACATTTAGACATTTTCTTCTTTTTTAATTCTCTGTTTTGCACAACAAAAGTAACTTTTGTACTTTGAGAGAACTTCGGTCAGTGTACTGTAAATATTAAACAATAAAGTCCTTTTCTTTGTTTTTTGAGTCTTGGCTCACTTTTTTTGCGCGGTCATATCATCATAATAATTTTATTGTTTTTACGAAATGAAGATATTGGGCTCTTGAGAAGAAAAACACCCCGAGGGGCGCTTCCTCCCGTACAGTTATCCCTCTTCACCTCCCACTTCTCTTCAGCCCGGCCGAGGCCTGCGCTTGGCCTTGACCTTTGCCTTCCTTGACCTGAACCTCTGCCGACTGTTTGACCTGCTCCTGGGGGGCCTTGACAGCCGTGTTTGTGGTTATTAGCAGACTCACGCTGGCCCCTCCGATGCACCCTCCTCCCTCGCACGCCTACGCACGCACATACTTTCCCTCGCTGCGTGCGTGCCTGCCTGCGTGCGTGCGTGCGTGTGTGTGTTTTGGGGGTCGGAGGGTTGTGAAACAGTGGCAGAGCGATTGCTCAGCGCGTCGGGGAGTTAGCAGGAAGAACAGTGATAGGGAGCATCCATCCATCACGAGGGATGAACAAGAGGCTGTTTATAAACACTCCATACTGGGAATTTCTTAATGAGGTGATTCCAGTTGCTACAAGTAGGACGGGAACGTGTTCACTCGGGTTGCCAGTTAAAATCCCATGTCCCACCAAAAGGTTTTATAGGATATTTCCAATTGGGCGATATCTTAAATTTACCACGTCAGACCGTCCACACTTAACCTCTAAATACTTCCGTTGGAAAGCTTTATTTTCCATGTCTCGCCAACGACCCCCCATAAAGGTTCTGTAGGAAATGTGTTCCTCTCACTGATGCAAGAGAACATTTACCCAAAGAGAAGGTCTTTGGTCACTTTTCTACATGTCCAGCTAAAACACACATCAAGAGCAGCTCAGTGTTTACTCTGTGATTGTGTGTGTGTGTGTGTGTGTGTGTGTGTGTGTGTGTGTGTGAGAGAGAGCATGGAGGCTGGGCTGAAGTCAACATTACAAAACGTGAGATAGTTGGACGAAGGGAGAGGACGTCGGACGCTCGGTGCAGCAGGAAGTCTCCCTTCATCAGCGGTGAGTCCACTAACTGCTCCTAGCTAACACAACCGCAACATCAACGGTTGCCAAGCCAACGCACACCTTTAGCTTAAAGAGCAGCTTGTTACGATGCCGCGGCGTCAGTCGGTCTTCTCTACAGGGGGTCAAAAAGTGAGTTTTTGACAGATTTGTCATCCACACCAGCTGACAAAGGTTCAGGTGTCGTTAACGGTGGCCACTTTCTCTACACAACATGTATTTAATTGCATCCAGCGTGCTCAGGCTCAGAAAACATAGCAAATGGGTTCAACGAAATCACTTCCGAGTCGTGAGAACTATTTGACATTCCCGATGTGCTGCATTGATCTCGGGGCTCCACCACTACCGAGTTCAGGAGGTCTCAGGAAAAGCACGTCACTTTATTCTGAGGGAAACTTGACTTCGTTGCCGTGTGTTTTGTTGTGCGTTACGTTTTAAGCGCTGCACTTTGCTCTGGTTGCTCTTGTGTTCGCCTCATCGTCCAGGGTGCAGTTAGTTTGTCCGCTGAACGAAACCCAATTCAGGGAACACGCCGAAAGTCCCAAGTGAGCTGTCCGTGCATGACATGAACCGCTTTGCTCCCTCCTCTCCCTCTTCTTTCGTGACACTCATCTCCCACGAGGGCGAGCACTCATCGTTAGGCCCGTGTCCAACGATGTGTCCAACAGTGTGACGCCTCCTGAAGATCCACGGCGACATTTGCACGCTCTCGGACACGGTCTCCATCGCTCAGCGTCGCTTCTGGCACCGCTGCCTCCGCCCGGTCCTCAGAGGTCAGAGACAGCTGGAGGAATGTCTGACGCTTGTTTGGTCATGACACTCTGATATTAATGGAGAAAAACACAATCGGACCACCTCTCTTCTTTTAGCAGTGGATGCATCTTTGGTTGTTGGCGTTGGAGTCTGAAAATGATGCCTGAGTGCAGATCAAACCAGTTGGTTGGAATGGGAATAAAGTGAGTTTGTTACCTCATTCGGATTTGATCTCTTAGCAAAGAAGCATCAATTCATCCACGGATGCATTCATCTTCTATAGAAGAATAACAACTATTCACAGGATTAAGCTGGTAGAAGCTTCCAACGTTCCCAGAGGAAAACTATGGAATTTAGTGATGTACAGACTTTTCTTTTAGCTCAGCTGTGTGGTTGACATTTGTGAGTTTAAGTCAAATATTTCCACTACTAATCGATTGATAGTCGTGAAACAGGGATGAACTGTAAGAATGCTGGTCGTCCGCTGACTTCCCCTCTTTTATCAGATATTAAATGGGCCCGATACAAAATCCCATCACAGCAAATTCCTCAGCTGTTCTTTGTGTTAATAATAAAATGTAAGCATGCTCACGAGCTGTGTTACGTTAAACATTGTACCTGCTGAAGCGATGCACGTTATTCATAGTTAACGTGTTGGCGTACAGGCTTACAATTACAATATGACAATGTAATATCAAAGAAGTTTATTGGATGCTCCTAAAAGGCCTTTGTCAAACCATAACAACACCAATGTTATTTGCACCATGTAAACACAGGCTCACACTGATCCTGTTACTGTGGGCCCACGACATTCATTTGTCTTTTTTCTAAATTGTCTTTTTACCCTCCGCACAATTTATCTCCAAACACTGATCAGTCAGTGTGGACCGCGATCGCACGTGCACAGATTTACCCTTTGGACGCGATCTTCAAAGGAAAGTCACTGTGTGAGCTACACAGCTCGCTCCGAATTCCCTTGTCTTTTTATCACGAGCCATCATCCGAACTCTCTGTGTGAGAGGGTGCGGGTAACCGGAGAGCACGTTGTACAACCCCCCCCCCCCATACCCCCCCCCCCCCGTGTGAGGCTGTGGTTCTCATAATGACCCCAGTGAAGGGATTATGTGAGGATGATATGCGCCTGGGAGGACGCCGTTATCCCCACTAAAGCATGCTGCTGGTCAAGCCGCCCCGCTCAGAGAGTTACGGGTGCGGAGGTCACTCCTCTGTCTTGACGCCGGGTGGTTCGGGGTCCCGTCTCTTTTTGCTCCGCCCCGGCATGGTTAACTGCCTGTGGGGGAGGAGAGGGTCCCCGAGCCCCTTAAATCCAACTGCTGTCCAATATTAACTGCAGCACAAACAGAAGAGCGGTAAACAAAAGCAAAGTAAACACGCTCCCAAAGGCTGGGAGGACAAACATGGAGGGAGAGACAGACAAACAGACATTGAGTTTACCAAGCTTCACAGGAAATATTTCACCCCCCCCCCCCCAAAAAAAGTTACAACAATTCATTTAAAGATGCTAAATAGTTTTTGTTGACTCATCGTATTAAACTGAAAGTCCTTCTTTGCAGCCCAGCTGTTGCACTCTGGGAGACATCCACTGAGGCCAAACCTCCACACACACACACACACACACACACACACACGCGCACAAGCACACACACATATTTACACTCAATGAGTGTTTTGTGTCTCTCACTCTGTGGGATAAAGTCTCCGTCTTTCCCTCCTTCCACCCGAACCGGCCTCTTTTTTTCCGATCTGTGAAGTCCCGGCCAGGTCCAGCTGTTTGGACCCCAGTCACATCCCTGTCCATCCTGGGTGTCCCCACTTTCCCTTTCGTCTATCCCCCGGGGACAATTAAGACCTCCTCCAGCACATCATCCACCACGGACCAGCTGCTCTCGTCCTCTCTGTTTTTAAAAATAGGCTGGGACATGAGCCTCTACAGCTAAGAGACCTGTACGCATCCAGGGGATAGAGGAATGTCTCCGCACTTCCCAGATCCTTCATATCTATGTGAATCCTGTGAGTAATTGACTGTGTGCGTGTGTGTTTATGTCTTTGCTAGTGTGTGTGAAGATAAATCCTGTATTACTAGCTGGCGAGGGGATATTCTGTCCAGATGAGAGAGTGGGCTGAGTTGGAGATGAGCTTTTCGGCAGGAGGGTTTCTCTCCACCTCGGACGGTTACTGCTCATCAGAGCAGCTCCAGTATTACGGTGAGTCCACACTGACACTCGTGTCTCCGTTCACGTTCTATTCTTCGCCTCTGACTTTCAGATTCCTTACTGTTGTAGGACATATCAATAACACTTATACAGAATAAACAAATGCAATCATTAGAATTAAGAATGTCTCACTTAGACTGTTGAATGTGACACCAATACATTTGAACCAGGAGGTACAGAGATGACTCCGTATTCAGACACAAGAGTCAACGTCTCATGTGATTTCAATATGTCGATTTTATTTGCAAAGCACTTCCAGTGCAATTTGTCAGTGGTAAATTTATTCAAATGCTGCTGTATAGGCTTATTGGTACCTGGTTCATTTCTCAACTTTGTTTGTAAAATATATTATATAATATTATAATACATTTATAGTATTTAACATAATATATACATATATTATGTTAAATACTATCCATGTATATGCTGTATATACAACTGATGGCTTGACAGAATTGTATAATTATACATATAAATATCAAATAAATGCATTTCCTTTTTGTTTGACAATATGAATATGAGTATCAGAAAAGAAAGCATATTTATTTGCAATATGTGTGGACTTGACAACAACATGTGAGGAAGCTTTGGAGGACATCAGTCTGATTATTAAACCTAGTTTATGTGCCCTTATTTTATATTGTAGCATAATATAATACGATATAAGAAACGTAAAACGACGTTAGAGTCAGATGCCTTTGACATTTTTCCTCCTATCGTTCTGTATCTAAATCCCATTTGTACATTTTAATAACACCCAATATCCATCACTGTCCCAGGCTGCTTTTAAAGGGGCCTTTTACTCAGTGGGTTAATATATAATATATTTAACGCAGTAAAGACTACCTGAGCAGAGAATTAAGCCAGTCTTCCTCTCTGTGCCGACCGCTGCACGTGATTCTGTCATTGCGCCGGACCGGCCAGCTAACCGACGCCCGTCCGCGCGGCGCTCACACGTCGGTTACCTCTGACCTCTGACCGCGCCGTCCCGTTATAATAATTTACCCGTCATCAAACCCTCTTCCTGTGACATCACACTTCAAGCCGCGTTAAACCCTGTAAGCGCTCAGATTGCCCTTTGCCCTGTTGGTGCTGTTAGCATGTTAGCTGCTAGCCGTTGATTTACCGCCTCTGAGAACTCGCTGATGGGGGCAGAAAACAAAAGTTCTTGAGGAGTTTCAGCCGGCTCATTGCGTTCACAGCACGCGGGGAGGCTGCGCGTGCGTTGGAGGATCTATTTATACTGACATGTATCATCAACAACCCCCCCCCCACCCGTTGTCTCCCCTCCTGCCCTCTGAGACAGGGGTCGGGGAGCAGCTATGGGGGGTAGATTGCTGGTGTTGTTTGGCTCCCCGGTGCGTGGGATGGAAGGGAGGCTGAAGAGTGTTTAGACAGCGTTCAAATGGTTTACAAACAGTGCGATCCACGGCGCTGTCACATGCAGAGACAGCGAGGACCCCCACCCCCGAAACCATCGCCGCCACACTGAAGTGGAGACAGGAAACATCTGGAGAGAGAACGAAAGAGGACGCAGGGATGAAGCGAGGACGGGTTAATGATTCAGTGATGATTCTGATGACCTGGAAGGCCGCTTCTTTGGTTCTTCTTCTTTGGTTCTTCTTCTTTGGTTCTTTGTTTTCCCGTTGAAGGCTTAAAGACGCACATTTAAAAGCAGATACGTTTCAATTGACTTCAGCCTCCCGTCGTCATGTTTCAGCCTTTACATTTCCCTTCCCAGCAGTCCCGAGACCCCCGATAGTTGGGTGGGCTCTGCGTTCAATCAGCACATAAAAATCCCACGGCCGTCCCAGTCGTGCCGGCCCAGCTGTTCTTTCGGTTTGCACATGTTTTCTCAAAGGACGGCGGGACTCGCAGAACACAAGCTGCTCGTACGCTTCAGTCCGTCACAACACACCGAACGGACTGAGTGAGGCTTCCAGAAAAGGGGATTCAAAAATCCTTGATGGCACTGGGAGCTCTCAGCTGCATCCTGTTTCAGCGAAGCAATAAGGCCTCAATCTCAGCTTCTCGTTGCATCTCCCAAGAACCACGGCAGCGTTCACACGAGTCACAGGAAACCACATTCCTGTGACTTTGCAACAACGTAATCGTAGTTTACTAGTAGCAATAGTGTTTTCTGTTCTCGCTGTTGCACTTGTTCAAACCATTGTCTTACGTATTTGTTGTTCAGGTGTGTGTGTAATGCCATAAATACAGGTTTCTTATGCTGTAAACATTACATCCCAAATAAGATCAAAACAAACTGAAAACCGGGGCGCTTGTGTGCATGTAAACACATTCATTCTTAAAGGGTACATTTGGTATTATTTATAGCAGATGTCACTTACGAGGAGCAAATGGGCTATTTGCTATTTTTACCTGTGGATTGATACACTCCTGGGGTTTAGTATTTCGGGGCGCAGGTTGGTCCAGTGACCATGTTTGACACATAACGTACTGGCTGGTATGTTCTTCCACCAGTTGTGCATTGTAGACACAACCTGAAGGAATGTCCATCGTGCAAATGGAAGGCAGAACCAGTGCGGATCCAAGAAGTAAAACGGTCACGTGTCGCGTCTAAATGACTCGATGCTCCGGCTCTAATGGAAAAGAATTATGTCACAGCTCCAAACACAACAGTACCAAAGAAAAATAGAAGCAAAACTGCAGATGATCTTGCATTCATTTTTAGACGCACACCTCTGACCCCTAAAACAATACTTCCCCTTTTTCTATTTCAGACATGCTGGCTGACCCTCTGGCGTACCCCCTACAGGACCCCGACCTTCAGCTGCTCCCCTGCAGCCAGCAGCAGTACCCCCCCGCCAACCTGCCCTTCTCCCTCTATGGCTCTCCACCCTCCTCCACCCCCTCTCCGTCCTCCTCCTCCTCCTCCTCTTCGCAGCCCTGCCACCCTCCGTACCACTACAGCCCCCATTGCATGGAGGCCCCCTGTGATCCCGGCCTCCAGGCCCACTGCGGCGTCCAGGCCCAGGGGCTCGGGATGGTGGGACTGCCCCTGGTGCGGAGGACTCGGGTGATGTCGGGAGGGAAGAACAGGGGTCAGGAGGAGCTGTGTGTGGTGTGTGGAGACAAAGCGTCAGGGTACCACTACAACGCTCTCACCTGCGAGGGATGCAAAGGTTTTTCTCACCCTTCAAATGCTTTTCTCCACGCGGGCACATTTCACAGGCTGACCTGGGCTTTCTTTCCCCGCTTCTCTTCCCGCAGGTTTCTTCAGGCGTAGTGTGACCAAGAAGGCCGTGTACCACTGCAAGAGCGGCGGCAGCTGTGAGATGGACATGTACATGAGGAGGAAGTGCCAAGACTGCCGGCTGAGGAAGTGCCGCGCTGTGGGAATGCTGGCTGAGTGTAAGCGGCGTCTGCTGTGACTCAACTTAAGTATCGACGGGCGTCATCGGTACCCGTTTGACCTGAGATGCATGTTTCTCCTCAGGCCTTCTGACAGAAGTGCAGTGCCAGTCCAAACGACTGAGGAAAGTCGGTCAAGTCAGAGGACATAAGGAAGAGGAGAACGCGTACAACAAGAGAGTCAGCTCCACCAGCAGGCTGCCGGGGCAGGTAACAGAAACAATTGCGTTACATTTGAAGAAGCACATCTGGGCAGCTGTGCCTCTGCCACGCGGTGGTGGGATCAATGGGTCAGTGAGCTGAAGTGAGAAGGTGAACATGGAGACGTGATTCCTGTTTGGTGTGGGCGCGTTAACGTCGTCAATGTCAGCATGAATTACCCAAGATCCCAAGTTCAGCCTCATGGAGTTAGAAGTCGGGTTGCTGTGGTTGTTTAGTTAATTCCATGGTTGGTTACAAAGTTAGTAATATTGACGATTACAGTTGGGGATTTTATTCTTGCCATAATTGGTAGTGTATTGTGTTTGGGGACAGAAAGGCTAAATGTGAATGCTTGTTTCAGGTTAATCGGGAAAATGAAAACACAAATTTTTGCCATTAAAGCAGCGCTGCTCATTCATTGAAACATTTCACCCAGTGGCCTGATATACTTTTAAAAGTCCTAATAAATGCCAGTGGATGTGGTTTCATAAAAAGGTCCTAGAATTGTCTTCTGTTACACTAAAAATGTCATGATGTACTGTAGCACGACAGAAAAATGTCGTGAAATGCTCATTAAAGGACGTCGTAAAATAAGTCATAGTTTAGTATGTTATGAAACATAAAACTTCAGAATGGATTATGTCACATAAAGAAGTTGTTTTATAGTATATCAGAAAAATGTCCTAATATGGTCTCTCAGTAAATCGTCACACAGAAACGTCCAAGTACAGACACCCATAGATTCTATCATAAAATATTAGCCCGACAAATGTTATTTAAAGAAGTCAGGGGGAAAAAAAGAATAAAGGACAACTAAAAATGTACTTTCCATCTCATAGTTGGAACACGTGTGAAACGATATTTGAATTTGTTGTTAACCTCCGTCTCTCTCAGGCTCCGTCTGCCAGTTTGACCCGAGAGCAGAAGCAGGTGGTGGACCGGATGGTGGAGGCGCATCGGCAGTACAAAGCGCAGGACAGCAGCCCCTGCAGGGTAAGTCGTGGGCTGCAGACATCGGCCTGTTCGCGGTCGCGCTTTCACGCCGCCCTCATGGTCCCTCGTGTACGTGTGCTCAGTTGCTCGAGTGGTCGTGTGCAGAAGAGGCGGGGAGCTTTTCTGATGTCGCGACGCCACAACTGCATCGACTGCTGCAGTTTGCCAGAACAGTGCCAGGTAAGCGTGACGGGACTGTGTGACCTTCACAACATGTGATTTGTAATGAAGAGATACGTGTTTTTTAAATAACAAGCAAAAGCAAATGAGATCAAATAAAGGGGATTCAAACAGTTTATCCCCCATTCATATTAACACCGCTTACAAATGACAAAGACACACTTGTTGGCACGCTTTGCCTTGTGGGATTTTAAAGTTGGTTTATACTGATGGCATGATGATGATTCAGAAATAAATAAAATCTACAAGGTGAATAATGGAGTAACGTACAGAACCACAATATCGTATTATTGTGTCTAGCAAGTGATGATCCCGAGGGAGTGAAAACATGTGAATACCAAATAGAGCTTCATCAAATGATGTGACATAATCCAGCTGTCACTCAAAGAACATCATAAAAACATTCATAACGCCGTCCCCCTCACAGGTTTTGACCTCCTGGATTTCTCCGACCAGAGCTCCCTGTTGTCGGTCTCTTGGCTGGAGGTCATGTTCCTGCTCTCAGCACAGCAGTTCTCCCTCAACCCCACCAGCCCCAGTCCAGGTGAATAACCCCCCCTCCTCCCCCACCTTCCCCTCCTTCCCCACACACACGTTTATAGCATTCTGCTTCAGTTTCAGTTCAGTAAATAATTCCTTGGTTTTCTTATATCAGCTCTGCAGATTTTTAGCATGTCGACAAACAACTGGCTGAGAAATGCAGAGTCAAAGGAAAACATCCACAGCAGGATGCCGGTCAACTCAGGTGGATCCGACTCTCCCCACTTGACCTCTGTCAAAGAGGTTACGTGTCATAGACTAGATATTTCTAAAAATGAACCATTTCCTGTTTGCTGTTGTGAACAGGAGGCAGTGAGGATCTCTTCGGGCCGGTGCTCAACTTCTTCCACAGCATGGCGACGCTGCTGGTGACGGAGGCCGAATACGCTCTGCTCACTGCAACCGCTCTGCTGTGCTCAGGTCAGACCAGCAATAAGGCCCAAATGATCGATTGAAGACAAATGCTCTGTTCTGCTGTACAGCTACATGTGGACACAACCAAACGGACCCCGGTTCTGTGTGTGTGTGTCCACCGTTCCACAGACCGCGCGTCCCTGCAGGCCGCCAGCTGCGTTGAGAAAATGCAAGAACTGATCCTGGACCTGCTGTCCAGGGTGTGCGGGGCCCAGGCCGGAGCCGCCCGCGGGGGGCCGCAGCGGTTCGGTCGCCTGCTGGGCAGACTGACGGAGCTACGGACCCTCCGTCACAACTACCTCCTCCTGACGAGACGGCAGCCGGGACACTGACAGGGAGGACGCAGCTTCATGTTTGGTTAGAGGGACTAGACGATCCGGGGGTTCAGCCGATGAGTTTTTAGCTCATGATGGGACTGAAATGTGTTTATTTGGACCAAATATACGTTATCGGTCACTTTTTTTTATAACCGTTGTAAAGAGCTTAACATTTACAATAAGCATTACTTTTCACAATGCTGAATATTGTTGAAATAAAAAATAAAACCGTATGTGTGCTCCTTTTCTGACTAAAATCACTAACCACACTTGAGCTGATGGTTCTTGATGTAAACCATCTAATTATTTTCCAAATGCTGTAATGAGAACACCTTTGATTTAAAAAAATCTTTCCCAAAAGGTTAACAGAGAAACTAGTTCTCCACATGTGAAAATGCTATTGAGAACCATTATTACAGTAAATACAAACGTAGGTATAGTTTCGCATCGGATAAACTTGGAGCACTTGAATATTCATAAGGGAATGATGGCAGTTTGGTCAAAACCGAAACTTATTTTAAATGTCAGCTGCAGAGTTTTAAAATATCACTCCATTTGTTTTGAATATGATTCAATTCTTTATCCAAAATAACTTTCTATAGCCACAAGGGAATTTCTGGGAACTGGCTCGGACCGGCCGCCGTTACTTACGTGCAGGTTGTCCGCCGAGGTGTTTGCACTCAGGTGCTTTTCAGTACCAAAGACCCACATTGATGGAAAACACTACAGTGACAATGGTTACAATACAAACATGGCTGCCCTCCCTTTTGGTTCAAGTAAGAAAAAAACTGCAGTTAAGTATCACAAATGGTTTTTAATAGAGCATTTATTTCCCAAAATGTAGAAATGCTTGTTTTGACAAAAATATTTGGTGAGTGGGTAAAATATACAGGTACTACAAGCTTATAAAAGGTGTATTTTTTTGATAAGATGAGTCTCTTGACAATAAATAGGATATTTAGGGGGTCGACAGTGAACGAAGGCAGCTGGTCTTGAGTAAAATCACCAAACCGAATGTGAACTTCTGTTAAAAACGTTGGCAGCATGTTTTTATCAAACGTCATCGGTTTAAAATAAGATTCAATTCTCAACTCAAACAAATATAACTTTCTCTCTATAGTTCTGTATCCCGTAAATAAATTATTTCTCTGTATCAAAAAGAGAATTCATATGAAGAACAATTGGCTCATTGTTTTGCACGCTGTGAACGCGCACACGCACACTCGCACAAACAAGCTGCACAATTAAATGACATCACAAGTTAAAGTACACTGCAGCAAGTCGGGAATTATTTCATCTCCAAGTATACACAGCCTCGATTTACCCCTCGATTGAAATACGCATTTAAAAAGAGCAACGTTAAATAAAATCAATGTTTGTTAACATACATATGTACACAACGTGTGCCTTTATAATATACAAGTGTCTCTGTAAAAGATTAAAATGTAAGAAGCTATTGTATAAAAGATGGCAGTGATCCATTCATACGTCTTCTGTGTTTCATATAATGTCAAATCTCTTGTGAAGATTTGATTCCTTGGCAGTAGCACGATAGAAAGAAGATCTTTAACATTTGATCCAGACGCATGGCTCCAACACACCCAGGTGGAGTAAGCAGACACCTCTATGCAGCTCCACCCGCACCTACAGCTCCACCGTGACAACATGCAAACAGCGCGGGTGCGGGACACTAGTGGTTCCAGGACGCCGGTTGCACCGACCTCATTCAATACAAGTTCATCTCGGGGCCGGACCCCCTGCTGCTGCTTTGAGACCAGGCAGAAAAGCGGCTGGGCCCTCTACAGGTAGTTGGAGGCCACAAAGCCGTGGCTGTGGCTGACCCGGCTCTGGTGGATCATGGCGCGGTCGTACGCCACCTGGACAGACTTGCGGATGCTGGACTTGCGGCCCTCCATTATGCGCAGCTTGTCCGCTGTGTCGTCTACTCCCAAGGCCGTCACTTTGTCTCGTGGGAGCCACTGCCTGCAGACGCAGAAATACAGATGACCACTTCTTTACACCCGTTTCAAGGATTCGGAGCTATGAAGCACGTGTGTTCAATGCAAATGGATTGTGCTCATTTTATTATGAATGAATTTTAACAAAAATGATCATCATGGTGGATATGAGGTATGATTTGGCGTCGGTGTTTGACCCTCACCATGTCCGCTTGTTGTCAAAGAAGAGCACCAGGTAGAGCCTCTCGTTGGTCTCCTCCTGCCTCTGCTCCCCCAGACAGAGGACCTCTTTGGGGGGGACAGGGATGGGCACCCCGTTGTGCAGCATGCCCTCCTCGGGCATCTCCGGGTCGATGATCTGGAAGCAACACACGGTTACGTCTCGCTGGAAATGTTGTTCTGAAAGGCACTTTTATGAGTTTCTCATGATATATTGTATTTTTACCATCTGTTGACAGCTAATACGACTGCTTCATATAGAGTCAGAGGAATTACCAGAGCAGGATAGGAGGGGTATCCCCGACACTTTGCCCACACCAGAGCTAAGGACTCCAGCTCCGTCCCATCCTCAGACAGCAGACGACCATTGCCTGTAAAACAGCAGCAGATGGGAAAATGATCTTAAAAACAGGCAGTAAATGACATTTATACATATTTACAATGAGATTGTTGTATTGTTATGCTCATGCGACCAGGAGAGAGAGAGAACAGAGGAGAACGATGGTACAATTAAATTCAGGTGAACCGTTGACATCTTTAACAGAAACATACCAGTATAATCAGAGTCTCCATTCACGATCTCCAGTAAGGGAATTTTGGAAAGAGCCGGTTTGCCGAGGCTTCGTTTGGTTGGTGAGCTGCTGGAAGACAACGTCATTGTCAGTGTATCGTCAATCACTGCCAATCGCAACCAGCGGATGGGCCACGTCTTACGTTTCTTTGTGCAGGACAGGACAAGGGATGTCCTCAGAGTCGGAGCCGCCAGCTGTTTGCTTGGTGAATCCGTTGGTCAGTGCTGAAAGAAAATGACAAATCTTAAAACCATCTCAGAATACCAGGAGGGAAACTGGAGGTTGAACAGCCGTTCAGGTGGCCGGCGGTTATTTTCCGCTTCAATGGACTAATGTGTTTACTCGAGGAAAAAAAAAATACCGTGTTATACGGTTATACAGACAAGAGTCCTACAGAACACCCCGATATTAATCTTTGGCCATAACGTGCAGTCCTGACAGAAAGTCTCTCACCGCTTGGATGATTTGGCGTCTTCTCCAGCTCACTATCCGAGCACCGCCGACTGGGGGTCCATTGTTCATTGAGGGTGGGGGGTCCGGGGCTTTTCTGCGGAGTCTTTGACGGCGTGGACAGCGGTGTTGATGACGGGGTACTGGCCGCGGAGTTAGGTGCGGTGGGGGGGGCGGCGTTGCTCGAGTTGTTGTCCTGCTGCAGCTTTCCGTTCAGCAGGGCGTCTCTCTCTCTGAACAGCTTGGCTCCGTTTTTAGCCTTCCTGAATAACACAGAGGTTCGCCGTCCAACTCCTCCGTTGACGGGCCGCGGGACAGCGGCGAGCTCGCGCAGGCCGTTGGCAAACGCCTGTCCTTCGCTGTGCAAAATGGGGGGCGGCAGCACCCGCTGCTCCTGTGTTTTAGTGCAATTTGTGTTCTCCGGGGGGAGATCCGAGAGGTCGTCGTCCATCTTCAGGCGCTTGCAGGGCCAGCTGGAGGACTGGGGCTCCCCTGTGATCGGCCGCAGGGTGGGCGGTTCCAGAGGTGCGTCCCCGCGTCGCGGAGGAGGCGCCGGCCCGGTGGGTTCCAGTGTCGGGGGAGATGTGGATTTGAGGTCATCTGGAAGAAGAGAAAATTTGTATTCAATTTCCATCAGCGTGCATTTCAAATGAATGCCCATTTAGTATGTAGTGTGATGTGGGGGTGTAGTTTTCACACTGAATGGCTTACATTTCATTCTATCAGTACAACCTGTTCAAACGGAGTTCTCCACATATGGAGGACCTTATCAAGGCGGGTGCATACATAACTTTGCGCCCACTACTGCACGCCAGCAGGATGATAACATGGCAGTATTTCAAGACTGGGACACAAACCGCAGGTATTGTGCTGCGCACCTCTATCGTGGCGAGAGACAGTTTGACCCGGCTGGCCAGTGGTCAGAAGTAGGATGACATGGCGTGACTGGACGTGGCCAATGGAGAGTGGTGAGTCCATGAGAGTGATGTACAGAAGAGGTGCAGACACAAGGGGCACTGGGAGAGAGGAGTTGTGAGGCAGCCATGGCTAACGAGACTCTGTGGGCCCCTACTTACTAGACTGGAGACTGTGGGGTGGTTGGGGTTGGTGCGTGGGGGGGACCCTGGCTCAATTACCTGAGGACAATGTTCCGTTAGCTCATGTTCACAACTGGTCTCATTGAAAATAGAGGCTTTTAAGGTGCATGCATTTGGCAACTTCATACTGCCAAAGCGTCAGTGCTTCCCACCACCCACCTTTGTCCGAAGACAACAGACTGCTGTCTGCCTGGGCGTCTTTGTCCTCATCTTCCTCTTCATCATCATCGTCGTCATCTTCTTCTTCCTCCTTCAGATGTCCGTTGTGAAGGCTGTGCCGGGGGTGCTGGCCCTGCCTGTAGCGGATGTTGTTGATCTCGCGACGGAGCAGGCGGATGCGTCGAGTTCGGGCGCCACTGCATCGCATGGAGGAGACAAAGTCCATCTTTTCCAGCAGCTCCTTCAGCTGTTCATCCACCGTCATGTGAAGCCGGTTGGCTGGATCCAGCACGCTGTCGACTGGACGCGACAGAAAGGGGATTAGGCTGACGTGCATCTCCCACAACGGCACAACAAACATGAGCTTAATGCTGATATCAGCCGACGCACAAGAGCCAAAGAACTGAGGCACTTGCAAACAAGAAGTTAGATCTCGTCAAAAGGAGAACAGAACAGAACCTACTGCTGTTTTTTCTCCTAAAGGCCAGTCAAAGGAATTGATCATAAACCAACTCACAATGGTCAAAATGTTCATTTTGCCAACGTTGTTAAAAGACAGCTTATGTTATTTACGTGGGTTGACGCATGGAGTAGAGAGGGTGCGCTGGGAAGCGCAAGGTTGGCAGTTCAAACCCTGGCTCCCCCACATCGAAGTGTCCCTGAGCAAGACATCTAAAGCCTGATTTATGCTTCTGCGTTTTCAGAGCGACGCAGACGCAAGACCCCCTTGCGTCCTTGTGTGTTTCGAGCCATTTTTCTAGGCTCGCGTCGAAAGCGACGCAAGCAACGCAAACCTCCCGCAGCGCACCAGGCCGCGATTGGTCCGCTAACTGCGTCCTTTACGGGGTCTCACATGTCCGCTTTCATAGCCCGATACCGCAATTATTAAAACGAAGAATGTTTACGAGAGAACGGATCATATTTAAGCACTTTTGTCGGAGGAAATGCGTAAATGTGACCGCTTATACAAGCAGTCATTGGCGGGTTGTAGAAGCGGGTTGGATTGACGGAGGAAGATCGCCGCAAACGCCGGTCGAGAGGTGCACAAAGATGTGGAGGAAAATACGGGACAAATGTGTCCACGATGAAAAGCAGCAGTGGCGATGCACGGGGCAATAAAGTCTATGATAAATAAATAAACAAATAGATGTGACTCTCTAGGTCGTCTTCAACAAAACACGTTACTCCGCCTGTTGTTCCGGCGGTGAATTGCTCTGCAACACACGCAAGACTTTTAGAAGCATGAATTGAAACGAGTGCGTCGACGCAACGACGCAGAAGCATGCGCCGGCCTGAACCCCTAATTGCTCCCCGGGCAAAGATAAAAAAAATATGGGTTAAAACTGCAATGTAAGTTGCCTGGGATGGGGGGGTAGTAGTCGCGCGCTCTCTGTTCGCTGCCGTGGAGGGTAAGAGGACAATTGTAAACGTGAAGAAAAACGCTTGGTGACGCTTTGGAAATATGTCAAGAGGGACGAGCGCACATAATTAGGAGAGAATCAGGTCAATTTTCAAAATAACACATTTTTCAGAAGAAAAAGTCCTTTCTATGGTGCGGCCCGGCACCAAACGGCCTGCGGACCGGGATCACTGAGCTAAATGACCTGTACATGATGGCATTTTTTTCGCATATGGCATAGTCGCGCGTTTACAATTCTCCTCCACTCTGTATCGCGCACGGTGGTTTCAAGCCGGATGCACAGGTGAGCACACTCCCACCAGCTGACATGAGAAAAACGTTTTCTTCAAAAAAGCAATGAAACGAAGGCTGAGTGATTGACACACAAAGGAATTGTAAAACAACAAAAACCTTTAGTTGCTGTGTACTAATGTGTTATCGTTGAAAAATAATTAAACATTGATAATGAATTGTACTGGATCATTTACCATGCACCAAGATAAGTATCAAAGAGGATTAGATCAAGACATGTTCATGAAGTAAAACAGACGTGTGCTTGTCACATTTCCTGTGGCGCACCACGTTAACTTACCATCGTCCCAGGTGCAGCTGCGAAAGTCTCGTTTCTGCGGCGACTCTGAGAGATGCATGCCGGTGCTCAGGTCCAGGCCGGTGTGGGTGGCTTGGCGTTGTGCGTGGCGCAGCACGGCACCCCCCAAGTCTCTAAGACGCAGCGCTACCCGGTGGAAGACCGTGTCCTTGCTGTTGTACAGGAGGCAGTTGGACACCATCAGGTGGAAGTCGGACTCCAGGTCAGCCACTGAGCGGTAGGTGTGACTCTCCAGCTTAGAGCGCATAGTGGAAAAGTCCATAGGCTGGCTGATGAACTCCAGGTAGTCGGGGACCTGAGGACAAGAAAACAGAACTCTAAACGGTCATGGGCCGAAGGGATTCATACAAATACAATAGAAATGTGTGAACGTAATGAAGGAAGAGAGGAGGTGCTGTTGTGGTTGCGCTTGTTATGCAGGTAGAAAAACATTTGCTTTTACTTCGATCGCTTTGATGGACACAAACTTTTTTGTTAAATCTGTAAAAGAAAATATCTGACTAAAGTATGTTATGAGCACCTCTCACAGCAGACAGGACCTAAAGATTATGCTAGTGGAGAAACAGGTTTCTAATCTGCATCTTGAAATCAGTTCACAATTTTGGTAAATTCAGTAACTTCTCCACAGCAACAACCTGTTTAAACACATCTGGTCTCGGGGCTACGGGGGTTGTAACGGCGTCTAACCTCCTTGATGTCGACTGGTTCTGCAAAGATCTGGGGCTGTGTCCTTCTCCTGTAGCTGGTCCAGAGTGGAGCGGAGCAGCACCAACATTGGGGTCAACTGCATCTCCAGAGCTTCCTGGTGAACTTTGACCTGCGGTTGCAAGAAGATATGCATGTGATGTCACCATATGTGGAAGCTGCAACCATAAAAGATTCAGAAGAAAGTCTTGGCAGACATCCAAGGAGAGAAGAATGACCATTCAGACATCTCAGACTACATCGGTAAACACCTCACATTAGAAATAATGCATTCTCTATAACAAACATTACATTTATACATTTTTAACCATTCAATTAATTAGGTTTGATTCATAATTATCTTGCTTTTCTGCTTATTACATGTGAATGTGTTGCTTTATTCATTTAGAGACAGAAAACGGAATATGTTTGAGATATCGTGGACATTGAAAAACCCTGAGCAACAGTTTTTTGACAAAAAAAAAAAAAGAATGAAAATGTTTACAGTTTAATGGACATGTAAAATAATCATAGTATCTGTACGCCTTCATAATATCAAAAAGGGTTAAAATGGCATTGTAGTCAACCCTCATCAAAGTACCTGTTCTCGTTTGAGTTTCTCCCTCTTGCGCATGAGCTCCACTAACAGCCGGGCTTTCTCAAGGTCGTGCCGAAGCTTCTGCCAGTATCTCAGTGCTTCTCTTGCAGCAGAAACCTTCTCATCCACCTGAGGCTACAAAGTAGAAACACATTTTTCAACACTTGATCTATCTAAGAGGCAATCAGTTGGTTTTAGAAATATTTGGTAGGACAAAGGCTAAATAGCAGGACAAAAAATGTAATCATCAACAAAGACAGCCACTATAGAAAGGTTCCCTACCAAGACCTGTTCAACAGTCCTTTGCGATTGGATGCTGCAGTGCAGACGGCGGACCAGCGGCACGCCGTTCCTCGACTGGCGCTTCAGCAGCCAGTAGCTGTGCACCCGATGCATGAACTGTTTCTTTCTCTGGAAGAGGATTCCTTTACAGATGATATTCAGCCTGCACAATGGAGATAAGACAGTAAGACCAATCTGCCTCTAACTAACATTGGTCCAAGCATTTCCACCAGAAAACAGATATGTGATTGTACACTTTATTGTATTTACAGATTGTGTTAGATGTAAAATAGAAAAGAAGAAGAAAAAAAATAAAATCGCACCTGCTTGTGGGTATCTGAGGCACCAGTGCTTGTGGTGAAGCAGCGAGTTGTTCTGTCGACGAGCCCTTCTTCCCTTTCTTTTTATCCAGCTTGGCATCATCTTCCCCCTTCCTGCCTTTCTTCGGCGTGGCCGGGCCCTCTGTGTAGGCACTCCTTCCTCTGCTCGCCCTCCCTCTGCTGCCCACCACTCTCCCTTCACCCTCCTCGTCTGAGACGGGCTCTTGTCCTGGCGGTGAATGAGCCTCACAGAATGCAGTCTTTTTAACAGAGAATGTAGTCCCATTCACATTTGTCTCTCGCACAGGGTCAATCTTCATAAACAGGCCAGCGCGCTGAGCACACGTGACGTGAAACGCGGTGTAACAGTTGGCCTTGTGGCACTGAATTGACGCACCACGGCCCTTCTGCTTGCACAGGTAGCAGGTCAGTTTCCAGCGTGCTGGGGGGATGTTGCTGACCCCTTCCACTGGTTCCAGAAACACGGTGTTGGCAAAGCAGACCTCGGGGATCCAGATGGCGCAGACGACGTGCGCCCAGCGGCCGTCATTCGTTTGTTTGAAAGCGCCTCCCCGGTTCGGGCATAGGACACAATCGACCGGTTTCTGAGGGGACTGCAGGCAGCAGCGGCACAGCCACTGGCCCTCGGGGATGTACGGTACACCGTAACACTCCTGGTGGACGGCCAGGTTGCAAGAGTCGCAGAAGAGGATGACGTTGCTGTTGAGGCACTCGTCATCCAGGCACACGCAGCAGAAGGCATCGTCGTCAATAGCAGTCTGAGAGGGCGCCCGGCTGCGGGCCTCCCGGTACGCCTCCTCCTCCAGCCGGTCCACCAGCAGCTCAAAGTTGTCTGGCGTGACAGCCGAGTAGCCCTCGGACTTCCGACCAGCATTGACCATCTCCAGCCAGGCGGTGTCTTCTTCGTCCATGTCGTATTCCGCCTCGGCTTCCAGGTCTTCAGCGAACCGCTCAATGTAGCGGTAATATGCCGCGGGCAGAGGCGGAGCTTCGACTGCCGCGAAGGTCTCGATCACATGATACTTGGGTTCAGGCAGGGTCATGTGCTGATGCGGCGATTCGCTACACTTTTCGGGGGACAGCGGACGAGAGTTGGGGCAGTGGTTCTTGGAAGGTGGTGGCGACTTGACAGCAGGACATTTGGAGTCTTTCCTGCGGCCCCTTGGTGTGGTGGGCTTACGGGCCGTTGGGACACTGCTGGTGGGAGGCGATGACTGCTCACTGTTCTCCTTGTTGCTGTTACACTCAATAATGTCCTGAGCCATCATCTCATCTTCAGTTATGATCTCCAAGGGTTCCAGAATAGAGATGCGATGAAGCCTACCATCCAGTTCCACCTCCACCACCTTCTGCGCCTGCGTGTAAGACAGGGTTTCTCTACTTGGAGATGCTTTGAGGCTGTAAGGGGATGGGGATCGCTGGCGGGCGCCCCCACGCCCGCCAACTGTCCCATTGGACTTCCTGACATTAGTTCCATCTCCTGCGGCCACCTGGCCTTTCCGACGTGGCTTCCTCATAGGCCACTAGTCACACTTTACCTCCTGTTAGAATAAAAGAAAGAAAAAAAATGAGAAAACAATTTTCAGCCTTTAGCTCGGCGGCGATCGCTGAAAAAAGACCGAAAATCCCACAAATGATCGGTTTCGGGCAATGCAGCATTCACAACCGGACAATTCAGGTGGATGTAATGAGCGATGTGAATGAGATGGTGCGAGATCTTGCAAGGAGACCCAATGCTGTTTACGGGCAAGTACTATTTTTCCTCTAGGCTACTGAAATGCGATACACAACGTTTGGTGGCGAATACTATTAATACTATTTTGTGATGAAAGGCAGCTATTTACTTACTACTTATAATGTCGCTGGTAACCGTATTATACCACTTGAGGCGGTACTTTATCTTCAATAATGTTACCTTATTGCTAGTTTAATGCATCGTCTAGCAGATTACAACTAATTGAAGTTGTGAATAAGATTATAATGAATGAATTTAAATAATATAAATATTAAGTCAGTGATGCCTGTCTGAGCGTTGGATTGACTGTTGTGTTTTTGCAGGACTATGGTCATTGACTGTTGTCTTCACACTACTTCACATGCTGTAACTCGTAAAACTATAACTCAATCAATAATTAGGCAAATGCGTACGCCAATGTATTGACAGGCAACTACTGGTCAAAAATGAGGGTCGCTGTCGATAGACAAGTTGTCGAAAAAGAAAAATAATCCCTTGATTGTTCTCGGCTATATCTCATGTCGGCAACTACTGCCGATGCTAGCAGGCACCAGAGCCAAATAACGACACAACGAGCACAGCCAATCAGCTTCAGGGGCGGCTTGACTGATCCCACCCAGAGCCAATCAGCTGCGAGGACACCAGATAAGCGAGTAAAACGTCAGAACCAATCAGCTGCGAGGATACCAGATCAGGGAGTAAAATGTCAGCCGTATTTACAGTTCCAGACACAAGTAAAAGCTATTCTTCGGTTTAAATTTCAATTACAGATTTTCAAATAAATGCTATAGCGGTGGTTTATATTTTGATCTGGGCAGACGGATAAGAATGGCCCCAGTATTGAGAAAGTGCTCCTATTCTGACATAAAAGTACAGAAATAAGTAACGTTAAGAGTTAGCGTTAGTTAAACTAGCGTTACAGATGTCACTAACCTGCTAACTTTACAACATAGGCAGGACTACACTTCGCAGGCGTGTTGTATTTCCACGTTGACGAGGTTCGGGACATGTTACTGTGTTAAAAAGACGGAAGGCGTTCAGAGCCACTGTGTAATAACTAAAAGGTACGTAGTAAAATGAAGGCGTCTTACCTATTATGGCAGCAGCTTGACACCGGTAGCTCACAGCCGGCGGCCTGAAGCCGCTTCGACAGTAATGGTTGCCTAGCCAGCCGCCTTACTTGTTGTACTCTCGAAGCTAACTGCTACCAGTTGGCTAGTTTCTGGCACAGCCGGTAAATCTCTCCATTTTAAACCGCCCCAGTTTCTCCACAACAAGGCGTTTTGAAGGCGCGCAGTCAATCTCAAAGGTTTACGGAGAACAAGACTGATATATTTGCGTGAGAAGTCTGAGTAACAGCTTATTATCGACTAAATGTTGCGGGAAGGAGAGATACTAGCATCTTTCGGCTAGCTGTTTGGAACTCTGAGTATGTGCTAACGTTAAATCGATACTGGCACGAGTAACAATTTAGCACTTCCGGATTCGTGTTTCAGAATAAACCCATTATTGGCGCACACGGTGTTTCAATGGGTAATTCGGCACGACGCCGCATTAAATCAACTTTCTACCCTCTGGCACAATTTTCTGTTGGAACACATTGCACCTTGATATATCTGATCCATTCCGTCCAATTACAGGGAATATCATTTTCAGCTGCTCTCTAGCTGCAGTCTGGTTTGTTTTAAAATGAGGAAATAATTAACAGACGTACAAATTCTTTAGTTTCTCTTTTTGGGCATTCATAAATAACTTACTTAATTGATTTATTTTAAAGCTTCATTTTAAGTTCGGATTAATCAAAAAGGTGCGCAAAATTAGTTGTAGTTTTCCTCATTAGTACTTCGGTAACTGTAATTTTATTTCGACGAAGAGTTTGCTCACTTCCGCTTTGGTGGAAGCCGCTGCGGTGACGCTACCTTGACAGCAACAGCTTGACCCCGCCCCGTTGACGTGACCACGTCGTGTTTTTCGCGCGCAAGCTGCTCAACGGGGCCAATGAACCCGTATTGATATGTTTTGATCTTAGCAAAGTTTTATGCATTGTATATGTGTACTTTTCAGTCCAGATGATTACAACTCTGGACCACTGAAACATATGTGTGCACAGGTGTATGCTCATAAAAGTAGTTTACTCTTTTGATTTACCTACTCATAGAGTGAAAGACCAGCATACTATTTCAGGATAGAAGAGTTTTTACATTAGGGTCATGATACTAGCTTGTGCAAACAGAAGACATGATAAATTAAACAGTATAACCTCAAAAGCACCAACCCAGTTCAATAAATATTTAAAGGCTTCTATTTTCTGGAAAGATTTAAGTTTACAATTTGGTGCAAAAATCAAGTTATGTACACAGCGTATCAGATATTAAAGTTGTGCTGTATGAAACCACAGAGTGATATAAGCAGAGCCATAATACATCTACTGGTTGCTTTCAACGTCATATTTGAGCGGAACCTGGATTTATATCAGTCATTCACACAGTAAATACTTGTGGTTGGGGTCTTTGTTTGTCTGGGTTTTCAGGGCCAATCCTAGACTTCTTCCATCGATAATCATTTTGATAACTGTTAAGGATGATATTTCCATGACAAGAGATTATATTTGACTTTGAGTTAGGCTTTGAGTCTTTCTTGGGAGGCAACAATTACTATTTGCTAAATAAAAAAAACACATCTATTTTTATTGTTTAATTGAAAAACCACACTACAGTAAACTTTACAGCAAGCTCTGATATTTAGTTACAATGGATTTGCGAGACAAAATACCTATGGGGGATGTGTAACATGGGGAGCAATCCACACAATCCAATTGCACAAAAAAAGGCGTCTCAGTTTTTGAAAGAAGTATTCTTCACTGGCCAGGATAAAAGAAACAGAGTGAGTCCGTGGTTGGAATATACAAGGGCACCATTGGCAATATGCTGTGTAGGTTGTAGTAGTTAAAAGACATCAATCAGGTCACGGAGACATCGTTAGGGTGTTTTTCCTCTTAGAGTCCCGGCGTGGGAATGGCACAAAGCTCCTCACTTCTTTGAAGCATAACCCTGTGGGAAAAAGAGGTGAACCATCTGTTTTCTGCTTGCAGTGCATGTCCACACCTCCAAATATTTCAAACAGAACCGCCGTTAGAGGTGTATAACATTATAATATGAATTCTAAATTACAACACAGACAGAAGCACTGCCACAGGATGTTTGAGAAGTTATAAATCATTTAATATGACCAACGTGGTAAAAGCCCGGAAAAAAAATCAACTTCCACCTTTTGGAAAGCATGACAAGAATACGGTTCCAATGTATACTTTTTCCCAATATGAGAAAACTTGATTACTTTAGTTTCAATCTTCTTCAACTATCATATTACAACACATTAAAACACAAAATCTTTTCTCATAAAGTTGTAAAACGAGTCCGTAACTGATACATATAGTTTATGTGAGATGAAAAGTACACACACAAGATTAGTGCATATACTGTATACACTAATCCAATATGAACATTGAGTGTATTATGGCTTATGGGTTTTTGCTTACGCTTCCACTCATCCAGGGACAGGGTGGCGTTGTCATGGCTGTCATCGTATGGTGCAGGCGGCGGTAAGTCTTCTAGGTCCCTTAGGCTGTCGAAATATGGGTGCTCCAGAGCTAGTTCAGCTGTGGGTCTCTCGTCCCCGTCCAGAACCAGCATCTTCTCCAGCAGGTCAATACCTGCAAATCGTTTATGGGACAATACAATGTAAACATTTGATCAAATGTAGCCACTATAAAATTGTACATGCTGATCTATTAAAACCTTTTCACTGAAATCCTTCATGTGGATGGTTGCTGCGAGTGCAGCAGAAGCAGAAAATTGAATTTTTCATATCACAGAAGTACTACTTTTCTTTTGACTATTTTTATATAAAATGTAAACGTCGAAATCTGTAGACCGATGAAGCCCAAGAAAAAAGGCTTTTGCTTAACTCACCCATTGCACTGGCTCGGGGGAACAGCGTTGAGAAGTCTTTTCTGGGATAGCGTGGAAGGGCCTTAATATAATTTTTGGCCTGTGTTTAAAAAGGTACAAGAGCAATGAAATGAAGCATCAAAAACAAAATTCTACCTGATATAAAGCAAATCGAAGCATCCGCTCATTCTGTATGTATTTTATTTTCCTCTGTGTTCATGGACTAGAAATTAATCCAATTACATGCATCTCTTCTGATAAATGATATTCTTCAAAGCATCAATTGATTTTGAGGTAGTAGCATGTGTAACTTACACATCAACTGCTTCAGTCTGCAAATGCTGAATGTGTTTCTGTCAAGTTAAATGAATCACACAAGCATCTCACACATTTCCTTCTATGCTCTGCCCGTCGCTGAAATGCAATTAGGCAAACTGACAGTTGCACTGAGCTTATGTCTAAGAATGCGATACATTTAGAGTTTGGTGCAGATTTTATTGCATTCCTTTTTGTCCTCATTTGACTTGTTTCTGATACAAAACAAAAACTTCACTGAATAGCTAAAGTAGTAGATAGAACCTTATAGCATCATTACTTACTATAAATTATTTCCATGTCTTAATCAATGTACTTTTATCAATCAATTGATCAAAAGAAATCATGAATACTAGTAACATATCAACTCCATCAGAGTTAGATGCAGTTTAATTTTATACATGCATATTTTTGACATATGCATGCTATTATCTGTCCTACCTCTTGGCTGTCCAGCTTCTGTGTAAACTCTGCTCCAGGTACTCCAGTCACTTTCATGATCTGAGTCAGCTGGTCCATGTCTGGTAAATGCAACAATCAAGGGATTATTTACTTGGGATCTTCTGGTGGTTCAATAAACAAGCTCCACATTGGAGCAGGGACAAGCAGGAGTTCCATGCAGGTCCATAAAACTGACTAATAAAGAAAGCCTCAAGTGACAGCTTTATGTTCTAGTAGATGCTATGAATCATTAAAGTGCCTAAAGTGCAAAATAAACATAAAAGGTACATCTAAAACATGCAGAAAAAGTATGTAATATAGTGAAGCAGTAGCAGCATTTCATGGTGCCGGAGGAGACTTGTTTTTGATTCATGTAATATACGGCGAGTGCCTTTTTTGTTCCACTCTGCACCTGATTTATAGCGCCCATCACAGCACTGTCACTTTTTAATAGCAGCTAGAATGGCATTTATTATCACGTCAATTTAACGAGGTGATATTAAAACTTGATGTGATGTAATTTAGGAATCATTTAGTACATTTACATTTCTGTTAACTGAAACATATTCATTATCCGGGACCGCCTTGAAAAGTCCAGTGAACATAGAAAGCTGGCGAAAGGATACAATCTCTCCCTTTGAAAAGGGTTTTCCCATTGATCATTTCTGCCATGATACAGCCCACAGACCAGATGTCCACTGTAATAAAAAACAGAATAAAAGAACATGAACGAGAAAGTATAAAAAATACGTCACAAAGAGTATTTTAACTTACACTCAAAACAGTGCAAAGGGAAAAGTTGGCATTTACCTGCCAGAGAAAAGTTTCTAGTCACAGATTCTATTGTGCTGTTTATATTGGGGAATACTTGTTGAGTGATACAATCCTGACAGGGTTTAGACACGTCAGAGCTTCTGTTTACAGTAGCTGCTGTTTACAAAATGAAAAAAACGCTCCCAAAGAAGCATAAATCGGTTTGCTTGCAGTGAACAGAGGCTCTGTCTTTGTGGCTCAGCACTATCCGGCTGCTGTCAGACCCGTTTTTGTCAACGGCTAACAGATTAAGATAAAAAAAAGAAGATTTATAGTCAAAATAAGACCCATGAGCTTCAAATGCATTTCACGCACCATCGGCAGGATTACAAAAAACTGCTGAGCCACAAAGTGGCATCGTAGCCCCGCTAGAGAAAGAAGCCCTCGTAGCTGGAGATGTTTTCCAAACAGCAAACAGTTAAAGCACCGACGGCCAGGACTCAGGACACGTGTGAGAATTTGTAACAGCAGTGATTGTCTTGCCAGTCTGCGTGTAGTGCATCCAGTTCAGAATGACCTCGGGTGCCCGGTACCAGCGGGTCACCACGTAGCCCGTCATCTCAGCGTCGGTACTGCGAGCCAGCCCGAAGTCCAGGATCTGCATCGGCAGCAGAAGAAGAGGAGCAATCACGATCACGATGGACATCTTTAAAGCTTACTTGTTGTTTGTTTATCAGTTTTACATCCACGTTCAAATGTGTGTAAAAATTCATTTAAATCATATTTGCTTAAACTGTCAGTGACAGAAGTACGTGAGATAAACAGTAAAAGTAAAATGTGGTTCCTCTGCCTCCTCAAGATCCCACTGTGCCAAGAAAGAACACAAGCAATCAGAGCCGAGGAATCCATTGTGGCAGGTGAATTCACATAAAACTGTCCCTGGGATTTCCTATTTTACGCTTCAAGGGTTTTTAGAAACATATTCCAGAGTACCCTTTAAGGTTAGATGGTTTGTAACCAGAATGTTGAGCCAAAACCAAACAATCAAGGCTAATTATTTATAATAGTCAGGATATTATGATAAGTTTAGGCAAATCAAGGCAAATACAATG